TTAGCCGATATAAATCAATTTCAAGAAGCAATTTAATGTTTTAACGAAGCCACTTCTATTAATCCTAAATATGATTTAGCTTTGATTGGCAAGGGTAAATTATATTGATTGTAAAACTTTAGGTAATGCATTAACTAAATTGGAGCAATATCAAGATGCAATTAATTGTTACACCGATGCTATTTATATTAATCCTAAATCTGATACTACATGGAGTGGCACACGTAATCCAATGTTCAAAATTAAAAAATAGGATATGCATTAGGCCGTTTGTATAAATTTCCTGAAGCAATTGAATTTTTCAATTAAGCCATTTCTATTAACCCTAAATGTGTTGATGCATGGAATTGGAAGGGTAAAAACTTTGTTCTATTATAATAATTAGAAATTACATTTGTAACAATATTAAGAAGCAATTGAATGTTACAATGAAGCAATATCTATCAACCCTAAATCTGATACTTTTTGGAATCATAAGGGTTATTTATTGTCAAATTTTAAATATAGGTTATGCATTATATGAATTGAAACAATACTAAGAAATAATTGAATGTTACAATGAAGCAATATCTATTAACCCTAAAAATGTTAATGCATGGAATTACAAGGGTAATTAATTGTTAAATATTAATATTTAGGTCTCGCATTACAAAATTTATAGAAACACTTGGATGCCCTCTCAAATTTTGAACAAGCACTTAAAATAAATCCTACTGCTCATAGATTAGAATATAAAGGTAAAAACAACTTTAAATTCTATTAGCTCATTCATTATTTGAATTACATAGAAGTTCAGAAGCTAAATACTTTTATTTTGCTGCATAGGAAATGGGTTTGGGTTAGAATGCTTATATAAAAAGCTAACTATCAAAGTTATGAAACATTATCTTATTAGTATTTTAAAGGATTTAATAATATTTTGTCAGTATATATTTAAAAAAAAAGTGATTTATTTAAATTAATCACTTCTAGCGTTATTACTCTATAACTTAAAGCATATAAACTGAATGGCCCCTAACAAGGAGTGGTATTGATCTTGTTATTGCGCAATTAAGCATTCTTGCAGCTGTTATGAAAGCCAAATTTTATAATACCTGATTAACATTTAGGTTTTGAATGTTGTTGAGACAAATACTAAAAATGTGGGTAGAAACAAATAAAGAGAATCTCAGCTAGTCGAAGAATTTTCTTTATTTGAGAGTCATTCCATATAAACAGAGAATTTTAGATAGTTTTGAATTGCTTTATAGTGTGGAAAAACTTCGAATAAGTATTTTGTAAATAAAAGTCCAGTTGGGATTCCACAAAAGAATTTGATGAACTAAGAAATTCTAAACCAAAAAAGTAATAAACCTTACTTAATTCTGATTACTTAATTCGAATCTTATACTTCCACAGAAGTTAAAATTCTTTATAACAATCAATGTTCTGACATTCAACAATCTTAAATTTTTATTCAAACAAAGTTGATAGCAAATCAAAAGTTTCATTTAAGAATTGATTAATAAGAAAACTAAAGCAGAAAATGGAATATAATTGAAAAAGGGAAGTTTATAATTCGAATATTTGAACTTCTTAAACAAATAAATTTAAAAATATCCAAATTAATGATATTAAAGTGCTTATGATTATATTGGAAGTGGATTAAAAGTAAAGAAGGAAAAAGATTATTCCAAGTACCTTAACTAAAAATCTGTAGTGTTGTTGAATGAAAACAACAGAATTTGTTATAATAAGAAATACTTCATTATTTATGATTGAACCTATAAATTATAACAGCTTGCATGACATTTAAAAAAAATAAAAAATAGAATTATTTAATTGAGGAACAAATCTTATTATGATGAGGGTAAAATCCTAAGATTACTCAAAATTTACCCCTTTTAATTTAATATGAAATTAATTAATTATCTACAATAACATTTTGAAATAATTAGAGGGTCAAAGTTAAAATATTTAATGATCTCATTCTCAAATCAATAGTCAAGCAGCATCCTTGCTGACAGAGATTATTATTTACCTAACAATAACCTAGATAGTTATTTCCTATGCAGATGCATCAGGCTTGGTGCACACTGGATCGAATCATTATGGCCCAGAAATTACCCCAAATTATTATTTTATAAATAATAAAAATGTTTTGATTTGAGAGATCTACTTATTTAATAGTACTTGTATGGTGGACTGTCTAAATGTTGATGATGCAAGTTAGACTTGCATCTTAAGTTGCTCAGCCTCTAAATTAAGTTTATTGAATTATTATAATGACAACATGAATCTTAACTTCTTCAAATAACATCTGTAAAATTGTGTAAGTGTAGTGATGTTGCTTGCTATAAATGCCCATGTTTTTCTTAGAGCAAATAAACAATTACATTTGATACACCAACCAAAGATTATCATTTTTCACAATTGTTGTCTAGCACTTTTCCTAAATATGTAATAAGTGCACAATCTGTAACAACTTTTGCTGGTATGCACTAACCTATCGTTGAACCTTAGCAACTTAATCTACTATACTTTCAATTAGAACTTAAAATTAGCAATTTGCAAGGTTTTTAATTAATGGAGTAGTTAGTTATCTGATGCACATCACACGCGCCTTTAGATTGATACAATACATATTGAAATGAAAAACCCTCATACTGAGGTAAAACCAAGGACTAGTTTGTAACAACTCTTCTAGGTCAAGTTTAAAGCCAAATTGTTATAGTTTCTGGATATGCAAGTACTTGTGCTGAGGGTTTCATAAAGGTACTACTACCGTCACGAGTTTTTTTTACTTGGAGAATCACCTTCTTCTTGCCAAAATAATTTCTCAACATAAACAGCATTACTTACTTTCATTCTACTCTAGGTTACTATTTTTTTGCTCCATCATGCACAGACAACCTTAAGTTAATGTGCTTTTCTAATTTAATAGACTTGAACACCTACAAACTTTACATCAAGTATTTCTTGTACTGTTATTACGTAAATTTGTCAAGTTTTCCTTCTTTATAACCCCTTATAATATTTGAATTTGAACTGCAGCTTGAAATATGAATTCTTGGTAACGATGCTTTTTTGAACTTAATGCCAAAAAGATTAAAGAAAAATTTAAGGATGTTTGCTAGGAGGGTCAGTAAAAATGGTTAAAAATTGGCAGTTCCATATCCTCATTTTACTATGGCGATACTATCTTAAGAATAAGATGTTATACAAATAACATAGATTATGGTTAGTATGCAATTTTTCAATCGTAGTATAGACACCAAATAATAACACTTAGCACTTCATCTAACGAACATGAAGGAAATTAAAATGAGGATACTTTAACAAGTTTACTTATAGATTAGAAATTAGAAGCTAGTGCACTTAAAATCTTTTAAAAAGTAGCCTTCACTTCATTAAGTGCTACTTAAAACAGGACAGGTAGCAATTAGGATCTATAAATGAAACGTGATAATAATGTAAAATCGCCATCCAGATTATAGCTTTTAGGATAGGAAGCGTGGTTGTCAAAACTTTATGGGATCAGTGGGATCAATACATTAAAGATATGTGATTGCAATTTGATAGTTAAAATTTTCGAAAGGCATACATGAATTTAGACATGGTGAGTAAACATACATGATTGCTATATTGTAGGACAAATTTCAGTATAGAGCACTTTGTTCATGATTCAGAATAATGAGAAGAGGTTAATTATTTGATCGGAATCATAATAGATGAGTAAAAACTAATAGCTGTGTTTGAGATATTTTACAATTAACCTTAAAATGGTGTAATTTGGATATTAATGACATATGCTATAGCTGCAATTTTTAGGGCTAAATTTAATATTCTGGCAATCATATTCAATACTCGTAATCTCCTGAATAAATACTATGTTGCCAATAATGGTAGAGTAGTAAGTGTGCTAGCAACTATCTTGTGGTTATTTATGACTCTTGTACAAGATGACTACCTCGATATTGCCTTTGTGCTATAATTTTGCAAACTAACGATTATGATGGTTTATTGGTTCATGCTAACAATGAATGTTGAATATTTAAGCTCCTAGCTTGTATATGTGTGAAGCAGGCAAAATAATGCATCCATTCTCCTAGGCTATTGTGAATAACACAAGAGTGATTGTTCTACTTGTACCGTTCTATTATGTTCTACTTTTCTTTTAGAACTTAAACCATGGTAAATATTAATAGTATAATTTTAAAAACTCCATCATTCTGCCTCTAGGCACTTTCGATGAAACGTGTATAAATTTACACAGGGTAGCAAGATCTCCTATGATATAATTAAGCCTTTTGAATCAAATAATTAAATATTTAATATTATTAAATCAATAATTCATTCATCATTTTTCATGTAATAGAATTCTATAAGGTTTTATATTTGAGGAATCATTAAGTAAAAAATGATTTTGCTCTTTCATTCGTTAGCTTTATCTTATTTTTTTCGGATCTGCTCTCACCATAATAATAACAGTATATTCTTCACCAACATTTTTTGTGTAAGTAGCAAGTCTTATATACATTTTTATACTGAGTCTGCAAAATAAACTCCTTCTCCAACTTTAACTGTCCTACCATATTCATCTTAGCACAAGTCATCTCTAAATCTCTGAAAATTGCAAGGTTTTAAATTATTTTTAACTATTGAACTGGCCATGATATAAAATTCTCCATTCATTAGCCCTGCCATCCTTTTTTAACCAATCTTAATTAGAGCCATACTTGTCTACGATTAACCCAAATCCAAAGCAACCTGTTGGATGATGATATAAATATTAATTTGGACCTCTATATGAGACTTTTTAAAATTAGGATAACTCTTATTATATTAAGGATTAAAATCATCAAAACAAGAGTGCAAGATATTGTGAACATCTATTTAAAATTCAAGATATTCAACTTTTTTGTTGCAAATTGAATTTAAAAATTTCTTGGCTTTTTGGTTTTCTTCAAAATACCAATCTTCCTCAGGGTCAATTTTCTCTAAACTATCAAACTAAATGTCATTATTTTTGATTAAAACTCTATCAAATTATTTATTACATTGTGTAATTAATAATTCTTAGCTTTGATTAATTCTTCCAAAATTGAAATTTTATTTTCATTCTCATTTTAGTTCTGAATTGTTTCTTTCTTCCAACGGTTGATTGTTATTTTCTCCTAATTGTAGTTTTGATTCATTGATTATTCTAAATCGTATTATTTTTTCAACTCTTCAATTTATGTTTACTTAAGTTTTTCGATTGATAGCTCTTATTTTTGGCCCAGTAACATTTCAATTAAACAATGCTTTTCATGTAATACCTCCATATTCTAATTTAAATTTTTTTCTATTTCTAGACAATATGAATGACTGAATAGATATTTTGTGGCAACGATAAAGAAGAATTGTTATTTTAATCAGAACTAATTGGTCCTTTAGCATCTTCTGATTTCTTAATTACTTTAGGAAACTTATTGAAAATATATTCAATCCAATTTTTAAATTACGCCTAAATGCTCACATTTATATAATAAATTAATTTATTGCTTCGTATTTTTTCCCCATTCCTAAATATCTTATTCTTAGGACATTCAAAGTTAAAACAAATATTTTTATTGTTCCAATAAGAATGAATTTCTATTAAAAGGTAGATACTTAATCAATAATTTTTTTCGCTTAAAATTGAACAATTAATTTAGTTGAAATCAATACCCAATTATTGGCTCATCAGATTGTGTANATGTAATAGAATTCTATAAGGTTTTATATTTGAGGAATCATTAAGTAAAAAATGATTTTGCTCTTTCATTCGTTAGCTTTATCTTATTTTTTTCGGATCTGCTCTCACCATAATAATAACAGTATATTCTTCACCAACATTTTTTGTGTAAGTAGCAAGTCTTATATACATTTTTATACTGAGTCTGCAAAATAAACTCCTTCTCCAACTTTAACTGTCCTACCATATTCATCTTAGCACAAGTCATCTCTAAATCTCTGAAAATTGCAAGGTTTTAAATTATTTTTAACTATTGAACTGGCCATGATATAAAATTCTCCATTCATTAGCCCTGCCATCCTTTTTTAACCAATCTTAATTAGAGCCATACTTGTCTACGATTAACCCAAATCCAAAGCAACCTGTTGGATGATGATATAAATATTAATTTGGACCTCTATATGAGACTTTTTAAAATTAGGATAACTCTTATTATATTAAGGATTAAAATCATCAAAACAAGAGTGCAAGATATTGTGAACATCTATTTAAAATTCAAGATATTCAACTTTTTTGTTGCAAATTGAATTTAAAAATTTCTTGGCTTTTTGGTTTTCTTCAAAATACCAATCTTCCTCAGGGTCAATTTTCTCTAAACTATCAAACTAAATGTCATTATTTTTGATTAAAACTCTATCAAATTATTTATTACATTGTGTAATTAATAATTCTTAGCTTTGATTAATTCTTCCAAAATTGAAATTTTATTTTCATTCTCATTTTAGTTCTGAATTGTTTCTTTCTTCCAACGGTTGATTGTTATTTTCTCCTAATTGTAGTTTTGATTCATTGATTATTCTAAATCGTATTATTTTTTCAACTCTTCAATTTATGTTTACTTAAGTTTTTCGATTGATAGCTCTTATTTTTGGCCCAGTAACATTTCAATTAAACAATGCTTTTCATGTAATACCTCCATATTCTAATTTAAATTTTTTTCTATTTCTAGACAATATGAATGACTGAATAGATATTTTGTGGCAACGATAAAGAAGAATTGTTATTTTAATCAGAACTAATTGGTCCTTTAGCATCTTCTGATTTCTTAATTACTTTAGGAAACTTATTGAAAATATATTCAATCCAATTTTTAAATTACGCCTAAATGCTCACATTTATATAATAAATTAATTTATTGCTTCGTATTTTTTCCCCATTCCTAAATATCTTATTCTTAGGACATTCAAAGTTAAAACAAATATTTTTATTGTTCCAATAAGAATGAATTTCTATTAAAAGGTAGATACTTAATCAATAATTTTTTTCGCTTAAAATTGAACAATTAATTTAGTTGAAATCAATACCCAATTATTGGCTCATCAGATTGTGTACACATCTTTTTTGATTTTTCCATAATATATTCTTGATTATATCATTTTGCATAATATTGTCCAAAATAAAATTGTGGACCTGTAATTATTGCACCTCTCCCTTTCAACATTTTGTATTCCCAATTAGGGTTGAAATAAAACACTTATGAATTCACTTCTTAATTTGTTTTATGGCTTTCTTTTTGTGTAAATGATAAGATTTTAGTTTTAAACAAGGTAAGACCTTAGGAGAAAAATATTAACTCTATTCTTATTTTCACCATCAGATGAGAAAGAATCTTTCATGAGATAAACACTAATTTGATCATTTTATTTTAAAGAGGGAAAATGAAGAGATTGTTCATAATTAATTATCACCTAAATGGAACGATGGGGATTAATTACTGGAACTGAGTTTTTTAGCTGAATTAGTGTATTTAGCATGAACACATGAACTTTAATGATGAATGAAATAGAGGATCACATAAAAATACATTGGAAATGTGGAGGTGAAAAATTTAAATAGTTTAGAATTATCATTGAGTTAGATTCATAGCAAAGAACTTAATTCTTTTGCAGAAAGCATTACATTGCAGAGAATGTTACAAATATGATAAATTCATGCAAACTTTGTTTTCCAATTCCTATTTGATAATAAGGGCATCAATTAAGAAATTGTATTCTTATTAAGTAGACTAATTTATTGTTAAATAAACCAATAAATTTAAGTGGTAAATATGTAAAGTATAAGGAGGATCACAGGAGATTAAAATTTCGACTGAGTCTATTCACTCTAAAAATCTACTTTGCAATTTTAGGCAGTTATTGTAGTAATAGCTCCATATGACAGGTTTCCTTAAAAATAAATCTAAGTGAAAAAGATCAAATGCTTTTAAAATTTAAGCAAAATATATTAATACAAATTATTATATATTAATATAGAAATTAATGTTGAGAAAGTTTAAAATAGCATGTATTTAAAATGCAATTACTGCCACTAAAACCTAAACATTGGCGTTAGTTTAAGACTAAATCAAAGAAGCAGCAATCCAAGGAAGTAAAGTCTGCATTCTTGGAGAATGCTTTAATAGTTACTATGTAAAAGCGTAGCTTTAAAACAATGCTGAAGATTTTGGGAAAACTGGAGAAAGGTAAACACTTGATCTAATAAGCGAAATTTCAAAATAATTTGGAATTATGATTATTGGATCAATTCCTGAAAAGAGTGGAGATAAAATGTACAATACAGCATTTTGTTTCAACAATGGTTAGTTGTTAGTAACATATCGAAAAACTCATTTATTTGATATAGATATTCCAGGAAAAATAACATATAAAGAATCTTTAACATTTTCAGCAGGTGATAATTATAAAATAGTGGATACAGAATATGGTAAATTTGGAATAGGAATATGCTATGATATTCGTTTTCCTGAATTAGCTTAGGTCATGAGAGAAAAAGGATGCCATTTTTTAGTTTATCCTGGATCATTTAATCTTACAACAGGCCCATTACATTGGGAATTATTATTAAAAGCTAGAGCAGTTGATTATTAATGTTATGTTGCAGGAGTATCATCTGCCCGATATATGGGAACTGATGAATCAATATACAAAGCTTGGGGCCATTCAACATTTTTAGATCCGATGGCTAAAGTGCTGGCTACATGCGAACATGATCCATCTGTAATTATCAGTGAGGTTGACTTAGATTACTTGGAATAGGTTAGATAACAAATTCCTGTATCTTAATAAAGAAGAAATGATATTTATGAATTAATTTGCAAAAAATGATCAGTTATAATAAAATATAATGATAATTCTCATAAAAATTAAATATTGCCAGATTACATATATTTTGGAATTAATCATTTTTAAATTTATTAACATGTTAAGGTTATAAAACTGTGACATATGAGGGGTTCATAAAAAAAATGAAACTCTAATTCTATTCAATTCCTAAAATAAAATTTTCTTGTTATGGATCGCAATCTTCTAATAGGAAACTTGTTGAAGGTCAAAATTAATATTAATTAATGTCGATATTGTGTCATCTATTAAAATATCAAGAAAGTTTTCTTCTGAAATAGTTAAATAGAGTAAAAGTTGGATAAAAATACATCAAGTATTTTAGTTTTTATCATGATGATCAGACTATGATGGGTCAAGAAAGAAGTTTGATTTAACCCAAAGCAAAACGTTAGCATACATTACTCATTAGATTAGATAAATTCAAATAAGAAGGTAAAACTATCTATGAGCAGCACAAAAAATGATAATAACTTAGAATAATTATGACTTATTATATTAAAATTCTTATAGTTCTACTTTCAATGATGAGCTAACCTTATATATAATCAACCATAAAATTCCAAATTAGAATTTTTTATTTTTATATTTAGTTATTCAGTATTATTTTTCACCTATGACTAACTTTGAGTAAAGTAGGAAGAAAACGACAGGTTAATAACATAAATTTTGTATATAAAGCAGCAAAATTATATTTTAATTGAATAGGCTTCCTTTTTATTAAATTTGATTTAAAATTTCAATATTTATTTTGTATTTGGGTTTATTCTATGAAATATAAGTCACAAAATTCTTATTTGCTACTTTTGAATCAAAATATGCATATTTGTTATATTGAAATCTGCTTTTGAAAGAAGTTTAAATACAACTATTGAGTTTTGAGCATTCTTTATTTTATTGTTATTTTGATCTTAAAACTTTTATAGATACCTTTTTGTTGAAATGTAGATTTTTACTAAATATTGGGGCTCCTTGGTTAAAGCATGAAGGGGTTTTTTCTTAAAAAAAATAGCAATATATGTCTATTATTATTTTAGTTAAAAAATTATCAAAAACTTAAGAGAAAATTAATATTGAGTTATGGGATGTATTCAATCAAGAGAGGGTAAATATAGTAGAGAAATTATTTATAAAAACACATCGATTATATTGGTAGAAGGAGTGATTGAGGAAATTAACTCTTAAGCCATTGGTATCAATGAAATTATAATAAGTAAACATCTCTATAAATCCGATGGTAAGTAAGTTAAGAGAATAAGTTTATAAATACGTTTATAATCATGATGAAACCTTTGATTTTTTTGAAGAGAGAGATATTATTTAATTAGAGCAACTAAGGAACTCAGTTTTCGAAAGTACAGAAACACTTTTAAATTTTTCATTTGTATCTGGTTATGTAGTAAACAATCTAAATTAGATAAGTGAGGATGAACTATTGAATACTTTTGAATAGATCCTTCAGTTTGCAGATAAAACTTCAAGCCTTTATCAAATATGCTTTACTGATTATATAATTTAAGAAGTTGATGGAATTAACTACAACTCTTATGCCGATTGTTTAGTAAAATCCGTATTCAAGTAAGTGTTTTATGAAAATAGGTTTTTAACTTAAAACCCTGATAGATAGATTGTTTCTGTTAAGTTCTTGTGTATGAATGCTAAAAATGTAATAGTTTTACTTTATTCTAGTTAAATACAATACTTTAAATGATGATGAAGTATGAAAATTATAAATTTTGATTATTATTAATAATTATCAATCTATATTAATATCTATTGGAGTAGTTACTAATAAAATTCATGTGTCAACCCACCTATTTTTGGATACCTTACGAAAAAAGGTAATAATATTTCAACTCAGTCATATAAATAATAACCCACTTATACTTAATTTTATGATTTTACTGCAAAAATATTGAAGCAGATAAGAACTAATTATTAATTTAAGTAGAGCAATGAAGAGATAAAGTGCTATGATAGCCAAAGCTATATCTCAATATCCCAAATTTTATATTAAAGTTTATTAAATAACTTACTATTTTGAAGAATTTAAGAACAGAAAATTTATGACAAGTTATTTTACAAATATAAATGGTGAAGGTTTGGTTTAATCTATTTTGAAGAATTAAATTAGGATTATTAATTAAAAAGATTATTTCAAAATGCACTATACTGATCTAAGTAAATTAAGTTTGAAATTTTTGATAAGCATCTACTCTAAATAAGAAATAATTTAATAGTATTTCCCCATATCTCTATTTCCTTCATTTTTATAAGAAAAAGCATCATAAAATTTATATTAAATAAATTTCTGAAATCCCTCATTACACTACAAAATTAAATAACATAGGTACAATTTCTTGCATAATATATGTTGAAATTTATAACTCCCTATAATTTTACTTAAATGTCCTAAACATATTAAGTGGCATGCCAATTCGGATTGAAATTTGATACTGATAAACTATTCTATACATTCTTCTCCTTTTATTTCCTTTACTTATTTCTCTAACAATACTTTTGGTTTGTTCCGACTACAATCTAATTATTTATCTTCTATTTCCTTTCAATAATTAACTTGATGACTGTATTATTTCTTAAATTAATACTTTGATTCCTTTATTTAAGAGCATTAAATGAAACAAAATTTATATCAAAAGTCAAAATTTCATAGTTAAATTTCCTATAACTTATTATCTTTACACAGCACTTTGAAATTTTTTTATAAGATTTTTTATAACCTTGCAAACTAACAGGCTTTTTATTTACTGAGTAATCAACTCTTGTCAATAGTTGATCTAGATTGATAGGTTTGATTCAATTTATGGTCTTATTTCAATCCATATTAAATTAATGTATTTAGGAGATTTATTCTAAAATTAATAATATTTTAAAAAATCAAAGGCATGACTACTTTATTTTGATTTTCTTCGTCAAATCTTGCTTTAGTGTTCTCCTTCCTGAAAATAGTTAAATTAGACATAATTTGAATTATATTATTTTATTAAGATGTTAGTAACAATGAAAGGACGAAAGAGTTCTGCATCAAAATTCGATAGAAAGGAGTTTGATTAGAGAACATTAAGTGCTGCAGTGAATTTGATCGTTTATGGGTGTCATGTTCAAAAATATAATAAATCAAATAGAAAACCGATATCTAGATTGTATTATTTATATGAGGAGGACATGGATTATTTATAATACTTACATGCAGGCAGACCATTTACGCAATGTAGAATACCATTGTTAGATATCATCGAATTAAGAGAAATTCCAACAACAGAGTCATTCTAAAATTTACCTTATCAAAGAACTCTTTAAATAACATTTGCGAGCAAAAAGCATACAATTTTATTTAACACAAAGAATGAAAGGGATCTATTTTGGCAAGGTTTATAATATTTTATTGATGTGGCAGAACACAATTTGATTAGAGATATAAAAAGCACGAATGATAATCCAATAGTTGAATAAATCACCTTAAAATAAATTAAAGGAATGCTACCATAATTGTCAATCACAAAATAAGAAGTAATATATCTAAAATCTATTTGCAGCTCAAAAGCCTCTTTAATCAATATGATTTGGAAAGAAGAGGATTTATTTCCAGCTCTGATTATCAAGATTTACTCAAGAGATTGATGAATCAGGATTTCGTGCGATTTATATTTGATAGATATGCAGTGTAATAAATGAACAAATAAGAATTTATTAAATTCTTAGCAAACGAATAATCTCCATATCAAAAGCAATGTGAAGACGCATTTAGATTGTTCGCCAAATAAGATGGAAACAACTTTTCGTTATCGTTCTTAGAATTCTTAAATTATCTTCTAAGTACTTACAATTAATTGTTTGATTACCAAAAAACATAAATCTATTAATCTGAGGATTATCCTTTGACTGATTACTGGATAAACTCTTCTCATAATACATATCTAATGGGTGATTAATTGACAAGTGAAAGCTCTATTCAAGCCTACATAAATGCCTTTCAAAAGGGTTGTCGATGTGTAGAGCTAGATTGTTGGGATGGAGATAATAATCAACCAATCATATATCATGGATTCACAATGACTTCAAGAATATCATTTGAATCTGTCATTCAAACCATCAAAGAATATGGATTTAAATATTCCAAATACCCATTGATTCTCTCCCTCGAAGTCCATTGTTGTGTTAAGCAATAGGATGTTATGGCAGATATTTTAAAAACCTATTTAAATGAAAATCTCTTACTTTTACCAGATGATTATAAGTCTTCTGAATACTATCCGAAACTAAATAAGCTATATTACAAAGTAATCATAAAGCATCGAGGTAAGATGAAATCGAGTTTACAATATCGAGAAAGATTCATATCAATATCTCCAATTAATATACTTTAGCCTAATTTTGAAGAATCTGAAAGTCCTGACATAATTAAAAGACCAAGCCTTTCAATATAAGCTGATTAGTAATAATTAAATACACCAACCACTCTGAAGCCAAGATCTTAAAAGTCATTCAAGAGACAAGATCATGGATTACCTATGCTTTAACTTAGAAACACTATTAATCCTTTTTAGATTGATGAGGAGATGAAGCCAAATAAAGTAATACACAAGACTAAAACAGAAACAACACTAAGACCTAAATATAAGATCTCAAATATTGAAACTCAGTTTTAATTTGATGCACCTAATCCAAGATGTTAAATTGTGCAATTACCATTAAAGGTGGATTCTGATGAAGATATATCTATTGACAAAGCGAAAAAAGAGAAAGCTGAAAGTCTCAAGATGAGTTCAATAACAGCATTATTTGGTGTTGCAATTAAACAACAAAATAGAACTGTTTGGGAAATCTCTTCTTTGGATGAAAGTAAAGTCAATGAGAACCTGCTTGATTTTCACAGAAGGTACTTCACTAGAATATATCCATCTGGGTCTCGAGTAGATTCAAGCAATTATGATCCTATTCCAGCATTTAATAGTGGATCATAAATAGTGGCACTCAATTTTCAGACCAATGATATGCCTATGTTACTAAATATGTGTAAATTTATGGAAAATGGAGGGATTGAATCTGGATATGTGTTGAAACCATAATGGATGAGATCGGATGGGAAAAAAAAGATTGGCGAGTTCAGTTCCACTCAATTATCCTTCACTCTTAGTTTATTGGTTGGTTATAATCTTAGATAATTAAATGTATTATAATTCTCTTTATTAAAAGAATTAAAACGCAAAGGTTAACCCTTAAATTAAGATCTCAATACGAGGTCTGCTATAGGATGAATCAAATAACAAACCGCAGATTGCAACCATCTCATAAAGTGGATTAAATCCTTAATTTAATTTTATCTATAAATACAATATAAAATGCCCAGACTTGGCATTTTTGATATTTGAGGTACTCGATGCCAGCAAAACCTTCTTAGGATGGAGTGCCATACCTCTCTCATGCATGTCTTTTGGCTANACCAATCATATATCATGGATTCACAATGACTTCAAGAATATCATTTGAATCTGTCATTCAAACCATCAAAGAATATGGATTTAAATATTCCAAATACCCATTGATTCTCTCCCTCGAAGTCCATTGTTGTGTTAAGCAATAGGATGTTATGGCAGATATTTTAAAAACCTATTTAAATGAAAATCTCTTACTTTTACCAGATGATTATAAGTCTTCTGAATACTATCCGAAACTAAATAAGCTATATTACAAAGTAATCATAAAGCATCGAGGTAAGATGAAATCGAGTTTACAATATCGAGAAAGATTCATATCAATATCTCCAATTAATATACTTTAGCCTAATTTTGAAGAATCTGAAAGTCCTGACATAATTAAAAGACCAAGCCTTTCAATATAAGCTGATTAGTAATAATTAAATACACCAACCACTCTGAAGCCAAGATCTTAAAAGTCATTCAAGAGACAAGATCATGGATTACCTATGCTTTAACTTAGAAACACTATTAATCCTTTTTAGATTGATGAGGAGATGAAGCCAAATAAAGTAATACACAAGACTAAAACAGAAACAACACTAAGACCTAAATATAAGATCTCAAATATTGAAACTCAGTTTTAATTTGATGCACCTAATCCAAGATGTTAAATTGTGCAATTACCATTAAAGGTGGATTCTGATGAAGATATATCTATTGACAAAGCGAAAAAAGAGAAAGCTGAAAGTCTCAAGATGAGTTCAATAACAGCATTATTTGGTGTTGCAATTAAACAACAAAATAGAACTGTTTGGGAAATCTCTTCTTTGGATGAAAGTAAAGTCAATGAGAACCTGCTTGATTTTCACAGAAGGTACTTCACTAGAATATATCCATCTGGGTCTCGAGTAGATTCAAGCAATTATGATCCTATTCCAGCATTTAATAGTGGATCATAAATAGTGGCACTCAATTTTCAGACCAATGATATGCCTATGTTACTAAATATGTGTAAATTTATGGAAAATGGAGGGATTGAATCTGGATATGTGTTGAAACCATAATGGATGAGATCGGATGGGAAAAAAAAGATTGGCGAGTTCAGTTCCACTCAATTATCCTTCACTCTTAGTTTATTGGTTGGTTATAATCTTAGATAATTAAATGTATTATAATTCTCTTTATTAAAAGAATTAAAACGCAAAGGTTAACCCTTAAATTAAGATCTCAATACGAGGTCTGCTATAGGATGAATCAAATAACAAACCGCAGATTGCAACCATCTCATAAAGTGGATTAAATCCTTAATTTAATTTTATCTATAAATACAATATAAAATGCCCAGACTTGGCATTTTTGATATTTGAGGTACTCGATGCCAGCAAAACCTTCTTAGGATGGAGTGCCATACCTCTCTCATGCATGTCTTTTGGCTATAGGGCTGTTTAATTACTGAGTTAATACTTAAAGCCTTTGCCAAAGAGTTGCCTCCTTGTTCATGTTCAAAAAAACACTGAATGAAAACTTTTATAATTAATATGTTTAATAATATTAAGAGAAACCTGACTATCTTTAACAAAGACATCGTGGAAACATCTTGGCTGAAAAGTCTGATTGATGATGTTCCTAAGGTGAAACACATTTAGGTAGTGTTTATATTTAAGTATTCCATAGATACTTCATAAATGTCTCTCAGGAGAATACACTAATGTTGATCCCAAAGTAGCACTTCGAAAGATTTCACAAAGATTGTAACATTCTCAAAAACCATTAAATGCCCTCAAATCTCTATATTTGGCACACCTATTAAATAAGTTTTTGATAACTTAATTGACAGATAAAATAATCGACCAATAATCTAAAGATCCAGCAGAGGTCCTTATGGCTTCTGTTGCTCACCTATATTATTCTTACCTTAAATAATAAAAAAATGCTTTTGAAAAGATCGACAGCATTTATAAAATGAATAGGCAACTTGAAGTTTTAATGATAAAAACTAATATTCCAATATTAAAAGAAATTATCACTCTCCTTATAATCGACATAATAACAATATATGAATCTATTGACATTAAGGAAGACTATGAAAAGAGAATTAGAGCTATGAAGCAAGTTAGAAGATTTGTTGATTTAAAAGGATATTTATAAATGAATTAAGAATTATAAAATAAACTGAAAACCCTTAATTTCTCAGATATCAAGTAACAAAAATGCATTGAAAGTAAAATTTGTAAGACTATTCCAATCTCATAAGAAATTGAAACTCATCAATTAGAAATCAGTAGAAAACAACTCTCAATCTAAGTCAATGACAGTACGCAATTTGAAACTTATAATTCTTGCCAAGGATGTCCGTAGGAAAGAAAAATGAGTCTATAAACTGGAACAATAATCAACCAAAAAGGCATTGTTTAATCAAATACAACCAGAGCTTCATCTATTAGAGATAATTTCTTTGTCCCTAAATAAGGACCATTATCTTTTTTGATTCCAAGCTGAATATATATAATATTATAAACTATATTAAATAAACTATATACGCTTAACATGTCAAATTTAAAAAAAGAACTCAAGCCATTAATTTGTAAATTAAATCATTAATAATGTTAATTTATTGTACATTGTTTTCTATAGTAATTCTTTCTTGTCTCATATTCTACAAAAGATTTACTCTCTCTAAGAAAAGAGCATAAAGAAAGCAATAAGAGTATTTTGAGACTGGACTCTCCAAGTAAACGGTGGCATTTCTACATCCTCATTGTAATGCAGGAGGAGGAGGGGAGAAGGTGTTAATGTGCATGATCGAAAAATTGTAAAAAAAATAAAAACACAATATCGTTGTATATTCGGCAGAGGAAGTTGATGATTAATAAATTATAGATAAAGCTAACACAAGATTCAGCACACATATAAATAATCAAGATCTTAAATTTATTCCTATTCTAAATAGATAGCTGCTTGAGCCTAAGAAGAGGTTCACTTTGTTATTGTAGATTTTTGGGCAAATGAGATATGCTTTGAAATGCATTAATAGTTTCTAACCAGATATATTTTTGGATTCGACAGGATTGCCATTTACATTTTTTATTGTTAAACTCCTATTACCTAATGTAAGAGTGATCGCCTATGTTCATTATCCATTTATCAGTACAGATATGATATCCTAGGTGGAGAAGAAAGAAGCAAGATACAATAATGATGATGAAATAACAAAATCAGAAGGGAAAACAAAGTTAAAGTTATGGTATTATAAATTTCTATTCTTCTTTTACTCCCTGTGTGGGAAGATGGTGGAATTTGCTTATGTGAATTCAACTTGGACATATAACCATATGAAATAGACGTGGAAATCCACTTAATTAATCAAATTATTCCCACCATGTTAAGTAGATGCATTTATGAAGAGAAAACAGTTTACAAACTAATTCATTATTATTTCATTTGCTTAGTTCAGACCAGAGAAACAACATCTATTGTAGATTGAAATCATAGAAGCCTTAGTTGACAGATTACCTTCTGAAATTTCACAATCGATAAAATTATATATGATTGGATCCTGCAGGAATGCAGATGATGATCTATTATTTTAAACAATTTAGGATACGATAAACAGAAAGAATCTTCAAGTATTAATATCTTAAATTATATGTAGGATTATATTAGTATGCATAAGAATTTGCCATTTCAAGAGATTCAAAAGTTTCTGACTTCTGGAATGATAGGTTTACACACTATGGAATATGAGCATTTTGGAATTACTTTAGTGGAAATGCTAGCTGCTGGGCTCATTGTGGTAGCCCATAATTCAGCTGGACCTAAATTAGACATATTGGCTAATGATGTTGGATTTTTGTGTGAAAATCTTGAAGATTATGTGTTATCCATCGTGAGAATTATGCAATTAACAGAGTAATATAAATTAATAGTATTTACTAGTGAAGATAGAAGCAGATATCAATTGATGGGGAGAAAATAAGCAGTTAATTTTAGCGACGAGTCATTTAAGGATTTATTTAATATTTGATTATTATAATATTTTCAATAAAAAACTAATATGATGATTGCTGAGGATTTTGATAGTGAAGTTTATGATACTTCACTTGATAAGTTTAAAACTTATGAGGAATACTTAGATTCTCACATCACAAAGGAAGATCTATTCTATTTAGAGGATATTGAATTAGCCAGATAATTGAAAGAATAGGGATATCATGCAAAGACAGAAATTTTAAGTCGTGAGCAATTTGAGGCCAAAAAAAAGGCAGTCGAAGAAGCCAGACTTAACTAAAATAAAGACAAAACTAAGGCACTTGCACACACAGAAGTTAGTGATCCATCCATAATTGAAAAATCTCCATTTTTGAGAGCATTAGCTGAAAGGTATTATTTATTGTTAATTTATAGAGAGTTAAAGGTCTTGAATGGAAAATTGCTGACAATTATTTTTATAAGATTAGAATCTGCTAATTGTGAGGTAAGCGGTTACATTGATTATGCACATCGTTTGAAAACTGAAGATTTTAAAATATATTTTGAAGGGAAAAAAAAATTACAACCTAGACCAACAGATCTATCATATTACAACTGGAGAACTGGATAGTGCGTTTCAAATGATTCTCCCAATTTTAAAGTGGATGCGAATTCTGGTCAACAAGGATTACTTTTTAGAAACAAAAGAGATAGAAAAGTATGAGTAATTAATTTATTTAAAGGTTATTAATGTTGATCCAAACAAAAAACCAGAAGATGGAATGACTAGAACTGAAATAGAATCTCCAGAAGCAATCCAAATTGTCTTGTATGACTATTACACAAGAAAGAAATGAAAGCTTTATTATTTATTTTTATATTATTAATATTGTTTAGTATCGACAAGTTGTTAATTTAGTTAAATCTGTGAGGCATTTAATTAGAAACAAATCTTATACACATTTCAAGTAAGAAAATTAATTGGGATATTTTGGGTTTTTCTTATAAGATTTAAAAATCAAATGAAAATTCAGATTTTCAAATTACTTTTCGGCCTTTGAACATCTTTGTTTAAAATGAAATAATCTAAAGTTGGACCACTTTTAATTTAAATCCTCTTTCCCTATTTTATTTTTCTTATCATATTAAAAAGAGTTAGCTCTAGAAAAAATGAATTCAGAATTGGGATCCATTACAGAACGTGCTCCATTAAAAACATAGCCAACTCTTCCAAAATAATCACTGAGACCAGCATTCTTAAAGACAGTTAATTTGAAAACAATACAAACTAATAGAATGAACTCATTTCCAAATAAAATCTGGAGAGATCGAGCACTCTTGGTACTCATGCAAGTGCTTCGCTTTATATCACTTATTACACGTAGTCCCTTTGCTTCGAAATTCTCTTTATTGGATAGGAATATGTTTAGAATAATTGGAGATAAAGCAGCTGATTTCAATTATTACCTGCTTAATGATTACTTTAAATATATGGTAATATATCATCCGTATTAAGAAACCTCAATAATCATCCCGTGTGAAATATTTCTTGTTACAACATCTGTATAAGATTTGTTACATGAAAGGATTCATGGATTATTTGACTACTTTAAGGTTCACATTCGAACCAGAATCAATTTTTCTACTGTTGTGGAACATTCTTATGCTGGTAAATATCAATTTAAATGTACTGTATATAACAGTCAAATTTTCTTTTGATTTTGAAAACTACCCACCAGAAGATTATGAGTTTTGCGAAATTTATCTATTTAGAATCCCCTATTTTTTGTTTTTAATCGATATAATAATTAAACTTAACACATGCTATTATGAAGCGGGCTATTTAGTGAGAGATAGGAATAAGATTTGGTACAACTTTTACAAGAACAGTATTTTTCAACTTTAAAATTTTTAGACTTTATTATAAATTTATTTATTTTAGTACCAACCTCAATTTACTTTCTAGCCTTCCAAAATTCCGCTCTTTATTTATTTATGTTATTGAAGGCTTTGTAAATACCAAGCATTACAGAATCAATAATCGACAGAGTGGAGTTAACAACTAATTATTGGATCATTTATGATTTGATACGTCTAATTTATGTAATACTCTATGAGTCTCACATATGTTGTTGTGGATTATTTTATGTAGGACTTTTGAATAAGGAAGCTTCTTGGTTATTATCGAATGGCCTAGTCGATGAAACTTGGATAATTAAATACGTAAATAAACAAATTATGTTAGCTCAGTACATTTTATTGGAGCATAATAACAATGACAACTATTGGTTATGGTGATATCGCCCCTTAGAATATTTTAGAGAAGACATTTCTAATATTTGTTGCAATTTTTTCTTGTTGCACATTTGGTTATTCAATAAATTGTATTGGCTAATCGATTGGATAATTATAATCAAAGAATCATTAAATCAGAGTTGATATGAATGATCTTAAACAGTATCTAAGAATTAGAGGATATAATAGTAAATTGCAAATAAAGATTTTAAGATTTTTTGAATACTTGTGGAAAGATTAAAGAAATGAAAATTAATTGGATGTCAACAAATTCAATCAACAATTGCCATCTCATTTACATAATGTAAGATAAATAATATTATAGGAAATGATGATAGATCTAAATATGAAAAGTATATCCAAGATTCCTTTTTTTAAAGAGAATTTTAATGAAGATTTCATCTCTGCCTTAGCATCTAAATTTATTGAGGAGAAGCTGGTCCCATTCAATACAATATTTTCCAAAAATGATCCTAGCAATTTTTTATACATTTTATGCGATGGTGAAATTGAATACTTTGTAGAAATTCCAGAAGGATCTGCTACTATGCTAAGTATTCAGACAATATCTGGATAAGATGAAATATTTGGATAGCAAGAGTTCCTCTTAGATTAAAATTATGAAATCAGTTGTAGATCAATTACCTCATCAAGAATTTTGAAAATATCAAAAGCTGATTTCAATTCAATAGCCAAAAAGTTTGGATATGTATATGACTTTCTTAAATTTAGGAAAAATATTGCTAATTGAAAGATTTAGTTAAATTCTCTGGTCGTTTCGATGAGTTTCATTTGCATTGTGTTGGTTGCAATAAGTCAACACATATGTTATACTAATGTCCAATGCTAACAGGCTTCCCGAATAAAACCAAAATAATTATTCAGTATCGCAAAAACCAAGTGCAAGAAAGGAAGTACGTCAAGAGGAATAATCTAAAAAGAAGATTGTCATCTCTCATTTTTGAGGCACAAATATCTGATACCGTACTCTACTATCTATTAAAAGACCCTAAACTATCCTAATAAATCAGTTCGTAATATTAAATTTAAACCCTAAAGTAGTAGTAATTATAAAAAGAGTTTTAAAATCTTAATAATGATAACCATACCTAAAAGTAAATAAAGGATGAAGTAAGATCAACAATGAGAAAGCAATCGGTCTTGAAAATTAAAGGGAGAAAGCAGTCCTAATATATTAAAAGGCTACCCGATTTTCTGAATTGCTAGTACATCAATTTTAAATCAATGCCTGAAGATAAAATTAAAACAGGAGTTGACAACATATCTAAAAATATTTCTGCAGAATATTCGGAGGCTCACAGTTCTGAGATTTATCATATGAAATTGAAAAATCAGGAGGAAATCAACATTCTTGAGTAACGTAAAATTTCTGCTGATTTAGCAAAGTCTTTGTCTTTCAAACTAATAAACCACACATCGTTGGATTAAGATTTAAGAAAAGCTGACGCGGATAGTATTAAGGAGAATTCTTCTCTTTCTCAAGCAAGTAGCAAATCCCCTACAAAATAGTCAAAGGCTGCTAGTCCTGGGATTGACTAAATTACATAATGCTAAATGGGTACATACAAAGAAATTTTTGAGAAGTTCGATAAATTCCAGGATTATTAAAATTACATGACACATATGAATTCTTCCAAGATTCTTGAACAACTCAATCAATTCAAAGAGACACAGAACTTTACTGACTTTATGAATGTGAACTTTGTTAGGAAGCGTAGATCGAAGAGGAATAAGTTGATTATCAAACTTGATTATTGAAATTTTTATTAAATTATTAATGTATAGATTTAAACTGTGTCTAAGTTATTCGCGTTTAGATTAATCGCTTTCAGCTTTTTTGAAAAAGTATAAGACGAATAAAAAGAATGTGATATAAGTAGACAATAAATTATTGGAAGTTGACAAAAGCTAATTAAATTAAGCTAAGCCAATACAACCATAATTAACAATCCCTTAAGATGATCAATTAAAATAGAAATATCTCTTATAAAGAGCTAGAGTAATTGATCTCAATGAGAAGGACAATTTCAGTCATTTTAATAGAGCATAATAATTGGCATTAGATAAATAAGTAAAGTAAGTAGGAGAGGATTATAAAGTGGAAGCAGAAGTACTGAAATTGCAAAACAAAGGAGAATTGCGTAATGATTCTTATAATTATTAAAAGTGATTGATGACACAAAACTTCCAAAATAATTCTTGGCAACTTTGGATAGGTAAAGAAGGAAGGGTAAGAGAATGCTAAGGAGATTCTTTATCGATGGTGAACATCGTTATGTGAAGGAAAACATCTATAAATTTAGAAGTGTGGCTGAATGGAAGAAATACATGAGATTTAAGAAGCCAATGTTGATTGATCTAAAAATGGAATAATTTAAGAGATATCCAGGTACAGACAAAGGCAAATTTCCTATGTAAGACAAACCTGGATTTACAAGTAAAATTTGATCTCAATTTATAGAGTGGTTTAGAGAAAATCATACTCAGAAAACAGTGGATGCAATTGAATATTTAGTCAGAAAGGGATATGGTAAACAACCTGAAATAATGATGAAGAAGAAGAAGGGTTATAGATCGAGGACAAAAAAAGCATTAGCAAAACTTGACTTGAAAAAAAGATTATAGAGATTAAAGCAAGAAATACATGAGGAGTCAAATTGGGAGACTGTGGCTCCAGGACCAGCACTTTTCGTTAAGGAAACTATGATGGAACAATTATTAAAGAGGAATCCTATTAAAGATTTGGGATTAAATACTAATATTAAAATTCAAACTCACATACCTGAAGGAGAAGTTCAACCATTGCCAGAGAAGTACCCATTAGAGAAAACTGAATTGATTTATTATTTGGAAAGATGGTCATTCTTCAGATCATTTGGAGCATATTAATTATTGAAGGATATTATAACTGGTAAGCACGAACCTACTCCACAGGAACCTGTTAAATCTGGATCCTTGAATACATATTACTAGACATTACCTAAACATATTAGAGACAATCCCAATGTTAAGAATGTGTACAGAGGGTTGGAATTCGCAAATAATTAGATGACTTTGGCTGAAAAAGAAAACTCTTTGAATTATGCTGCCAGATTATCTTGCTAATTTGATGAAATGAATCAAGAAGTTTATGATTTAGGATCAGCTGGATACAGACCTATGATTTCAAGATTCGATGAAGAAAGATTGATGTAAGATCAAGAAAATGAACATGTCGATACTGCTATTGTAATTTAAATTTTTTTAATCATTTACTTAGAATCCAGATGTAGTCTTCAAGTATTTAGAACAGAGAGCACACACTCCAAGACATGTTGCTAAGGATGATGTTCCTCTTCCTGATTGGGCTGTGGATAAATCGGAGAGAGTGGATGATATTCCTGTTGATTACTACATCAATGATGATGGGTTCTGGGACGATTACATTAAGGCTAAAGAAGAGAAACACCTAAAAGATAGTCCAATATCTGGAGGAAAGAAATATTTTAGACATATTTGAGAGAGTATTTTTATAATAAAATTAACATCATCTTATGTTTCTGTGGCCTGAAGGTTATAATCGTCAACCCTAAAATCCATTAAAGTAACTGATTGAGAAGACCCAAGGAGATATATTGTTACTGTTGGAGGAGGATTTATTTGTAAAATAAGCTAAGTTGGGAGATTCATTAGCTGTGGAGACTCTGGTAAAAGGCACAGTTGGCTTGCTAGAAGTTATGTTCATGGATTATCAGTATGTTTTAAGTGAACATTTTGAGTAGCTAACTAACCAGTATGCCATAATGTGGGAATTGATTGAGCTTAAACTGGAAAAGGTTAATGCTCAAATTCTGGTAATTTTACTCTTTTAAACTTAGACTCATTGGGAATAAGTGTTCCAATTGTTAAATAATGAATTAACAGTTGAAATACAATGGTACTATGCGCTACGGATAATCTCATTCATTAGTTAGGAAAACTCTACTCTTTTAGATAAACAATAAGACAAGTTGATCTAATTGTACAATCATCTTGAGTACCCCTATGTAGCGCAACTCATTATTGAGATGATGGTCAGTCTCAAAAACAAATACTAAGAATCGTTTCTCTGTAAAGGGATCTAGGAATTCGATTAATTAACGGAATTACAAGCGATAAACTTCACGCAAATCATACATGAAATCTTTACTAAAATAAAAAAATAGGACTTGATAGAATTCATAATAACCAGTTAAATTTTAACTAAAATGTTTGAGGTTATTTAATTAACTAATAAAATGTAAGATTTGTTTACTATACTTTATTAGAGTCGCCAAAAATGCTGCTCACATAATTTCTATTATATCGAACCATTACTCCACTGAATTGCAAAATTTAGATTTAGAGGAAGAGGAGTCGGAATAAATTACTTCTTAGTTTCATTCTACTTTATTTTACTAAGTTATCAAATAAAATTTGCACATTATCAATAATTTAATCAAAGATCACTGTGATCACAATTAAAAAATTACTCAATTAATTATCAAATTAATCGAAGTAAATTTTAAAAGTTATTCATTAGATTGTTGATAATTTAGTTAGAATTACTGATATCTCTTTATGGGAATCTATGCATTAAGCTCAAATCTTTATTTCAATCATAAGATTATGCAATGTCTATCCAAAATCAGACATTCTCTCCTCTTAAGTTGAAAGAATAGTGTTTTATATTTTTGAAAGAGCCTTGAATGATTATCATCCTTTTTGGGCATTTTAATTCATTAAGGTTTACAAAATTTAAAACAATACTAATTCTATGTTTAATAGATAGGTATTTGCATTTGAAAAGGAACTGGATGCAAAAATCAAGAAAGAATTGGATTATATTACATATGATACTTAGATTTTAGAAATTAATTCAGAGTTGCAGCAATCTAAAATTTGGGGCAGAACTAAATGGGAATTGAAGGTCTAACAATGTGAAAATCAAAAGAAATTGGGTTCTTAAATGCAAATCAATGCAGAAGAGACAAAATTGATTGAAATCAATAACATTAACATAGAAAATGTAATTTTGGACACTGCAGAAGTAAAGAAAGGATAAGATGAGAAGAAAGTGGAAGTTTAATAAATGGAAGTAGCATAAAACAATCAGATATAGTAAAATTAAGAGGAGCAAAAACAGAATATGAATGAAATTGACGAATAAAAGGAAGATACCAAAGAAGTCGATTTAGCTATTCTTAGTGAATCAGATTCGTCATCATCTTCTAATGATTCCAATGAAGAGAACTAATTGAAGAATGATCTTTAAATTAAAAATGAAACTCCTATTTTAATTGTTTCGACAAATGTCGAATATAAGAATCGAAAAAATAGATTAAACTTAGAATAAATAGAGAAGCTTAGGAAGAAGTCGATTTAGTTTGAAAAGATTTCATAGCAAATGACTTAGGCTGGGAGAAGACTTTCATTGCAGGCAGGTCTTAATATAAAGGAACTTAGTCCAACTTATTTAGAATTTAAACTTGATTTAGAGAACAAGGTGCTTCGTAACATAAATGACAATTCAATATTAAAAGTAGATGAAATCGATTCAAGTATCAATCAATGAATAGTTTTGTATCAAAATTATCGTCAATTATATTCCATCCTCCCATACCCCATTCGTTTTTATTAAAATTCGATTAGAATTGTTTCGGTTTTGGTTTTTTGTCATTACAAATTTAAGTTTTAAATAGGTTTGTTGGAGTTGTTTTTTAAGTCGCTGGACTTTTACATATAGCAGGTGCTGTCTCTATTCTTATGTATTCTTCAGGGGAATTTCGTATTTGTTTTAATCCTGATTTTAAAGGAAAGTTCTTGAATGCAGGACATTTGCTGTGAATACGATCAGTTTAAAATGAAAGGACTGGTTAAGCAGGCAAGGTCTTGAGAGTATAAATGGGAAGTGTGGTTTCTCTCTCTTTAAAGAGTTTCTTGGTCTAAAACAAGGATTTAATGAGAAGAGGATTTTTTATTTGAATAGGTGATCTAATACCATATTTGGATGATTGAAAATGAAAATACTGAGGAGATCTTTTGAGTAGGATATCATTTTGTGCTTTTCTAGTTTGATTTAGGTATTATCCAATTGTTTCTGCATTTTAATGGTAATCAATTATCAAGTCCTTATCCATTTTATATAATATTAATGTTTATTTTAATCCTTTTTGGTTATAAACAATATAAGGTTTTTACCATAGATGTGTTGGGCAGTACACTATTAGATTGTATATGGACTCAAGCCATTAAGGAAATAACTAAAGTAAATTTGATCTAGGATTTTGAAAATAGCTACTTACAACCAAAGAAGAACAACATCAGAAAGATTAAAAAACTGCTTAATAAAAGATAACATCAAATGAGAAAAGAATCACTGCAATCAATTAACACTTACAGGAAGAAGGTTTATTGGAGGCACCGACTGGAAAAAAAGTTACAATAAGCATAATTATATTTAGGATGATAAAAAAGGAGCTAAGCCACCTCCTCAAAAGAAAGGCAAAGACGCTCCTCCAAGCAATCCTTTGGAAGCAGAAAAACTGGAATTGCAAAAAGATACTGAGAAATAATCAGAGTATGTCACCAAGTACACTGATAAATTGAACAAGATTAAGGTGGTATTGGATAAATTCAAAGATCTAAATGAGAAATATCATAACGATTAATTAGTGATTGAATTGTGTGATAAAACTGGGGAACGTAAATTTGTGAAGACCAAATTAGACGGAATTGCAAATACATTTTTAAGTGATAAAGGCACTTACATTCTGGCTTATTTGTAAGCTCCTGCTACACGTATTACTAATGTATAGAGAAATAGCTGATGAGGAAGAGTAGTTAATGGCATTAGAATTTGAGGGTTATTTGGCAAGAACTGTTGATGAGGATATTGGAGCAGTTGAAGAACCACTATTATAATTATAACCAAAAAAGGACGATAAGAAGAAGAAAGGAAAGAAATGATTTATTTACAATTTCATTTGATTATCAAAATCCAAGCCTTTTAAAAATCGATTTACCTTCTGGTTTTGCTTTGCTCTGAGTTTAGATTTCAATTTTCTATTATGTATTCTCTTCCTTTATAAATAATTTCAATGCCTCATTGTACTTTGATATACATCTCCTTAAGCACAACTCTTCTGGAGCATCAAGTTGTAGATTGAGACTCAAGTTTGTGCAATGCTTTAAACAAGTTGTTTGCATCAATTAATTTTACATTTATATTAAATAAAAAAATATGTCTGAAATTATCTAAAACTGAATTATAAAATAATCTCTATCTATCTATTAAAAACCCAAAACTTCTAATTTCAAGTATGTCATAAAAAACAAAACCATTAAAGTTATCAAAATTACATGATTCATTATCAAAATTATCTTAAGCAATTCTTTACTTATTCCTTAATTTGCTTTAGAATGACAACATATAATTTTAGATCATAGTTACAAGAAGAATTTTAAATATGATAAAAAACATACAAGAATTTAAAGGCTAATCAACACTTTAATAGAATATTCATTCTGAAAATCTGTTTCATTAATGATAATAATGTTTGGTTTGATTTTTATAAATAAATATGACTATAATACATATTTCAAAGTAGTTCAAATTATTTCAATAATGACTATTCATCAAAATTTAAAGATAGATTTCCCAGCATAGTCAAAGTCGGTTTATTTGCATCATCTCTTAATTCTCTGAATGGATCATCCTTTTAAGAAATTGTTCCTTTATTTGATTTTGGATGAATTAAGTTTGACTAAGCATTGGATATTTTTGATCCTTACAATTAAGATTTTACAATTTAACTTTAAAAAATAGATTGCTATGGTTATTATTAGTTAACTTGTTTTTATTTTTTTTATTCTTCTTAAATTATTTCTTATGGATCTCCAAAATGCCCCAGCAACATAAATAAGGCTTTTGATTCCGTTTTCAAATTCTATTCATTATTAATTATTCAATATACCTATTAGATTTCCAAATAGAAATGAGCAATTACTGGTTTTATCTATTCATTTAATTCGAAGGATCTAAGATTAATAATAAATTTAATTAAAGAAATAATCTGAGATCTAAATTATTATCTTTTGATATTTTCATCTGGACTCCTATTCAAAATGGATTTCGGATTACTTTTAATATGTTCCTAATAGTTCCCATAATATTCAGATATTGCAATTTTTACAAGGTTAAAGGTAAATTCTTGTACTGAATTTGACTTAATAAATCTAGTTAATAGTAATTAGATCTATTGAAATGCCAATTAATAAAACATGATAGAACTTAAATATAATTTACTTAGCATATCCAACATTAAAATAGCCATGTTAACATCGATTTTAGGATGAGTGCAAACAGATTTTAACAATTGAAAGTCAACAATATTAATTTAGACTTCGTTTTATTCAATTTAAAGTTATTTCACCATAGGAATGATTAAAATATCTATAGGTATAGTTGAGTATTTTCTAATTAGCATTAAGAAGTTAGCAACCAAAAACTCTCTTACTTCTTTTTAATCAAAGTTTTCAATAAGAGAAAACACTAATTTCTTATACAACAAAGCTGCATATTTGTCCTTTTAGAGAGCCAAATTGTCCAGAATTCTAAATAAACTTTGATAAGTAAATATTCTCATCGCAAAACTAGATTCACGAGTAGCCTTTCTTGAGTTCAACAAATATTGCTCCATTTGTTTAAGAACAAATGATTAAGGATAAAATATCCAATAATGCTCAAAATATTTGAGAGCTGTCATTCTTTCCATTGCAGTATGCTAAGGTTCAAATAATTTGACGGCATGGGAAGCAAATAACTCAAAAAGGTTAAGCTCTTACATTTGATCTCTTATTTGAATTGTTTAGATGATCCCATTTATGAAATCAATGTACTCTTTTCCAGATTTCAATATTTTTCTTAATTGAACATCGAAAAAATCGACAACATTATATTAAGAGACGACACTGTATATTTTACAGACTTATTCTAAATATTAGTGATGTCGTTGTTATGATAATATCAATACGATTAAACCTCCATGTTCTCTGACTAACCAAGCATATACGTCTTCCAGTAATTCTTTTTATGGCAAATTTATCAAAATTCCTTCGATTATATATAATGTCCAATAACACACTTCATTGTTTTGTGAAACCAACCCAGCTTTAAGTAGAGACAACAATATATCTATTTTGTAAGTTACAAATTTAATAATGTGATTTATGTATTTAGACAATTCCATCAACCAATTAATCACACTCTTGAAACTTTTGTTGCCCTTAATTAGGATGTTTGATAATTATTTATAATTTTAATTTAGTAAGACTACTGCTTATTTGGGTTTTAATGTGAAATGCTTGCAAAGGGAAACTATGATGAATTCTAAAAGGGATTATGTTTGATTAAGAGGCTTCTCAGGATCAATTTCATCGATGCTTATTTCTTAAGGCTCATTTTATTGTGAATCAAATCTAGTTGTTGTACTTACTTGCTCTTCTACGTAAAATGCCATTTCATAATGTTATTTTATTTCTTTCAAAAACTGCATCAACATCTATGTGTCTCCTTTCACAATTGAAACTACATATATGGATATTAAGTACTTTTGATATCATCATCCAATGTGATGTTAATCTATTGTAAACTTCTACATACATTATTCCAATTAAACAATCGTATTGCATTGCTATTACCTTGTTTGACATCAACTTCAATCTTCTAATCAAATTGTTTAAGAATTTGACTAACTATTATTCCATTCAAGAATTGCTCTTCCAAAGCTTAATCAACATGAGCAAATAAATTGTTGATAGGCAATTCTTGTAAAACATTAATTTTTACAAGCCATTGATAAATATCGAGATCAAGTTTCATATTACAATTTAATAATTTTTATAATATTTTTATTTCATTTCCTTATTATTAGATAAGAGGATATGGCTTCTCTCTAAGATTGATCAAATAAAATGAATAAATGCCACACTTAGTCAATTGTAATTTCATAATTGCATTTCATAGAAATTTGATCAATTTGATAAAGCATCTTTAGCCATTTGAGATTTATCAATAAAGTTTTTTGATCTTTCAACAATATCTGTTATTGTAGAGTAGCATTGAAATTCAAATATCTTCTTATGATATCAAATTTACTATATTGATATCTATATTTGCAATATAATCATTTCTTCTCCATAACATTCTCAATTCAATCTACATAAAACCAAGGATAGATTAGCTTCTTAAAATTATACTAAATATTTAAGATTGGAAAAGCATATTAATTTTTTAGGTTTAAAATAAATAAAATCAATTAAATAATTAAAGTAATAGAATTTGTATTCATGGAATGGCTGTAGATATTTTTAGTAATATTTATTTCCTTACTACTATACATCTTATACTAGTTATGGAAGAAATGTTATGGGCAGGAAAATCATTACCATAATGAGTTTAATTAAATCTTAGATAACAGGGATTTAGGAACCTCTAATTAAGAGGGTATTGAGATTGGATAGATGAGCAATCAAAGATCTAATTTTTAAAACCAAGGCTTTGTTAAAGAAGAAAGTCAATTTAATAGCCAAAGTCAGATTAGTAATAGGAATTCTAATCTACAAAAATCCCCCTTTAATTCCAAAATTCATCCAACATAAAATGTCACAACTTATGCTCATTTTAAAGCTGATGAGAAGAGAACTCTGAAAGTTTAAAAAATTGTTAATTTTATATACGCTTAAAGCTAGGGAAAAAGATAGGTAGAAGAAAAGTATTAATATTTTTTGGGTGAGTATCATTAACAATAAGAATTATGGAAAGAGTATTATATAATAAAACTTGTTTAAAAATAAAAAATGAAAGAATTATGTTCTGCTTATCGAACTGTAAGAGGAGATGGAAATTGCTTTTACACTGCATTTGGGTTTCAATTTTTAGATATTCTTTTATTTAAATATACAAATGATTAATTCTATCAGTTTCTTAATTCAAATCAAGTCAATTTTTAGATTATTTTAAATAATAAAGATGTTATAGATGAGAGTGATAAATAGGAATTGAGAGATGAATTTTTCTATAGACTGGAGAGGCTTAAATTGATAGAAGATATAGAATTAAGAAAATAAACTTTATTTGAAGAATTCAAAGCATATTAGAAAGAAAATGAGAAAATTGATGGATGCTTTTATGGATTATCTACTATTTTTTTTAGGAACTTAGCATTAAAGGCTGTGGATTTGGATGGAAATTTAAATGGTACTTTAAATAAGTAAAATTTGTTGCTATGGGAAACTGAATGCAATGAAAATGAATTGGTGATCTCCTCTTTAGCAAAATATTTAAAACTGTAATTTTAATTAAAATTTTTTTAGATACATTTAACTAATATTTTTCTAATAAGATTCCGATTTTATGTTGATGCAATATGGCAATTAAAGTGATAATAAAGTAATCTTGCTCATACGACCGGGACATTATAATATAGGATATAAAAACACATGAGATGAGTTATGGATTTTTTGAAAATCCCTATGTAATGAATTTTTTCTTATAAATACTATTCTTAATGTTTAATTAATGAAAGAGTTGATAAGATTAATGCAAATTTTGATGAATTATTCAAAATAAGTATTAATTTGATACACTCTTATTATACATAAAGTGAATATCATTCAAAATATTTGAAGTCTTCAGTATCTACATCCTCGTGATTCTCTTATGCTATCTCAACTTATTTTTCAATGGGTCTTGATCTGAACATGTTAAGTCTTCCACTTTTTTTTTTGCTTGGTTACATTAATTTCAACTAATTAATTCTATTTCTTGCAGCCTCTTCTTCTCGCTACCTATCAGCATTTTCTTTTCTTTTATCTGCCTTGCCTTTATTATCAATTTCTTATTTCTAATTATGATTCATAATGATTTACATAATGATATACTCTTTCCGGTTTGAAAGTCTTGACTTATTTTAAAAGCTTTTCAATTAACTATTCTATTAATCCTAATATGAATAAAGTTGGTCTAGTTTAAATGTCTTAAACTTGTATCATATCTATTTGAAATTATTAATAAACTTCTATTATTTATTATCCTAAGTCTTTCTGTTCTTTTCCGGATGCTTTAATTATACCTCCTAATTACATATCTTTCAATTCTTGTGTCATTATCTAAAATGAATATGAGTTGTAGATACATCCAATTTCTTTTTTAAGATTTCTTTTTGTTCATGTAATTGTTGAATTTTAATACTTTTTTCTTATTTCAACTTTTGAAATTTAGATTTAACTTCTTCAAGATTTTATTCTGTTTCTTAAGCAGTTTAAATTAAGAATAAGTTTCTCTCCTCCAAGTCATTGAATATAGAAATTAATTATTATGGATGTTTAAAATACATTTCAAATTCATCTTCAAAATCTTCTAATTCTTCCTAACTACAATTTATTAATTCTAATACAATTATATTGTTTGATCAGATTAATTGGATTTCTAGAGTTTGCCCTCAAGAATACTAATTTCTTTGAGTTTATCGAGTAGCAAGCTCTTGAGTTTTGCTTTATTGTCATGCCATTCTTTTGGTGCCAACTTATCTAAGAACTATTTATGATCAATGTAAGCAGTAATCAATTCCTCCATCCTTTGTTTTTCACCTCTAATGCTGGTCATCTTTATATTAAGTTGTTTGATGATAGCCTCCTTAGCTTTTTTATCTTTGATTTCATTTTCTAATTTTAATTCTGCATCTGCTCTTGCCGCTTTGTTTGTATCCAGAAACTACTAAAAATTATCTGCATCTTGCTACAGCATTTTCATGCTCTAAAAGAAGACTTCCTGTTTCTCCTTTTAACCTTCTTTCATTTTTTTGATTTCATTTTCCATTGTGTTATAGGATTGTGAAATCAAAAATAACTATCTTTTGTCCTCGATGATTTTAACATTAGAAACTAAGGTAACGCCTTTTTTGTTCTGCTCTTCTTTTTCCAATTTGCGTTCTTTAATAATATTCAAAGCATCTTTGATCCTTTGCTAATCCTTCTCCTTGAATAGTTTATTATTTTTTGTGTAATTTTCGTCGTAGGGTGTACTTACTTTCTTTAAAATAAATAAGAACCACATACTTCAAATCTGGTCAATTAGGTTCTACTGGTTGCGGTTTCCTTATTCCAAACTTTTGTATTTGACTTGTGAAATGAGAGTTATTTTTTAAACTTACTGTCATTGTACAGAAAGATCTCTTCGTCAGATGGGTATTGGAATGGACTATGACTAGTAGTTCGAACACTGATATCCAATTTTGGTAATAATAATCTTAAACTCATGATAATAATAATTAAAATATCTCATGTTTCATATGTCTTTCTGAAATTTTGGCTAATTTTTTGCAAATATTTAAAATTTTAGGTTCCTCAAATTAGTTCTATTGAATTGTGGATATTAATTGAACCTAGGATATTAGAATAGAATGATACATTAAATCTCAAACACTCAACTTCGTATTGACTTTCCTTCTGAAATGAATCAAAGGATTTAAAAATGAAGTAATACAATTTAATAAGTTATCGTTATTACCTTTTAATTCTGTAAGTCATATAATAGTATTTGATGAATGTAAATGGCAGTGTTATGTCTTCAAAGAGTGTTCTCACTTTGTTTTTTTCATTTAACAACTTGGAAATTTATGAGAAGTTGGTCTAAATTTCTTGGACGTACTATTTTAATTTTTCGTAATAATAGGATTGCATAATATCAGCAATTGTTGGAGGTTGACATCCTTCTAATCTGAAGAGCATTTTTAAGTTGAACACTTTGTCATCATTATTAATGGAATTAACATAATTAATTGAAGCGATCTCTTATTATTGATTGTTCTGTAAACACAATGGGTATATAAAGAGAGGCAATTGATCAGCCTTTCTGGATAGATTGAAAACATAGTATTTCTTATAAGTTATGATCATCCCCTCCGAGAATTACAGGATTAAATCTAAAATGCCAGCCAATAGGATCTTTCTTGTTGTGATTCTTTACTGCTAATAAAAAAAGTCAATCAAAAAAATGAATATGTACACAGGTATCAAAAAGAAGAGGAAATTGATGATCCTTTTACTGATCGTGGTTGGTTTCAATGAAGCCAAAAAAGCATAGAAAAAGAATTGGGTTTATGTATGTAATAGTTTATTGCAGCTGGGAGGTGAGACTGGCAATTATCTTATGAATTTGTATCCATTATACACTACATAACATGTGGTGAAGATGTTGTTGAGTAAACCTCCTCCCCAAAGTTGATTACAGAGAAGGAATTACAGTATCAGAACGATGAAGAAGTAAGCCAAGGCTTTATCGGAGTTTTCTATTGGATTAATGATTATAGAAGTACTTGAAAAATAAAACACATGCAATCCCAACACATGAAATCCATTCACTAGCATTACTAAGCATATAAAGGTTTTGCCTATATAATTTAAATAATATGCGGCAAACCCAACAACCAGAATTAGGAGAGAAGTCGAGAGGATGGTCACAAACATTTATGTGAAAGATTCTCTCCCTTCGAATAATTATGTAAATTCTAATCTGTTGACACGGTTTTAAAAATAAAATTTGACTTAATTGACCAAAGGAGATTCTAATTGCTAAGGAGCCTTATTTGGATTTAAAATTTTGATTGGGTTTTCAGGTTTCGTGAAATCCTGAAATTGCTATTATTCCATAAAGTAATTCGTCATTCTCTCTTTTCTTCTTTATATATCATATGTAAGTCTATTTTAGTTCATTAATTTAATAATTTAATGAGTCTAGACAAATAATCAAGGCAATATGAAGTTATCCTGGAAATTGGTTGTGCATACACAAAAGTAGGATTTTCATTAGATACTCAACCTAAAAAGGTGATTAAATTGAATTTTGAGAAGCCTCTTCAGAAATCAAGATTATCTTATGAATTGACAGTGGAAGAGAAATTGTATCAGATATTTAATGTTGACATGGTTTGTAATTTAAAAGGAAGGTCAGTTGCTTTGATTTATAATTATTATAACAATGAAGAAATGTATAATGTGATAGCATATGTGCTATTTTACAAATTTGAGGTAGCTAAGATAGCATTTTTAATTGGCAACGTACTTCCTCTTTACATGACAGGACATTACTCGGGTTTTGTGATTGATTTGGGATACAATGCTTCAACTGTTAGTGCAGTTTATGATGGATACTCTCTGTTGCATTAAACAGGTTATATAGGTGAAGGAGGAAGGGAGTCAGCCAAAAGGGTTCAGATGTTGTTGCCTGATTATTCATGGGAGTAATTGGAAGATATTGCAGTTAAGCACTCCAAAGTATTGAATGCAGGAGATGTCGATGACAAATAGAAGATTAAATTAAGACATGCGGAGATCTCAGAATTCGAATTGGCAAAATGTTACACTGACACATATTTTGGAAATTATAAGGATGAGGAGTCTAATATAGCCTATGGATTTTTGAAGATTGTTTCTTAGATTAAAGACAGGGATATCATTACGAAGATGGCTTAAAATATTGTCATTACGGGGGGAGCAAGGAAAATACCTAATTTATTGCTGAGATTCAAGAATGAATTGCTGTAATTGTTAGAATCTGAATTCTCATCCATTAGGAATATCAAGTTCTACATTACTAATTTGATAGCTTAGAATTCGAGTTGGGTTGGCGGTGCTCTCATTGTTCAAATTGGTGGTTATGATAGATTTATTGTAACTAACTCTAAATTTAGGGAGAACGGAAATATGTTCTGCACAAGATCAGATGCATATAATTTTATATCTATTAAACCGTGAAATTGTTGTATATTATGTTATTTATCAATTTTTATTTGTTCCTTGGTTTTTAATTAGTTATTTTTGTTAATGACTGACTAGATTACTAACAAAATTCTTGAATCTTATGGGTATTATCATTTCTTATTTCAAGTTATAAAGGGGCATAGCCGCAATTCAAGAGCATTATATATCCTATTGAACAATTAAAACACTCCATTGAGGATCATCAGTTGAAATAAATCTCTCCTGAGTTATAATAAATTCTAGAAAGTGAAAGAGCCAGAGAAATGGTTCAAAAAAGGGGCATTACCCTTGAAAGGACCAAGGAATTCTTTCTGGAGAAAATTAAAGAATATAATGCTATTATTGATTTATAACATCTAAGATCTGGGCAGTCTTACGTAACTCCAAAAAAGGAGAATGTTTTCAAAAGGCATACAGCAGACTAGGGAGAAATCACAAATTATCATTTCGTCTTAAATTGGCAAAATTTGAATTTGGTATTTGATGAAATAGAAAATTCAAACAAAAGAGCGAAATCGTAACTTCAATCAAGAACTCCAGAACAATCTTCCAGTCAAATTAGTAAGCCTTAAATATCTTTCAAAACTCCGAACAAAAAGGGAAGCCTGGTCAGCAGATTGGATAAGAAGTTCAATGATTACGATACGAAAATGTCTTAGTCGATTGCAACCAATTTGCCAGAATCAAGACGGTTTTCTATGTTTGTGGAGACCCCACAATAAGGAAGTAAGAATTGAATAAGAGATTAACTAGTTAATAGAAGAAATAGTCTATATCCGTAAGCTGTTAAAAAATTTGTGAAATTTCATAACTTTATGAGAACTGTAAATGTTCTGAGTAGGTAGTCTGAGGAAAAGAATGAGACTGTAAATAGATAAGTTAAGTTTCATACATATATTTAGGATTTGATAAAAACCTATATCAATGACGCATTCAACAAAGAAAGATAGCCCACCGATGCTTCCCAAAGAGAACGATCAAAGTCTTAACAATAATATAGAAAAAGGAACCAATAGATGTTAGAGCAATTAAACTAATCGAATCAAACCTCTACTGTCTAGAATCAAGAATGTGACATTATGAATAACGATATACCAATTTACGAAGATATTTGTAATAATATATGATAATTAGAGTTTAAAACTGTTGATCAAAATTAGATTAAATAGATGAAGGAACGAAGGAATAGGATAGTCCAGTCAGTGAATTCAAGAATGCAACCGAAATACATACATCTAGGAGGGAGTCGATATCCTGTTAAGAATAACTTTAGAAATTAATAAAACTATCAAACAACAATCAATAACTTATTAGTGAATTAAATCAAAGAAGAGTTTAAGAAATTAAAATCTTTTGATGATGGAATAGATTTGGAGGTTTTGGAAGGTCCTCCTAAAAAGATTGATTATCATTCTTCTAATCTGAATTAAGATTACAATGATGTGAAAGTATCGAAAATTGTATAGAAAATGAAAAGATGACATGATTGTATCTTTATTTTTATACTAATGAAAGTGATATAAACATTTGAATTAATTTTATATTTTTATGAAAAAATCCAAAGGCAGCACATCAGTTGATTGTCTTTATATGGAATCCATGTTAAACAAGTAGATCAGATCAAATATACGTATGATACAAAACAAGATTTTGAGTCCAATGCTCTTGACTCCAAAACCTCAATCATAAAATTAATAGAGAAAAATTGCAAGTAGATTAAATAGTTAGTGTAAGAAGATTTAAAGGATTAGTCACAAATGATTATCCAGTTTCAAGACAACAAGATTTAAATGAGTTAGTTATATTAACCGATGGTTATCCATTCTCATAGAGTTCTTTAGAGCAATAAAAATTGCACTTTAGAGAGTCCTAAGTTTAAAAGGAATTGCATTCACTTGGATAATGGATAGCTTGCTTTGAAACATTCCCATTACTTAAAAAAAGGAGGTTAAACCACCTTGACAACTTAGTAACAATAAGAAACGAAACCATGGCATCCATTCATTCGAATGCGAAGGAAAAATCTGATACAAAACATACTTGAATCAAAATTCACCCAAGAATCATAGCCAATTTAAGGAAGCACTTGTTTTTAACCTATCGCTGATTTAAGCGGATGGCAAACATAGGAAGAACCTTAAATTGAAATTTAATGATTGTAATTAAAATTTATTAATTTGTCTAATTCTGTAAATCATAACCTGTATCGTGAATGCTGCTGAGTTAAGGGTCTAATTAAAAGATTTGGTTGAGATTCAAATTTGCTAGAGATTATTCTTTTTGATTAATTTATTTTTTTGACTTCTTATAGGTAAAGTTATTTATATTCATCTCGTTCTTTGATTAACGTATTCAGATCATTGCTTGATTGCAGAAACTCTAATTCAGTTACTCTTCTCTACAATTCTTTCTCCCTTGCTAAAACTGAGACTAATTCATCGCTTATCACGCTAGCAAATTACCTGACAGTAGGTTCTGGCATTTTTGTAAGATTCATTTTGATATTGGTACTTTCGAGAAGTTATGACATATGTAAAGGTTTCGGAGCCACCCTTTCTTTGATTGCATCTAATTTAGTATTTTTAAGACTTCTTTAATCAAGGTACTTAAAGAGACTTAGGAATCATTTTATAATTTACTTTTTGAATTTGTTTCTAGTAGGAATGTGAGGTTTATCCATAGATGGAATATTAAATGACCTGATTCCAGAACTATAAGCACCATTTTCAATTTTCTCAATAACTCTAAATGTTTTCATAACAACATCGTATAACTCAAATAATTCAACCTTCAAGTCCTTTATTTACATTCTATAACAATAAATTCAGAATGATTACTTCTTTTTTTCTTGATATTTTTTAAATTAGTGAATAAAGTTCTCTATCTCTTCATTTTTCTTTTCTAAGTATTTCTCGTATTAACTTGTACTGTCCTACAAAAATTTGTTATACTCAGCCTTTAAATTATCCATTTGTTATTTATACCTAATTTAGAATAGAATGCATACTCTTTTTCTAATTCAAGTTTTACCATTCTTTTAATGTCTTCATGCTTTTACACCTCCTAAGTCTTTGTTTAAATGTTTTAAGGTAAATTTACAATAACATTCACCTTCTTCTCAATCACTTGCTGATGTTCTTTTAATTATTTTTTCACAGTATCTAATATCTTATCGTTTTTTTCTTATTCAATTTGTTCTAGTTGTTGTTTCCTTTCAGCCTACTGTTCCTTCAACTTTTTGATTTCATCCTTTTATTGTATGTTCTTGCATTATTGTCTCTCCAATTTAATACTTTCTTCCTTTTTCATCAGTTCTTTCTCCTTCTACAGCTTCTCAATCATGTGATCTGCCTCTTTTACATAATTCTAAAGAGTCTCTACTTTCAGCATAGCATCCTTCTGAATTTTGTATTTCTATAATTCTTAAGCACCCATTCTAGAAAAGAGTACCTCTAAATCTACGTCAATTCCTAATAAAGTTTAGATTTCGGATAGTTTCTATCTATGTTCCTTCTAAAGGAAATCTACCTTCGCTTTCAATTCAGTATTTTCATCTTACAATTTCTTAATCAACTTATCCTACCCAGGGAAAGGACCTGGCTAATTCGAATTATCATCAATCTGCTGCGACGCTGTTATTCCTTTGGTCCTTTCTGCATATTGTAAAGCTGACAAACATTCTTCAAAATTATTTTCATTTGGGTTGATATGCACCATTAATGCAACCTAACTTTAACTATTTAGACAATTTTATAAGATTTTCGTCAACTTGGAATCTCGATATGGAATATTTTTAGAATTCATCTGGGATATAGCAGTCAAACATTTCGATAAGGCAGTCAAGCTTTAATTAATCAATATTGCCTCCTAGAACTATCCTTCTTATGTCAAACTTTTGGCTATTCTTTCAGATCCTGCCAAATCAACAAACTATATGAGTGCATTCATAAATGGTAGATTCGAGTTCTCCTTATCCTTTTAAACCAGTTTCAAGGTGATAACTGTGTGACACTTCTATCCAAATGATTTACTTTACTATTCTAGTTTCTCTCTCATTTGAAAACCCATTTATATCATGTCTATCAATTCTTTAGCAGATCTTATTGTTATCTATGAGATATCTTTAATCATTAACTATCCATCTGAGTTTTCGTATATGGTTAGATTTTCATTTTCATAATTCTAAATTTTTTGATTCATATTCCCAGAATCACGTTATTTGTATGCCTTACCTAAGTCCCGCACCTAATCCAAGAATAGTTCAGCCATCGTAGCAGTAATCTCGAATTCTCGGATCTCCTCAAATTCTTACGCCTTAGAAAGAAGATAATCGATGGCTCCTGTTACAATGCCCCTCTTGTCAGGTTTATATTCCTCTCCTTCTTAGCCGAATAATGTGTAGCTCTTCCCACTTCCAGTCTATCCATAACTCAAAATACAAGAATTGTGACCCTCTATCAGTTTCTGTAACATAGGCTCAATCACTCTGAACACATGTTCCTAAGTAGTGCACACTGAAGAGAATGAAACCATTTTGCTTTCTGCATTTTTGTTTGTTGGATCCTTAAATAAAATAGCTCTGTACTCTTATTGAAATGCTCTCATTAGTGAAGTCAACCATCTTCTATTAATAATCAATCGGTCTAACCCTTGCAAATACTTTATAATTTTGATTAGTATTAGAAATTCTGTTTTGCATTTCTTATAATAATTTATTTTAATTAAGCTCAAATATCATATATAAAGATCAAATATAAAGAAGGAGTTTAAATAATCTATCTAATATAACGCAATGCTTAACGTTTAAAATAAAACGTAGTAAAATTAAAAACTCCATTATTTTGTTATCCAATGAAATTGGAAATACAACCTAAAGATTTACAGAATAAGCTTAAATATATATATATTTTTATCAGTGTTCTCAAAAATTATTCCATTTAAAGTCTAATTCTTCTTATTCCCAAGGAGAGTTTACCTTGTATTTTCCATACTGCTTAGTGTGTCTCAATCTGAAAATCATATTTCCGAGGGTCTTTTAAATCTTTATTCATTTGAAGTATTATTTCTTCAAAAATTGAAGAACATTTAGTTATAGAGTTGTTAAAGAAGCTGAGGTTATCTACTAATTTCGCTTAGTGTCAATATATGAAAAGAATTATGGTGATATTTGGATTATTTTATATATAAATAAAATTTTGTATTTAATATCATTATAATTTAAAAAATACTAAGTTTATATATATTTAGTATATGTAATATGTATCAGAACATATTTAAAATAAATATCAAATTAAAATTTTAGTAATGTAATTTCAAAACAAGTAATGAATTTCAGAAGTAATTTGAATTATTTTTTATAAACAATAAACTTATATTTGTACAAATAAAACTTAAGAAGTATAATTTTTATGTCTCTATTAATTTTACTATTTCCTTTGTTTTACAATATATTGTGCTACATTAACTGATTGAAATCTAATTTTAATAAATTTTATAATATAAAAAGCAGAAAAGATGCTATTTAGAAGAGTATTTATATTTTAAACATTTCTGCATCATTCATATATTTATGGTAAAGACAATGAAATTCTTAATTGATGTTATCAGTTCAAAATAATTCATTATAGATGTTTAAGAAGAATAATATTAATACCGTATTTTTTAATTAGTTCAGTTTTATAAACATAAAATAATAGCACCTGAGAGTAAAGATTGTTGGTTAATTATAAAGAAAATATTTCTATAAATATTAAAGTAATGCAGTTTTAATCTGGTTTTAGTTGCATAGTGTGAATAATTTTAATAAAATAATTTTCCAAAATTTTCTACCTGTCAATCTCCAAAGAAAGATGAATTAAAATGATAAAATCAAAGGATCTGAATAAATAAGAATAACTAGCCTTGAGATCTAGGAAGAACCTTAGACTGTTATTTGGAAAGGCTATTCTAATACTGAATTTTAGATATTTGTAGATGAATCATTTGGCAGTTAGATGTCATAATAAAGTTTAATAAAATTTAAGAAGGCCCTAGCAACAAGGATCTTAAAACAGTGATTCTGAGTTATGAATATCATCTTCATTTAAGACAATTTTTCATACAACATAATCTATAGTTTAATAAATGGTCTATGAAAAATTACCAATTATCCTGATGCCAATTGATTGGAATTAATAGTATATGTATGCTCAGTTAATTACAGTATTTAATGGATCAAAAAAAATTTAGCTGGATTCAAAAATTAGAAAATGAGATATTATAAGAAAATAATAATAATATATTAATTTAATTTATTAACTAAAGTCAGAGTTTTAAGATATTCAAATAAATAATTGCCATTACTCTTTACACCCTAATTTCATTTACGGATTGGATAAGATTAGTAACTTGAGATTCAGCATTAGCCAAATGAAACTATTATTACAGCTACTATTATTGATATTTATCAAAGTATATCTTATTAAATTAAATTCCCTCGAACAATTAACTGATTTTTAGGGTTTAATTAAACGACTAACTATTGTTATTGCAGAATATCCATCCAAATTATAACACAATAACTAATAAATTTATCAGAGGTAATAAAATTCATACTTTCTTTATTTATACAACTAAGTCTAGTAAGAGTGAGTAATTTTTGAATCTTAAATTATATTAGTATTTTGTGAGTAAACTTATTTTGCACAGGTTTAACAATTTTAGTTAATGGCAAATCATATAGTGAGTGATTAGAATATTAAAATAGACTAATATTACATCTATTTATAGAGGTATAAAATTCTTGCTACATTTTAATTATGAAAAAATGGGAACTGGAAAGTGGAATAAGTCATAGTATTATGCTGTTTAATTTTATTTCTTTAATGAATTATATACTTATGATTTTGATTTATGTACATAAAATTATTAAGGATAAAAAAATTTCATTAAAGACAATTTATCTTAGGATTGATCATATTGAGTATATTGATTTTTTTAGTCATGAAAACATATATAAGTTAGAATTGATAACATAGATATTTTTGATTAATTTAAATATGCTCATATCTGGAATGCAATTGAGGCATTCGCTGACTCCTCGTTTCTTCGCAGGAGTGTTCAACAAGCGTAAGCCAACCAAGAAGGATTTAGACCATTATGATGTAGTGGTGATCGGTTGCAATTTAGGAGGAGTGTTGAGTAGACAACTTGATAAGGTAGATTTGTAATGTTAATTCGGCATAGGTTTCTCATGGAAAATATAAGATTATGGTTGTTTTGGATTAGAATATCAATCAAATTACTCCAATTAGATAGATCTATGAATAATAGAAGACAGCCAAGACTGATTTCTTGCTCAATGCTAAATTGTCACTCAACATGTACACTGCCCACTCAGATCAAGTTGGGTGTTCAACAATATTGCCTGAAGAGAATGCCATAGTTTTGCGTAATGGTCGTAGAATTGGCTATAATTAATTGGTTGTTGCAATGGGTATAATCCTAAATAATTCCAATAGGTCAGCAAGTCAATTACGATGCAATCAAGGGATTTGAAGAAGCTTGGTAAGACTTCGATTCTCCAGTGTTCACAAACCTTGATCACCCAAGTTGGAGGTCCTCCAATCATAAATACACAAGATGGCATTACAATTTCAATCATGGTGAAGCATATTTCTGTATTCCTCAATTCCCATTCAGTGGTGAGGTTGAATCCTACAACTTTTTCTTGAGTCAAAGAATCTGGGAATGGCAAACAGCTAATGGACGTTAATCTCCAATCAAAAAATTCACTATCATCCAACCAAATGAACGATTTGTTCAATACAATGATGCTGGAGATTCCTTCTTCAAAGAGGAATTAAAACGCAGAAACATCAACGTTGAATACGGACTGAAATTGGTTGAAGTCAACAAACAATACAATACTGCCACTTTCGAAGATGTCAAGACTGGAAACAGACAGACCAGAAACTTCAATCATCTCTATGCAGTTGCTCCAACAAAGGCTCATGAACCTCTTGTCAAGGCTGGATTGACAACATCAAAAGGATTATTGGATGTCAACATCAAAACATTGTAGCATAACAAATACAAGAACATTTTCGGACTTGGTGATGTCAATGATCTTCCAACTACAAATTGTTTCTGGGCTGGATTCCACTAACTTCACGTTGTTAGAAATAACATCGAAAGAAACATAGCTGGAAAATCACTTAATGCTGAATATGATGGATACAGCAAAGTTCCCATCATCTTAGGTTAAAACACACTCACATTCTTATGTCACAAATACAATAATGAAAATGCTTGGCACAACCTCTACTTCTCAAATGGTGGATTCTTGGCTGCTTTGAGGTAATTGTTCCTTGTTATTCAAGATATTATAATTGGTGCAAGAATTTCAAGAAGGCCTTTATAGACATCTATTTGGAAAAGAATTGGGGACCTCCCTATTACAAAATTAAGAAGAGTTTCAAATTGCCTGAAGGTGAGAAGGATGATCATGGATTCTTATCCAAATTGTTACCAGGCAAGAAGGACAGTCATCATTGATATAAATCAATAATATAAAAAATATAATAATGATTAAATTATTTGCTTAGAAGGTGCTCCAATTACAATTTTAACCTCTCTATGAATTTAATAGATTTGCCGACAAATTACAAAAGAAACAACAAGACAATTAGAAATAAGAATTCAAAAAAGAGTTGGAATTTCTCGCTAGCAAAGTATATTCACAATTGCACGTAGCCACAATTTACGCTTATCGATTTTAGACAAAGAGCACTCGATGGGTTGCACAAATTAAAAAAGGGATTCAAGTATTAAATCTCTTCAGGAAATGAGGAGACTGAATAGCAACTGACACTTTAGAAGCAAGTCTTAAATGCCATGTTTGACGAGGAATTGTTGAACCCAGATGATTTGAGTGGAGATGTATGTGTATACTAATGACAAGTAAAAAAAAGAAATAGCTATGGTTGCCTAAGTGGAAGTGCAATAAGTGAATTTCGTGTTGAGTCAATATAGTCAGATAAGGAACATGCATTCATGGGTGAGGAACATGAAGGAAAGAGGAGAACCTATGCCTGATAACCAAGAAGACATGATGTACAGGTACAAGAGGGACAAGCCAATAAAGAAATCTTTCATCAAATTTGAAATGAAGAGACAAAATTTCTCAATGAAACAAAGGTTATAAAAGTTGAAATGGGGTCCTCGTAAGGAAGTGTGATATTTGAAATGTGTGTGGAATTATAAATATTTAAATATTTATGATTATCATTATTATAATTGATCATAATGTGAAAACTAACATGATAAAACTAGCCACCAATAATTGAGCATAAACGATAGTGTCATTTTTGTAGTTCAAGTCAGTGCTTACATTAGTTGTTTATCCATAAGCATACTATAATAATATTAACAAGCATAAATACTCCAGCATAAGGTTAGACTGATTAGAAGCAACGATTCTAGATCATGTGGAATCCATATTTGCAAATAGAGCATCCAGAAGATGAATATGGTTTATCAGTGGAAAGTGTTGAATTCAATTTAACAGCACAATTGGCTTAATTAAGAGGCACACAACCTCCTTATTGGAAGACGTATCCATCAATACAAGTTAAACAAACCTATCCAGGTGATGCACAAGTGGCACAACCGAATTAGCAAGCAACACAAGTAGCTTAGGCAGTCTTAGTACCAGAATATTGGAAGTATCCATCCATGCAAGCTTTGCAAGTCTAAGAATTAAACTTATTCTTACTGTTGAATTGTCGCATGATGCACAATTGGTTTAACATGGTTAACAGGCTGCTCCTGATAAGTAATATCCAGTATTACACTTGGTACAGGTAGTATTTGATGAGCATTCCAAACAACCACCACTTGCAGAACATGTTGCACAGGTGGCTGAACTTGCTGAACTTGCTGCTTATAAGAAATATTTTGATGAGCATCCAGTACATGTAATTGGTGTTGAAGATGATCCACCACATTTATTACATTGTGCAGAGAGTTGTGTTTTAGCTCCAGCCTATGGAGGACAAGATAAACAAGTTCCTCCTTCATAAGCACCGTAATTCTTAACACATGTGGCACAAACATTGTTTGTATTAGTTGATGTGTTAGTCAAGGTCAAGCATGCTTATATTTGTACAGCTGCTATGCATGTTGGAGTAGTAACACCGTTTGTAGTAATATTGACTAAGAAGTATCCATCGACACATTAAGTGACTTAAACTGTTGTATATGATGGGGTATCTTATGGACCTCCACATCTCAACCATCCAGTTGATTAAGGATATGAAGTACAAGCTGAGCAAGTGACGATGTTGCTTTAATCCTTGATAGCATAGTAGAACTCTTAGCATTTTGTGCATGAAACAGTTGTACTATTTATTGTGCATGAAGCGCATCCTGTACCACATGGAGTGCAAGTCTTTGGAGTTTAGGAGTTCAACACATATGTGCTTATGCATGATGTGCAATTCAAATTATTATCCATTTGAGTGCAGCCCTCAGATAATTTTTAACAGGTTGCATTTACTAAAGCATATCCAGCTATACATGCTAAACATGTTGTTGAATTTTAACATTTTATACAAGTGAGACTTGGTTAACATGAGGCACAAGTCTATAATTATATATATTACTAATTTTTACTGTTATTCCATTACTTGTACTAATGTAGTAGCCATCTGCACATGTAGTACAATTTGAGCTATTTGTGCAACTGATACAATAATCTAAGCATTTCTAACAAGTTCCAGATCCATCTGTTGTTGATCCTGTTGTCAATCCACTGAATGACCAAAAATACCCACCGATACATTGTGTGCAAGTGTTTCTATATAATGATATTAATATAATACGCTGAAGGACAATTCGAACATCCTGCTATGCCACATGGGTTGCAAAAAGCATCGAAGTAATTGTAGTATTAGTCAGATGAGCTTGATACTGAGGGAATATAATCCCAATTTAAATAATATCCAGAAGAACATTGAGTACATACATATCGAGTACTACTATAGACTGAACAGGCTTAATTCTGAACGCATACTCCAGCAATCAAACTGAAACCTGAGTCACATTTACCACACACATAGGCGTTGGCTTCTGTGTTTAATGAGTAGCTCAAACATCCATTTGGCATATTCACACATATTCTAAATTTATATTAAAATTCTCTACCCATTTAGCTATGTCCATCCTGGACTACAAGTTAAAGACCCAGTTTAGTAATAATCTGTACACTGATAAAATCCTCCCTCTATTGGTTGACAAGGTTAGCATGATTGCCCAGCCCAATAGTAACCTTTTATTTAATATAGAATAATACCATTCATGCATTAGTATGGTTGACGTGTTGATTAACCAACTTTCATAGCACCTGTAGCTAAACAGCTTAAATAGGTGCAATCCAGAGGTGGTGATTATTGTCCCAAAACACCTATCAGCAGAATTGAGGCGATGAGTACTTTATTCATAATTATTAAAAAATTTATTAATCAAGATATATTTTATCTATTCCCTTAAAACTACAATAATTCCATCCCCCTCTTCTTGTAAATCTAAATTATTTCATACTACAAATCCACATTTCCCACTTTTCAGCCAAAATGCCTCTCTTCTTCACGCCTGCATCCCATCAGGACCTTAAATTCGATCCCATGAGTTTTATGTGAATAGCAAATACTTAAGAATATTTTTGTTGGTTGAATACTTCTAAAATCTTACCTTCATTTATCTCACCATCAGAATTTTGATTAACTGCCTCCTCTCAAAGATAACTAATTATTCTCAAAATGTTCCTCCATTTAGAACCCCTTTGAAGCATTTTCTGTATTTACATAGAATGGAAATCTCAAAATGAATCAAAGTATAAATTTTATTAATCACTTGATTTTTTCTTGGAGTTCAAACACAGTGCTGTTATTAGAATTTGTTCTTTAGAATTGGAAACATTACCATAGAACAAATATACTGGATAAAACAGAGAAAAGGAAATCAATATTTTTGTATCAATGAAGAATTTAAAATAAATCTGATTTTTCTTTAGTATTGAATAATTTGTAGTATAATTAATGCTCCTCTTTCAAAGGCCTAGTGTTTTAGTGTAACATATATTATAAATACACTCGATTCCCAATGATACCTAATATTTATTAAATTGTCTTTGACAACTTGACTTTTTGTTGGCTTTGATAAATGATATAGACAAATTATACTGATTTCTTTAGTCCCCAAAATCTAAAGTAACTCTTTATTTAAGTAAAATATTTATTGAATCTATAAAATCTTATCTTGTAATGAAGGAAGAATAGATAACTAGAGTAGTGAATAGAAAATAAATGATATTTTCTATTTGCAATATACCAGTTATAAATTTTCACTTTTAAAATCTCACTTATATGAAATGAGAAAATAAATTAAGACATAATTTACAGAAGTCAATAAGATATATTTATGAAAACTAATAAAATATGAAATCAACCTCAAATTTTGAAATATTAATTCGATTGATCCACTTCTTAAATTATGATTATACTTATTATTTACTGTTAACTCAGATTTTTTAATCTATTTTGAAGTTGTGATAATAGAACTCACATAATTTCAATTCATTTAACAAAATCATACAAAGATATGAATTATATTCTTTTTAATTATGCATAGGTATGATTACATTAAATGTTCTCTTTCTTTTAAATATAAATTTGAATTAGTTAATAGTTTATTAGTGATTGCTAAATTCTTTTTGAAAAACTAACGCGATTGCTCATATTTCAAAGATTAATATCGAGCTTTCTGAAAAGTTATTAATTTCTGATCGAAGTACAAATATTAGGGATTTCATTTTTAATAATTATTTGAATTTCTTATGAAGAAAACGAGCAAAATACTGAAACTGAATTTTAAAATGATATTTTATAACTTTAATTGATACACTATAGATCTCAATTCGTGACTATCAAAATTAGTATGCCAAACATCAATCCATATTTGCTTGTAGGTTAAATAGGTGTGTTTCCAATTGGGATTGGAGCATCCGTATTGGAAGAATTTGAATTGTTTGTGTCACCTGGATTTGATGGGTTGGTTGGAGACACTGCTTTTATGCCGCAAACAAACTAGGATGAATAACAATCAACTAATTACATTATTGTAAGGTGAAACACATTCTTGGCAAACTCTTTATTAATCTAAGAAAAATCCTGCCTAGCAAACAGTACAACCAGTTGAATCAGAAGTGTAACAATTAGCTAAACTGTAAGTGTTGGAGTCGTTTTGAATTTTCTAAGTTAAATCGACGCAGCCTCCATTTTGAAGAACAAAGCCAGCTGAACAGGTTAAACAGATGTTGCCACTTGGTCCAGTACAAGTTGCACAATTGTTTTAACAAGGGTAGCAAGGTTTAAACACATAGGACTTGGAATTGAAGGTGATGGAAGATTGAACTAAATAGTATCCATCGTTACAGGTGCTACAAGTCTAAATAATTAGATAAATATTGTTACATATTTTGAGTCGCAAGTCTTGCAATCATAAGGACATCCCTAACAATTTCCATTGATGTCTATGTAATTACCATTAGCACAAGTATTGCATTACATTGTGTATGGTGCAGTAGAACTGATGATTGTGCAACTCTAGCATCCACTGGGGCATTATTGGCAAGAATTATTATAAGTGTTCATTACATAACCATTTATGCATTATTAACAAATTAACCCACTTTAATCTGAATTCTAAACACAAGTCGAGCAATTTACAATCTTGGTGTTACATTAATCACAATTATTTCCATATAAGGTATATCCAGGAAGACATTACTGGCAAGTTTGACTGTTAGAATTAGCAATAGTGAAGCAATTGGAGTTACTAGTTTAATAGCAAGCGTTTCCAAATAAAAAGTAATTATCAGCACATTAGATGATGGTTAATTGTGTTTAATTTTCTAACACACCCTGACATCTTAAAGCATTATTCAAGGACGATGAACACAACTAACATGTGATAGGAGCTCCATCATATGCTTAGACTTTATAATATCCATCTGCACATTCCGAACAAGTGGGATTGGAAGTTCCAGGTTATGTGGTACATTAGTTACAATTGAGACATTAAGTGCATGTTGTTTAACTTGTTAAGGCGTATTAAGGACTGCATACTTGGCATTAGGTATTATCAGAATTACACTGAGCACATCCTCCAAAAGAACAAGTAGAATTAGCTGTGGAAGCTGAACATGATTAATCAGATTAGTTATAGGTGTAAGGGGAGGAGCATATGCAATCGCCATTTGTCGAGTTAGGATCTACAGTGAAATTAGTATTGCAGGTAGTACAAACAGATGCACTTGAACAAGTCTAACAATTCTTAGGACAAGCAACACATTGACCAGAAGCATTAGTTTAAGCATTAGAATAAGTCTTAAAGGAATATGAATTTGTGGTAAGTGTTGATTAATACCAAAAGTATCCTGGCAAACATTGAGTACAAGTGTATAATGATGGACAAATGGCACAACCAGTATTGCATTTACTGCAAAATGGATTGAAATATTGATAGTAATTAGTGTTAGTTGTCAAAGTGCTCTTAGAGGTTTACAATATGAAATCCCAGTTAAAGTAATATCCATTTGTACATTAAGTACATGCTCCACTATTCTAATCAATAGTCAAACAGCCATTAATAGAAATACATATGTTGCCAATTAAAGTATATCCTGAGCTACATTTGGAGCATGCCAAAGACACCAATTTATCAGAATACTGCATGTCAGTGCATCCTGTAGGTATTGGTACACATTATTAGACATTTTTGATAGTGATTAAGTAATATTATGGATTACATTAGATTAAAGTGCAGGATGTAAAGTTATTGCATGTTTAACAAATACCGTTATTAACTGTGGGACAAGGCATACAACTTTATCCAGTCCAAAATGATCCAGATTTACATTGTGGAGTTGTTTATCTAGTTGAGCTTAAGGGAGCAGCTGATTTGAAATAATTAGAATTTTTGCCTGAAGTCACAGATCCAAAACTGGCACCTTAAACCTAATTGTCAGATGGATTAGATCGGCAGACAAACTATTAAAATAATAATAAATAATATTTACTGCTGCTTAAGGATAGACACATTGTACGCAAGAATTGTCAACAATTTAAGATTAACCTTATTGTGATAACCATCCATTGATAGGATAGAAACCGTAAGCACACACATAACAACCATTATTTTGATTCTATTAGTTTTCTAAACAATTTCCTTAGTCTTTAACACAACCTCCGTTTTATAAGAAGTACCCACTAATGCAACCAGAGCAAACATTTCCTGGAGAAACACATTAGCTGCACCCAAATTGACAGGCCAAACAGGATCCATTGCTTTCGTAATAACCATTGATGCATGTGGAGCAAGTGGTTTCGTTAGAGCAACTCAAGCAAGTGCTCTTGCTGCTGCTGTCTGTAGTACAAGCAACACATGAACTTGAACTCTTGTAATATCCAGTGTCACATTGAGAACAATTGTCGATTCCTGTGCCGGTGCAATTAATACAATTTGCTATACACAATTAACAAGTTGCGGAGGAATCACTGTAATAATAATTAGCACATGAACTACAAACAGGCTTATTATTTTAATCTAATGAGCAACTATTGTCAGCACAGTTAGCACATTTGTAGCATATTTAATTACTTTGTAAATAGGATGGCCAGCAATCTGAACAGAATTATGAGTTAATTTAAGTGCCATCATTAGGTTGGAAGAGTTTTGAACATGTATTGGATGTTTAAGCTTGATAACATTAATTGTTGACTAAGAAGTAATTGTTTATGCATTAGGTTGGTGTAATTACTTTGGTTTTTGTGTCGTAGGTGCATCTTAAAGCGAAGTTGCTTCCTGTGTTGCAAGAATTGCATTGTAAGTTTTCATTCAAATAGTAAGTGTCTTAGCACACTCCGCAGATAGTCTAAAAGGAAGAGCCTTGTTGAGTGCTTTTAGTGCATCCAGTGGCACAATTTTAAGGACATAAGGCACATGTATTATTGGCTAATAAAGTATAGCCTGAAACACAGTTGGAGCATAGATCATTGGCACATTCTGAACATTGAGCAGAATAGCCTGTGCATTTGATACAACTGGAATTTTAGAGTTTATAATCAGCAATGCAAGTAAGACAGACTGAGCCACTTGAGCAGGTAGCACATTCATTAGGACATTTGGTACATGTTTTATTTGAATCAAAATACCATTTGGTTGTGCAAACGATGCATTGAGTATCATTTGTGCAGACATTGCAGCCAGCCACACAGGATGTGCAAGATTGGTTTTTCAAATAGTACGTAAGATCGCAAGCTGTGCATTTGGTGTTGCTCAAACATGATAAGCAGCCAGTAATATCTGAAGAGCATTGTTTGCATTGATTGTTGGATAGATAATAGCCAGTAAGACAGGAGGAGCAAGTAGTTGAATTGGTACATGCTGCACAACCTGATGGACATGCACTGCAACCAGATGCAGTTAGATAATATCCAATTATGCATAAGGAGCACTCAGCAACAGAGTTAACGCATGATGTGCACTTGGTGTCGTTACATTTATTGCATGAATCATTGCTTAATTGATAGCCAACGAGACAAGATGAGCAGGTACTGGAACTTGTGCAGGAGGTACAATTACTCTTACATTGAGTACATGCGCCATTATCTAGGAAGTACCCTGTTAGACACTTAGTACAAGCTGAGGAAGTAGTTGAACATGTTAAACAATTGGTATCTTGGCATTTACTACAGGTATTCACATCCAAAAACAGACCAACTGTGCAGGCAGTGCAGGAATAAGTGCTTTGTGTCATTTGGCAAGTTCTGCAGGCATCAACAGAAGTTGAACATGGGAGACATAGATTTCCACTCAAATAAAACCCTGGAGTGCAAGTCTTGCAAGTGGAGGCATCATCACAGGTAGCACAATTTATAATAGAAGAGAAACATAATTGACATGTAGCACCATTCAAGTAGTAACCAGTAATGCAAGATTTACAGTTGGTGGCAGAGGTCTCACAAGTAGCACATGGTAAGGTACACTTATCACATGTTTTATCAGCCTTTAGATACATGTTGGTGAGACAAGTGACACATGTAACATCAGTTACTGCGCATGTTAAACAATTAGAATTGCATTTTGCGCATGTATTATTGTTAACATACTGGCCTGAATCACATGCTGTGCAGTTAGATTAACTTGTGCAGATGGTGCAGGGATATAAACATTATTAGCATTAGGAGCCGTCATAATAATATCCTGCCAAACAAGCTGTGCAAGTATTTTGATCACTACACTTTGCACAAGGATCTGGACATTAGACACAATTAGTGGTTGAAATGTAGTATCCATCGACACAGGATGAACAACTGTTTGCTGGGTTGTTACAATTGTAACAAGGATATGAACAAGCTGTGCAGGTTGTTCCATCTTTGAAGTAAGCACTGGGACAAGTCTGACAAGTATCTGCAGTGGTTTAGCATGTTTTGCAAGGGTTATTACATTATTGGCAAGTGTTATTACCATCTAAATAGTATCCATCGATGCAACTTTTGCATTTACCTGCACTATCAACACAGGTGACACAGTTGTTGGAGCAAACAGTACATGCTTGACTGCCATCTAAAAAGTACCCATCTCCACAAGAATTACAAAGAGTAGAGCTTGTACAAGTTAAACATGGAAGAACACATGTGGTACATGTACTTCCATTAAGGTAGAATCCATCATCGCAAGTGGAACAACTATTAGTTCCAGCACCAGAACATGTGGCACAAGGATTGGCACAGATTGTGCAATTAACACCATCTTTGTAATAGCCATCAACGCACTTGTCGCATTCGGTGGCAGAAGTCAAACATGTGAGACAAGGAGTTTAGCACTGGTAACATTGATGATCACTAGTTTTGAGAGAGTATCCAACAGCGCAAGTTGTGCATGTGTTTTAATCGTCACATATGGTGCATGGGGATGGACAATAGGTACAAGTAGCAGTAGCTCCACTGCCACTCTTATACAAACCACTGAAACAGGAAGTACATTAGGTAGCACTTGTGACACATTCTTTACAGGGTGTTTAGCATGGATTACAACCATCTCCGGTTCCATTCAAGAAATAGCCTGGAGCACAACTTTAACAAGTCGTAGCTGATGTCTTACAAGCTGTGCAAGCAGTAGAACATTGAGTACATTTTGTGCCATCCCAAAAGTAACCTTTAATACATCCAGTGCAAGCTGAATCAGTACAGGCAGCACAAGGAGATGTACATTGAGTGCAGGTATTTACATTCAAGTAGTAACCAGTAATGCATGAAGTGCATTTAGTTTAGGAGTCAACGCATTTATTGCATGGTTTTTAACAAATGTTACAAGCATTGACATTTAGGTAATACCCATCAATACAACTTTAACATGTATTTGCATCAGTTTAACATGTAAGACAAGGGCTTACACATTCCGAGCATGTATTTTAGCCAGATGGTAAGAAATATCCATCAAGACATGATGTGCATTCAGTTGTAACAGCATTACAAGTTTTACATGGATCAGTACATTATGTGCATGTGAGAGGAGCAGTTGTGGTTAAATGGAATGCGGAATCATTACATGATCTGCATTCAGTTGCTGAGTTTTCGCAAGATGCACATGGAGTCTAACATTGAGTGCAAACAGCAGGAGTTTTAGAGGTATCATAAAAATATCCAGAAATACATGATTTGCAAACAACAGCAGTTGCAGTGGCTGAATATTCACAAGTCAAACAGGGAGTTGTGCATTAAATGCACTTTGCAGGGGTTTGAGTAGTATCATAGTAATATCCTGGGATACAAGAATTACATGTATCACCATCAGTATTACAGGTAACACAAGGCGAATTACAAACTGGACATTTAGGATTGTTGGGATCCTTATAGAATCCATCTAAACAATCTGTACATTAGTCACCAGCTGTCACACATTTTTTGCATGGTTCTTTGCATTCTGCACAAACGTTGTTACTTAAGAAGTATCCATCAGGACAATTTTGGCATTAAGCAGGTCCTGGGTCAGTGTAGGTACATATTGTGCATGGTTCAGCACATTGGTTGCAGGTTCCATTATTTTTATAATATCCATCATAACAGGAATCACAATTACTTTAGGAAGTAGAACATGTTTTACAAATGGCATCGCATTATTTACATGATGTAGTAATTAAAACAAAACCTGGCTAACAACCACTACATGCATCAGCTGAAACAGCGCAAGCAGTGCATGGACTCTAACATTACTCACAAGTATTATTATTCAAAAAATATCCTGTTGTACAAGATGAACAGTATGTAGCACTGTTGTTTGAGCAGGTTGTGCAGGTGTTATTACAAGGTTAGCATGCATTTGAGTTATCCAGATAGTATCCTGGTAGACATTTTGTACAGGTGGTACTATTTGTACAATATAAGCATGAGTTGCTGCATTAACTGGAACAGTTGGGAGTTCCATAATATCCTGGGATGCAAGAAACACAGTTAGTACTAGAGGTTATACAAGTAGCACATTTTCCTGAGCAAAGTGTGCAAGTAACATTGTCATTCTCTAAGAAAGCTCCATCAACGCAGGTTTTGCAAGAAGAAGAAGTGGTACAATATTTACAATTTAAACTACATTGATTGCATGAAGAACCATTTTAATAATAGCCATTTGAGCATTCAGTACAAGTGTTGGCATCTGTGCATTTCGTGCATGCTAAACTGCATTACAAACATTTATCGCCAGCTGCAGGATAATATCCTTGAATACAACTCTAGCAAACTTTTGCTCCAGTAGTGCATGCTGTGCAGGCAGTATCACATGGACGACAAACATAACTATTTGCACTATCAATGAAGTATCCAGCAGCACAGGCATTACATTTTAAGGTTGCATCTCCTTAATCAACTGCGCATTTTTAACATGCTGATTAAGTTGGACATTATGTACAATTGCCTCCATTTAAGTAGTACCCATCTTCACAGGCTTAACAATTACTGCCAGCTCCTGAGCATTTGATACAAGGACTCTGACATTCAGTGCAATTTGGAGCATTAAAATAGTATCCATCTACACAATTTTTACATGATCCAGTAGTATCATTACAAGTTTTACAAGGGGTTGGACATTGTGAACATTATTAATTAGCAACAGCATAATATCCATCAACACAAGAAGTACATTAGGTGGCGTCGCAAACATTGCAACCTCTTTGACATTAAGTGCATTGTTTTGTTCCGCTATTATAATAATAGCCTACTTAGCATTAATCGCAAGTATCCAATGCACTGCACTTAGTACATGCAGTTATACATTATTTGCAAGATCCATCTCCGGAGTCTTAAAAATATCCATCAATGCAGGATGTACATTTGAAGGTAGCATCACAGACTTAACAAAAATCTGGACACTATTAACAGGCATCGTTTTATATTTAATAACCTGCATCACAAACAGAGCACTTCACAGTTGCACCATCTAAAGCACACTACCTACAAGGACTTGCACATTCAGTACAGGCATTACCATTCTGGTAATAACCAACTAAGCATTCTGAACATGTAGTACTGTCAGTACATTTTACACATTTCTATGGACATTCTTAACAGACGTCATTAGCTTTTTAATAAAATCCATCTATGCATGCTGTGCAAACAGTGTCGCTGTCACATGTTGTACACCCTTTGACACATTGTGTACAAGTACCAGTTCCATTTTTATAAGAACCTGTTAAACAAGGCCCACATGAAGTATTAGAGGTACAAGTAGTACAAAAGTTTGGACATTTCGAACAGGCATTATTATTTGGGTAGAATCCATCATAGCAAGTTGAACATGAAGAAGTAGTTCCATCAGTTGTCCAAACTTAACAGCCTGTTGACACCTATGAGCAATCATTTCCATTTAGATTGAATCCCTTAAAGCATTTAGTACATGCAGTTGAAGATGTGCACTCTAAACATGGGAATGTGCATTTAGTGCATGAAGGATTACCATCTCCATAATAACCTTTACTGCATTTTTCACATATAGAACTTGTGCATGTATCACATCCAACATCGCATGAGACACATGCATTACTACCATTAATGCGAAAACCGGAAGCACAAGTTTAACAAGTGGTTGAAGTTGTACATGTTAAGCAAGGATATTGACATTGAGTGCATGTAGGCAAAGTTGGATAATAGCCTGGTATACAAGTTAAGCATGTATTGCTGTCAGAACATGTTAAGCAATTGTTTGTACATCTACTACAAGAGCTAGGGGATGCTGCTATTAAATAAAATCCATCATAACAAGAAGAACATTTATCCGATCCAGTATCAGTACATGCCTTACAGGAGGCATTGCAAGTTGATGAACAATCAGCTCCAGTATTGCCAACTGCACATAATGTACAATTTGTAGCACTTCCAGAACACTTCTTACAAGGAGCAGTACATTTAGTACAGGTGACAGGAGGTCCAGCATCGTAATATCCTCCGTTGCTTTCACATTCCGCTTGGTCAGCAGTACAATTTGAAACACAATTTGTGCTGCATCCATCTCCAGACACGCATGCTATGCATGATCCAGCGTTACCCGCATCTGGTAATTTATCTGCAGCTGTGCAAGTTTGGCAGGTTTGAGTTCCACCAGGGAAAGTACAAGTTGCACAATCTCCAGAACAATCAGTGCAATTTGAGCCATCTAATCCTTTTGTAGATACACATTCACTACATCCAGTTGTACAAACTTAACAAACATTACTACCATCAACTTTGTACCCTGTAGGACAATCAGTACAATTTGTGGCATTAGTTTAACACTTCTTACAATTAGCATCACATTTAAGACAATTATCTCCACTTTAGTAATAGCCATCCCAACACGCTGTGCATTTAGTACTAGAACTACACTCCAGACATCCTACTATACATTAAGTACATGTTGGTAAATTTTTATAAAAGCCAGGTAAACAATCTGTACATGTAGTTGTATCTGGATCACAGGTCAAACAATGGCTAGTACATTGATCACAAGAAGATCCATTCTTTATGAATCCAGGTCTGCACCCTGTGCAAGTGTTGGCATCAGTACAAGTTGCACATTTATCAGGGCATTTGTTACAAGTGGCAGGTAGAGCTGCTGAAGGATAATAACCAGCTGCACATGTTTAACAATTAGTATCTGATGTTACACAGGTGGTACAAGTAGAACTACAAGTTTGGCATTGATTACTACTTGAAAAATAACCATCCTAACAACTTGAGCAATGTGAAGCAGACTAGTTTGAGCAAACCTTACAATTAGCATTGCAAGGCTAGCAAACATTACTATTATCAAGATAATAACCATCAAAGCAGCCTTAACAAGTTCCATTGCCATCTGTAGAATAACTATTGCATGGGAAAACAAAAGCATTGCAAGCATCACCTGATATATAGAATCCAGTAACACAAGTTTGACATTTTGTTGGTCCAGTTGATTTGCAAGTGGCACAAGGTAATTGACATTAAGAACATGTGTTATCATTAATCAATTGAGTTGAACAAGTATTACATGTATCTGAGGGACACTTGAGACAACCTGCTGTTGAACATGCTTAACATTATTTGCTAGCATTAATAAAGAAGCCATCAGCACAATCAGTACATTCAGTGGCTGAATTACAAACATTGCATGGTTTTGTACATTGTTTACAAGTAGTTGTGCCATCAGAGTAATATCCAGGTAGACACGTTGTACAGGAATCCTTTGAACACAAGAGGCAATTGCTAGTACATTTTTAGCATGCATTACTATTATCAAGGTAGTAACCACCAAGACATTTGGAGCATTGATTTTGATTATCCGGGCATTCTAAACAAGATGTTGAGACTGTACTGCAAGCCTTGCAATCTCCAGAATCAAGATGGTATCCAATGACGCAGGATTAACAATTTCCAGGAGTAGTTGAAGTGCAGGTCAAACAATACTGAGGACAAGTTGCACAACTTGTACCAGATGGGAAATACCCAGAGATACAACTTGTCTTACATTCTGTTTATGAAGTACATAAGAGACAAGGTAGTTAACATTAGGAACAAGCAGCTCCATTTTTATAAAACCCATCAATGCAACTTGTGCAAGTATTTTAATCGGAACAAGTTAAGCAGGCCTTTGGACATTAACTACAGGCATTGTTGCTTATGTAGTATCCAGGGGGGCATGAATTGCACTTAGTTTGGTCTCCATCGATACATGTCAGACAAGGGAAGGTGCAAGCTTTACATGAATTGTCTGCCATTAAGACATACCCATCAAAACAACTACCACATGTAGTGGGGGATCCCGAGCAAGTTGAACAAGCATAACTACATTAATCACAACTACCACTATTGCATACATATCCTGTCATGCAAGTTGTACAGGTAGAAGCTGATTCACATGTGACCATTGGACTCGTACATTGTAAACAATTATAGTGAGTTGGGTCTACTTAATTTTTATAATATCCACTAGCACAATCAGTACAATTATCAGCAGCAGTGCATTTTGTGCAAGAGAGTGGACATACTGAACATGCATTATTATTAGGGTAATATCCATCAATACAACTTTAGCATGAATTTGCTGCCGTGTCACAGGTCTTACATATATATAAACAGGGTTAACATTGATCGGATGCTAATGATGTATTTTTCCAAAAACCAACATCGCATTTTGTACAGTTGTTTGCTGTTGTATCACATTCCAAACATTAATTAGCACATATAGTGCATTATTTATTATTGACATAGTATCCAGACACACAAGAGCTGCATTCTGCTTAAGTAGTATAGGTGCATCCAGTACAATTGTTTGGACATTTAGTACAAGTTCCTGCATTCAAATACGATCCACTAGGACAAGTTTGACAAGCACTATTGCCACTTGCATTACAGGTGAGACATATGCTTGCACATTACACGCAATTGTTATTGGAGTCCTTATAATATCCACTAACACAATCAATACATTAAGTATCTGAGGTGCAAGTCAAACAATGATTAGTACAAATAATACAACTACTTGTTTAGGTGGTTGTATTTAAGAATTTGTAGTAGCCAGATGGGCAGGCAGTACAATTAGTACTTGACTTTTCGCAAGCATCACAATTGGCATCACAAATGTTACAAGTCCCTGGGGTATTAGGATCTGTTAAGAAGTATCCTTTTTCACAAGTGACACATGTAGTTAAATTAGTACAAGACACGCAAGGATACTAGCATTGTTTGCATAAAGAGTTAGGCTCATCCCAAAAATCACCAGAATAACATGATAGACATTGATCTCCTGAAGTTGAATCCTTACAAGTCTTGCATGGCTCAATGCAGACTTTACAAGTATTTTATCCAGTGGGTTAATAAAATCCAGCATAGCAACTTGTACAATAATTTTTATCGTTGTTTGAACAGGTTTTACATAAATTGCTACACTATAGACATTGATTGTTATTATTGTAATAGTATCCAGGAGAACAAGATTGGCAATTTGTAGGATCAGATTAACTACATGAAGTACATTAAGGAGAGCATTAGTTACATGTATGATTCACTGAATCCAATACCAAACCTGAATCACAGACTGTACATTTAGTGGCATTATCGACACAACCATAACAGGGATTTGTACATTTGGTACAAGTAACTGCATTTGGATTGGTGCTATCTAAGAAGAATCCAATATCGCAACCAGTGCAGTTATTGGCATCACTGCATTTAGCACACTGAGCTGCACAAACAGTGCATGCATTACTACCATTGACATAATACCCATCAACGCAACCTGTGCATGAGGTGGCAGAATCACAAGCTGTACAATTAGTTGGACAATTGGTACATGTGCCAGGAGTACTCAAATAATAACCTTGAACGCAGGCTTAACAATCAGTTACGGAAGCAACACAATTAGTGCATGGTAGAGTACATTATGTGCAAGTATTGTTAGAATAATAGTATCCATAAACACAAGATAAACATTTATCTTAATTGTCGACACACTTGGCACAAGGGGCCTTACAGAGATCACAAGTAGTGGCTGCAGATTAAAAATACCCATCTACACAAGAGCTACAAGAAGTGGCTTAGGTTGAACAAGTCAAACAAGGACTTGTACAAGCATTGCAAGGACCATCAACACTTCCACTTTTGAAGTATCCACTTTGACATGATGAACAAGTGTTAGCATCAGCTGAACATGCCACGCATGATTTTGAGCAAGCAGTACAAGTATAATTTGGATCGCCCGTATAAAAGAATCCTTGAACACATGATCTACAAGATGTGGCTGATCCGCTGCAAGTAGCACAAGGTGATGTACATTAAGCACATGTATTACTACCATTTAAGAATGTCCCTGCATAACAACTTGTACATGTTGTAGCACTTGTATTACAAGCAGCACATTCATTTGAACATTATGAACAAGTGTTATCATGATAATAATAGCCTACAACACAACTTTGACATCCATTTTACGAACTTGAACAAGTAGTGCATGGTTTCAAACAAATTTAACAATTAGAACCATCGTATTCATATCCTGCAACACATGCTGTACACTTACCATCTGTACCACAAGTGGAACATGGATAGGCGCATTTGACACAATCAGTGTTACTGAGATAATAGCCTGGAACACAGGATGAGCATTCTGTTTTACTAAGACAATTGATACAAGGAAATTCACAAGTGATACATTAATTAGAATTCAAGTATTTTCCATCATAACATTTAGTGCATTTGGTTGCTGAATCAATACATTCTTAGCAGGTGATTGAGCAAACTGAACAAGTATTGGAATTCAAGTAAGAACCTTTGGAACAAGCAGTACATTGTGTAGCTGAGGTCTCACAATCAGTACATGTATTAGAACAGGGTAAACAATTATTATTATTAAAATATCTGCCAACGTAGCATGCTGTACACTTAGTGGCTGAATCAACACAAGTAAAACATTTATTTGAACATTCGGTACATTTATCTCCATCTTTGAAATACCCTGGGACACAGGAAACACAAGTCTTGGCTGCATTTAAACATGTCAAACAGTTGGCATCACACAAATCACATGTGCTGGTAGCTCCATTTAAAAAGTAACCTGATGAACAGGATGTACAATTGGTTGATGAGTTTATACAATTTTCACAATTATTTGAACAAGCATTGCAGACATTCTTATTCAAATAGTATTTTGGTTAACAAGTAGTGCAAGTGGTTCCATTCAAACAGTATTCACAATTGCTAACAGCTAGAGTACATTTTGAGCATTTATTTCCATCAAGGAAGGTTCCATCTGAACAGGATGTGCAGGTGTTGCCATCTGAACATGTCATGCAACTTACCATCTCAGTAGAACACAAGAAACAGGCACCACTTTTTAAGTAGAATCCTGTTGTGCATTTTGTGCAATTTTATCCACTTGAACACTATTTGCAGTAACTGATAGTGTCAGAACATTGGATGCATTATTACCCACTTGTATAGTAGGCAGCAGAAACACAAGAGGTGCATGTTGATGAGTCCGAACAGGCTGAACAATTTTGATCAAGTGTTGTACAAAGAATGCAACTGCCATTACTGAGGTAGGATCCAACTGCGCATTCGGTACATTTGGTTTCATCTGGACAAGCGTTGCATTTAGTTAACTTGTCCTAGCAACGGAGACATTAGTTATTATTCAGATAGTAGCCTTTGACACAGGAATTACAGTATGTGCTACAAAGTGATGAACATCAATATTATACTCTGATTGGCAAGTTGCACAGTATTGATTGCAAGGCAAACAAGAGTTAAAGCTTTGGAAATAGGTTGAGTAGACAAATGATGTTTGAGCTCCATTGAATTCGTCTGGAGTGTAGGTTGGGAACACATTGTAATATCCATCCGAACAAACAGTACAGATACCAGTGCTTATACTAAAGGTTTTACAATTGTTATTTTAAACACATATTCCACCTTAAATTAAAATATTCATTTACCTATTTGCGTTGATTACCCATTGCATTGGAAACACACTATGGTTGAGCCGTCTGCAGAAAAACCTCCTCTTACACAGTTGGTATCAGGGTGTTTAATACAAGTTCTAAAATTATTATTTTTCATTACAATCCGATTTGATAATATCCATCCGAACATGTTACATAATTGCATGTATTTGCAGTTGTACAAGTACAATACCCTCCAGTGATCTGCTAGCATGGCATACAGATCTGTCCATTAAAATAAGACCCTATTGTGCAAAACAAGCATTACCCTTAATACACGCAAATTAAGGATTATTCGAGTTAAGTCCCTAATCAGTATTGCTCGGTTGATTTATAGCAGTATCTCCTTTAACCACTATCGTCAATAGCACACAAAGAAACAAAGATTTCCTCAAGTTCATTTTTATTAATATAATTTAATTAATACAAAATATCTTCCATGATTGAACTCTTATAATTACCTGATAAGACGACACACAGAATTTGTCCAACAACTTCATACTTTTTAATATTTTTACTATTCTAAAAATGCAGAATGAATGTTAATTTATTGCATTAAATCTTATTATTATATCATCATCCCAATAATTAAACTATTTCTCTTCCTTCTCTCTCCAAATCCTTCTCCTCTCCACAACTCTCATATTAATCAAACTCATTTGTACCCCTCCCTGCCCCTTCTTATAGACTTGGAATTGTATTAAATCTTTTAAATAATTACCCCATCAAATCACAATTATTATACTATCTATGCCAATTGTTGATTATTACCCCATTCAATATTACTCGCTAAATTACACCACAGAATGAAGTTGCCTTCCAAAAAGCTGTAGTTACTTTTTCGGACTCATGAAATTTCAATTATATATTTATTCAACTTAAAAATTTATCAAAGCAAGTCACTCAAAAAATAGATGGCTTCTCCCACAATTTTAGAGGAGACTTACTACACATTTATCATTTTAAGTGTTATTGTGTCAAGAATATTAATACTCAATCGTATAGTTTTATTTATTAATTCAAATAATGAAAGGACTTTTAATATCAATATCATAATTTCTCGAATTAATTCAGCTTCTTAGCCCTACTCAACATAATTACACCTGAACATGGATTATCTTACTCATGACTGAGTTTCCTCATTAAACTTTATTTTAATAAAAATAAATTACCACTCTCACAAAATCTATGAGAGTGGTATTTTAAATTTCCCTTTTTCGTATCCCTTTATCTCATTCTATCATAAATTATGATCTTTTATAGGTTTATAATCAATATCACATCTAGATTTATAATCAATATCACATCAAACTCATACATCATAAAGAACCAATTTTAGGCAACTATATTGGAGACACCAATTATCTTAAATCAATTCTTATTTCACCTTGTCTTTTCTGTTGATTACTTATTTTAAATTAGATTGATAATTAGATTGATACAATGTAGAGAGAAAATAAATAAACACAAATCTAACATTAGGGACATAAGTTTAAAATAAAAAAAATGTAAACCTTAGCTTTAAATTCACAAGTAACCATTATGATTTATAATGTAAGTTTCTTGAAGTAAGATAAAGACTAAGAATTTTAAAATCTGCTTTGATCAGCCTAATACAATTTCTATATATTCAAAGTATACACAAAGTTGCATTTGCAGAAGTTGGGCTGTATGTAAGAAGAACTAAATTAATTATCAAAATCCATATGATGGGATGAAAATACAGGAAAGGTCATCAGAATCTATGTCTTTAAGTCCTTGAATTTTTAAGTTAGTGTGATAATTTCGATCATTTTTATAAAAATTTCTATCTTCTTTTGGTTTGAGCAATGAAGCATAGAATTTCAAAGCTAATAAGAATTTAGTATTGGCTTGATATGAACATATTCATTTTAAAATAGTAACTATTTTCTGAAGAATAATGCGAAAGTATTAAAAGGATAGTGAAGATTTCATTTGAACAAAGATTACATCTGAAATATTGAAAGATAATGTTAATAATAAATAAATACAATTANTTACCCCATCAAATCACAATTATTATACTATCTATGCCAATTGTTGATTATTACCCCATTCAATATTACTCGCTAAATTACACCACAGAATGAAGTTGCCTTCCAAAAAGCTGTAGTTACTTTTTCGGACTCATGAAATTTCAATTATATATTTATTCAACTTAAAAATTTATCAAAGCAAGTCACTCAAAAAATAGATGGCTTCTCCCACAATTTTAGAGGAGACTTACTACACATTTATCATTTTAAGTGTTATTGTGTCAAGAATATTAATACTCAATCGTATAGTTTTATTTATTAATTCAAATAATGAAAGGACTTTTAATATCAATATCATAATTTCTCGAATTAATTCAGCTTCTTAGCCCTACTCAACATAATTACACCTGAACATGGATTATCTTACTCATGACTGAGTTTCCTCATTAAACTTTATTTTAATAAAAATAAATTACCACTCTCACAAAATCTATGAGAGTGGTATTTTAAATTTCCCTTTTTCGTATCCCTTTATCTCATTCTATCATAAATTATGATCTTTTATAGGTTTATAATCAATATCACATCTAGATTTATAATCAATATCACATCAAACTCATACATCATAAAGAACCAATTTTAGGCAACTATATTGGAGACACCAATTATCTTAAATCAATTCTTATTTCACCTTGTCTTTTCTGTTGATTACTTATTTTAAATTAGATTGATAATTAGATTGATACAATGTAGAGAGAAAATAAATAAACACAAATCTAACATTAGGGACATAAGTTTAAAATAAAAAAAATGTAAACCTTAGCTTTAAATTCACAAGTAACCATTATGATTTATAATGTAAGTTTCTTGAAGTAAGATAAAGACTAAGAATTTTAAAATCTGCTTTGATCAGCCTAATACAATTTCTATATATTCAAAGTATACACAAAGTTGCATTTGCAGAAGTTGGGCTGTATGTAAGAAGAACTAAATTAATTATCAAAATCCATATGATGGGATGAAAATACAGGAAAGGTCATCAGAATCTATGTCTTTAAGTCCTTGAATTTTTAAGTTAGTGTGATAATTTCGATCATTTTTATAAAAATTTCTATCTTCTTTTGGTTTGAGCAATGAAGCATAGAATTTCAAAGCTAATAAGAATTTAGTATTGGCTTGATATGAACATATTCATTTTAAAATAGTAACTATTTTCTGAAGAATAATGCGAAAGTATTAAAAGGATAGTGAAGATTTCATTTGAACAAAGATTACATCTGAAATATTGAAAGATAATGTTAATAATAAATAAATACAATTATAACTATATTTGGATAATAGATTATACAACATTTGCAATTAGAATTAGTTCAGACTGATCAAACTTTCTTTCTGATAATTTGTTGTTTTAAATTCGGAACAGAATTAAAATCAATAATTAAAAAGGTATTCGCTTTGTTAATAAAGCCTATCTTATTTTTTTTCATAACAATACATCAAATTTTGGACTTAATATTAGCTATTTAGTTTAAGCATAAATTTACTTTCTAAAAGACTTACAAACATTATTCAATGCTCCCTTGAGTTGGGTTTTCGATTAAAAATTAGAATGAATCCTAAAAATTATAACCTTTTTTTTAGTTTGCAACTTTCAGAGAACATGATTTTTATTTCGTTCTTTGTATGCTACCATGAAAAGAAGAGGAAATTTTCTCTTTATAAAATATTTTTATATTTTCATTTATTTTAAATAGCAATTTATTAGATTTGCCTGGTGCAAGATGCAAGATCTCTAGATATAAAGTGAATGAATTTCCAGATTGATATTAAGGGGATAAATAGATATATTAAATATCACAACTATTTAGAATTACTCTATGCAAAATAAATTTGGTATTCATAACGATTGTGAATTCGAGAATAGCATGATTTAATTTATTTCGTTTTTAAATTATATTTATTAAACATAAATATAAACAGAAATTAGAAAAGGGTTAGATCAAAGAAAGAATATAGTAGAAATTCTTAATCAAAAGTAAATAAATAAACTAAATTTAAAGACTCAGAAAAGAATATTTTTAAACTACTAAGATTTCTTTCTCTAATCCACACATCTATTATAAATATCAATTATTTTTATTATCAGATTTCGATGAAAATAATCTGCTGATTATCTTAGCCTATGGTTTTCTCTACAAAAATGATCTGCCTTTGCTCTAAGAGAATCCTTGCTAAGTTCCTTGATTGGGAGAATGAATTTAAGGCAATACGTCTTGAGATTCAGCACTGTTTAATTTATACTAAATTTTGCTCTGAATTTATTGGCCTCCTGATTCTCGCATGGTTTCTTAGGCAGTTTTTGACTTCCTCATCAGAGAATCTTCAGGATGAGCGTATAGTATTTCGTTTCCTTGGATGGTTTATTTGGATGAGTTAGTTCTTATGGCTGTGTCTTGTTAGGATATTGGTCCATAACCATAAGGAACATTTTTGGCTTATTACAATTTAGGTTAGATTTGAGGGAGAAAGGCAGTTGAATTACTTTTCTTCAAAAGATCATTTAAATTCTAACGATTGTTGAAACGATCTGATTCAAGAAGCGACTTCTTATAGCTGGGAAAGTCCATTTGATCTGAGGACAATCTAGTTACATTGTCTGTTTCATTTTATTTGGTATGAAATTGGACTCGCAGAGCAGAATCGGCAGTATTGATAGTGCCTTCCATTTTTTATCGAAGCATACGTGAACCTACAAAATTCTTGTTGATGGGTTTTGGAGGCTGCATTTCATTTTATTGATTTTTGTGTATGAATTCATCACGTATGTCTGTTTCTTTGATTCGTTTGATTTGCTCTTGATACGTAACTTTATTGCGGGATTCGTAAAGTTATGGTGGAGATTGTGGCTTTTAACTAATACCTTTGACGACTTTGACAGGAGAACTAGAGATAGGATTAGTTTGGTACGTGATTTTTTGTGGTTAAGCATTTAGTTTGTTCTGCATAAATTATCCATTATTTCTTTTGCTAGAACTCTGCTGCGTCTCATGTTGAATAAGCCGTGGTTGAGCAGGCTTAAATGTGTATTCCATTTGTGGTCTTCCTGATCCCTTAGAACTAGTTATAGAATTTTTGAGTGTCGATTGGTTTGGATTAAAAAATGTGGCTGTTTGTTTGAATGCATCCTAAAGTCTGGAATCATCAAAACAGTCCTAGTATTCGTAATGATTCATTATTTTAAATTATATATAAAATGTTTAGAAATAAAATAGTTGTGATCCAAAAGAAGTCGATTTTCAAATAAATCTGACTTAATCTATTCTGATAATAGCGATTAAATATCACTGAAATTGCATTTAAATGTATATTTAGTGAATTCTCAGAATATTTATATTAATTAGAAAAATAATTAAATGGATGAATATCAATATATTCATGAGAATAAGAATTGGTAAAAGAGGATGGATCAATTAACCATTTTAGTTTCTAGATAAATTACTTCGAATTGATGTCTTAATTTTTACTGTAATTTATTAAGCATTATTTCTAATTTATATTAAAAGCTGTTTATTTATTCTTCTATCAATTGCTGTTTTTTCAAGATGATTTCTATTTTTATGCCAAATATTCTACAAAGACCTTGAAATTTATTGAAATTATGGCGATTTAATTTAATTCTTTTTAAATTATGAGTTCGTTAGGACCTTTGATAGTGATAATTTTGGTTATTATAATTGGAATTGTTTGGTACTTTATTCATTTGATTGCATAAGTAAGCATACCTATTCTACATTTAGGGGTTCTCATAACTTTATAAAGACGAGTCAGCCTTCTTGAGTGATCAATTAAAGGCATTGTTGGGAGTGGATGATGTACAACGAAATTCATATCGTCCGTCAGTAGAACCACTCTATATTTCAAACATAGTAGACTTAATTGTAACTTCCATAAGAGGATTATGGCTGGGTCAATTGTTATACATACTTTTGCTTTTGTTCCTATTTTTCATAGTCGTTGGAGTTTTCTTCATTGAATAGCCCTTCTAATTCCTCTTCAATATGATTGTGGGAGTGGTGACTGTGTCGTTATTTTCACATTATATCATTTAGACGAATGGCAAGGGATTAACCCGTGCGTTGATATCGGTATTGATGTAAAATTTAAGAAGGCTTCATTTTCAAAGGAGGATTGTTATAGTTACATGTATTCATGTGGTTTTGCAATGCTGAGTCTACTTATAAGCTTATTTTTGGGGATGTATGTTCTAATGTATTATTTCAACCTTGCGATTTGGGGAGGGGAATTAAAATAAAAAGAATACGAAAAAATATCAATCCTAATGATAGGGTACCTTATGGGATTGCTTGTGGGTGGATTTATATACAGAGAAGGATTGTCATTAATGAGTAGATCATTTAAAACTGCAACTATTGGATTAATTAAGTCTGATGTGAACTTAAGTGTTGGAAACAGCAACATCTCCTAATTGACAAGATTGACTTACATGGTTTCTCAGTAGACAGGCAATACTCTAATAAATTACTTAGATATTGGATTTATCTTAGTATTTTTGTGCTGTTCAGTGCTTACATTGTTTGTGAATAGTGCTGAAGTTTTGGAGAGTGAAAATAAAAACACCTTCATATTGGGACCAATCTACTTGATATGTTTAGGATACTTGGGTTCCATCTTTTGTTATCTGATGAGAACTATGTGTAGAGATTCATAAGCACCCTCCTTCACTGCAATTAATGTTAGATGGCAAGTTATAATTGGAGCTTTGATCTCCTTTATTATCTTGGTTACATTCCCATTTAATTTTCTAATTTCTCAATTCACCTTGAAAGGAAGTAATAGTCAAGATATCGACTTAAGTGGGAAGTCCTCCACTCATGCTTGCTGGTGCTACTTATTGGGATTGATATTTAATGTGATCCACATTAGTTTATTTGAATGGTATACATCTCATGGATGTTCAAAAGTTCGAAATCTCGTAAATTATTCAATTCAAATAGGGATTAGCAACGAGTGATCGCATTATGCCTATGAATCTAATATACTCCAATTATCTTGGAGATTTGTTTTCTGCAATTCCCATGGTTCTCATGCTCTTATTAATCACAATTGTTTATTCCATTCAGGGATTTGCTGGATTGTTATTTGCTGCCTCTGGGTACACATCCGTCTTTATCATCTATGGTATCATATACTAAATAGGATGCAATTCGTCAGAATCTTACAAATTAACTTGTTTTGTGCATTTCAAATCAGAAATTTAAGGAAGAATTTTTGCCATTTATTGGGAAGCTAAGAATTACATGATTTATCTTAAATCCACAAATGCAGGAGCTCTAACCTTGATCTCAATAGGATTTATAGGATCCCAATTGTATCAACACCCAGGAACGTTGGCTTCTCTTTTTACCCATTACAAAGGAATCATTGGATTACTGATCGGATTTGCAATCATGTTTGTCTGTAGAGGCCTTAGTATATGGGCAATTATAAATATGGCCAAAACCTATGTAAACTTATTAATATTGTAGTTCATTTGCCAACCCTCCAATGATTCTGAAGGCAAAATAAACTATTTCTCTGACAATCGTATCATTGAGTTTACAAAAGTTAAATACACTCAAAGCATTCTTCATGTGTCTTACAATGTCCTCTTTCTGACCTTTACTTTGTTGTTAACGGGGTATTTGTATGGCCAATAAGGTACTATTGCTGCTATGATTGGTTCTTCTATAAGCATACTATTGATTCAATATAATGGATTAATCAAAGGGACAGCCCTTGAAAATGCTAAAATTTATAATGAAAGTATTTCTTTAATGTTATTGATAGTTGAGGATAACAAAAAGACTTCCCATTACGTCATGTATGTTGCTGGAGATACCTACGCATGTGCTACTGAGGAGAGTAATGCTTGTCCTTTAGTTGCTTATTTTATTTTCAGTTTTTGTCTATTGATATCTTGTTAAAATAAATTCACTTCAGCAGATCAATGAATTATTATATTAAATTCCAATAAGCAATATCATTTTCAATTTTTTATTCTCCCATTGTGGGTTTAGAGCATATTAGTTGACTATAGGTGAATGAAATACTATCCAAACATAAGGAGGTGATTCTAAAATGTAAAATAATATTAGTCACATTGGAAAAATTTTAAAACAAATATAAGTAAAAGAAACCAAAGAACTAGAATTAGACTCAGAACTCGTCTTTGGATATCTAATTACAATCAAAAGGAATCAACCATACAAATTTTTAATTCTAACTATAAAATACAAATTCCACTTTCGCCAAGTTTATATTAAAGTAATTTACAAAATTAAAGGCATAATAAATGTTTCATTTGAAAAATATATACTGCTTTAGAAATTAAAATAATTTAATAGATTGACATTAAATATTTTAGTGAATTGAATTTCTAATAATTGTTTATCATACATAATAAATATTAGTTAAAAAAATCAATCTGATTTTTTTATATGCTTTCGCCACTATTATTAAACTTGCATTTGAATACAATTATAATCTGTTTTATCTTTGTTATTTTTGAAAATTGTTGAAGCCTAAAATTCTGCTTTATATTCATTCTATACTATAGAATAACTGATAGATACATGATGTAAGGCTAACAAAAGTTAAGCTAATATTTTTGGCTTTATATTTTCTTTCAGCTACTCCCACAATAAATCTACTTTGGAAGCTTCACTTGAAATTATTTTAATTTCTTGTTTAATTTTTTTAAACGAACTAAATTAAATATATTACTTACTCAAATATATTTTATTTAGATTATCCCAACTTTATTTTTATTTTTTCATTCAATTGTGAATTGTCTAGTTTTATTTCAATCATACTGAAAATATCCCTTAGAAATTCTGAACAATTTCTACAATGTTTTTCAGTATAATTACTTCTAATTTTATGAAAAGAAATCTCTATCATCAAGAATCGTGAACAAATATTTAGTTTGCAAAGGTAAAGTGGCATCTAAAATGGAAAATGCATGCGATTTTGCAGAGTCGATTCTTTCCTATTTATTTGAGGATGTCCTGAATTTCAAAGCATCCAAAAGAATTTCAATTTCAGTATCATCTTTCTAGTGTATGATACACTCTTCTAATTTTTCAAATAATTTCTACTGTTATTGTAAAAATGCTTAAAACTACGCTTATTTTTTATTAGAAATACCTTCTCTTATTATTTATTATGGGTTTCAATTGATTTTTGCAAGTTGATACATTATACTCTCAATTTATCATTTTCCTCCTCCAAGTCTTTGACTCTATTCTCCAATAATTCGAAATAGATCTTCTTACGAGCTCGTGAATATCTTGCAGATTCTCTGTTTCTCTCCTATTTGATTCGGTTTGGGTCTAGATTTCCATCATTAATTGAATCTGGGTTTTCAGATGAAGATTGATCGCTGTGCTCTATATTAAGGTGTAGTTGCTATTCATTTTTCCTTTCCATTTTCTATTGGCTTCTTCTAGATTCAATATCATTAAAAATAAATACGACTATCTTGTTTTCTGGGTTATAATTAATTGATTATTTGTTTCTTTTTTAACTAAATTTTATATTTTATTTGAATATGGACTCTTTGTCTGTCCCAGATTCTAAATAATTTCAGATTATAGTTATTGATTTAATTGTTTTTGTTTTGTATTTTTTCCTAATAAAATTTATTAGCCAATTACTTCTGCTTTTGTTGGATTTATAATTTAAACTTCCATCTTTTGAGTTGTCTCCATCACTTCCACTTCTTGGTTATCTCTCAAAAGAACTGTCAGTTTTAATGCATAATCTATCCATTCCCAATATTTCCAATTAAATGGCTCTTGACATTTCATCAGTTCCTTGGTCTAATTCTTCAAAAATCTGAATTTTGGGAAGTTCCTGTATCTATTGCACTTAAGTGTAAGGGTCATGCATAGCAGAAAATTCGATTAAATTTTAATTGATTTCAGATGATCTATTATAATTATTGATTGTGTCTACTCGTTGTAAAAATATGGTTCCCCAATTCTAGGATCACTCATAAATTGTTAGTTTTAAAATTAAATAACATAATGTCATTTATTAATTCAAAACACCGTCTCAAGATTAATCAGAATGTTGAATTAATTTGGGTTCCATATATTTTAGTATTTACGTAAGCAAAATTTAATTTATCATCATTCAATAAGAAATGACAACACACTAATTAAAAGAATTATTTAAAATTAAAATTAAATTCTTCCATTCCATTATAATCATCCGATCATATTTGAATTTGAGGACACATTTTCATTAACCATTCATTTCTCAATAGTTTCTTTTAAGATGCTATAAAATTGATATTTAATATCATACAGAAGCAAAAATCTTATTATAACTCACATAAATATAATTCTTTCTCAGTTCTTTAAAGATCTATTGATAAAAGCTACTGTGTAATAAATTATAAGGATCACTTCTGCTTCTCTGTATAAACTCAAAAGAAGTTTCATTAACCTATAAAACAACCCATTTATCCTCTATTGAGTATATTTGATACTAAAAAGTTGTAATATAATATATTTTATCTCATATGAATTAGAGATGACAATTAAGATTTCTTACTATTTTCTAAGAATAATAATTTCACAAGTTCTTTTTTCGTATAGATAATTATTAAGATGTAGTGATTTATTAGTTATTGGGTTATATCTAAATATAAATTAAGATTTAAAATAAATTAGTACCTGATATGAAAAGGAAAGCCACTATGAAAAGAAATGCCATCTTTAATGAAAATATCCGAACCATAACAGTGAAAAATTAAGAGGAGTATATGAATAAGTTAAAGATGCAAGCAATCCGTTTGCAGATTGAGAAGATTGTGCATCTTGACCCTTTATTAAAATCTCTTCTTAACTCTAAACCGAATCGCAAACATTATGCTCGTCCATTGTATAAAGCTTAAAGCAATCGATCTTTCATTGAATCAAAGAAGCAAGAAGCTGAAACTCAACAAAGAGCTAAAAGTTCTGAGGGTTCTCAATTTGGGGACATGGGTATCAAATATAAGCGTCTTATTTCAAGAGGGATGTTCTAAATAAAGATGCATGTAAATAAAATAAGGAGGAGATTTAGAAGATGTGTGACAGCTGTTTGTCTGTTGCTTACATATTTTAGATATTATCCAATTTTAAGGAAGTGTAAACGATTTTCAAGACCACGCATTTCAATATTGCGCTCAAAACCTATTTTGGAAAAGCTGCCGATTTTACCGTAGATGGATAAAACAAACACCATCGATGACAGTGTGGCATCCAAGGAACAGGTAAACTATTTTAAAAAGAAAAACTCTTCATAAGGAAACTATGATATCTTTATCAAAAGACCAATACAATAATTTATAATGAGATCTAACACTTAAACATATTCCTAGAAACGCATATGCAAAACTGAACATTCATAAATTAAAAGCATGGGCAATATTAATAAAAAATAACTACACGATAAATTGCTTATAAAGTCATCCTCAATTAAATACTTTCTATGAGTTGACGCATTTAATCTTTGTTTTATGTTAAAATTTAATAAACTGAAATTATATACTTATTTTTTAACTTATTTACTAAAGCACTAATTTTAAGTTATAATATACAAACACTAGGACAATTTCATCAGTCCTTCCTTAGATAGCATCGTTCTCAATGAAAATCATCTGATTTTAATGAAAATAAATAGAACATAGTTTATAATTTATTGATATTAATAGTTTTGATGAAACTTGCTATGAGATTCTAGAAAGAATATTGAATTAATGCTAAGCTATGAGACTAAATAAATTGTTTTATCGTAAATATAATAGGAATTTGAGAACTCTTTGTACAGTTAGATTATATTTCAAAAACAATATTTCATTCATCCCATTCGCCAGACATTCCTTTTCTTAATTTCAAAATTAAACAACTATCATTTGGAACTGCTTAATCTTGCAGATTGGCTTTATCATCTAATAACTAAATTAAGTTCTATCGACTCTCTTACTCTATCTCCAAAATATATTCTCATATCCTAAATTTCTTATTTGTAATAAGGTAACAATTTTCTTTTCAGAATCTCTACAGGATCAAGTAATGAGCACTCGAAAAAGAATACTCTATTTTCCCTTTTAATTCTCAAATATATTTTTAATGGTTCCATACAAATGTTAAATTAATTATAAAAATTGTAAAAGTGCTTCGATGGAAACCCTTTTTAGAAACTCAAAATTATGTTGGTATAGATAAACTGCTTAATTTGAAAGAAAAAGAAATCAATGAATGAATATTAAAAGGAATTCTTTGGATATAGTCATATGTTAAATCAGGAAATCAATTATAAGAAAGTTGGGATTATTGAATGAAATAAATTTATGAAAATATTCTTCAATTTGATTGACTTTGTAGCATATATTAGTTGTTGATTTATAGCATCTACATTTATTAAGATTTTATTAGAGATGAAAATAAATCTAACATTTTACTTTGGATTTCCTTAATTATTAATTGGCTAATATTTGAAGGTTTGATTTGTCTTATCACTATATATTCCATTGATAAGAAGCTAAGTTGTTTATTAGAAGTATTGGCATGATTTCTCTATAAAATTAATCACTTATTAAGCAAACTTCTGATGATAGATCATTATGAATCTCAATTGTAACAATAGGAGTAAGATTTAATCATTGAAGTTAGTTTGAGGAGAGAAAGTATGTTATAATTTAGGAGATGCTCAAATAAATGAATTGATATTTAACATTATTTAAAGTACAATCTATAAATCAAATTATGAATAACAAATTAATTTTAAATGACTATTAATTATTATAACTAACAATTTTCAATGGTCCTTGAACATGGGTGATGAAAACAAAGTCTTTTAATATTATTCTTTTCTTTCATCTCCCTAATATACATATCTCATTTTAGTTTCTTGTATTTCTTTTTCGTCATCATAGTCACTGAGATGTTATTAATCATCACACATATTTATTTGATGCACTGAATCTTTGATGTCCTATGAATCTTTTAGGTTCTTAAGGTCCTCTCTAAAAAATACATAAGAAAGTTGAAACCTAATTTGATGAAAACTTTATGAGTCTTCTCTTTTAAGTTCTGGAGTTTCGGTTGCAACTTTTTAATGGCCCTGTAGCATCTATTGATAATACCTAAAGTTGATTAATTGATATAAATATAATAGAGATACTATTGGGTTGTAGATTGGCTATTTGAGATTCGATTAAGAAAAGATTTAAACTTTTCACTTCTTGCTGGAGAAATTGCAGTCACTTCTTTTTTGTTCTACTGGATGTTAGGTTCTTAAGTATCTTCATTTTCGAAAAGTGTTCTGAAAGTGCTTTTCTATTTTTGAAAGGCTTCTTTGGGCACCGTCTCATTTTGGTTATTAGCAAGACCAACGAACTCTTATTCTTGATTGGGGTTGATTCGCTAAACGGATTCTTTTGTTTACCCTGAGGCTGGACTGTGAGGGGCAGACTTTTATGATTCATGAGACATATTGAGTGATTCTTCTTGAATATCAGCATGGGATCCTTTGTACGATTAAAGAATCATGATGGCTTATTGTTTGGAAGAGTTGTCATCTTCTGAAGAAGTGACTTGCTTATTCTTTTCCATTTCCAAAGCATTCATAAATATTTCTTTATTTTCAAATGAAACATAAAGATTGTTGTTGTGAGATGAAAGTGAAGGGTTCACTTTTTGAATGTCCCTAACATTTTGATTGGTCTCAACTTTTTCATTGAAATATTAACAGAAGTTTTGTTGTTTGGCATCAGAATTCTTCTTTTGATTACTGAAATCAGTTTTGATTCTTTAACTAATTGACTCCTCATTCTTTTTGGGGGGAGTGGGTTAGGTTCTGATGGGTTGGGTTAAGTTTATTTATTAGATGTTTGAAATCAGAGGTATTGCAGATTCAACCACCTCAAAACTATGCATACCTTAATAAAATACTTCTATGCAATCAATGACATTGTGGCCTAGATATCCATAGAGCCCATTGAATAGAGTTGAATATATTGGTTCTGAATCTCCTACTAGAATTCTCCAATCTTAGAGAATCTAGAATGATGTTGATTCATAACTTCTCTAAACACTGACATATCCATATTCTCCAGAACTCGTTTCCAATTACTCTCAATTTCTGTTTGTATCTTCTTAGTGTCGAGTTGGTTAGCAGTCAATTATTGGAATAGTTTAGCAATGAAGGACAGGGTTTGCTGCTTTGAACTTGATAATTAATTCATGCTTCTTTGATATATCTCTTCCAAGAAGATTGACAATTGTTATTTGGCTTCCTTACACAATTTCATTTATTTGTCATAATAGTTTTGGAGCTTATTGCCTTGGTTGGATAATTGATTCAGGAGGTCTTGTCTATTGTTCTATATTTAATACAGCAAGGCCAGGAAGACCTTCATTTCTCTTTCCTTGAATTGGATGTCCACTGAAGAGGATTGTCTGTGCATTGAATCTAGTGAGCTCTATTGAAAGGAGAAGGTTTGAGAATCCACTGTAGATTGTTTTAGTTATGCGATTTCAGTAAAGAACATCCCCTTGCCTGCCAATTTGACTGCGCATTTGGAACAAAAGAAGAGATAGTCATTGCCCTCCTCAGTCACATACTTAGCTTTCTTCTCCTTATGATAGATGCAATATCTCTGTGTTTATTAGGGAGGCTTTGCAAAAGGAGATTAAGTTTTGACTCCAAATTGTAAATGCATTCCAATGCTATCTCCAATCTATCATTTATTAAATAGATAGTACACTTGATGCTTGCTCAGAACTACTAAAAGCACTTGGCGATCCTAAATTAAGGATATGGGATTGATTTTCTTTATCAAATTACATTATTTTCATACATTACAATTATTCTTCAACCACAGATTTACTTTTGCTATGCTCAGTATTTTATGAAGTAGTGGTAAACTTTTTAGGAGTTGGAGTTATCGTTGCAGTCTCAGATTTCTTCGAATCTTGCAAAGATTGTTGATGATGGTTTCTAGATCCATATGATAGCGAATTGGTTGAGCTGTGTCCTTTCAGTTTTTGCTATTGTATCTATTGTTAGATGGATAAGTAAGGACCGATATGGTTATTTTTTTATTTTTAATTGCTTCCATTAGCTTTAGGAGATGATACATCTGTTTCTAAGTATATTATTTATTGCATACTAAAATGATTTGAAAGTAATTATGCTACACTCTCCTTGATATCTAATGGAGAATGAGATTTTAATGGATATTTCGCAGTAATTGGAGTTAAAATAATCTATTAGTCTTGGGATTGCTGTCTTTTAGATAATAGATTATTCATATCTGAATCTTGCTTAGTATTTTTAAGTAATTATCTAATTGCATCAGAGTTTGGAGAGTAATCTCTTTTTTTATTTGGATGGTTCAAGGCTGATAATTTCTCTTAAATAGACTCAATATGGGAATTGCTTTTATTTTACAGTGACATATTAGATTTATGATTGGATTATTGAGGTTTCTATGATGGCTTTGTACAATAATTTTATTATTATGGAGGTGATTATCTGTTATCAGTTCCTTCATTGTGTTTTCGCTCAAAACAATTAACATGCAATTAGACAGGAATGAGTTACTGAAGCTTAGATTTATCGGGTAACTTGGAAAGTTAGGAAGCTATGAATTATTAAGTTTGAGATGTCTTAGTTTGATGTGATATTTACGAATTCATTTGTTTTAATATATTTTAACAACGACAATTCAAATTCAAATTTAATATAAATAGTTAGGGTTTCATTTACACTCATCATTAAATTAAAATTAATTAACTTCTACATGCTTCTTATTTGAAGACAACTTGCCACTGCCTATTTCATTAGTTTCTTCGGGAATACAATTTGGATCATCTTATGGAGTTTTATGCTGGTTGAATTGTTTGATCGTGGGAGTAGACTGGGCTTTATTGATGTTATGCAACGAAAATTAAGACCGGAGTTTCCTCATCTCCTTTCGCTTTTGAATACTAGACTCTTGTGCACTCATTCCTGCTTCGATTTGCTATTGAATAGTTATTTCATTTTCATTACCTGCGATATTCGCCTCTCCTACTTTTTAAATTGGATTGCTATTTCTTTTGCCCTGCCTTCAGTTTGAATTATGATTTATTCTTCAATAACCTAATTTTGAATCTCTTTGATTTTCTCCTCCTTCTCTTATTCTATCATGTTTTTTTAATGAGTGTTTTCCTCCTCCTCTTCCTCCTCACTGTGACTGCTCTCTGTATTTTTTATTATCTTACAAAAGCTTTAGCTATTTTGATTCTTGTTGATTGTGGAGCCACATTGAAAAAACTTATCAACCACGGGTTCTTGAAAGCTAAATGAAAGTATATTGTTATCTGGCTTTTTAGAAGTCTTGGGTTTGTTCATAAATGAATATGAAGCCTATACTACATTTATTGTGGGCACTTCAATTTTTTTCTTTTCTGGAGGTGTACTTTGTTTGGGTTATTCCGAAGGCTGTAAAATTGATGGGTTCGTAAATATATTTTTCAACTTTATTTCGAAGTATTCATGTGCTCGATCCTCGCATTCCTTATAATACTCGACTCCTTACTATTAGGTTAAGAGTAGATTATTACCATGTACAATTAAATCAAATTTTTCAGAGCTTCATTGTTGGTGTAATTGCTGAGCACTAAAACGATGTCGTTGCTTAAGATCTAAGAGGCGAAGTCGTCAGGCAACGCTTTACTTTGCTCATGAAATTATCATGAAATAATACTTGGCACTTTGAATTCACTTTGACTTGTGTTTCGAAACTACCATAGAAACAGCATATGATACCATCTTATTAAGAAGTTATGACATATGTTTTGCTACTTTATATATTTTTAATAATTTATATAATATATAATTATTTTCTATAAATTATGATTTTTTTAAACATTTCATTACACATCAAGTTTGTTTTTATTTTCAAACATTTTTTCATAGACTTATTCGTCATTACACAATTTTCTTCTCAGGATGTTCTACGAATATGTGAAATTATATTACTGTTTCAATAAATGGATTAAATTTAGAGAAATGAGATCTACATTAACAAGCATTTCTGGTTTAAATTTCCTCCGCCATCATTTTAAAAACGCGATTTAACTTCTTATGAACAGTCGTCTTGAAGAGATCGCTGTGAAGCCTCACAAATTACAAGAATTTATAGTGTTCCTCGTTAGTCCAGTGACCTAAATTTCATATGAATAAACATACCTCTTTATTTTTTCACCTTTTTCTTTAAATCCAGATCCTCGAACAAATCTGTCTTCTCAATATTATTCTAAGTCTTCACTCTGTCCAAGCTTTAAAAATTATTCGCATCGTTATTGGAAGGAATTTGAAAATGATTTGATTAATTCTTGTTTAAATCTAATTATGGCTCGTTTTAGCATCCCACTTGACATTAATTGTTCTAAACTTACTAATTATTCATCTAGTACCATTATGGGACTAAGTAATTTTAGTAATATTGCCAATAGTCTATTAAGTTAATGTTTAGATGCTTACTGTTTTATGAGGGGATGGAATAGTAAGAGTAATACGGATTCATTTAGAAAGTTTAAAGATAAATGATTTTTTTTAAATAACTTAATAATCTTAAATACGTAAATTAGAGTTGGATTTATATACAATATTATCGGACAAATCTCTTTAATTCGTCAAAAAATGTTAATTTTTAATATATATAATATAATATTTAAGAAAATAAACTCAAGGAATTCTGGCTGACTAGTTATTATTATTCGTCCTAACTGAGGAGGTATTTTTGACCTCGTATACTGTCTATGTGACTATTGGTTGTGCTTGTTGCCTTTTCTTCAAAGATTACAACTCTGTCTCTGCCATAACCAATTTCTCTTGGACTTCAAAATATTTCTTATTTTAGTCTTCAAACTTCTTTTTCCATTGATTTGCCTCCTATTTTTAAATATTAAAATATGTATACATTAACATAATGAGTTACGTAGGTCTCCGTTTTTGATTGGGATGACTATTAATTTTATAACATATTTTCCATTTCCTCAGTTTTTTCATTTAACTCTTTTATTTACTAGTCTTTTTCTAGGAAAGTTCTCTAGACTTTTCTTAATTCCAACTCTAATTTAGCGATCTGATCCTTGTATTATTGGGCTTTATTGTCTTGATTCAATTGAACTTAGAGTTGTAATTAATTGTGTTCTTAATATAAATTTTCGTAGTCTTGGTTACTTTACTTTATTTTGAGTTGCAATTATTCAATTTGTTGTTATTGCAAATTTATTTTATTCTAAAATTCTGTAGGATTGATGATCTTAGTTTTGAGTAATCCATTTTCTCTATTGAGATTATCAATCACTTATCTTAATCTACTCATCTCAGTATTCAATTGAGTCAAACGACTGTCTTTCTCTAATGATTCAGTTTCAATGTCCTAGAATCTCCCCTTCCATCTCTCCATCTCATTATTCTTCTATTCATTCAACACATTAACTCTTTCAACCTCAGTGGTCATCAAAGCCAATTTGCTCTACAATTCCCTAATTTACTATTCCTTTGTTTTTTGTATCACACTACTTTCTTCGTTGAATCCAAAGATCTTAAATTCAAGATCCTTGTACTTCTTTTACCACTCCAACACTAAATCCTTTTGCATTTTAATTTCATGATTCAAAATGATGTTAGTCTCTTTTAAATCTAAAATATATGAATAATAAATTACCTCTCTTAGTATTGGCTAATTCTTATTCTACTCCATATTAGAATCTGACTTCAGCTTCGAAATCAGCATATCTCTTCTTCCAAATGTCAATTTCTTATTACAATTCAAAAGCAATCTTCATATATTTTTGTATCTCATCTCTCAGTTGATTAACTCTTGTTACATCCTCTCCAATTGATATTTTTTCAGTTGCCTGAACACTTCTAAGCTTAATATTCTCCATCTGTAAACTATTCAATTGATTTTCCAATTTTTTAATCTATTCCTAATATGATCGATCCAATTCTTCCCTCTTAATCACTTAGACGGGATGTTCGCTAATATGTATCTCTTCTATAGTAGGTTTGACAGGCAATTGAATGGGTTGCACTGAAGTGATTTATGGTCTAATATAGGGTGACTGATTAATGTATGAAGGTATTGGCTTTTATGGCGAAATCAATTATGGTTGTAGGATTTGTGGTCTTATTGGAGAAACAAATGAATTCACATTATTAGGGGATGTTGTAAATGCCATAGTTTATTGATCAGGGGATGCGTATGGCTTAGATGGTGATTCATAAGTCTTCATTCCAGTCATTGGAGTTAGATGATGCAAATGTGAATCAGCCGTTGTTGGTATTTAATATTATTGTTTCTAATCAGAGTTCCTATAAAGAGTGGGTCTTTGTTCAGTTGTTATATTATCGTACATTGGTATTTTTATTTTTGCAAATAAATTTTTATTTCCAAAAAATAAAAAGAAATCATATTTATAATGAAAAAATGGGGCAACCTGAAAATTGTAAAAAATATTATATAATGAGTACGCCAGAAAACTACAAATGAAGCAGAATCTCGTAAAACATCAAACCTCAAATCTAGAACTCCATTGAATGATCCCTGTAATCCCAATCATCTTAGACATCAAATCAAAGAGTATTTTCCAAATCAATAATACTCTCTCCATATTCCGTGTACTCAAAATACATCAACTCAAATTACCTAACCCAACGATAAGTCTCCTCCGAATTCTAAACTTATAAGTGTAGTTGATGCCTGTAAAAACTTGATCTAATTTAGTATCTCTACTTTAAAAAGACGAAATTTACCCTACAAGTAGACCAAATAATCGTGCATTGAATACTAAATAAATAAATAATATCTTAACATAGGATTAAGTTCCTCGTGATTGTGTTCGTAAATAAATTTCTATTAGTTCAAAGGTTTATACACTCAACTCCAAAAACCCTAGCCTATCATTTAAATGAACACATAACATAACTCCCCGAAGAAAAGTCTAAAAACCAGTCCAGATACTAAGTACCCTATCAATTCGGAGACATTCAAAAATCGTCTATCACGCAAAATACCTGGAAATCTTTTTGAAAGACTTGACTAAATTCGATAAATTACCTCCGATTCTGTTAGATATAGAATTTCAAACCTTAAGTAGAATTTCGGAAGGAATATGTAATAGAAACATTATAAGGTCAATAATTTAACAATTACAAATTAAGATAATTTTAAAGAAGATATTGAGTCCAAATCTATTAACAGACCTAAACCAAAATTACCTTAGACATCTCAGGTTGTCCTAGAATATTATTAATCTCAATTGGCAGATTTTGAACAGAATGAGATTAAGGAGATTGATACTATTTATTATCTTAGACCTGAAACAATCACACTACCCTAAGAAACTTAATAATATATTAATACTTTTGATACAAAAGAGTATCATTCTATTTTAATATGTAGGGGTGATTATATATTTAGATAATATGATCATATAATGTATCGTTATGAGATGATAGAAAAATTGGGACATGGCAGTTTCGGATAAGTTTTTAAAGTAATGGATCATAAGCAAAACTAAAATGTTGCTATCAAAATCATCAAAAATGATGAAAAATTGTAAGATTAGGCATTTACTGAAATTGAAATCTTGAAAGTAGTCAATAGAGCTGATAGTAGTTGTTGTTTGGTAAAAATGCTTAGTCATTTTATTTTTCGAAATCATGTAGTATGATAATCATTATTATTAGAGTGCATCGTTTTTGAATTATTGAGTTGTAGTCTTTATGAATTTATAGCATGCAATGATTTCTAAGGATTTGAACTTGATTTGATCAGAAGATTTGCTGTTCAAATATTATAAGCACTTATGTATTTATCAGAATGCAATATTATCCATTGCGATCTCAAACCTGAAAACATTCTACTAAAGGACTTATTGAAATCTGGAATCAAAATAATCGATTTTGGATCAAGTTGTTTTATAAATTCTAAATTATACACTTACGTTTAAGTAAATTCTCATCTAATATGATTTATACAGAGTAGATTTTACAGAGCACCTGAAATTATACTTGGTATACCCTATACAACTGCAATTGACATGTGGAGTTTTGGTTGTATTGTTGCTGAACTGTGTCTTGGCAATTCATTATTTCAATCAAAAAATGAAAAGCAATTGTTGTTTCTACAAGTAGCTATTCTTGGATCTCCTACTAGCCAATTTCTAGATTCTTGTCCTAAAAAACATAAATTTTTCAATGCCAATTATGAACTTCTGGCTCAAATCAAAGAATCTGACTTAATAATTTCACATAAACCTTTGAAAGAACTTCTCTAAGCATAATCACCCACCTTTTATGACGTAACTTCATAGCTTATATAGATAAGTTCATTAGTAAATGCTTGTCATGGGATCCTAAATTGAGAATGAAACCATCTGAAGCTTTATTACACCCATGGATTATCGAAGGCTTACCAAAAGAAATTAAGTAATTATATTTCTAAGTATATACCAGAAAATAACACATCTAAAGGATGAAGGTTTACTCAAAATAAAAGAATATAGATTTATAGGGTTAAGCCAAACAAATTAAATGAACAATATCTGAAATACTTCTTTATAAAATATTTGAGAACAAATATTTCTTTCTTGTAATATCTCTATAAAAGATAAATGATAAAAATAACATAGTAATTTTTAAAATTTATTCCCTAAAGTTTATCTGAAGTAACAAATTGTGAATACTACCCTAACAGTAGCCATTTAGAAATCAAACAGAATTAAAGGCTGTCTCAATCTATAAAAGCTTGTTGCTTCTGAATGACATCATTATATAATGAGATTTGTATAATGTTATTAAATTGTGTCTCAATTATCTATTGACAACTTTGCCTTTCAAAATTTATTTTATGAAAGTCTTCAAAAAATTAATTTTGAGTTCATAGGCTGAATTTTAGAGATGATTATTTTATCCAAAGCAAAAAGTGGAAATCAATTCATCGATGATTTAGTTTTGAATTATTTCATCAAGTTCTATCAATTTCGAAGACAAGCTTCTACCAGGTTCTAAACCTTATAATCCTATAATATTATCTATTCAATAGTTTAATTTATATTTAATTATTAAATTATAAATAAGACAAAATAATTTATATAAAATTAAAAGTATTTATGAATATCTAAATTAATTATGCTTAGTAATAATGAGAATAATATCAGGTATTATATTACAGACTATCTATATTATACAATTCTATTACCACCCTAAAATTATGTAAATGGGCTATAAAATATCTTTTACAACTTAACGAAATTATGCTTAAATTGGGTTTATTCTATTTATCTAAATTCAACTTGAAATGATAATTTTATCAATTTTTATCAATTGAGTTTGAGTCTTTAGTTAAACGAAATGAAGGATATAATATCTCTAATTATCACATTATATAGGTTTAAAATTCAACAAAAAAATAAAAAATATATTGCTTGATTATTGATTGATAAAATAAAATGTGATATTAATTGAATCAAAATCAGACGTTACTAAAATCAATCAATTATTCTGGATGCAATGTTCCCTTTAAAACAATAAGTTATTTATTTTCTGAGCACAAATTTCCTGGCCAATATTATGCTGCAGATTTTTATTAATCGAATATTCCCAGCTGTTTGTAAAGCGCTGCAACCAATTCAGAACAGAAAAAGGTCCTTTCTTCCTGTAAAAATATAAACATCAATTTACCTTATTAGTCTATTTATTAATGTCTTAAACTGTAGATTTCTATTTAAGTAATTTCATAGGAGTGAGTGAATACTTTTTACCCATATTTTCATTCAAAAATTCTTACACTGTTTTTAAAAAATTGTGATCTCTATCTATTTCCAATTTTCTAATCATAATCTTTTCATACAATTCAAACCATCTTTCATTAATCATATCCTCTATAGAAATTAATTATTCTAAATACTCCAAGAACACAATCCTACTCCATAACAACCAGTAGCCTCAAGTATGAACAATGAACCTGATGGAAATCGTAACAAGACTGCTGCATGATCATAATCAGACCCAGTTAATCCTCTCTAAATTAAACAGTTAGCTCCATTTCCTCTAAATAGAAGTATGTCACCAGTATCTCCTGTTTTCAAAAATTAGTCACACGATATCCTATCCGTCTAAAAATAATAACATGCAATACCCTCCAAAATCTAGGATATTTAATTAAGCTATTAAGTATCTTTTTTGCTCCTTCAGATGTGTCCTTGTTTTCCCTGATAACATGAAACCATTTCATTGTTTCTTAAGAAGTGCCAGCTTTAAAAATAAAGTTCTTTGTGGATCCACTAGGAATTAATCTACAAATAGTGTAAAAGATGATACACAAATTCAATAATATTGCCATTTTGGTCTTTGGTTTCTTACAAGGAATACGACATGATATTGAAATCAAGAACTCCAAATGGCGAGTTCCTATTTTCTGGTAAGTAGTAAACCAAGCGATTATTTTGGCAGACTGCCCATCTCTGTTGCCATCCTTATAAGAAATGTGGACTCTTTTTAAGAAGCATTCCGTCTAATTTAGGAGTTTTGTATGGTTCCTCTTTTTTCGTTACAACTGAGATGTCATGTTCTGCAACCACAATGGCATTTTCATCTATCTCAGGAATTTCATTATGGCCCATAAAATATGTGGACTTGAGTCCATTATGCTCGACGATAGTTTGGTGTAATTAATTCTGAGTTTGTCCCTTGTTTTGGGCTCGATTCTTTTTATCCATTTGAGAGATAGCAAGAGCTGCTCTAAATTTTGCCTGGAAGTTGTTTTATTACATTTAAAATATTAATAATAAATGAGAAAGAAGAGAGCATTAAATGAATTCGAATTTGTCGAGAAAAAGGACAATGGCAAAGCCTAGGAAGAATTGGGGAAAGGAGCATTTGGAAGAGTACGTCTAGCCATTGATAAGTTGACTGACACGAAGGTAGCAATCAAAACGGTATTTAATTGAGAATTTATTACGCCAGATTCCCAAAAAATTGCTTAAAGAAAATGCATAAGCTGAAAATATTAAGCGAGAGATAAAGTTGCATAGGAAATTAGATCATCCACATATTGTTAAATTGTATCACTCCCTCGAAGATGATACCAATGTTTATCTCGTGTTAGAGTACGTTCCTATGGGGAACTTATTTGTTTATTTAAGAAAGCGCAAAAATTTGGAAGAGTAAGAAGCCTTCGTGTATTTCCTGCAAACTGCATTAGCTATAGATTATTTGCATAAGAAGGGTATAATACATAGAGATTTGAAACCGGAAAACATTCTATTAGATGCATAAGGTAATATTAAAATATGTGATTTTGGATGGTCTGCCGAGCTCTAACCAGAAAGGAGAACGTTTTGTGGAACACTGGATTATATGTGTCCAGAAATGCTAAACAGTTAGAGTCATGATCATAGAGTAGATATTTGGGCTATGGGGGTTCTGCTGTTTGAAATGCTACATGGTCATGCTCCTTATAATAAAAACAGAGCTTCACAGGAAGTTGTGATTTAAGCTATCTTGAATGCAGCAACTACAAAAATACCTTTTAATGATAAAATTTCAAATGATGCTAAAGATTTAATATAATCACTTTTAAAAGTTAATCCTAAAGATCGATTATCAATGGATGAGCTTTTTACTCATCGATGGGTTAAAACTAATGCAAAGGCATTATCAATTAATATACCTGAGTTTGTTTATGAAAAAGGAGTAAATGAAACTGTTTAATCGATTTAGGATATTTCTATTGATTTTATAAATCTTACACAACCATCTAATAATTATTAATCTTAAAAAATTCCATAAACCTAATAATAAGTATTATAAAAATAAGACAATTCAAATTTTTATTCTCAAAAATTACCATCATCTTCACCATCATTAAATAATTCAACATATTAATAATAATAATAATAATAATAATAATAATAATAATAATAATAATCTACTACTCCAAATAAAAAACCATCATTTGATTAACTTTTTTAATCAACTCATAATAATAATGTTTAATTACCTTCATATGAATAAACTTCAAAATCTCCTACCAGATTAACACCAGAATAGCAAAGATAAAAAAACGATTTATTAGGCATTTCTTCTGTGGAGAAATCTAAATAAATGGAATAATCCAATAGAATTAACTATTAAATGTAACAAAGTTAAGATATGTAAAAATCTTAGCTCAGAGATCAATCACCCAATTAATCTATGATGAATTCAAATTATTAGGGAGTCTCTCCAAATAGAACAGATGTTAGTCCCTCAAGTAGAAAACCCATTTTTAATGATAAAATGGCTTAGTCTCAAATGATAATCAATAAATACACATAACAGTCCAATAATTAATCAGGAATGTTTAAAAGCCAAGACATCGCTAATCAGCAACCCTAATAATCCGACGAGTTTACCAAATATATGTAATAAGAATAAGAAAGAAAACGAAAGGAAGAAGAGTTTAGAAGACAATAATTAGCTGATTTATAAAAAAGGGAAGAACAAAGATTATTAGATGAATAACGACAAAGAGAAGAAAGATAAAAGCAAGAAGAATTAGAAAGATAAAGGAAACAAAGAGAGTAAGAATTAGAAAACTAAAGAAAGATTAAAGAATTTGAAGAAGAATAAAAACGTTAAAGAGAATAAGAAAAGTTAAGAAAATAAAGAGAATAAGAAGAAATGTTATAGAGGTAAAGAGAGTAAGAGTTAGAAAAATAGAGAAGAGACTAAAATTTAGAATAGATTAGAAGAGAAAAGGAAGAACAAGATAAGTTAAAAAGGGAATAATTGAGAAGAGAATAGGAAGACAAAGATCGTAAAATTAGAGAATAGGAGGAACAAAGAAGAAGGGAAGAACAAGCAAAGAGAGAGTAAGAAGAAAGATAAAGAAGAGAATAAGAAAAATGGGAGTAGGAATAGAGAGAGAGGTTGAGAAAAGAGAAGGAAGAATAAGAGAAGAGAAGACAATATGAAGAATAATAATAAGAAAGGTTAAAATAATAGGAGAGATAAAAGTAATAATATGAGGAACAGCTTCGATTATAGAAATAATAGGAATAGGACAGAAAGTTACGTGAATATGAGGAGTCGAAAAAACAATTAAATAGGTCTAATTCTAAAAATGTTAGAAGCCAAGAAACTGAGGAAGATAGATAAGCCAAAAAGTTAAAAGAGCTTGAATAAAAAGCAAGGCAGGAGTACCAATAACATTTGGTAAATCAAAGCACTAGTAGTTATGCAAGTAAATAAATGACAGAAAGCAAACAACAAAGAAGATAAATATCTGAGGATGATCTTTTTGTTACTAATAATAATAATTCATACATCCCGTAAAAATAGAAGAAAGATATGACTGAAGAAGATTATGATTTAGAATAAAAGCTACATAATATGTTGGTTCAAAATCTTTAATTGGAACTACCTCCAGTTACAAAGACGATGAAACCTGATGAAAATAGCAATCTAGATTGGGATGTTAGTGTGATTGAATAATAGCAGAAACAAGCTCCATTAATTGAATAATATGAAAATATGCAATAAGTTTAAGTTTAGACTTAACAACATAATAAATCAGTATCACCGAACTGTCGATAAACAAGATTCACTCCAAGAGTTACTAAAATGGAGGATAGGCCCACTCATATTAATAACATGTTGGATGATTAATTGGATGAATGGGATCTAAGTGAGGATCCTTAAGTAAAATTGCTCAATCAATTGCTGGAGCAACCAGACAGACCTAAAAAAGATAAGCCAAAGCATAATACTAATTCAAGTGTTAATAATGGATATTCATCTTCATCTTAATAATAAATATCTATGTCTACCCAACCCACAAATAAATTTAGCTTTGGAGAAAATAAAGCAAAATAAAATTTAAAACCAGAAACAGTTGAAAATGTAGAGGAAAGCTTTAGACAAGATAGATCAATGAGAATGAACACTTCAAGAGACAGAAGTAGAAATAAGATACCTGCTAAATCTAACCCAAAATATAAGCAATTCTAATAACAATAGGAACCAGTTGAGGAGTAGTATGATGAAGATTAATTAGAAGATTTGAAAAGATCCAAATCCTCTAATCAAGAAAACACCTATGATTAAAAATTGAAGCAATTTTCAAAGTATGATTGCGATCCATATTCGGTGAATTATCATAATTAAACCTAAGAACAGTATATTGAAAAATATTATAAAATAGATACAAACCAAGAAAGAGTCGAATAAGTGAAAGGCAGAATAGAACTATACCTTAGAGATCATAGCAAGAAATGGACTTTTTTGACAGATTAAAATTTGCCTTTGGATGTTTAACTAGAAGACAATGAACATACAAAAATTTATAACTAAGTTATTTTAATTTCAATCAATATATTTTATAATTATTATTAGATTTATTAATAATAGAATTAGATAAATAATTTATTATTGTTTGAAAATGGGTATTTGCTGCTGCTGTAGAAAGAAAGAGACGAATAACGTAATAAGCTTATATAAAGCTAATAAAGAATGTAATAATTTAATAAATGAACTTTATAATTAAACATGGAGAAAAAGGGATGTTTAAGAAGAGTATAAATAATTCATCAGAGGTGTTCAAACTAAAACAGAACTAAGAAAGAACTATAATTTATCCATTTAAATGTCTGCTGAATTAGCAAAAATATGCAACTTTTTCAGAGAAGTTAGAGGTGATGGAAATTGCTTTTATACTGCTTTTGGATTTTAATATCTGCGCATGATTTTACTGAAGGATAAACCTAATTAATTTGCAGAATTTACTAAGAAATATGCAAATATTTAGATGAAAATATTTTCGGATAATTTTAATACTGAAAATGAAAAGATCTAGGCTAACTTACGGACAGAATTCTTCAAAATGATAAGTCAATTAAGAATGATCAAAGATAAGCAAAAAAGGGAAGAATCATTTATCAAGTAATTCTAGTGTTACGAGGATTAACAAGAAATGGATTGTTGCTTATACGGATTATCAACTATTTTTTTTAGGAACCTTGCTAACCTTGTTGTTGATGAAAATGATTTGGCAACCTTACTATATGATAGAGAGAATTTGCTAATTTGGGAGACAGAGTGTAACAATAATGAAGTGGTAATATCCGCCCTTGCTAAGAGCTTAAAAATGTATTTATGTTTATAAATTTAAGAAAAATATTATTAGTATTTTTTTAAAATGCTGGATTTGAATTGAAAAAGTATGAGGAGTAACATGAAGACTAAGTTATTTTGTTGATTAAACCAGGTCATTACAATATTGGATTATATTTAGAAAACTGATTTACAATCTTAATCATACGAAATAATATATCATCATTAACAACTCCTTTTAATGAGCTATATTATTTTTTTTTCATTTTGAACAGAATGGGGTTTTTAATAATAAATGATTTTCACTAAAAATAAAGCTGTCTAATTTCGGTTTAGTGTTAACTTTTACAATTTAGGTTTATGTAATTATTCAATATATTAATATTTTTATTAATTTGTTAATTACTTTTCATAAATTATTAGTGTTAATGTCCTCTAATATTTTTTAGAATATATGTCGAATTCACAACAGTGAAGTAATTGCTATTAAATTGTCTGGCAATAAGTAACTAGATGATTATCTAATGTGTGTCTATTGCTTAACAGGAAATGTGCAATAATCTGTTGTACCAATAAATGAAATCTAAAGGCTTTATGAAACGAAATCTACGACTATTAAATAGTTGGAAATGGAAAAGCACTAACTAATGAAAACATCTCTTGGTAAATTAATGGATACCTTGAACCAGTTGAAAAACGATTTAAATGTTTAGTTGGATAGAGGAATCCGATTGATTGAAAACCAATTACAGATAGAAAATCAAAAATCTCATTGCGAGCATAATGCACCTCAAGATGGTGAAAAGACATTAACTGATTATATTTAGCTCGTGGTTAACAGTGAAATTAGTTACTGTTAACAAGAAAGAAAAGAGGATTAATTTAATTGGATGCAATCATTATGTTAAGAATTAAAGAGATTCAACAAAATATCAGAAGTGTAATACTGCTATTTCATATTGGAAGATCTCAAAAAATAATATTTAATAAAAGATTAGAATATAAAGTCTCAAAATTAGATTCAACAATTTTACTAGTCGATTTCTCCTCAATAATCAAATGAGAGAACTCCTAGATTAGATTTTAATTGTAAAACTCACAGCAAGGAGATAATAATGTTTGATTTGAGTCCAGAATCAGAGAAGAATAGGCGATTATGCTGTGTGGAATGCATGCCATCTCAATATGTGTCATTAAGTAAGGCATAGGAAAAATGGTAATAGTTTGAAGCCAAAAAGTGTAACTATTTCTAATAGTAAATATAAGATAAAGAATAACAATATGAACAAGTCTTGGAATAAATCTTTAAGATTGAATATTAAATTATAGAATAGGTAAAGGAACTGAGGGTAAATTTCGAATAGAATCTATTGATGATGAAATAAAAAAATGTTTTAAATCTCAATTTAATTAATTAAGGTTTTTAAAATCTAAATTAGACTGAATTATTAGAAAGAGCTGAAATTTTAAGTAAATCCGAAGAAATTTAATAAAGAATAATATTTTAAGAATATTAGGATATCTAAGATTCTGTTCTCCATTAGTTGAAAGAATAGATATAATAATTATATCATTATTAATAAAATTTATATGATAATCTAAGATCTACATTATGTAATTCTCAAGAAATAAGTAAAGCAACAAGTTAATCAGATTAATAAAATAATATCAATAATATTCAGTACTTTATTACGGAAAATCGAGAAAATTCCTATAGTAATTAAATGGAATTTTGTACTCAAAGATCTCAAGAATCTCTAGAGTGGAAAAATGGTAATGAAAACTAGTTCAATAATCTCAATTAATAGAAATTACATGTAATTAATGAAAATCGTTAGACTAGAAGTGCCTCTGCTTAGGTAAAATCAAAAATGAAGGAGAGTGACAAATAAATATTAGAAGAACAATAAATAGAACTGTAAAGTGAAAATAATTATGAGTTAATTGATAAATTTCCTTAAGAATAGAGTTGTCATGCGATCTCGTTCAATTATGATAACCAACTAATGATTAGTGGTTGCTAAAATGACATAACTGTTTGGGAAATCAAAAACGAAAAAATAACCAAAAAATAGCAATTAGAAGGTCATACGAATTTGGTGATATCTTTGTTTTTCAGTTTTCAAAAAAATGAGTTCATATCTGGTAGTACTGATAAATCGATTAGATATTGGTAAGTTATAGAGAATGAATGGGTTTGTGCATAAGTTTTATAAGGCCATAAAAGATAAATCGATTGTTTATTATTAGATAATAAAGGCAACTAAATAATATCATGCAGTTGTGATAAATCAATCAGAATTTGGAGGAAAAATGAATAATTAAAATGGATTTAAGTTCAAGTGCTGACAAATCATTAAGCCTATGTTAGATGTATTAGCTTCAGCAAGTCGTAAGAATAGTTTGTATCTTGTGGAGAAGATAAGATGATTATAATTTGGGAAATTGATGAATTCAAAGAATGGAAATTGAAATAAATAATTAGGAATGAAGACTATGGATATAGAATATGTTTTGTTGATGATAATTTATTAATATGGCAGCCAAGAAATATTAATAAGGCTATCATCTTTTAGTTGGACAGCAACTTGAATTAATTTAACTAGAGTAATTAAAATATTTAATTAATTTAATCAAGTAATGGATATTAAAACTTTTTTCCATCAATTTATAATGAATAAAAATAAGTAGTAATTAATAAACATGGAAGATATGTATATGTTTTAAAAAAAGAATTTAACAATGCTTTTCTAATTTCTTAAGTGATTGAAGTGGGTCATTATTGCAATTATGGTTCATTATCCCCAAATGGCGAGTATTTAGTAATATGGGACGAAGGATCGAAAAACTTTTAAATTAGAAAAGCCAAATTTTGATGATTTTTAATAAGATTATCATTATTAATATTTTAATTGTTCAAAAAAATCAATAATATTCATTATATTGAGTAATGAATATATTATTAATACATTTTAAATTAATCCGTAATTGAATGATTCTAAGTGTTTTTTCTGATTTGTTTATAGAAGTTAAATCAGTATTAAATTGGCAAAGATTTATAACTTTATTCCCTATTAATAAAATTTCAAAAGTATTTCAATATGGGAACTTGCTAAGTTAGAGCACAGAATATCGATAAAAATAAAGATGATGAAGATTAAATCGAAACAACCTCACAACCAAATATTTAATAATTACAACTTACTCCTCTTGTCTGTAACATAGTAGGGGATTAGGATAGAATGGACGATTTATTCTTAGATTTAGAAAGATAACCCTCTTTAAATCCTATTTAACAGACCACAAATCTATAAGAAAATGTAAAATAAATTATTATGGTAAGTTCCTTCTCTCATCCAAGGGTTAAATTACTCATGATCCTTAATCTTAGACTTTAGACCATGCATAGCAAGCAAATAAATCACCGAAGAAATCAAAAAACTTGAATGCTAAATTTAAAGAAATGATTTATTGAAATCCATCGGTGGAAAGTACATTAAATTGATTTATATTCATATAAAATACTATAAGTAACTCAATTTAGACTATTTTTCAAGTTCATTGGATTTCTCAACTTCTATTACAACATATTAAAAATATTTTAATATTTATTAAAAAATAATATCTAACTAGTTAAGTATGATAATTTAAAATATTAAATAATTACTAATCCATAATAATCTTAAATCTCAGATAAATAGATTTCTACATTAATAAGATTTGATATTAAATCTGACAATAACTAACATAAATAATATTTTTTACATCAAGAAAATCTTATAATAGAAATTATAAAAAGTCAGATTCAATTTTAAATATATTTTTCTTTAGTTATATTAAGAAGTGCATAATACAAAATGATGCCATGTCAGAAGAATTATAAATTATAAATCTCCCCTAATATCACATTACTTTATCTTCTACCTGGATTTATTTGGATTCCAAAAGTCCCATAATCAAGAATATGAAATCAATAAACATACATTTCAGACTTCTAATCCTTGAATCTTGTTCTTATTAAGGTAATTTTATTCTAAAGTACAATCCTTAAAGCCAAGTGTCAAATTTCCAAAAATTGCTTCATTCTCTTTTAAGATATTGCTCCTTGAATTCCACCTATTAATATCTTCTTATCTTTTTGGAAGTATTCAATTTTTGAAATGTTCAAAAATAAAAAATTTAAAAATATTACAAAGTCAGAGATAAAATAATATATATTTAAAAGCTTTTAATATCTTTGAATCAAATTTCTTCATCAACTATTTCATAACTTCCCGGTCCCAAATCAGAATATTTCTCATCCTTAAACCTTTTGATTTACCAAAACTTGAATTTATGTTACTTTTTTTAATATATTCAGATTAACAAAGAAAATCTTTAATTTCATAACTACCAGGTCCTAATGGGTTATTGGAGTAGGATTTTTTCTCCGAATTTGACTTTTATAAGTTTTCATTTTTCTTGTCAACCTAATCAATCTAAATGAAATCTTTAATCTAATAGCTTCCAGGACCTGGAGGATTAAATTTAACTTGAAGGCTCCTTCTGATTGTTTCCATCTTCTTTCTTCTTGCAGCTTATTTGATTTACATAGCTGATTTTGGTCTCTTTTGTCTTTCTGATTGTTCTCTGGTTTCTTTTTATTTCATTAATTCTTAGATGTATTTATCCTCTTTCCTATTGTAAAAAGATCTTACCATAATTTTAGGCTTAAGAAGTCTTTCAATTCTATCTATTTTTTTTCTATTTACTTTATAATCAATTTTATAAGCCCCAGGTCCTGGTGTTATAAAGTGAGAGTTAGGCTGTGATTGATACCTTGCAGTCCCAATAGAGATGCTTCTGCAAGATTTTTAGTTTAATTCATAAGTGCCAGGTCCTGGAGATTGCTGGTGGTATTCACTATTTTGTCTTGAATTGAAAACAAATGTTTTTGATTGTGTTTTCTATATTATATTGTATTATCCAGGTCCTGGATTTTAGAATTTTTCTACTTTTTTTCTATTACTTTTAGAAAAGGTAATGCAAGGACGATTTTGTTGTAAATGAGCTGGAAATTACATTTCGTAAGAACCAGGACCCACACTCTTTTTTGATCGTTAAGAATTTTATCTATAAAAGGTGTATGAATTAGAGGTTTCAGGAAGAGACCAAACTTGTTCTTAAGAGTTGATTCTTATTCTCTTATTTGAATGTAGTTTATTTGTCATTGCTGACCGATTTGACTACGCAGTCAATCTCAAATCATTAAAGAACTTATTGACATATGGCTAACTGGAAGCCACTCTAATATGATGATCAATTTTGACTACATATAAGCAACAGGAAGAACCTCATCTCCAAAGTGAGCATCTAGCATTAAAATTATAGTTTCTTAGTTATAATGTAAATTAATATATTTGTAGTAATATTTCTTGAGTGCATTCAATTTAGATTTGAATAATTCATCAATTGTTATTGGTTTTCAAATAGTTGATGTAACCATTTAAAGAGCTTTTCAATAAAATTACTCGTTCAATGTGATAAAAGATGATATTTTGCTTGTCAATATTTGTATTCTATAACTTCTTATTAATTTATAAAATATATTTATAAATAGACCTAAGGAGGTTTCAATCAGTTTGCATTATAGAATTCTTTGAGATTAATAAAAATTAAAATTCGAAAAATATGTAAAATGATCAATAATAAAATCAGAAAAATTACCAATCCTAACAAATATATGATTTTACATAAAGTTCCAACCACAAAAAAAATATCAAAATTCTCAATTAGACTTAGATGGATGCAGATCAATATTCTTCTAATTAATAGTTTAAAAATTAGTCACAAGAAGGTAGATATAATAATTAGATGAATTAACAAAATCAATACTATTATCCTTAACAATAAGGATAGCAATTTAATGAGGTAAGGAATTCTTAAAACGAGTTTTACAAATACTCAAATAACAATTCTAATTAATAGTAATAATTTCCGCCATATTTTTGGAATTAATAGCAATAATACTTCTATTAAGTATAATAATAGTAATAATAATAATAATAATAGTAATTACAACATTAACAATCAAACAGGTAAAATAGTCTAGATTTTTCATAATAGTAATGCTAATAGATGTTTTAATAAAGTACATAAAGTAATAATAATTGGTATCATTAATAAAACAACTCATCTGGTTTCGTAGAAATTTCATAAAATTATCAAACAACTGTTAATTCTTAATAGATTTTGTAAATCCCTCAAATGCCTATTTAAGTTATGACCTATTTACCAAAATAGAAATAGGATGATTAGAATAAACACTCCTGTCATTAATTAATTGAATATTTTTTTTCGCTTGCCGACATTGAAATAAAAATTACAAATATCGATAGATCAGTATTAGATTATTTTGAAGAAATTAAAAATAATTTGGAAAATTTAAACTTAAATATATAATATCAGAAAGATTAAACATAGTACCTTTAATAGAATCTTATTTATCAAGTTTATGATCAGCCAGAAAACAATATTTCAAAATTAGATAAAATGACTATTCTACAAAGCCAATTAATTAAGAAATTTTATAGAGATGCTGAAAAACAATAAGTAAAAATTAAGATTCACGAATAAAATTGTCAATATAAAATATCTCCATAATCACAAATGGCAGCAGCAACTAAGTTTTATCAGAATTTTAAAAAATAATTGGACAGCTATGTTGTTTTGATAGCATAACTTAACTCCGAATTTGAAGCTAAATAAAAATTTAAATTATTAAAAAAACAAAGAACCCAAGAACTTTTTTGTAAAGCACTTGATGTGAAAGAACCGATTATTTTTTTGACCTCTGAGATTGACCTAAATAATTTTCATAATAACCCAATTTTAGAAGAAAAGGCTATTGACATTAAAAGATAAGTCAATTAAATAATAGTAATAAGTTAAGTATATGATTCTAACTTGAAAATTCATGTTCTATAATAAAAACTTGATGAGTTTTTTTAGAATCCCTAGATTATGAAGAATATCGAAGAGACTTTTGACATTGATTGTTCTCTACCAAAGGATATTGATGAGATAGACAGAAGCATAAGAAAGCTGAGAGAATAAGAAGAATAATTTGAAATAATAGTTAAAAACCCAATTTTATAAGTTCAAAATAGAAAGTATTAAGTAGAGGCTAAGTTGCAACTATGGATAGAGGGCGATTAACCAGAATATATTATAATGTAGAAACTGTAAGCTGTAAAAAGCAAATTGAATGAAATCTACAATCCAAATATAATTATAAGGGTAACAGATTTGGATAAAATAAAATTGTGGAACAAATTTTTAGGTTAAGAATTTGAAAAACAGCATAACTTGAAGGAATGCATAACAAAGTAGAATAATTTTGAATTGACCATTGAATTAAATGGAAAATAAAATGCAATCTTGGAAAAGTAACAGTAAATTTAACAATATTTAGATCAATTTAAATGTATTCTATTATATTGTTAATGTGATAAAGAAGTAGCTCTTGTATTATAGAGCAAGGAATCTTAATTTCAAAGATTATTTGGTACTACATTAATAGAAATTGCTTAAGAATTTGGACAATGTTTAATTAAAATGATTGAGGTTAATTCAAAATTATAATTGGTAGTTGAAGTTTATTATAATTAAATTTAATACAAGCAAACTATTATCAGTCAAAGGATTTAAACCTTTTTTGAAAAATTGGAATATTAATATGTTGAAATTGACTTTAGAGAATTTCTAAATCTTTTAGAAATGAATGAGACCAAATTTTAGGAAACATTTCAAGTTGTAGTATAATCTGTTAATTGCAAACTGAGTGCATCAAAGTTGGATTAAAAACCAGGAACTTGGATTGTTGGAAAAAGAGAGAGTTTAGAAGAGATAAGTAACTGTTTGCTCTAGTTTGAATAATCAAAACAATAAAATTATGTTTCGGAAACCATAGATTGTGATAATATGTTGGTTTTTAATAAGATTAAATAACTGTAATCTCGGTCTGCAAATCTAAATGCTAGTGATGGTAATGTAATACTTAGTTTCCCTTAGGAAAACAAGATTATGATTTAAGCATCTGAAAAAGAGATTAAACAAGAAAGAGATAAATATGATAAGTAAATTAGGGAACTAAAAAGTTAAGTTAAAACTAAAATTTGTGATTTTTCTGATAAAGAAATCAAATTCATAGACAAAAATTTTTAACCATAATTGGAATAATTAAAAAAGAATAATGAAATACAACTTTTTATGACTTCTCAAGTTCAAGTATAACCAATATAAAATAACTCAATAGCATGTACATTGGAATATAAAAATAAATGCATACAGATAATTTATGCTGATATTTCTAAAATTCAGTGCGATGCTATAGTAAATTCTTGTAATAATAAAATGTCTTTTGGTGATCATTTACTATTGAGTGGTGTTGCTTAAAGTATATTTGAAATGGGAGGGACCTAATATCAATCATTTTGCTCAGATTACATAAAAAAGTACAAGGAATTAAAGTTAGGAGTTGTGTGCACATACAAAATGCCTGCCTAAAGATAAATAAAGTATATATTGAATGTAGCTACTCCTATTTATTCTAAAGGTGATGAAACAGATGAGGATTTGAAAAAGATTGAAGAGAACATTAAGGCATTGTTCAAAGAAATTAAGAACCTAGACATAGAAACTGTTTCGCTTCCTATCTTTGGAGGAGGAGCATGCGGTTACAGTTTCAATTAGGCTGCAATGGTAGTTTTGAATACTACGATAAATCAATTATATTCTGAAAATAATTCAATAAAAACAATTTACATTGCAGAGTTGACTGATGTAAAAATCGACTCATTGACTAAAATACTTAAAGCGCTATTACACCCACCTATTGCAGAGAGATAAATAATATATCAATGGTAATGGTATGATCGTGTTAAATTTAAAGATTATGATGATGAAGAGATCAACAGATAAATAGATGAAGCATATGAACAATTTTTATCGACAGGCCAAGAGTAAAAAATATTATTGAAGTTTCCATATTCGAAAAAGCCTGGAACCCACAGAATTGATTTTCAGAACAGAACAGTTACTGACATTTCTTTATAAACAACAACAGCTTTAATCACGAAACTGATCTCTAATTCAAGAAAGTATTTTTTTGGTTAAGAGTAGGTTGATGATTAGCTGAATGAATACATGATGATCTAAGAACAGAGTAATGTGACCCAGTTTGATATCTTTTATAAATAACATTATGTAATATTTAAGGAAGGAGAAATGTATTAAATGAATTTAGAAACTCAATACAAGAGATTAGTACAGAAAACATTATACTAAAGTAAGAAGGATCCTTCAAAATAACAAAATAATTACTTAGTGGATAAGACTTTTAAATTTTAAGTAACTCAATATCAGGTTTCCAAATTGGTTAAATAAAGAAACAATCATGGCCAATTTACAGTCCAATCTTTTAATGATAATCTTAATTAAACCATTATCAATTCAATTAAATAAGAATTATCAAAAGAGACTACAAAATTCGAAATTATTATTCCTAATTTACTAGAGGATGAAATTGAAAATATCTAAAACTATATTTAAAAGACTGCTCTATCTACTGAAGGTAAATTCCTTTCAGGAAGCAAAGTTATCATAGAGGTTTTTAAAAAAAAAAAAAACTAAATCTGTTAAACTATTGAGTAATTTAAAACCAGAGGAAAATCGTATCCTATAGAATGGATCCCTTAAAATGAAAATTATATGAAAGTAGAGTTAAAATCTGATTCTGAAGAGTTCAAAAAAATATCAAACCTGTTTAAGAAAACTGATAGTGGAACTGTTTATGAGATTTATAGAATTTAAAATAAGTCATTATGGGATAATTACATTAGTGAAAAAAATAAATTGATCTAAATATATTAATAGAATGGGGTTATCTTGAATTAAATTGAAACTGAAAGGTACTTATGGCATGGAGTAAGAACATAGCATCCTAAAGTTATATATTCCAGTTTAAAGGAAGCTTTTGATTAATCATACTGTGATGTAACTATATAAATTAGGAAAATTATAGGTTGGCTTATGGGGTGCCGGTATCTACTTTGCTGATAATGCTAGCTATTCTCGACATTATTCCTACAAATTACAAAAGGCCGATTACTATGGAGGCGATAAGCAATTATTATTATGCTGTTTGATAACAACTGGTAAAGTTTCAAAAATTCCATAAGATAAAAATATTAAAAGACCTCCTTAAGGGTATGATTGTGTGTCAGGTTATTCTTATGAAGGTAATAGTAATATCTTTGTTCTTTACTCAATGGATGTAAGAAGAGCATATCCAGCTTATGAGATTGTCTTCTCTTGATTTATGAAAAAGATATAATCTATTATTAAATAACCTTATATAAAATGATACTATAAAATTGTTAAATAATTTAAGGAAATAATATTTCAAAAATAAATCTTTATGTCAACACAAACGTAGCATATAGGCTTGTAGCCTTTAAAAAAATGCTTTTTAAAATGATTATGTAATAGCTAATTAAAATTGCTCTTAAAATATTTCCTAAATGATTTCTTTGAATTTAGTAATATTATAAAATAATAATATAATTTCTTCTAATGAGAAAATGGAGGCTATTATTTATTAGAATAGAATTTTGATTTTGAGTTGGGTTGAATGTAATTTCGTCAAGTTTTTAAACTAAAATAAAATTCATTGATATGTAACAAATATACATTGATATCCTTGCAAGTTTAAGTATTTCATCATTGAGTTGTCTTGTTTGTTTGCTTGGATACTTGATATTACTTTTGTAATCCAAAAAATAATAAGAGATTTTATTAATGGAAATAAATAAAGTTCAAAATAAAGCAAAATATGAGTCATTTGATTATGGGTAATATGAGAAGTTAAGAAAACTCTTTCACGATCCTAGTTTTGAACCAATTCAAGTGGAGGAACTGGATCTGTCGAATGAGAAGGCTACTCAAATGCCAAATGTATTATGTTTACAACTGCTCACACATCTTAAGGTTTTAGTGTTGAATGGGAATCAGATTCAGAGATTTCCTGGAAAATTGGTTGCTAAAGAGTTACAGTCGCTTACGATTTTGGATCTGTCCAACAATCTAATTGAAGAATTGGATGATATTGCAGATATGAACTTGCCAAATCTATCAGTTTTAGATTATTAGGGGAATTATGTGTGTTAGTATCTGCTGAGGATAACTTAAATACAGCAATTGTTATGTCCAAAGAGATATGTGAAATACAATCCAGTTAAAGTGTTTACAGCATCATATAATCAACTTCCAGTCTGTAGGTTGACAGAAGCCTAATATCAGGAGGAAAAGAAATGCTTGAGATCAATATAGAGAGCCCCTGAAGAATTCAAACCAGAGGAATTAATGAATACGGTTTCTAAGTTTTCGCATAAAAATACTTTGGGGAAGTTTTGTTTAGAGATGTGTCCAGTTCCAAGGAAGACAAGATTTAAGAACTTAGAATATTTGAATGGTACTTAGATATCAAAGATGGACATAATGAGAGTGACAGGAGTTGATAATTATAAGTTGGCTTTGGAAGTGGAGAATTCTGAAACTCAGAAGTATAAACATGCTAAGAAATCGAAATTGCATAATGAATACATTTAGAAGTACATAAAGAGAGTTCAAAGATTATTGGAAGAGAAGCCATCCAATGATCCAGATGAGATTTTGAAGGCAAAGAAAGTAAAGAAACTGGATTAAAAGAAATTTTCTGTTTGGGAAACTCCATTAGACGTATAGTATAAGGATTCAGAGTTCACAATAGGGATTGAGGAATTTAAGCAGTAGAAGAAGGAATTTGAGGAATAAAAAAAGCAGAAATTGGAGAGGAGACATAAAAAATAAATAGAAAGGATAAAAAAGAAGCATCCTTCATTCGAGGAAAGTGAGAGTGATCATGAAATCAGAAGGATGTATTTGACTACTAAAGTAAAACCTAAAATGAATTTAAGCAGAGATGAGGATAGAATATATAGATCTTCGGAAAGTTCTTTGAGTGAGGGAGACAGTCCTCAAGAAAGATCAAGTACAAGTCAGGAGAGTGTGGAAATGAAAGGGCCTAAATCAGTGGCTAAGGTCGAAGCCAAACCGATTAGTTACTATAGGAAAAAGACGAAGGAAGAAAATAAGAGCAAGGAGGTGGTTCAATAAAGAAAAGCACAGCAGTAGAACAGACAGCAGAGAATAGAAGTGATGGAGAATGAGAATAGTGAAAGTGATAAGGAGACTCCAACAAGACAAGTCAAGAAGTCATCAACACAATAGTTGTTAAAGAGTCATCATAAATAACAAACCTATTCTCCTGTGGCTGTTCCTTAATAGGCAATACCTGCGCAAAAGATTATAACCAAGATGTTGCATGATGAAAATAGAAATACTTTTGATCTGAGTAATAAGCTAAGTGCTCAGCATCCTGTGATAAGAGAAGGAGAATATAAGGAATAGCAGTTCTAGAGAATGTTGAAGGTAAAGGAGTCGGTCTAGAAGGAAAGATAGGAATTAGAGTAAATTAGGAAGCCTGTAACTGCTCAACCACAGGTAAGATAGAAGGTTAATCGAGTGATTGTGGATGGATAGAAGAAGAAGGCTTTGCCTACTCCTTAAAGAGAGTTGGTGAAATTGCATGGTGATTTAGACAAGGCAGAGTTCCAAAGGATTCAAATCCCCTTGGAGGAGATGATTCCAACAGAAGAACAAGGAGTACCTGAAAGGTTCAGACAGGAATTTCTTTATAATGTTGATAGTGAGACTTATAAGGAATTGTTGCATTACAAGGGTATCTTGGAGGAGAGTTTGAATCTCAAGGAGGCTTGGAAGGAGATGGATGCTAAATTAGAAATTTTGGGAGCCACTAAACCAGATAAGGAGTTGAGGTTTAAGGCAAACGATTACAATGCAGTGCATACATATTTGAAGGCTAAATACAAGGACAAGATTAGTCCTTATGAGATGAGAGAAATAATATATGGAGCGAATGATTATGATTTGTAGGCTGAACCCAGGATCCAGGAAAAGGATATCATGAAGAGATTGGAACAAGAAGATGTTACTTAAGAAGAGAGACAAGTATTATACAAATGGATCGAGATCTTGGATGACATCAGATTGAAATAGACTAAAACTGATGATAAGAGATTGAGGAGAATAGAAATCAAAGAAATTGAGAGAGCATAATCGTTTGCACATCTGTAAATCAAATAATCTATTTAATTAGTGCCTATCATTATTAAAAGTTAAAGAAGTATGTGTCTGCTGATAAACTTTAGAAGTATGTAAAAATGATGGGAATTCCCTTAAATGAAATTTTGAACCAAGACAATCAAAAGTTGAAGACAGGGTAAAAGAAGAAGACGGAATATGTTAATAGATAGAATTACTAATAAACTAAAGTTCAGGCTCAGAAGAAGGAAAAGGAACAGAAGGATTTGGCCAAACAGATGCTGTAAATTGAGGAGGATAAGGCATAGATGTTGAAAGAGTATGAAGAAATCAATCAACAACGGTACAGCAACATTAAGGCCGAAATAATGAGTGACAATGGTAATTTGGCTACCAATGATCCTTATTATCTGAAATGTCTTAACAAATTGGAATAGGATAAGGTGGATGTCCTCAACAAAGTGGCCAAATACAATATTCCATTTGAAAACATGGTGGAGTAGAATCTAAGAAAATTGCAGGACCAATTCATTACTACTTAAGGTCCAACTGACTTGGAGGAATAAATGATGAAGTATTGATTCAATAGCAACTATTAGGTATGCTTCTGAGTTCAAGGAGAAGATCAAATAGAGAGAACGATTGCAGCAGAACATCAACAAGCATATAAGTGAGACTCAGAAGAAATTGGATGAATTTTGGATGTGGGAAGCCAAGGAAAGAGAATTGAGAGATGACAAGGTGGCTAGTTTGATGAGACAAATAAAGAGACTAGAATTGGATGATTAATAAACTATATAATTCTGATTAGAGTCCATCAATTTAATCATTGCTGTTGTTGATTTGTCTCATCTCTTACTTCTATAAACATTCTGGCAGCACTCTTCTCCCAATCCAACAGTATTAATCTCAGGAATAGTACTACTGCACTCACTGACAACCCACAAGCCCATCCAAACCACAATCCTTTCAATCCATAATCATGATAATATCCCCAATAGATGCCGGTTCCAATTCCAATTGCATATTAACATAACAGTTAAACATTTATAGTAAAAGCTACTTCTCCCAAGGCACCCAAGAGATTTGCCAACATAATTTACATCCCACCAATCGTAAGAGTTAGTAAGAACAACTTCAAGTTGTTAGACAAAATAAGTGAAGTTTCGTTGTCCATATAAAAGAGAGCAATCCATTATTGCTTGAATACCACCAACAAGAAGCATAACAATATTCCAGTCATCAAACTGGTTGCCAAATAATGCCAAACATGCTTTCTTCCTATTTCATACTCTTGCTCTTTAAATAATCTTCTTATTCTAGAAGCAGCAGTCATAGCTACTCCCAAGAAAAACATGTATAGTGCTTGGGCTGTAAAAATGAGGCACACGCAAACGGAGAATTCCTCATACGTTAGCCACAATGCAAGAAACCCCATTATTTCAAAGGAGACATTTTATAAATAACTTTTGAAGGATGAGTGCAATAATCCATAGGAAAATTCAAGAATTGATTTTAATGTCCTTCGGTCCCATTCAATCCAAGCAGGATGATTTTATTAATATTTGAAAATGTAAGCATACATAAGCAATGAAGATGTGCAACTTGAAAAATTCTTACACCAAGCTGCCCCACTTATGCCGAGTTCCAAATACACTATCAATTATTTAGATAAGTAGATATGTAAAATCTGTGTAAGTTAATGAATTGATTTACAGTAGTAAATATTTGTATAACTAAGACTGGATAATCAATGCCCATGGAAGTCAGATAGTTCTTGGTGCAATCAAAGTATGTGAATGCGTATAGGGCTGGTAACATTTCCCATACGTATTGAATAGCCTTTTCAACTACAATGCTTCAATATGAGAATAATGTAACCTACTTCGGGATATTGAATTAGGAGAGGATAAAGGTAGAACCAGCAATTACAGGGGTAATCAAAATCAGAAAAACTCCATTCAAGAGCAAGGATCTTTAATAGGAGATCCCTATCTTCACATATTGATGCTATTTAAACTACCTAGTCATTATGGAAGTGATGCTAGAATTCATGCAAAGCAACAATCCTTTCACAAGTAAATTCGCATATATTGTCCCAAAACCTATTCCAATCACATCTTCAATAATCTTATATCAATACTGTCTCTCCCTATAATGAAATACATGTTCACCAACGTTGTAAGTATACTCAATTCCTATTTTCATAAATCTCCATCTCATACCATTCCAATAACCGTGGGCAAGGCCTTTACCAGTAAAGTTTCGAAACTGGATATGAACTGAGAAAACGTTGTGATTTCCAGACTCTCCTCTGTCATCTATACCCAATTATATAATAATTAAGAAAATGATTCCAATTTAGATATTCGAATTCCCACATAAAATTAAATTCAACTTAATATTCCAATTAAATCAATGAGTGTTGCTGAAAATGGGGGGTAATTGATTGGCTTTGACCTTATCAAAATCGATGCTCTTCTCCTTCTCCAAATTGACCTCCCCTAAAACTGCCACCGTGTCTCCTCTAATCACCTACAACCCCGCATTTAAAAATTGAACTCCCGTCTCTAGTGAATACACTCTCTCCTCGCTGTTTTGCAATACACAATTCATTGCTTGATCAATTCCAATTAGAGTCCATTAAACATATAGGATATATCATACCCACAAAACACACGGCCATCAGTTGTAATGGCCTGCACCTTCTTATTCAGCATAATCTCAAACGGATTCACTCCTTCTTTGTACATATATTTGAAATAATATTATTATTATATGAAAAATAATTTATTTCACAGAATAAATGGAATTATGGCTTTTCTTTGTTTTGGATAATTGTCGAATTTGTTCTTATACCATTTATGGGTTGAAACGGCTCTGGCTGAAAGAATTGACAAGGTTGAAAAGAAAAATAGGAATCCACTCCACTATCCACTAACCAAAAAGTACCCAAACCTTTTTTATTTATTAATAATTCTTACCATTCAATTATTTCGCCTAAGTAATGGCCAGATGATACCAACTCAAATAAATTGCCATATGGAATCTTGTATTCATTTGAGTTTTCCTTCTTCAAGCCTCTCAAGATATTATCACATTTGATATTAGACGTCATTCCATAAATGAATATTAAGATTCCTACAAGAATTCTTAAGTAATCAGGGAGGTATAATTGAAGATCTCTATTTAAATGAGTTGTAATTTAGATATAGCCATTGCAGGTAGTAAATAGGATGGCACTCGATACAACTTCAACAGGGATGGGTCTTGCAAGGGGAGATAGTCTTAAGTCATAGATAAATTGGCAAATACCTTAAAGGGTAGATGATCACACGATTGAAGTAATGGGTGACGAACAATAGAATGGGCAAGCTGTTGAAATCAAGGGTGATGGCTGGGAGAAAATACACAAACCAAATTAGATTAGGGCATTCGTAGAGGATCCACCCTATTCTTGGGGGCAGAGTCAACTTCATGTAATGAGAGAGATGCTTGCCATAGCCTATTTTAAGGAGATCAGCAGTCCAGGCTGCCAAACTAAATCCCAAAATAATGATTATGGATATGAATTGAAAATCAAACATAATTAAATAATATTATTATTTCTACAGCAATATCTGATTTGAACATGTCATTAAAATTATTAATATTATAATTATTATTAATTAACAAATTTTAATTAATCTATTACAATAAACTCTACATTGATTAAATTTTGAAGACCCATTTCTCTCATCGCATTAATATTCAATTATTTTTAATATTTATTTATATAAAATTTTATTAATAAAGTTAATTAACGTTGAAATGAATACTGTTTAATTAATACAACCTTGGAGGTAAGTTTCACCCCAGGCGATAGAAGCCTTAAAATCCTTAGAGTAATTACAAACTATCTCAAATGCAAAAATAGTTAAAAGAATTACCACAACATCCCCAATCAAGCAATTCTTCTTGAATGGGAGACAACTTACTGTCTTTGGAAATAACAGTCAAACCAAGATAATTCAACCCTGTTCCTACCAACCAGTTCATTAAACCGATAGAGTACAACCATAACATAATAGAAATATTTCAATTGAAATGCTAAATTTTAAATAGTAAGTCTAGGACAACATATTGCTCTAAACTGTTATCTCAAAGTATGAGTCCTCACCAAAAATGAGTACTCCCGTCAAGAACTCTGGAACCTAAACTCCTACTATGTTTACTCGTAATTCATGCGATAATATACCTCTACCGAAGGAACCGAACAAAGTAGTATAGTCTAGAGAGAGTAAGTCTCCGCAAGTAAATTTGATCCAAAAAAAGAAATTAATATTAAATCAAATTTTATAACTTGACAACGAAATAAAATTAATGTAGGATGAGGAGGCAAAAAGAAGGTTAGACCCTTTGAGACAAAAGACATCAAATTAAACATCCATAGCTCCAGTTTCCATAAGGGAATCCTTGGAGAAGCAAGCAAGTACCAGTACTTTCATGTCAAAATTGAATGAATGGATGAAGAAAAAGAAAGCAGTTCCCTTAGATGAAAAACAAGATGAGCAGTCCAGTTCAATATAAAATTCTGTTTTAAGGGATGTATGATTATGCATAATACTTAGTGTACTTTCAAGGGTAATTTGACATCTAAAGAACAACACTATGAATCATTCTATGATCGCAACATGAAATGGTAGAGGAGAGTAAATATGAAGAAACAGAAGATGAAAACCTAAAAATCTATGATATAATTGAAGAAAGATTCAAAATCTCCAAATTAAAAGCCTTCTAGACCAAATTCATCAGAATTGAATTGCTGGATAAGGGGAAAAGAATTAAAACAATCTCAATCTCCCTAAAAGTAAAAGCAAAAGCAGAATAAGATACAATAATAATTGGCCAATAAATTGCGTTTATGAACACTATATTATATATCACCTTTTTTATTGTATAATCTATGATTTTTGTTGAGTTCCCTTATAATTAATAGTAATATTTAATTAATAAACAATGAAGACGGATATCTCTAATGAAGTTGAAAATATTGCTCAATTTTAGATTAACGATCTCCTGTGTTTGATTATATAAATAATAATTTTAATTTATGATAGTATTTTGTGCTAATTCATTGCCTTAAGTGATTGCCAATTAGGGTCTCCGATAATTCTAAGTAATAATCTAGAATTTGAAACCATAACTCATCCTGAATTAGTGCGGAGGGGACATTGAAACCAGATCACAATATTTTGCAAAGTATTTAAGCAAATTCAATGAACCATTTCATTTAATTGGATATGGAATTGCTGGGTTGGATTTAAGATATGCCTTGAGTCAAAACAATAACATTAGAGCGAAATCTTTGATTACCATTGGCACTCCTCATAGGGGATCAATTTTAAGCGATTTGTACAGAAGAAAAAGAATTGAGGATGATGTCATTGAGCCCATCTGCAGAGTATTGGGAGTCAGATAAAACTACTTCGAAGAAATTAACAGTGAAAACATAAGGGATTTCAATTTGGTAGCCACAAATAAAGAAAATATTAAGGTAAATAAAATTAGAATCTACAGTATTTTAGTTTGAATGCAGAGACCGAAGTTGGATAGATGTCACAAATTTACCTAGCAAGTGGGACCATCATCGAGAGTGAAAAGGAATACCCAGTAGAGAGTGGATCCGATGGAGTGTTCGCTCATAATGAAACAAAGTGGGGACAACATGTTGCTACATTGGATTGCGATCATGGGGCAATGATTGGAATACCAAACTAGAGAAATGGTGAATAGACTGTGGATATAATTCAATAATTGATCAAAGACTTATGATCAAATAAAATTATATTAATAATTTATCATTATTGTTTTACTTGCACTGGCTCCAGCATTTTCATTTGTTCATCAAAATCAACCTCGTAATCTAAAATATAATGCTGAATCTCATTGGCAAATGCCTAATATTTCTTTTCATTCACAGGCCTCCCTAATAATATATTTTAGTGATAAAAATCAAGTATCATGTGATAGTAGATTTGGAACATATCAAAGATTCTAATGCCAATTTTAAATATGCCTATTGGACACGGCTTTAATAATATTAAATAATCTACTGTTTAAATTGTGGTTGCTATGGTTAGTTTTCTGGATTAATCGACATAGATATTCATTGGTGTGGGTTCTCTGATGAGCATATTGGCTAAATAAATAATGTCATCTGCTGTATCTATTGAAAATTAGATTTCAGAAATGTGTGTTTTCAGTAATATAGCTTAGTCAGATTGTGAATTGCCATTATTGGATGCCTACGATTCTTTGTACGTCATCATGTATGGTATCTTTAAATCTTCATGGATCATTTATTGACCCTTCTGATCCATAGTTTATCGATTGATTCTAATTATTGAACTCGACCAATTAAATTGAAATTAATCCTTAGTTTCAGGTTTACTAAATATTTCGATTTTATGTTAATTGTGAACAACTTTGGAATATGGTGCCATATCTATTTTATTTTCGTCTGTGTTCTTGGATTTCAAGTATTCATACATAGTGTTCATAAACTTTCCAAATATCTCATAACTATGAGATTTGATCACTTTAGGTAATTTACTAAAAAATTAGGTCAAATTATTGAATTGGAATTCTAGAAGATTTGAAGCTTCTTTATTTGAAGCTTCTTTATTTTAAGCTTCTTTATTTTAAGCTTCTTTATTTTAAGCTTCTTTATTTTAAGCAATTAAATTGCAATCCTTTTAATTAAATTCTTTAAAGAGCACCTTAAGTTCTTCGTTATTTTATAATTAATATAGCAACATAGTTTACTTAAACCTAGTTCTAGGTAATTTCTTTTAATATCTTTGATCTTTGTAGAAGTGATCAGCACCTTTATAGCTTTGATTATTATCAAATTGAGGTTCCAAATTTTAAATTTCAACTTCTTTAATGAAATACTCCTCAAAGAATGATAAATCCTCGTCTGTGTTCTTAATTGGATTGAGAAATTTCAAATAAAACCTATAGAGAAAATTAAATGTCTTGATTTAATGACAATATATACAGCATTTTGATATAATTTGAATCTAAATTCTATAAGCTTTTCAAGCAGATTAGGTGCCTTGGACTAGAATATATGTTTAGTCATTAACGTGAAAGTTGGTAGTAATAAGAATTATTCCTATTCTTTATAGTAAAAGAGACAACTCTAAAGAGGGTCAAAAAATAATCTAATTAGAAATTAAAAATAAGTACCCAAAGTTTGCAGACCAATAAAATATTTCTATTAGATTGAAAAACACTTTTTTAAGCATAGAAACTTCTAAATTTTTCAAATCCTACCCTACTTCGAAAGCCTCTTCAAAGCCTTCATCTAATTTATTCTAATTAGTAATGTAAGTAATCTCTAGCTATTCTCCATCTAATCCATCATAATAATATTAAACGTCTAGTGATGCTCCATATGCAAATATCTTTTTAATCTTAGCTACTTTAAGGTTAGTTGAAAATGGAAACCTTTTATACTAAATTTCTTACTTATTATCCAATAATTCTTAACTATTTTAGTATTAATCAAATATATATTTGAAAGATTCATTAGCATCTTTAGAATCAATAATTTTATCTAAGGTTATTTGGAAGCAATTATTTTATGGCTTGTAAATGATTATTTTTTAATTCATTTAATATTAAATAATAGTATATTTTGGAATGCTTGAAAACTGTTAACGTAGGTTTTAGTATGTATTGTGGTTCTTGAAAAGTTAAGGAAGATTTAGTAATTACAACTGCTTGTTATATATGTGTACGCCATTTTTGTATAAGAATTGATCTAATTCCTCCCTTATTATACTTAGAGTAAGAATTTTCAAATATTGAGAAAAGATAAAGTTAGTCCAAAAAGAGAGCGATTTAGTAAGAATATTAGTATGTCAACATACCCTAGCAGTTTAGATTGGAGGACTTCTCAAGCGCTATGCTTAATGCAAAATCATTTAGATCAAAATCATCTTGATTACTACCCTGATTAGACCAGAATATCAAACGTAAATAGATAAGAAATTCCTAGGATCGAATATTTCTCATTTTTCATATTTAGTTTAATCTAAAAAGAAGGTTTGTTTTGAAGGATATAAGTCATCTTATTATTCATAAGAGAGATATTCTCAAGGAATTATTTGATTTAACCATATACTTCATGCAATTAAAATTTTTAATATTTTTTTGTTTTTCTCCATTGATTTTTAAGTTGGTTTTAATAAATATTTAGATATGAATTGGTCAATTTTATAAAAAATAATGAGCATCGATATAAATATTCTATTACTATTAATAATTATAAATGACAGACAGCATATGTCCTAACTGTAAAGCTATGCTTATTTAGATCAAGGAAAATCCACAACTTATTGAAACACAAAAGATGTTGCAATAAAATTGTCGTTGAATTTGAAATAATTAATTACAAAGATTACTGTAAATTGGGGGATGTTGATTAATCAGGAAATAACTAATCCAGGTTTGAAGGATATGAAAATAAAATGTAATCTTATAAAAATAACCTTTGTGAAATGTTAGGAATAAGTGATTCTAAACAAAAAAAACAACTTATGAAAGATTTGTGGTTGGAGAATATCAAACACGCAATTTGAATAAAGTTTTAAAATGAATGAGGCATTTACTAACGATACCATCATCTCTAAATACAGACCCTTTGTATTTTATATATCGAGTAATTCAAAAAACTACTTAAACATTTTAGATTTCGAGAAAATCCTTTGAGGCAATAGCTGCTTATGCCTATCATTTAGCTATTAAAGGAAGGAAGTCATAGTATTATTCTGATTAAAGATTAAAAAATTTACATTAGAACTTATAGCTAAATTTTGCTAAACTACATCTCAATTAATGGAATAAGTAATTAGAGAAAACATTAACGAGTATCTTTAAGATAGTGATACATAAATTCTATCAATTTTCTGCCATTCGACATTACTATATATTATGTGAAATTAATATAGTCATCTTATTTTACTATTTTCCCATCTTTATCATTTAACATATCAGTAGGATTTTGATTAACGAAATTGCTCATTCTATATAAAATTCAAGTGTCTATTAGCTTCAATAATATTTCTCATATCAAATTTGTTTATTTAATCAATGTTTATTTAATTTTTTTTTATTTATGAGTATCCAAGATTAAGAGATAGGGCTACAGGAGCTTAAAATTCAAATAGAAGGTTTAATATAAAATAGCATAAAAACACGGGATTATTAAATCAATGTATTTGTAAAATTTGATTCGTACTTTATTTATATAATTATACAATAGTGTTTTAAGAAAATAGGTAAATTCAACTCCATAGGCTAAGTAATTATGCAAATAGATAATTCTACTAATGCTAACCTGTCTAAAGGATGCTTATGATAAAACATTTAAGAAATTGTCTGATTTAGAAGAATTTTTCACTAATTTTCTCCAGTTTTAAACTACATCCAAATATTTGAATCTTGCTTGCTATCATATTGTAATTGATTTTTCATGATTTCGTTAGTGTTAAACCCTTAGTCAGGAAGAGACCTTCAGTTTCTATGATGTAGCAGTCTGCAAATTTATTAAAGATAATATTTAACATATTCAACAAACTATTTTTAAAAATTTGCTGAATCATCTAGAACAAATTTATAAAAAACAAGAATATGAATTTGTTCATAAAAAGTAAGAGCTTGAGGTTAATAATTCTATTATGAAATATCAGAATTACATTTAAATATTATTAGCGATTTCAGAGAATAAACTGCTACTTCAAAGAGACATTAATGTGTTTGATGATTTATGTTAAAAGGTGCTGTTCAAATTTATAGAGGATTAATACCAATAAAAAAATTAGAAATGGTCTCAAGTATATTCAGTTAAGGATTATCTAACATTAGTTGAAAGAGATTTAAAATTAAATGAGGAATTGTTTAAGTCTTTAATAGAATAAGAAAAATTAAGAGATCATTATATAAATATTTTGAGAATTGTATATGAAAAATTGCTGCTTCCATATAAAGGGGTAATCCTAAGAGATGAAAGAGGGCTTTAAGGGTTGTTGAAGGAATTTCAAGATTGTAATGATAAGGAAAGTGTAAGAGAGGAAATCATTCTTATTTTGAGAGTGTATTCCAAATTCTAAGACAGGGAGGAATACTTCAATGATTTTAAATAAAACTTTTAAGCCTTTGTAAGGAAAGCAATTGATGAGCAATACAAAAAGGAAACTCTGCATCATGAATTAGAGAAATAAAAGTCGAAATATAAATCTCTAGTAAAGATTTTATGCGATATCTATGATAAATTTAACGATCTAATTCAGTAATGCTTTAGACAAAGCACTGGTTTCAGTGGAAGATATGACCTTGAAATGATTGTCAAATCAGAACTCAACTTATTTTTCATAAGTTTAGAATAAGTAATGAATATTTTATTACAAAGAGTATTCAATTAACATTGTAATTATGCAATTATGTACATGAGTTGACTCTGTAGATGGCCAGGACTGATGATCAATAATAAAGAGAAGAGAATTAAGATGAGATAATAAAGGTATAAGATTCTTTGTTACCTTATGTATAAGACTCCGAATATTATCTAAATGTAAAAATTTCACTCAATATCATAGATTTATTATTATCGTTTGGCTTCAAGATTACTTGGTTATCTGTTCTTTTTTGATAAAAAATCGGTCAATGATCATCTAGAAAATGAAAAATAAATACTTGATAAAATGAAAAAATTCTTTGGAAATAATAAGCTAAAAAAGTTGTATAAGATGATTACTGAAACTTCAGATCTTGCATAGAAGACCCCTGTAAGTACTTTTGATGGAGTCACTTAAGAAATCATTCAAATCAATAAAAAGAAATGGCCTGTACATTATGGTAATGACCAAAATATATTTAAATANTCAACAAACTATTTTTAAAAATTTGCTGAATCATCTAGAACAAATTTATAAAAAACAAGAATATGAATTTGTTCATAAAAAGTAAGAGCTTGAGGTTAATAATTCTATTATGAAATATCAGAATTACATTTAAATATTATTAGCGATTTCAGAGAATAAACTGCTACTTCAAAGAGACATTAATGTGTTTGATGATTTATGTTAAAAGGTGCTGTTCAAATTTATAGAGGATTAATACCAATAAAAAAATTAGAAATGGTCTCAAGTATATTCAGTTAAGGATTATCTAACATTAGTTGAAAGAGATTTAAAATTAAATGAGGAATTGTTTAAGTCTTTAATAGAATAAGAAAAATTAAGAGATCATTATATAAATATTTTGAGAATTGTATATGAAAAATTGCTGCTTCCATATAAAGGGGTAATCCTAAGAGATGAAAGAGGGCTTTAAGGGTTGTTGAAGGAATTTCAAGATTGTAATGATAAGGAAAGTGTAAGAGAGGAAATCATTCTTATTTTGAGAGTGTATTCCAAATTCTAAGACAGGGAGGAATACTTCAATGATTTTAAATAAAACTTTTAAGCCTTTGTAAGGAAAGCAATTGATGAGCAATACAAAAAGGAAACTCTGCATCATGAATTAGAGAAATAAAAGTCGAAATATAAATCTCTAGTAAAGATTTTATGCGATATCTATGATAAATTTAACGATCTAATTCAGTAATGCTTTAGACAAAGCACTGGTTTCAGTGGAAGATATGACCTTGAAATGATTGTCAAATCAGAACTCAACTTATTTTTCATAAGTTTAGAATAAGTAATGAATATTTTATTACAAAGAGTATTCAATTAACATTGTAATTATGCAATTATGTACATGAGTTGACTCTGTAGATGGCCAGGACTGATGATCAATAATAAAGAGAAGAGAATTAAGATGAGATAATAAAGGTATAAGATTCTTTGTTACCTTATGTATAAGACTCCGAATATTATCTAAATGTAAAAATTTCACTCAATATCATAGATTTATTATTATCGTTTGGCTTCAAGATTACTTGGTTATCTGTTCTTTTTTGATAAAAAATCGGTCAATGATCATCTAGAAAATGAAAAATAAATACTTGATAAAATGAAAAAATTCTTTGGAAATAATAAGCTAAAAAAGTTGTATAAGATGATTACTGAAACTTCAGATCTTGCATAGAAGACCCCTGTAAGTACTTTTGATGGAGTCACTTAAGAAATCATTCAAATCAATAAAAAGAAATGGCCTGTACATTATGGTAATGACCAAAATATATTTAAATATTATGATAATCAAAAAGCAGAATACCATATGATGCATAATTAGCAATACAATGTTGTATTTAGTGATACTTTATCTTATGTTGAAATCCATTGGATTGAAGTAAATAAATGGCTAATGATAAATTGTGTATAAGCAGCAATTTTATTTTTGTATGATAAAAATGAAGACCCAAAATCCTTAGACTATATTTCTGATTCAATCAAATTAGAAAAGAGTTAAGTTAAATTTCAACTCGATAGAATGGTATTTAATTCTTTTTATAAAAGGTCAAACTAAAAATTCTTTGGAATGATGAATAATGTTATTATTTAAATAATTCATAAATTGAATAAGAGATCAAAGAAGAATGGATCATCATGGAACACAACATATACGAAAATGAACGATATATAAATGAAAGTATATATGTTAGATCTAAATTAAGTTAAACCTATTGTTGATAAAACATAAGATTTTAAGTATCAGCTAGATGCATGTATAATGAAAGTCTTAAAAGCAGAAAAAAGAGTGTTTCACACAACATTACTTGAGAAAGTTTTGCAACATTTTTATCCAACCGTAATTACAAATGAGTAACTCAAATTATCCATTGAATTTCTATCGAAATATTAGTACATCAGTAGAGATCCAAAAGATTTATCAGCATATCTTTATGAATGAAGTTTAGCTTTATAGTTACAAAAGTTTTAAATAGCAAATTTTGTTAAAATTTAATCTCTTAATATTCTAGTTATTCTTTTACAATTACGATTAATTGAATCTCTAGATTATTACATTTTATTTAATTGTTTATTGTAAATAGTTAGAAATAATACTACTAAATAAAATTACACTTTTGTATCATTAATATAAATGATAGTAAAATAGTATTAGTTTTTGATTAATTCTATCATAAATATGAGTAAAAAAGGTGCATTTGTTTAATTAATAATCCTAGTATTAGAAAATGAAATATAATTGCTTCCCTATTTAACTTATACTTCTATATAGTTTAATTTAAATTAATACTTTTAAGTGATGCATCTATAAATTTACTTTAATACTCTTATTGATTTACGATTTGTGATAAACAAAATTTATTTTTCTAAACAAGTGAAGTTTAAGTATACTAATGCTACCCTCTTAACATGCACCAAGATTCATGAAAATATTATAAATTATATGCAAAAATACAACTCTATTTTGTCTTATGAGGTGTTAAGGGGACGATAATTATTGAATTAGAGCGTTATAAAAAGAAAGGGTTTAAAAGTTTAATCAAATTTATTGAAAAAGTTGCAATAAATTTTACAATATTTTATTGTAATTATGTAATTAGTATAACTAAGAGTAGAATTTCAAACTAGTTATCATCTCTAGTTTACAACGAGAAACATTTTTAATCAAAAATTTATGATTTTCTGTTAATGTTAGTATTGAGTAATTATACAACCTAATTGAAGTTGGATATATCTAAAATAATTCAAAAATTCCAAAACTCTAATCAGATATTTTCAGGTCTTTAATTATCAATGTATTTAAGGTATTTCTACATTTTTTTCAGGTTTTTTACAATTTGATTTATTTAAGTTAGAAAATAATATGTAATAAAGAAGAATAAGTAATCTCTGAATTACCAAAAATATGTTATTTCAGCTACTATCTTTTGTTTGTCCTTCATGAATCCTTTTTGTTTTTTTTCTTAAGTATAATTTTCAATAATTTTAAATAATTAATAATAGAATGAGTTATGAAGTAAAACCCTATGATTGATGACTCTGATCATTAAGGGGAGTTATTCCAATGTAGACTTGTAGTAATTCAATTGAATATTAGTTGTAATTTCTCTGATTCGTCAGAATTCATTGATTACAAATAAATATTATTTTGTGAAATAAATCATATTATTACACACTATTTAATCTTATAAACTGGTTTAGATTTGTTTAGAGGTCATTCATTATTATATTTTTTGATGAATTGTGTTTAAATAAACAACAATTAAGAATGGCATGAACATGTGATGAGTAGTTAAAAACCAGTTGTTGTTAGTTTTTTCGCTGAATGGTAAGGATATTGAAACTAATTGAAAATAGGTGTGCCCCATGCCATAAGCTGAATCCTCAATTAATCTAAGAAGCTGAGAAGAACTGTGAAAAATGGTAACTTGCTTTCGTGAATGTTGACAATGAGGAACTTTATGACGTCGTACAATAAATAGCGGTATAGTTTAATATTGATTTATTTTAGAAAGCCTAAATTCCGTCAGTTCATTTACTAAATAGAGGAACTTCTATTGATTCTATGACTGGATATAGTGAAAGAAAAACTAAATCCTTCATAGAGAAAGTTTGCAGTTGATTTTAACTACTTGTTTATACATGTTTTTTGTTATAAATAAATAATGAATAGAGAGACGGAGAAGACCATTAAACATTCAGAATAATACCTTTCTTTTGGCAACATAAAACTAATTTTAAAGTTCTAAATTTTAAGCTTATCATAATTGTATTCTTACTTCGCCATTTATCTAGTCCAGTGTTCTTACTTTAACCTATTCTCACAGTGCTTCTCTTATATTGAAACCATCTTTCAAGGATTGATGATACAGATGTTTGAACCTCAAAATTCTCAATAATTGCAACTGATTCGAATTATAAATTGAAACAGTTTTTCATATTTTTCCTTGTCATTAGATTCTTCCATTTTATCAAGGAATATAGAGAAGATGATAGATGTGATGTTGATATTTGATTCTAATCAATTATTTCGCAATAAAATGGCTTCCAAATACGCGAAGCAAAATGTCTAGAAATCAAAAGTATGGCAACATAGAATGGTTGACTAATGACAAATAATAAAATAGATTTTAAATAGTCCTATTGTAATCGAGATTCCAATATCATATATAATAAGATTTAGAAATATTACATAATCTTTTATAACGAACCAATATTTTATATAATTAAAATTAATTAGTCTAGTTAACTGAAGAAACATAAACGTAAAGCATTTTCCCTTTTGATGCACACAAATTATTTAAGTGGTTTTTAAATAAAATGAATGGAATTGAGTTTGAGGAGTTCTTTTGGTTCATTAAAATTATTCAGGATGTCTCTATTCATTATTAAAATTGTAATACTTTTAATTTATAACAATGTTGTAATAATCTTATTTATTAATATTTCATAATCCTTTAGCCCACCCTAAGCTTTACATGGCTTCTATTCTCAGATGTTCATTCTACATAGTAGTAAAATTGCTTTGAGCGTGAATATGTTCATATGCATAGGATGCTTATAAAACAGTGTCTGCAATAACTTAATATGCTGAAGAGTAACCAGTCAATTAAACACTATTAAATTTGTTAGACTATAAATTAAATTAAAATTATACTAATTCGATGGGCACAGGAGATTGACTTCTAGCTAAGGTCTTTTATAAAATTGGAGCATACTATTTAGCATAGAAGTATCGTAATTTTGGATCTTAGTGATGTTCCAATAAGGAATAGGCAATTTTATTCGGTACTGTGGACATGACAAGTTCTCTAAGGTAAGATCATATAATGATTACGGATAAACGATTCCATTGTAGGCAATATTGAGGTCATTATCAATTCCATTGTAGAGTGATGTATAATACATTTATATAATTGGTTTTGGGTCAAGAATAATCTAAAACAATAAGATGACAAGGTACAGTGGGTAATTGTAAAGCAGCACATTGAGCCACTATTTATCCATTACAAGCTAATGCAATATCGGATGCAGCCATAGCTGAGAACTTCTCCGATTCAGTTTAAGCCTGAATGATTTAAGCAGGCCATTTGATTGAATTAATAGCTTTGAGTGTATGATCTTTATGTTCAAGGAATTCAGGCACTGTCACAACAATCTTAATTTGATCTCTTGGATAGTGCTTCATTTCATCAAGTTTCAAGAATCTAGATATTCCTTCTGCTGCAGTCTTTAAACAAAAAGGTATTTCTTTGGATGTGTTACCACCAGCTACAACTATCAGCAATTCTTAATCTCCAATATTATGCAATTATCTATAGGATTTCCTTTATTCATTCACTCTATCTGCAATGAAATCATCAAATCTGAAGAATTCACCTCCTGGAAGATATATGGTATCTTTTTGTACCAATTCCTTATATTAGGTGCTATTAGATAGTAGATGTCTGAAAGCACGATAGAGTCCATCTTGTCCTACTTGAGTATGTGGGAATGTAAATTTCTCCCAATTACTCTAGATTATATTAATTCAAACATTTTTACTTATTTTAATGGTGCTCTGGTGAACCAATGATCAACATACTTCTATCCATATTAAGGTTGGTCTTTATGAGTGAGACCATATTAAAATGTAGGGGGACATATACGATTGAAGTGACGATATGCTTCTCTTAATTTCTTATAAAATCCCATCATAAAGAATTCGTTCTCAAAATTCAGAAATGCAGATGGTTGATAATGTTACACTATTTCAAAGTACTGCTTATCAAGTTTATTCAGCACTTTTTTATTGATCCATCTCTTATACATATGGACTGGATGCATTGCATTTTCAGTCCTATATTAGTTTCAATCTTAATACGCCAATCTATAGAAATTTCTAAATGGAAAGAAAGGCTTATATTGAAACTCATGGCAATCAACTCCAATTGTTTCTAAACCTTCATGGCCCATTTGAGGTCCTCCAATCCCAACAAATCTGAATTCAGTATCAGGTTTTGTGTTCTTTATTGCTTGCATCACGCGAGCTAAATGAACATCAGTTGAAGGACAAGCAGCAGATAAAAATATAGTAGCTTATTTCATTTTAAATATTAATCAGCCAAACAAAACAAAATATTTGTTTGAAACAAAAGAATAAATTAAATTTATCCAACAGATTAATGTTTTAATTTGAATTACTGAATATATTTATTTTATATATACATTCTGCATTTCATTTTGTTAATAATAAATAGACATTTACTTAAGTATAATTATTAATATATATAGATGTATAAAAATATCTAATCATCCTAGTTAGAGATTGAGTCTACAAGTTTCAATAACTGCATTCTACACTTTTCCTTGAACAATGTGACATAATTTTTCATATTCTGCTCTCAATTTAATGTTATTTCCTTCCTAATTGCTCATGAGTCTTTCTAATTCCAAAATTCTCTAATGTTATAACTACAAATTAGTTTTATGCAAAGCATATTATCTTTCTTACAGCAGTCTTCTTTATTAAATATCATCCATTCCTCTATCTAAAAATTATAAACTCCATTACCCTTTTAAATGTTCAAGATGAAGAAAGTTTCGTCTATTTTTTTAATGAGATTATCAATGTGATGATCTAAAACGATGTTATTATTTATCAATTTTTCCTGTTTAATACTTCTCTTGCTAATTTGAAGATGCGTTTGATGAACCTTTTCCCTTTCCTACTGTATTTATTCCTCAATTAATTATCTATCTCTAGTTAAATTGGTTTCTAATCTTTCCATATCATCCTATATGGATTGACTTTCATTTTCAGCTCTCTTTATTATTGATTTAGAATAATACTTTCAATGCCTGCGACTATTCCATCTCCTTCTTCTTCAACAATTCAGTTTAATGATTATACTTAGCTTTTTCCTCTATGAGTAGCCTACCTTCAACAGCCTTAACGTTCTCATCATGATCCAATCTCATTTTTAAAAAGAATTCCTTCATTCTTAATAACTATTGATTGTATTGATCGTTGGCCTTCATTAGCGAATTAAATTTGCTCTGGATTCCATCTAATCTAGGTTACCAATTAGAATTAATTTGATCAATTTACAACTAATTACATACATATTAATTTAAACCTTATTGTCATGTCTGATCTATGATAATTCATGCATATATTCATTTTCCAAAGCCAACACATGCTTATTTTTTGCCACATATTCGTTCATCACTTCTTGTTACCTATAATCACTCGCTTTGCCAAGTTCATCAAATTATCGTTTGACTTAGGTGTATTCGGCTTCAATTATGGATTTTCTGGTCACTTCTTCTTCAAAATGTCTTTTAGCCATACTGACAGCCTGCTCTTTGGATAGGATCTCTTGCCTTAAAGCATTCATCCTATTAGTAAGTTCTTCATTCATTAATCTATTCTATCTTAATTCTTAATCAATTTATTCTTTCAATTGAGCAACCCTAATAGCATCATTTTTTTTGACTGCTCTATTTTCAGGTATGTTGATTGTAGCTGCAGTTTTAGGCATAGTTTTAACAGGCTAATAGGCATTTCTCTGCGATTCCTTAATGCCTGTTGAGTTTTTAGCCATCAAATCAGTTGATCTATTCTATTCAATCCTTTCTCTGATTTATGTTGCTAGTCCTTCGGGTATTTTGTTGCAGGAGACATCCAGAAATTTTAAATTTCTATTGCCATTGAGTCCTTCCAATAAGTATTGAGCTCCTTTTTCTCCAATTTCATTCCATTTTAAATTCAATGATTGTAAGGATGTATTTTGCTTTAACATTTAACATATTCTGGCACAATGATCTGCTTGGATTCTGTTGTTCTTTAGGTCGACTAATTGCAATTGATATGAGGGATTCATCAATAAATCACACAAAGCACCCACACCTCCACCTATAGCATTCCATTCAGCAATAAGAGTTCTTGCATCTGGACTTATTGATCTGCAAATTCTTTCAAATCCTCTTCCATTTATATTGCATCCTCTTAGTTCAATGTTTATGAATTGTGTATTTTGAGCCAAAAATTAGGCAACAGCAACGCAACCCTCTTCATTCAATATTTAATCGGATAGGATGAGATTTGGAGCTTTCTGAGATTCTAAAGCTTTCTGGAGCTTCATGGATTTCAAATTTAAAATTAGTAGTTAATTAATGAATTATCAAAACCCCAATTCCTTATTGTATTATAATTTGAAAATCATATAAATTTTGTAATAAATATTTTTTATAATAATTTTTGTAAAGTATCTTACAAGATAAACTCGTAATATGTGAATGGTAATTAAATAATATGGATATAATATCAAAGTTGAGCAGTAGTCTTTTAAAGGTTTTGCAAAATTTCTTCGGTTTTCGAAAAGTTTTAGTTCCAAGTGTTTAGTATTTGAGAATCAACAACTTTGGGACTGTCACAAACTGATATGATTTAGGTATTTGTGATTTCCAATGCCAATTGATCCATGGTATAAGCCAAGAGGATGTCTTTTACTGAAACACCTGAGCAATCATTGGTTGAGATCTCCACATTGACCACATTCTCTTTTTGTGTCCATTTTGGATAGTCTATTAAATGGTTAGAATGAATTAATTACGATGCATTTCTTCAGCAACTTTTGAAATGGATCCCATGAATGCGAATGTCTCTTTGAATGAGTTGAACTTGAATTCCTTATGGATTTTGGATGAATCCTTTGTTGGGTGCCATTATAAGGAATGAATTTCAAGGGCTGAAGCAATCTCCTCTGAATTCAATTTAGTTGCTGAAACTGATGAGACATCTTTGAAATCTCTGACAAATATTTTGAGGGAGTTGATAATAGCTGGTGTTTTGAATCCTTACTCTGAGATGTATCTGTACATGTTATTATTGTATTTAAATTATTACAATTATCCGGGAATCTTAAGGGACTTATCAAAGGTTTATTAATGCGAACCATATTATTTCAAACGCAATATAATGAACAGTTATTTATTTTTTAATATTAATCAAGCAATATTTCAATTACCCATCGGATTCTGAATCTTGTTTGGATCGAAATTCTACGGCAATGTCTGGCTCGGATAATTGTGATTTTAAGGCAATGTTTAACCTGGATAAAACGCAGGTGGCTATTACTGGCCTTAGGGTGGAGGTGGAACATAGTTTTACTAAGGAGGAGGTTATTAACCTGGAGGAACATTTGGGTAAGCTTGATTTGGAGGAGGCACATTGGGATATTGCTGGCCAAGAGCTTGATTTGGTGGTTGTGTCAAAGTTTATTAATTTGGAGGCATTTGATTATTTTGATAGCCCATTGGTTAATTATTAGGATAGTTCTAAGGCTACCCACCTGGATAATTAGTAGGGGGTTGGTTATTAGGATAAGGTTATTGATTTTAGGTTGGGTTTTGATAATTTGTGTTCTGGTAATTTTAAGGTTGATTGGGATGACCTTATTGATTATTTTACATGGTTTAAGCATAATTTGGATATCCTTGTTAATTAGGAGGCATATTTGGTGGATAATTGGGTGGCTAATTTTGGGGGTAATTGAGTGTTGAATTTGGAGGCTAATTTGGATTATATCCTTAAGGCTAATTTGGATTGTATCCTTAAGGTTAGTTTGGATTGTATCCTGGAGGTTAATTTGGAGGCTAGTTTGGATTTTGGTTTTGTGGATAATTTGGAGGTTAATTTGGATATCCTTATTGTTATTGTGTGTTTGGTTAATAACCAGGTTATTAGTTAGGTGGATAAGGAGGGGCATAACCTTATTGGGGATAGTTTTATTATGGGTTTTATGGACCTTCTAATGTACCATAGATACCTGTTAATGCAAAGGGGTTTAACTATGGATATTATGCTTATTAAGGTGGATAACTTGGTGGTGGTTGTGGTTGTGGTTGATATTAATTGTAAGGTTACTGATAACCTGGTGCTCCTGGTGGTTTCATTGGTATCACGTTGTTTTATTGATAATATTAAGGATTGGATGGGATTTGAGGTTGTTGTTAGTACTTCTAATCTGCGAACCATTCAAACTATAAGTAGATCTATCCAGCCGATTTTCCCTGATTTGTTAATGATTATTTAAATTACTTTGTAGCTTAAGTTAATCCATTCAGCTGGTTTGGGAGTATCAACTAAATAGGTCTAAAGGGCAATAGAGCATTCTCCAATTAAATCGTCTGCACTTACTTCATCTGAGTCCCACACTTATATTTCAGCGATGTATTCATTAGTACGTCTAAAACTCAATGATTGATTCCAAGAGGGATGCTTCCCTGTTAATATTTAAATGTCTCATACCTGCATCCGTATGTTCTCTTGTTCTTTGTTATTAGCTACCTAGAATGACTTTGCAGTAGGGATCCATTTTACCAAGGAACTCAGTATCACGAGTTAGTTTGGCTTTGAGAGGTTTGATAATTAAGGTGCCAGAACCGACTAATGACATTTTAATATTTTTATATTTGTGAATGTCTAAGAAATCTAATTTGGGTAAGGCTCTTCAAAGGCAACAATAAAGGAAAATGAATGAGGGGGCAGCAAAAGTTCAGAATCAAGGATAGTTCTTTCATGATGGGAAGGTCGTAAAGGAGGAATATCAAATCTAATAAGAGAACTTGCAATCTATAATTGATTAGAATCCTTTAAACGAGTATTTGTAGATGGCAGAGATGGCAAATATCAAATATTAAGCAGAGAAGAAATCAGATGTGGTGGTAAATGAATAGCAGAAATAAGTAAAAGAAAAGTGGATAATTTTTAGTTAGTGATCAATGTAAATGCAATAAGAAAGGGACAATTACCGAATTCATCGGTGTATGATTATTAGAAGAACCAACTGTTGGTTGACTTACAAATACCAAGAAGACCTAGATGGGATGAAAAGACTACAGTTGAGTAATTGAGGTTGATGGAGAATGAGAATTTTTTAAAGTGGAGAAAGGAATTGGCAAAGTTCGAAGAGGAACATTACTAGATCTAATTGACTCCTTATGAGAAGAATATTGAAGTTTGGAAGTAATTGTGGAGAGTGGTAGAGAAAGCAGATATTTTGGTTTAAGTGGTAGATGGAAGAGACATCCTATTCTATCATTGCAATGACTTGACTAAATACGTGCATGAGGAATAAAATAGAGTTTACAGAAAGAATCAAACAAAGATCAATTTTCTATTGATAAACAAAAGCGATTTGATATCTGATAAAATTAGAGAGGAGTGGTCAGCCTTTTTGAATTCAAAGAATCTGAATCACATGTTCTTTAGTGCCAAATTGGAATAAGAGAAAATTGATAAGGAAGAATAAGTGTAAGATGCAACCAATATTCTAATTTAATAAGAGGAACCTAAAACTGAAGAAAACACAGAAGCATTTATAAATACATCAAAAATAGCAGACAGAAAGATATTGTTATCAGAGTTGAAATCATTGGTGTAAAAGATTAGGAAGCAAAGATAAGAGAATGTGGAGACAACCAAAGTGATCGAATAAGAGGATCATGATATATAACATGATGAGAATACAGTCATTATTGGAATGGTGGGATATCCTAATGTTGGTAAGAGTTCAGTTATTAATGCCCTTTGTAATAAGAAACTAGTTGGAGTTGCAGCAAGACCTGGAAAAACAAAGCACTTCTAGACAATACCATTGGAAAAATATCTATTAGTATTGATCCTTATTCTAATTTAAGCTATGTGATTGTCCGGGTTTAATATTCCCCAATGCTTCTTCATCCAGAGCTGAAATGGTATGCAATGGAGTCTTACCCATTGATAATATTAAAGATTACTTGAGCCCAATGGATTTATTAGCTGAAAGAATCCCTAAAATTGTTTTTGAAAAGCTTTATGGAATCAATTTGCAAGAATTCAAAGTTATCGATGCATCTACTGTACTTTCTACCTACAGTAAAAAAAGAGGGTTCATGACTGGTAGAGGCTTGCCAGATGAAGCCAAAGCATCTAAATTAATGCTAAAGGACTTTGTTAATGGTAAATTACTATATGTGAAATTGCCACCAACCTACTAAGGTGAAGCTTTATGGTAATCCAATCCTTTAGAAGATTTAGAGAACCTAATATATTAATAATAATAAAATTAACATCATTTAAATGATGATGCTAATATTGATAATTAATTTGAGAATCAGTTGATTCAGGAGAAGAAAATCACGAATGAAGAGATATTGGAAATATTCACTTAAGAAAACTTAGCTTAATTGATGGAAGGCAAGAAGGTTCATGGTATCAAATTAACAAAGGAACAAAGAAGAGAGATAAAACACAATTTCCAAAGAGGTACTATACATTTGTAACAGCATTTTAGGTGATCCTATCGACATCAAAAAATATCTTAATTTATAACAAAACTAAAAGGAAACTCTATATAAAACATATATTCAAGGTAAAAGAGGGTAGATATGAGCAATATTGTGATTAGTAAAAAACTCAATATTAATATATATTCAACAACACTTTTCCTTCTCCTTTTTGTTATCATCTGTTTGTTAACCAATTTTCTACCCTTAAGTTTACTGACTCCTTTATGGGCTTTTAAATTTATTAATTATAGTATTACCCTTAACCTTTTAACCCTTGGGAGTCCTTTTTTGCAATCAACTTTTTTGCCAGCGATAAGAAAGCCTTCGATACCTAATCTGCTGTCTTTGCACTGACTTCCATGTGTGCCATTCGTTTTATAGCTGCATAATCCAAAGCCTTTTACGTTGTTACACTTTCATAGGAATATCATAATCTTACGCTTTATCCTCGACATCACTCTTGTTTCCCAGCAATAGCAGCTCGACATTCTTCTCAGCATAAGACTCTACCTCGTTGATCCAGAACTTATCAATGTCTTCAAATGACCCTGTGGATGCAACATCATAGACCATTACAATTCCATCAGCTCCCTGCATTCTAATTCATCCCAATACCTTATAATATGCACTGGTTATTGTTCGGAATCTCTCCTGTCCAGCTGTGTCCCAAATTTGAAGCTTGACCTTCTTTCCATCAATTTCCAATGTCTTGAATCTGAAGTCCACTCCGATAGTAGTCAGATAGGAATCGCTGAATGTATCATCAGAAAAACGTAGTAACAATGAAGACTTCCCGACTCCTGAATTCCCCACTATCACCAACTTAAACAAATAGTCATATTCCTTGATCATTAGATATTATAATTATTTAAATTATTCATACACAGAAGTCATCAGTACATATAATACAATTTTAAACTATATTGAATTATTATTTCGTTTATAGAATAATAACAAAACCCTTCTTCAATTCAATATCAAAGACTTGTATTTTAATATATAATATGCATAGTCTGTATGTTATCATTTTCTTATTATCTGAGGGTTTTAATGAAATAGTAAGGGAGAGATTCTAGCGACTGCATTGCAATTAGATAAAAGGAATTCAGAGAATAACTAATCATAAAACTACTTATAATTAATAATATCATATCTTTTGACAGAAACACCACAATGACCAGTAAATATCGACTCATTTATTTACTTCAATAAACAATCAATGATGATGCTCAACCTTATTAGAATAGGTAGAGCATTAGAAATTTGGTTATAAAATGTGATGGAATCTCAATTTAATTTTTTATATATAAATGTAAATTATATTCCTAATTGTTTGCATCGTTGCATTTGTCGATTGCAAATTGAAAGTAATCAGGCCAGCTGAATTGGTGGATCGTTTGGGATCAAAAATAGACATAGCACTTGCCAATTTTGGGTTTTAAATAATGTCTAGTAAATTAGTGAAATTCCATTCGGACATCGAGTGGTTGGCTACGTTGACGTGGCTTCTCCTAATGATGCTTGCGTTCCTCTTGAGCCAGCCTAATAAAGTCATTTTGTATTGATAGAGAGAGGAGGCTGTAGCTTCGTCACTAAGGTCAGGAATGCCCAGAATGCTGGATATTCACTAGCTATTATAGGGAATAATAATGATGAACCATTGAGTTCTGATTTCGTTATGGCTGATGATGGTCATGGATACTCAGTACACAATTAATATAAATGTTATAGGTTAACATACCATCGATATTCATAATATCAAGGGATTTTTAAATCCTGAAAGAGTACTCCACCAAAGCTGGTGAGATTTTGGATGATAAGGTCCTTGTTTTAGTTAAATTCGACGTTAAAAAGAAGGAACGCACTGATGTAATGTTTAGTCTCAAAGTAAATGACAGAGATTCATACAGAGTGATGGATGAATTCTCTGAATATTACAATCTTTTAGTAAACGAGAATGTCAATTATACATTGGTTTATGAAATCTTCAATACCAATACAACAGAAACTGAAAATTTCACTGACGCAGATAATTGTATCTGTTCAAGAAGGTATTGTGCAGAAGATCCAGATGGAACTGGCGTTGCAACAGGAAAAAATATAATTGAAGAGATTATTAGACAAACTTGCATCTTCAAATACTATGCAGACAAATATTTTTAGTATATGGTACAACTTCATACTGACAGTAGGATAAATTTAATTTTTAATGCTCAAAACCTCAAGCCTTCTATATTTGTGGCAGTAAGATTTTAACCAATTTACAAATACCAGCAGATGAAATAAACAAATGTAGAGATGATTCATTTAGAGATGTTGTTACTAACGAAGTTACTAAAAATCTCACAAATGCTTTTAATACTATATTGGACCACCAATTACTATTAAGAGATTAGGCTGGATGGTTGATGGTGCCTTCAGCAATGGTAAATTCCGTAATTTACAAAGGGAAATTGACAGGAAAGGGAATTTTCGGTGAAATTTGCAATAGTAATGCTTTCATTCAAATTAATAGGTTTTGTTACTCCTCCTTCAGTTTGTAAGGATGAAGTAGATGACTATTATAATGAGGGGAGTGGTTATTAGTATCTGATTTGGCTTATTCTTTTTATCTCAATCTTAATAGCTATCTTCGTCATCATTCTATACTTTTTGTTCAAGAAATTTGTGAAAAGAGACAGCGTTGAAGTAACTCAAGTATAAGTAAACGAAATGGTCAGTCAATATATTAAATTTTATGAAGGAAAAGAATAACAAAAATAAAATTCTTTTTGAGATATTAATGTAATTATTATTGAATAATCAAATTTTTATACTTATTAAAATAAGTATTTATTAATGAAATTGGATGCTCTGCTGAATTAATTATATAAATATAATTATGATCTATTAACTACAGTATAACACTAAACTATCAGAAACTCTGAACAATAGCAAAGATTATTGTTCAATGCAAAATACAAAGTGGGTTGCTCCAAGACCCAATTAACATAGAATGGAGTATCTGTAATTCACTTAAAGAAACAAACCTCATTCTAAATACCCACAAGATATGCTATTCTGTCTCATCTCTAAGGGACTTGTTCCAATATAAAAATAGAAGATGGTTAATTTTTCATCGAATGATACCTCATGCAATTACAAGGATGTCACTTCGGAAATTAAATAAGAACACCCCTATTTTAGTTCAAAACTCAACCCTTCAATTTCAGAGATGGACAAATGTCTCTAAATTAAATAACCACACAGAAAATAAAATAGTATTAAGTCCCCTTTAGTTAATAGCTATCCGGTCCTATATTAGGGAGTAATCAAAGGATAAAGATCTGATTGAGATTTCCACCTCCAAAAGCTGTAAATTAATAAGTCCTATGACCAATCAGAGGGAATAAAAGAGAATAGTACGTCGTTTCGAGTCCAAGCAGAACAATGACAAGTTTACCAGAACCTCATCCACTCCTTTCATTTATAAAACGGCACAAAATGATAATCTAACCAGTCGTTCTGGGTCACCAACACAAAGATCTAAATCAAAGTCAAATAAAACTTAGAAGCAAAACACTCAGTCAAAATTGACCCAGATTAATGAGGTTAGATCCATTCAACACAATCAAGATACTAAGGTATAACAATCAAGTAACTAAAAAATTTCAGAATCAGCCGAAAAGAGATTATAAGTTAAAAGAAAGAAAAGACTAAAATTGCAAACAACTTAATAACAGTAAATCTTATAACAGCAAAACTCGTAAAAAGATAAACTTAATCAAAAGCACACTTCCTATCGTTGCTTTATAAACAAAATCAATTTTTCTAATAATCAATGCATTTAATCTCCTTTGAAGATGGATGCTCCTGCTTATTACTTTTATGTGGGCAAGGGCAACAATGGAAATCTGTTAAAGAATCTTTTCAGACAGAGATGGTGGTGGCAAGAAGTAGATACATTGGATTTAAACAAAGTGAACATGGTTTGGACTCAATTGAAACAAAATGCGTTTATTGAATGTTTATCCACTTTTAACATTAATGATACTAATGATCCCTTTGTTCATGAAGATACTGTTGTAGAATCAAGTGATTCAGAATTAGACATCCATTTTAAAACTAGATCTTCACACACTTTGAGTATCAACCAACTATTAAAGTAGTCCATCCAATCTAAGAAAGATTTGTAACTCAATAATTTGAACTAATTGAGGAGGATCTTTAATTAAGTTGATTTACACAAGATCCTTATTTATATGAAATCAAATAATTAATGGGATTCATAAATTGTATTCAGTGATTGTACTGAGAAACTGCTCATGTCTATCAAAGGAGTAAAATATTAACATAATCGCTTAGTTACAGACTACCATTCAGTTAGATAGTAGGAATTACAAAATGCACAATCATATGCAAGACAACTGGCATTTGGGTAATAAGAAGGCTCTCTTTTACAATATGAGAAATTACTTCAAAACCATAAAGGAAGATTACACTAAGTATATTCCCATTACTTTTCATATCTAAACGGGAAATACAGATACTGAATACTTCACATTTGTTGATTATTATAACAAAAGACAGGAGGAGATCAAAGATATGGACCGCAAATCATACGTAGAGCATCGAAGAGAGAAGAAACCAAGGCCAATTAATCTATGGATAGTGAAGCCAGGGGAATTCACAAACAGGGGAAATGGAATCACAGTTTGTTAGGATTTACAAGAAATCAATAAAATCTTAAATGAAGAATAGCCTGATGGTAGACAAAGAACATATATTGTTTAATAGTACATCGATAATCCATTCTTGTACAATAAAAGGAAATTTGATATTCGATGTTACATGTTGTTAACCTCTTAAAATGGGATCTTTAAAGGATACTGGTATTAAGAGGGTTATATTCGAACTTCATCAAAAGAGTTTACAACTAAATGTTTAAATAAATACATTCACTTAACAAACGACGCTGTTTAATCAAAAGACGAGGATTATGGAAAATTTGAGTTTGGTAACAAGATCTCCTTTCTGGAATATTAGAGATACCTTGATACCTATCACCCTTAATCTAAATTCAATTTTTTTATAGATATCTATCCTAAGATGAAGAATATCGCTTTGGATCTCATGAAAGCTTCATATGGTAAAATTGATCCAGAGAGAAGATCAAATAGTTTTGAAGTACAAATGAATTATACTCTTAGTTATTTGGATTGGACTTCATGATCGATGACAATTTTAAGCTTTGGCTAATTGAAGCAAACACAAATCCATGTCTAGAACAATCTTGTCCGCTGTTGAGTAGAATTATTCCAACTATGGTGGAGAACTTGTTTCGGTATTCAAAGTATAATCAACTCTTTTAGAATTGCAATCGATCCTATTTTTCCTCCTCCTTATTTTGAAGAATGGCCTCAAAATAAGAAGTTATTCATTCCAGATAATGTGTTGGAAAACAATCGTTTTGAACTTATTTTCGATGAATTGATTGACAAGAAAGCTATGTTCAATTTATACAGAGATGGTAAAGTAGAACAAGATGGTTTCAAAATTGAAGAGGAAGAGGAAGAAGAAAAAGATTGACACTCCATTGTAATTATTTATATTTAAAAATGTATATAAATTAGAGATCAAAAGGAATCTTCTGTTTTTATATTTCATTTCAATTTTAATAGCTAACTACAAAACTGTCAATATCAAAAGAGGATCAAAAATAAACAGACATACAGCATTGCTAGATTTTAGCTTAGCCCTCAAATATAGAAATTATGTTATAAATTCTAATATTAATAATAAAGTTGTTAAATAAGTAAAATGCAGTTAAATAATTAAATGGATGCAATATTCTAGCAAGAAAAGGAATAAATTCTTGCAGAATTCGAAACCAAACTTCGCAGACTTCAATTACAAGTTCAAAACAAATAATATCAAGATGGAAGTGAGTATTTTGGTGAACTCAATAATGAGCTCAGATGGGGTTAGGGAGTATACTATTATTTTACCGGAGATGTCTACGCTGGATAATGGGCCAATGACTTATTTGATGGGGATGGAACCTACATATTTGCATCTGGGGAAAGATACCAAGGCCAATTGAAGGAAGGTAAAAAGCATGGTTTTGGTACCTATTACTATCTGAATGGAAATAGTTATACTGGCAATTGGGCCAACGATAAGAAGCAGGGAAGGGGAGTATATGTGTACGCATAAACCAATGAAAAGTATGATGGTGAGTGGAATAATGGATTAAGGCAAGGTTATGGCACTTTCACTTATTAATGCGGAGTATATGATGGCGAATTTAGTAACAATCTCAAGGAGGGCAAGGGCGTATTAAAGTACAAGAGCGGAGCACTCTTAGACGGCGAATGGAAGAAGGATAAAGTCGAAGGAGAAGCCAAATTGACATTACCCAATGGGGATTATTACAAGGGTACTTGGGTTGGAAGTCATATGAATGGTTATGGAAGATACCAATATCAGAGTGGAGGCTATTATGAAGGCTGGTGGAAGCAAGATTAATTCCACGGTGAAGGCATGTTAACTTATGAAAATGGTGATATATACAGAGGGGAGTTCCAGACTGGTTTAAAACATGGAAAAGGAATATATTTGCACTAAAATGGTGATTAATATGAAGGAGAATTCAAAAATGATATGAGAGAAGGAACAGGAGTATTGAGAATGAAGAATGGAGATAGGTATGAAGGAGAATGGTCGAATTCACTTAAGGAAGGCAAGGGCACATACTATTTTTCAAATGGAGATAGATTTGAAGTATATATTAAATCTAAAATTTTAGGGTAATTTTGTGGCAGGCAAAAGGTCTGGACATGGGATAATGTATTGGTCAGAGAAATCTTCTGTGAGTGGATTTTGGGTGGATGACATAATGAATGGATAGGGAGTCATCGTAAAAGAGAATGGAGATAAATTGTAAGCCCTATTTAAAAATAATAAATTAGTTGCATGAACTTATTAATATAAATATATACTATAATTATAAACTTAATGATAACTAATAATCATCATATTCATATATAATAGTTTAAAAATAAACATAAAAATACTTTGTAATTATAAATTATTGTAATTATTATCAATGTTTTATAACCTCCCAAGAACTCCATATATGTAAACGCGAGTCCAACCTAGAGTTTTATACAACGGATTTGAGAAGTACAAGTAAGACACTATATCAGCACAAAAATTGTGAAGGTCCAGAATACTTTTGAATATTACCATTACTTATAGAAGAAAAAAGAGTATTAGGATTAACAAAAAGAATTATTGGAAGGATTAAAAATGGAGAATGATGAAATGAAGAAGTTGTCCTATTCGGTGAAATGTTTCGGAGTAAGTAACAAAGAGGGAAAGTTTGGAGTACAAAGTTAGCGTAAATTCATGGGTGGTTCATTCGAATCCCATCCCACCTATGAGGTTAATGTTTAAAGTGAAAGGATATCCTATCCCTTCAAGTCAAAACGCCTTATGACTAGTCGAAGATTACTAAGAGAGAAATAGAAACCTCTTTCAGAAATCATAAAATTACCAGAAAGACCTGAAACAGTCAGAACGCAACACGTCTCAAATGTCGATAAAATAGTTAAGAAATCACGCTTAAAGTTCAAACAATAACATTCTCAACCGTAACCAGAGATAGTATTCGAGAAAGAAAAAGCTAAGTATCAATCATATAGTCGTCTCCTCTCAGAGGCTCATAGTCATGAAAGCTTTTATAAAATTCTTAGTCCTTGACTTAAATATCTTTTCATTTTTTAAAGTTGATTATTTTTGTAATCAAACTATAAACATCATCAATACATCTATTAAATATTATCATAGAATAACTAAGGAATTTATAATTAGATTTTATTTCAAATCAGATTATCATCTTAGGTAAAATTCTAAATTGATGGAAATCACATAATTTTATTGTTTATATCAATTTAATCCTATAATAAGGGTATCTATTCTTTATGCAATTATATATTCATATTTTATAGAAAAATAGACTGCAATATGTTTTAAATACTCAAATCAAACATATATGTAGGAAATAATCTTTAAATCGGAATAAAGTAGAATCTACTTATTTACTACTTTTTCACGAACTCCTAATTGGATTCTTAAAAATCAAGGATCTTTAATTTCTTATGAGTAACAGTGACAGAAGAGCTGTTTCCTTATTTGAATTTAAACTTGATGCAGATCCAGTCAGACATTAGTGTGGAGTTTGATAAAACAAAAACAATATTGTCATAAATAATATGAGAATCAAGAGTGATATGATGATGATATATTATAGATAAATGAATCAGGTATTGTACATGACCTGACAATGGTAACTTATGCTAGATGCCACATGATACATAATGTAATTATGATCACTTACTGATTCTATATGTTTAACATCATAATATAAGTTTTTATCTTTTTATGCAGCAAGAATACATTTTACCAATTTAAGTTGCTTCAGAGATGTGATTTAATTTCTTTCGAATATTGATTTTTAAATATCTTGTCCTTCATATTATGTATAGTTAGCAATAATCGATTAACCTCCAAAGAGATCTGAAAGAGTGAATGAAAGTTGGAAAAGTCCTCTTTTTGAGATAGCTGGCTAAACACCTTGCACTTGGGCCACTAAACACACAAGATCTACTTTATGGCCAAAGTAGTTTGGGTAATCGTGCTGTTTAAGACTCTTGAACATCTTGAGGCTCATCGGCACTATGTTAGAGCTCTATTTGCCTATGATGGACTATGGTTTTTTGCTGCTCATACCTCCAGTGTATAGTAATGACTCTCCATCTACATTTATATTAAAATAATTGAAATTATATTCACAGATCTATAGATTTTAATATCATTCAATCGTATAAATAATATACCATTTAAGTGGAGTCGAAGAAATATGTAAATGAAGGATCCTATATAATATACGATCTAGTGAGAAATAATAATAAGAATATTTTGAATGGCAGTTGTTATGTTTAAATATTATAAGCCTTTATATCGCAATATTGATAAAAATGCTCAATACTCGCAAGTAAAAGGATGCATTAATTGTAATATCAGAAAATTAATATTTTTTATAAAGCTCTTCGCTTAATTAAAGAATAAATTTATGATAACATTTAGTACTAATTATTTTCCGGTAATATAATTCAAATTATTATAAAAAGCTCATATGAAGCTTTTAAATAATATATACATATAATTAAAGGTTTTAATAATTATTTAATATATTTTGAATATAAAAAAAAAGTATTTGTAGAATTGGATCATAAATAGCTATTTATATTCATTCATTTAGTGATAGTTTAACCTCGTTTTGTATAATTTGATCATATATTTCTATTAACTTGGCTCCTAATCGATATCCACCGATAGATAAATTTTCTTCACAAAAAGCAATAGCTTATTTTTCATAATCACTATTGTAAGAATTGGATGTCGCTACCATTGGATACACAAATTATTGTGCTTATCTAAAACCAAGGTAAGTCCAAACAGAAGGATTACTATGTAATATTTTGCTTAGTACGTCATATCGTAGTTGCTGTATTTTGATTTTGGGTATTTAGTTATTAATTCCTTCGACCACTTGTCTAGATACTAACTATCCGATTAACTTAGGGGTCGAGCCATAAAACTATTATTGGGAGCAAAGGAAACTGCACCAGAATCCCAAAAGGAATGGAAGTTCATAAGCGTTCCATTCGATAACTATATATATATATTATAAATACTTAAATCTTCATAAAGTTGCCTCCTGCATCTCCATTAGGATAGCTACTATTCCAAAAAGTAGTGTCGTGTAAAGGTTGATGTATATCTCCGATAACATGTAATAAAACTCTCATCATCTGTGCTTTGAAAACTGTATGTCGATTTTTAGCAGTTTTTGTGTTAGTTAAAACAGACACGGCTTGATTAATGGCATAGATTGAGTTGATATTTCTACCTTAATCATCGATCTTGATCAATAACCTTTGAAATAATCAAAAAAAATACCCATCTGGATTTATTGGTCTGTCAGTGTAGTGCCAATCATTAAGAAATCCAGTTCCTGTTTCTTTTATATCATCTAACCAGACAGCTGCTTCAGCAAAGGTGTTAGATCTACCGTCTGTAAGGCTATTGAAGTCTTATACTAAGGAGTCTGCCCAAGCTAATACATCTGGTCTATTGTCTTTCAAAAAATTCTTGGCAATTTGGGCAGTCATCATGTGACCGACTTCCCACCAACAATACACCATTGAAATAAGATAAGAGAGAACAAATCCTTTCATTAATACGATTATTAAATACTCATTTTAAGTAAATGATTACCTCATATTTATATAATCAAATTTTTTATAATAACTTATTCTTTATTAAGATATACTTTAATTTATATTTATTCCATTATTATTTTTCAAAGCTTCCAATCCATACAATTCAGTTGACCTTAAATTTTCAATTATTATTTAAGCCTACATTACCTCTTATTTAGGATTGTTACATCCAAGCGTATTTTGGTCTTTTTCTAGATCAATCTTTTTCATTCATACTTATTTTATTATGATTTTAATTAAATCTGTGTTGGTTTATTGGATAACACTCTTTCATCCATGATTTTTGTATTAAAAGATATTAATTGATTTGCAGGAACTGAATAATTTAAGTTTGGTTTCTTTGGAGATGAGGGAGATCTTCAACTTACTATTCAAATATGGAGGGAATTTCTACTAACTATTAATAACTTTGTCCTTTATCGGGACTTAAACTAATACAAGCTAATATCAATTTTTCTAATTTCTCTAATCAGATATATATGCTATTTTACTATTTAAATTAAATTTTCTCAATTAAAATATTATTATATATTAAACGAATTTTTAATATAAATAACATTAATTATAATTAGAGATTTCTGCTCGTTATGGAGTTTTCTTCAGTATGTATTGTTTTCATTATTAATCTTAATTTAATATTGTTGCTCTCTCATGTGAATGTTTTTAAGTCATTCATTAATCAGCATGTCATACTTCTGGTGCAAAATACCTATCTTCACTTTTGAAATCTCTAGAAAAATACTCTAATAATCTCTCTATTAGAAAAATATTTGTTATTCAACAATTCTCACTTTCTCCCCAAAATTAATAACTTTGAAAGACAAAAATATTATGGATCTATTTTTAGGGAATCTAAAACTTAATTTTTGTAGAATTTCCACACTAAATTTTTTTTTATCCATTTGATATATATATTTCTCAAGGGCTTTTTGGTTTTATCTAATATTAAATGAAATTTTTCAAATGTAGAATATAATTATGATTCGACTTCGTGCTCAATTTTATTTGTTCTCATTAAATTATATTATGAAACAAGAAGTTATATTCTTTATAAATTTCATAATTGTATATTATTTAAAATAACAATTGATAATATATGTTTTTCTAGCTTGAAATTTCTTTTTAGAATTATAAGGCTAAATACAAGGTGGATATTTATTTTAAAAATTTTTTTTATAACAATGCAAAAGTATAGCTATTGAAACTTTTAATTAATTTTAAAAAGTCAATCAAGTAAAAAAATAAAACAACTGAGTGTTGATTAATAAATAACATTTTTATAATAAATATATCATTTAGATAATGGTGTCATCATTCTTTTAAGGTTATCAGAAATTTTGAGTAAACCCTATCTCTTTTTACATAATAGATTTCACCTTCTTTATAATTATTGAGAGCATAATCACTTATTATAAACTATTAATTCAAATCTTAAGGTTCTCCAAGCAAAACTTAAAGCACGAATATCTGTTTTTCTCCTTCTGAGAATACACAGTAGTTATCTTTTACATAGTCCATAGTATTACCACATTTTAAATAAGGTCCTTTTTGCTAAAAAATAACAATTATTTGTTACATAATCAAAAGGGAGAGAATTATTTACTTTTCCAAATATTTCTTAAGGACAAACATTTTAACTTCCAAAAAGTAACAATTATTCATCCCAACCTTCCAAAGATTTTTTTTTAGATAAATATTTTGCCCAAAAATCATAATTTTCAATCAATTAGATTTCTTTAATATTCAAAAATGGAAAAGATTATTGAACTTCTTCATCAAATTATACATCATCAATAAAATATATACAGATGTAGCTGCAAGTATCCCAAGATTATGGAACCTAATTAAAATGTTCTACTGCTTCTTGAATTAATTTTAAACCATTTTCAAAGCATTTGAGAGATAAAGTGTTATTTTGAATTAGTACTCCATCCATTGATAGAGTGATCTTCTAAAGGTAGTTTATAAAGCTTAAGAGGATCAAATCATTAACCATAGGTAGTTTAAGTTCAAAAGTAATTTCATATTTTTCTAAAATTTTCCAGATAGCATTTTGTATATTCTATGCTGTCTTACCTTTTTCATTTTATTCATTTAAACTAAGAAATGTTAGTGCACTGCAATAAACTTGATTATCTTCTTAAATCAGCTGAGGAGCTTTTGCATTCAACTTATTATTTATCAAATTGCGTAAATATTTAATAAATGAATACTTTTCAGTATCTCTTTGTAGTTCTATTTTTGTATTAGTGTCTAAATTAATTTTATAAAAGCCATCTTTGCTTGTAAAACAGATTTTATAATTTTCCAATAATATTGTAAATATTTATTTTTTCTTTGATTTCATTTCAATATATAAATTCAAACTATCGTCAGCTTGCTCCTAGCCGATGTAATAATATCCATCTTTTTATTGAATCTTTTGAATTTTATTACTAGTAAGATCTGTGATTTCGCCTTTATTCAAATCAATAATATGAGTTCTAGGTTTATCATTGTAAGGAAACTTTAAAAAAAGTTCATTTTTTTTGTTGTCTCTTAGATAGGCTAAATAGGCAGTTTCAATCTGTTCATTAATTTGAAAACTATATTCAGTGAATTCTGTTCCATTATTCCATTTCCATTTGACATCAGCATGTTGTCCATACCTCAAAAATGTCATATTTTTCAACAGTTCTTTTTCATATAAAGATTTGTGTTTGTCAGTATCAATAAAAATAACAAGTTCATAAATCTAGTTTGATACAATGACAAGAATTCTTCAATTAAAAAATGGAAAGTATCCTTAATCTCTTCGTATACGACTCCAATTTATGTATATGGGGAACCATATTTCTGATAGTACAAAAAATACTCTTGGAATTTCAACTGGCTTGCAAGAATTTCATCCTACTTTTTATAAGCAATTTTCAGATGTTAATTATTATTATTGACCTTTCTAAGAGAGAGTTCACAATTTAAATCTGTGTCAAAATAAACTTCTTTTTTTTTGAATTTCAAGAATTAAATTTTGGTAGTTTATTATTGGATTTCTTGTTGATTTTTTGTAAAATTAAAATTCAACTCAATCAATTATTCTTAACATAATTTTTCAATATCCTATTGACAATTGTTATATAAGTATTTTGCTTCTAACTTGCTTATTTTAATCGGTATTTCTAATAATAACTGATCTAACTTTTGTTCATATTTGTGAAAAATACTTAAAGTTCTCATATCATATTCTGGGCTTTCAAAATATACAATTTCTTGATTTTATGACAATTTTATTGATAGTATCTTTTATGACTATTCCATTATTTTATTCTTATAATCATGAACCATCTATTAAGCATACAATTTTGATTTTGGTTTATAATATAGATAGAGTAGAGTTTTGTAAGTCTCAAGTTTAGTTGTAACTTGATTCAAATATTTGGAATGTAATATAAAATACATTTAATCATTTTAAATATACATGAGTGCACTATATTTTTGTTAGAACTCTTCTGTTGTTAGTCCTAACTGGTTAAGCTGGTTCATTTAAAAACTTGCAATCTGAAGCTCAGTCAAACTTTTATTTAAATAGCTTTCTAAAGTTTATAATTCATTAGCTTGAAATTTATTAAGATAGACCATGACCTCTATATATTAAGATTCGATATTTTTAATGTATAATATGTTTTGTTGTTAAGTAAGATCCATGAAAAGATTAGTTAAGATATGCTTTTTTTATTAAATATCTATTAACTCTAGATGCGTACTTAATTTTGCATCTATTTTTAGATAAATTTACTCACATTTTAGAGATTCTAATAATTTATTCACTTCATTTCTGAATGCCTTAATTTAATGAAAAGTATTGTTTAATTTTATCCCAGTTTCACAATCTTTAAACTTGATTTTAGAATGTGTAATTAATGGTAATTTACAAATATATTTTTGGAAATGTGACTTCTCCCAATCATTTAATCTCAATATTTTTGATGCTTATTCTTGAATTTATTATTAGTAGGCTTAGTATACAATAAATGCATCAATATATGATTCAATTTCTAAATAAATTACTTTTGATAAACTAGGAATTTAGAATCTATTATACCCTACTTTAATTTTGATATTTTAATATTATTTACAAAAATCTTTAACCATTTCTTTTAATTCAGCTCTAGTAAGTTTTGGATTTCTTATTTAAATTACAACAGTGTGAGACTTAAAATGATCACTAATAAAACGATTTAAGAGGATTTGTTTCTATAAAATCTGAGGATTTTAATTATTTTGAGGATCATCTTCATATTCGTTCAAATTTAAAATGAAAATCAATTTTTTTAATTATCTTGCAAACTCTTATGGTTCTTCTACTTCGCCTAGAAACAGATTTCCTTAAGATGATTCTAAAATAATTGTTAATTCGTCTAAGTGGGTTTATAAAAAATCCTTTTTGGCATTCTTTTCGATGCAATTTTTACAAAATACAGAAAAAAGGATCATGTTATTTATTTGTTAGTTTATTTACTCTAAATATTGTTATTAGTATGGATTTAGGTTTTCTTGAGTTTTATATTCGCTTAAATCCCAATCTGGAAGTAGTGTCATTTAAAAATTTTTTGCCTTTTCATAGAAATAATTTTTAATTAGATTGTGAATAGCAATAAATTTTACCTTCTTTGATATCCCTACAGCTTCATTAAAATATTATTTGGCCTAAAGTGGGTCTTACATCAATATATTCTGACCATTCAGTTGAAAAATATTATTTTGATCATTGATATAATTTTGAGATTGGTTTAATTCCTCTTGCTATTTTCCATCCAATTACAAGAAGATATCTGCTTGAGGTTGCTTCACAATCTCGAAATTATTTCACTTGACATCTATGTCATCTTGATTTACTTTCATTTTAATTGAGCTTATTATTATATTAAATTAAATCTTTTAATTGACTTTTGTAGTATGGAAATACATTTAAATAATCCCCTTATATATTCAACTTTTAATGTTTTAAATTAAAAAATCTCTAAAGTTAACGTAACACAAATAGAATCTCTTTAAACAAAAAGGTCTAAAAAACAGCCCTTACTCATTAAATTATATTTTTGAGATAAAAAATAATAAAATCTGTTGGATTAGTTATTAACTTATTTCGATTTCCTATTACTGATTTCATAACCTAACGTTGGAGTACTGCATTCGATGCATATTATTACAACATATATAAAAATTAAAGGTTAAAAAAATTGCAAATCCTTCATAAATAGTAATCCGTATATTTAAAAATAAATTGAATTTAATAAAATAATTGGCAACGAATATTGCATAAGAAAATACTTGTTAAAATGGCTAATCATTAATGTTTCAACGTTAAGATTCTTCAAATAATAAAATATTTTAATCATTAATTTCCTTTGAAAAAAAGTTAATGTTATTTTCATATGCTCATGACTTAAGTTTACTTTCTTACTCAAGTTGAATTCCATACAAAATGGTTGTATGTAGATTTATACTTTATAAATTGTTAACATAATCACAATTCAATAAAAATTCATAATTCCTTAATCTATGAATTAATAAATCATAAAGTGAATTAAACAAGGTAGTTAAGTTGATTGATATTAATATGTTTAATATTAATATTCAGAATTTTTAAAAATTTCAATTATTATATACAAATTCAAGTAGATAAGAGATCATTTTATACATTCATGATATCTTTCTTAATCGTTTTATGATGACTATAATACTATTATTTTTATTCCAAATTATTTAATTTTAATTTTACTTCTATAATTTATTAATAAAACACAAATATGTTCCTTTATTTTCTCCTTATGTACCAGGGCATGGGATTAAATTTAAGTTTTCTCAATGACACAGAGCAACATTAGACCAATGTAATGATGAATGTGGAACAGTAATCATATATTAAAAGATTAGATGATTTAGGCAAAATTTTGTAAGTGATTGTTTCTGAATTATTTAGGTCTGTGAAGTTCACAGGGGAAGACGAATCAAGCTAATTTTGCTCACCCTATTATTAAGGAGTAACAATTCATCAGGCACCTTCAGGATTTGTATCATTAGTCCACGAATTTTCAAAGAAAGGTATTGATGAATTGGGTGAGGAGGACTTGTATCGTGGATATAATGAGAAATTATCCTCATATGCTGTGAGTTCAGATGGAATTAGTATATTATCTTCAAAAGGGAAAGTTTATTTCATTGACACAAATTCAAGGGAAATGTCTTTCTTCAATTATACTCTGCCATTGTTAAATGAGCAATAACAGTCAACTCATTTGGTGTATGATGAAAGATCAAGATATTTCTATGCCTTTTTGAACGATAACACTTAAGTTTTAAAGTACTAATTTCTTAACGATGAAATACAACATAAACCAGTGGCAGGATGGTAGATACCAACTGATAAGATGAGGGTTGTGGCTAGTAATGGATGGCTATACTCAGCCCAAGAGTCATAAGGTCTATTTATTTATGCAATCTAATAGCATGGTTTGAAGTTTATAAAATCTATTACTTCTATGGATCTGTATGACTCTTAACAAAATTTGTTCAGGATTATAGATGTTGCAGTTTATGAAGATAAATTGTATATTTTAGATCATTACAATGGAATTACACAATTTATTATTCATTTTGATGGTACATTTACAAAAAATGACAAGCTGGGATTGATTAAGTATTCAGATTGCAAATCATTTTCAGTTAGAGGATCAACAATTATATTGATATAAAGTTATCAATCAAACTCTGAGATTGTTGAACTATTTATCAAAGATGATGAATATTTGGAAATGAGAAAGATATACACAAAAAGTCAATTGAGAAGAGCAGATATTATAGATGATGATTTTGCTATTATTCGTGGTCTTCATGATCATAAAATCATGCTAATTTAAATGCCTGAATAATACCTTGATCAGGATGCAAAACGATTGTAAATTTAATTATTCATATCTTTCCAGAGACAATTATTTCTTTAGTGGAAATCTCTTGGGTGTGAATAAATTAGGTAAAAGCAATGAGACCCTCTTTGCCATATCCCCTCATGGATTCTACGTTTTCAATTACAGAGCATATCCCGCTATAATCATTTGCAACAGTAATGATGTTGAATCTGGATTATACCAAGCGAATGTAATTAAATTGTTTATTTTATCAAGATGTAAATCAAGAGTACTGATTGCGATAAGAAAACAGACAAGTAAAATCATCTCCAATATTGTATCACTAATCATCTCTACAATTTCGAAATCAAGAAACCCTTACTTTCACCAGAGCAATAGTAAATTACTATATATCTAACTATTATCTTGATCTCTATTATCCTCTTGTTGGTCGGATGCATATTGTTTCACTGCAGAAGCTATCAAATTAAATTAGAAAACCTAGAGAGATCAAAAAGAAGAAAACACTCTAAGCCTCCTATTAAAATAGAAGCATGAAGTTATAAACATAATCAAATATTTAAATATGCAATTCAATATAATATTCTGAATTAATTTCAACTCTTTCTAATAATCTTGAAAAAGGATGAATTTTAGAATTAAAAATAAAATAGACTTTTTTTTGAATAAAATTTATATTTTTATTACTTATTAATAATTCAATACAAAAAGTTTAAATTATTTATAAAAAGAGAATATTAACAAAAAGTTAAAATAATAGAGATATCATTTTGACTTCTAATAGTTGGTATATATCTAAATAGATAAATAAATAAATAAAACATACAGATACTAATTTTCATTGTAGCTTCTTGAGTAATGATAATGTATGTTACTCAGTGAGTACTTCAATAGGCAAATTAGTTAAGATTAATCTTAATTCTATCAGTCTTTAATTGGTTTTATGTATCCAACAACCATAAAATAAAAAATGAATCGATATGAGGAACAAACCAGTGACTAAATAATACGTATACATCAAATTTAGATCACTTTAAGTTATGCTTAATACTGATTTCAGTATAGTATCTACAAATAGGTTGGTTCCATCTGTGGTATCTAGAAAGTGCTCAATTAAGGTGTTTGTAAATTCCCTTGTATTAAATAGTTCTAAGACCACTGCTAAATCTGGGTAATAATCAATTTTGTTTGTTTCATAATAATAGTTTTATTTGAAGAATTAATCTAGTTTGCTTACAACTCCTTAAATGCCTTTACTTAAATAATCTCTATTATCATCTAAACGAGTTGGTTTTCCATATTTTTCATAAAAATTGGTTGTGTTATCGTAATTGCAGAAGGGAATGTCTTAACTCAGCAACTCACAAAAATCATTGGAGAATAACATCAATAGGGTGTTTTCGTCATCATTTGTGATTTTGTTGGATTCGATTATGTTTTCATAAATTTAAGTGATATTCTCAAAATAGATTGAATAAAGGGAAATGAAAATCTTAATGATTACTCGTTAATCTCTAAAGGTTTCAATTTCTTCAGCTGAATAAATATTCATATCAACTAATTTGTTATATAGAATCGGTTAAGTCTTTGTAATGAATGCTGTACTAACTACGATATCTAATTGAGAAGTAAAACGAATAAAGCTGAGTGTCAATTATTAGGTAGGTAACAAATCACTTTACTATTACTTAAATAATAAAAAACCTCCCAATAGATAAAATAGAAAGATAATGCAAGTTATCACAATGATAATAGTTGCACTCCATATGCTGGTATTTGTATTATTAATTTTTGAATTGAGCACTACATTTAGATTTTTTTTGTAATTTTTTCTATCTTCAATCATGTGATTCAGCTTAATGGTTGATCCACCGACTTAAGATAATTGATATTCCTTAAGCACTCTAGATTATGTTTACATAGTGTCAATCCCTATTTAATTTAAGGGAAAGAAAAGCAATTTGTAATAATTTTACTTTTTCCATCCATATTTTCCAGATAATTACTTTAATGTTTCTGAAACTGCGGTATATCTGGTTATCATCTCTTACGCTTAATTTAATTATAGTCTTCCAACTAATATCAATATTTATTAGATATATTATTCTATTTGTTTCCAATAGATCAATTAAAATATTATTACTAAAATCAAGAATAGGATTTCTATAATAATTTGAGTTTAAAATTCTTCAATCTAATTCTATTACTACTCAAAAAACAGTTCATTAAGCGAATCTATTAATTGAAAGTTCATGTCCACTACATTTTTTAAATTATATCTAAGCATCAATAAATTATCTAAGTAATTACGATCAATCAATTAAATCAAAGTCTATATGTTGTATTGAAGTGCTTGAAACAAGGTATCAGCCACATTGGAAATGATGTTGATAAAATAAGTATATGTGACATTTTCATTTTCTTGATATAAAAAATCTAGGTTGATTGAACTGAGCATCCCAGATTACTCTATTCCAATAAAAGTATCGTACATATCCCGTAAGCTATCAAAAATAATTGAGGCTAAGTCTGCCATTTGCGAGATTGTTTAAGTTATCAAATAATCACTACTTTCAATAATACCAAGGCTGTTGAAAACCAAACTCCAAGTGTAGGTAAAGACCTTAAAAAAATACCTATTAAATAATGTTGGTCCATTGATATTTGAGAGCGTTAGTTAAGTTTAATTATTGTAAGAGGTAATCATCAGTAAATGAGCAATTATATAGGTAAAGACTATCAGTATGATAATAATATTGATAATGACGAGAACTCTTAAACTATTAGTCATTTCTGTTTTTGATTGAAATTTCTTAATTGTAGATATTGCAGATATCCCAGAAGTTCCAGAAGTAATGCTTGACTTTGATTTCTTAGCCTCTCTTTCTAAATCTTCGTTTTTTTAATTTAATCTGTTATTTTGCAATATTTCCATAAGATTATTACTCTTTTGGTTTTAATCCTTGCTGTTGCTTTTGACCTTTGATGAATCAGCAACCTCAATCTCATTTCCTATATCATCATTCCCAAATTCCAATTGATTCTATAAATCCATAAAATCCTTATCTATCAATTCCTACATATGCTATTATTTAGAGGATGGACTAATGAAATTGATCCTTTACGACAAGGGTCCATAACTTATACTATCTCTTGCTGATTCCATTCCCAATAAGTCCATATAATTCGGTTATGCTTAATTCTTTCCCTCATACTTACTCAAAAGTCTTGCAAACCCAGGTTGGTGTTACTTGGACATATGAGGGGTAACTTCCTCTTTATCTACATTTAATGATCCCAAATAGCTTTCACTTGGATCTTAAATCGTAGGCATATTGCCTTTGTTCGTAGTCTAAATTGAAAAAGTATGTTGATTATTCATAAGTGATTCAGTTGTCTTAAATAGTTCATCAGCCTTTCTCAAATCATTTATTTCCATAATAAAGTAACTCCTCCTGTTCTCCTTTTTCCCTATTATTTTGTACACTACATTAATTTTAGCAATATATTATTGCTTAGCTTTACTCTAAACATAATATATATTACTTTACTTCTAACACTTATAATGAACTCATTATTTAGTTATTGAATGTACCATTGTAGATTGTTAAAGCTTACAAAATGGAAACCCCTTTCAATTTTTTTGTGTCATTAACAGATTACCCTAATTATTAATATATTTGAATATCGGCCTTTTCTTTCTCGATTGAAGCAAAGGAAGCTCGAGATTTAAATAAACTACTATCATTGATAAAAGAGTTCTATTTAGATGAAAAACCCAACTTAATTGACATCTCATACAAGTCTTTATTATTGTTAAACTTCCAGATTTTATAAAACTTGTCTTACTAAATATATATGGATTCCTTTCCATACTAGTTCTTTAACTCGTTCAATATATCCATCATATTCGGAATTATTAAAAAAGCATTTAACTGACTTAAATTTTCATGCAATATTCTATATGATTGATCTTTAGAATTGATAATAGTGGAATTAAAATTCTCAGTCATCCCGATTAGAAATCCATCTTCCCCAAACAGTAAATAATCTGATGATTTCTTTACTTATGAAAGACAACCAATCAAAACGTAGTCATCTAATTCACTAAAATTATTATCAAATTTAAGTTAATATGAAACGAGCATCCCCTCTTTTGATTAACCAAAGACTTAGTTATAATCCTCAAAGAATTGAGACTTTGCGGTTTACAAATAGTTTAATAATAATTTATCGTGTCTCTCTGCAAAAAAGGATGGCATTAGCCCTGATATATTGTCAATCTAGGCAAATTCCTGTTCACTGTAATTAAAAAACTAAGAGATCATCTTCTTATCTTGATTGATTATCCTGCCCCTATTCTTAACCAAACTTAACATCAAAATAACTGCCCTCTCTTAAATAAAGGATAAATTTGTTAATGTATCTTCTTATAATGTATGCTCAATATTATAAACTTCAGTGATGGCTGTTTCACACATTTAAGTGCTATAATAATCATTCATTATAGAACTACAGAAAATGGATATCAACTTCAAATCCTACACATTATTTGAAATTTATAAATGATCTAGATTCTTAATATCTATTGAACAATATTGATTTATTTGATTAGCCAAATTAAATATTTTTTTGCTTTGATTTAGGGCTAGTCTTTCTAATTCGTAAATATTGTTGAAGCCTTTAATCTGTCGATTCCAAAAACTAATCTTATCATTTAATAACTCGATCACCCTAGGAATGAATTCATCCTGAAATTAGAGAGCTTCAAAAATTGATTGAATACTCAATTGTCTTTCAGTAATAGCCACTTTTTATTACCCAAACAATTGTTGATTAGCTTGTTATTGAGTCTTTATTAGAGTTTACAGATAGATGCTCATTTGATATCTAATGGTAACGAAGTAAAAAGACTGAATTTATTACTTGCTTTGATATCGCTTCAATTCAACATAGGCTAGAAGTGGCTTTTTGCAGAACAAAGCCACATAACTTATGTACAAGAGTTATAATTCTTCGTAGGTTGATTTTGAATCTTACTATGCTCTTTCCAATTCTGTGTTTAAGATGCAAAATATAGTTTGATGAGTCCTTTAGATTTAATTGTAATCAGTTCTATAATTCTACTTAAGCCAATGTTTTTAACAAACTACTTTGTGTCCTTTCCAATATAAATACAATTAAAAGAATTCTTTGTTTTTTTAGTTTTCATTAGTTATCAAGTATTTGAAGTGCATCTCCTGGGTGTAATGAATGCAAGTGAATGGAGTTACTTCATTATCGAAAACCGATAAACATTTCATATTGTAAAATTAATAACTTAAATGGAATGCCATGAGACCCAATAGCATTATCACGTATACTAATTGATCCTCCTGGAATATTTATTCATTGTTGGTTAGGATGTTTATGGTTAATATGATTAGGATTGCAATGAGAGTAAAATTAAATGAAAATTATAATTAATTAATCTAAGGGATTGAGGGCTTCATAAAAAATGATTCTGATAATCTCAATAATAACTGCAGGAATAATATTAGTATTTGAGTATATTGGACTATTGTATCATAATTAACTAGGTATAAAATTGTTATTAAAACAGAGAAGCAGTATTAAATTGATTGCAGTCCATTAAATTTTTGCTATAAATAATTAAAAGGTACAAATGTATACGCTCTCAAAAAGTATTGCTACAAAAATACCATGATTGAGAATATAAATAGTGTAACTAGGCTCAAAATGCTTTTTACATTAAAAATTGTTAACTCTTAATTAAAATTGGTTCTTCCTATTGTTATAAAAGAAATTAGGATAAACAGGATTGGCATTTAAAATATAGTGGTGCTAAGTATGAGGAAATAGAAAATAAATTTTCTAAGTGAATAATGTTAATGAGGATTTATATCATCCTGTATTCCTAGGATTACTAAGATAATGATAATTGTCACAAAAGTGATAAGAAGTAGACTGACAAAACCAAATGCCACATCTCCAAAATTAAAACTAGATTCAAAACCATAAGGTATAATAAGGGAAGCCTAAGCAAGCTTCGATAACAGGTAAAAGTGTCCATTGCTGTAATGCCACAAATTCCAACCACTTATGGGTAACATAATGGCTAGGTATTAAAGATTGGTAATAAAAGCAACAAAGATAATCCAGAACTCAGAGGGTTGGGTATTATGAGGTAAATGCGCTAAACATGACAACTATTCAAATATTATAAATTTCATAATAATAATGATAATTTAACAAAATAAACAACATTATCTATAAATTAATTCCTTATAACTTGATTTTATTTCGATTATTGAGAAGATGTAAAATTTGGAATATTTAATATTTCATTTGTGAAAATAAAATATATTTAAAAGAATAATGAAACTATAAACTTACAAGAATAAGGTGTGATTGATATTTAATAAGCTAATATTTATAGTGAACTAATATTATTGAATTTAATTCATTTGTTAATGTGGTCAATATTAACGTTAAATTGTTTACCCTTATTATAGTGATCTATACAAATTGATGATCATATTATTAATTAATAAAGATTATCAGCTATTCAATGGACTTATAAATAATGATCGAATATCTTTTATAATTGATCTTATTAATTACTAAATATATGATTATTTTCATTTTGTATATTTTTTGGCAGCCAATTAGTATAGTGATCTATTATTGGGACAACAAGTACCTTGCATTATTCAATCAGTTAAATGGTTTCAAATTTTAAGTTGTATGTAGGTGAATGGGCTAGTTTGAATTATGTGATTATAATTTTCGCTCAATTTAATATTTCAAATGTACTATTTCACACAAATCCAATCATAATTTGATATGCTTTATTGTTGAGGATTGGAGTATTGATTTTCTTGATTGAATTAAATACAAAATTTATATAGTTTTTAAGAAAGAATAATGAGATCCAAACTTCTTAAATAAGCTTAATGAGTGATTTTGATTTAGAACTCGCTTCTAATTTTTTTAATTTTCGATAATGAGTTTGAATGCATATTCGTTTTTTTATTTTTATTAATGAAAGTTATTGTTTTCATCGCTCTTTTAACATGCATTTTAGGTTAGTAACCTGAGATGTTAGAGCAAATAGCACAAAATAGTTTTGGTAGATAAATTTTGTAAACTATTTAATTGGAACTCACTTAAGAGTATAAACATTTTGAATTACAATAGAAATGCAGCTAGATAAATTTATACCATGCTTAACAAACTATTCTATGATCTAAGAGATGAAGATGCTCGTTCAAGCAAGGCAAATGGAGAAAGATAAGCATAATGCGCTGATCAATTTGCATTAATCAATTCAATTTAAGAAAAAGCTGTTGTCGCAAAGGCTGATTATGAAAGATAAATCCCTGGGAAATAAGAAGAGTTAGCAAATAAGGTGGCATAAGTTGAATAAAAAAATGCTGAGATCCAAAGAAATGATTAATTATAAATAAACTTTTCAGAGCAAAGAAGAAAAGAACATGAGGCTTATGAACGTAAGAGAGACGAACTTATTGGTTTAATCAATGGTTTAAAATAAGCATAATAAATTATAAGATAATTATAAACTCCTCATCCTGGAGGTGCTCTCGTTCAATTGAAGGAACATCACGAACAATTATGTATCTAGTTCATTCTATCTAAGTAAAATCATATGCTGCCAATTCAGAATTCAAAAGTATGGCTTCATTATTAATGGAATTGTGCACAGATACTAAAATACATTCTGATAATGACAATGTTTAAGTTATTGTTGATATCATCAATGACCTAATTGAAAGCATTTACGATGTGCAAAAGAGAGAAATGTATGCGGAAGATTGGGCTGAAAAGTTCTTCTAATAAGATTTGTATTTATTATCATTCAAATTTAGACTTCGATTTTCAAAAGAAAATGTTAGATTGTCAGGCTAAATTGCTGATGATCAGGCAGCTGCTGAATTTGCTTAATAGAGATTGGAGGATCTACAACAATAGGCTCTGCTTTAATAAATTATTTATGATAATAAGGAGGTAGAGAGAAAGTCCTTTGAGGTTGCTTGCAAAGAAGATAACAATGCTGCTGAATAGGCTAGAGTCTCGAGAAACGAATAAATTCAAATTGTACTTCAGTTATTGGAATTATTTGAAAATAATTTCAATGATAGAACTAGAGCAGCACTTCTTCAAATTATTGTATGAAACAATAAACAAAGTTAAAACATATATTATATAAATCAAGATAAAGTTTATGATTCTAGCATGAGACCTTTCCTTGATTTTTTCTCAAAGAAGGTTGTGGTCCTGCAAAATGAGACTTTTTTTGAGCTGCTTGCTGAACTGCCACCTGAGCCATGAGATTTCGCTGTTGCCTATTTTAAAATTCCTTTTCCATTTCTCAATCTTTTTTTCTCTGTTGACTGAGAGTCTTCACTTTCAAAATTGTCAAGCACTTCGTATTCAAAAACACTATCTAGTACAGTATATGATGGAATTTCAATTATTTCTAATTATTTTCCAATAATATTTTTCACTATTGGGCTGTTAATTACTATTTTCTTCGATACTTCACTTGATAAATTAGTATTGAGTGTCTCCATATCTATTTTATTCATACAGCATGATCCCATTTTACAAAAATATTACAATTTTATAAATTAAAAATATTATCGTGGATCCTCACATTAAGAAAAAGGAAATTAAAGATTTATCTTATAACACCTACTTTTCAATAAAAATTAACGCCTTTCTCTATAGCGAAGCTTATTGAATTGATATCATTTTCATTATTCGAAAAAACTTTCTACAGATTTTGCCTTATCACTCTGAAAAGTTCTAGAATTAATTAAATAATTATAATGTATCTAAATTAAATTTATGGCCATAACTTTTATTTATACCAAATACTTATATCGAACTATGAATGTAAGGTTTGATCTAAATGCTTTCAAAACTATTTTTATTCATTCATTTATTATTATTGAATATATACTGATTTTATAAAATAAATTATATTTGCATTAATTAATATGCCCAAAATTTTATAGAAAAATACCCTAATTTACCCTGCAATTAAAATAAAAAGTACTTTAAGAACATAATAAATCAAATTTCTATCATTATAATCCATGATGAACTTTTGGAATTAAATTGATATAGGAATTTCTAAATGTTTTTACTCATATATTTATTAAATTTACTATTACATTTCCGTAAATTGAGAATCCTATTAACCACTCTTTCATTTCTATTAAATTTTATAGATTATTTCATGATTCTTTCTCCAGAAAATTAAAGAGTAAAATTCCCTGCTATGTATTCCAAAGTAAATTTATTATTTTGTTAATATTTCTGTATTCATTATTGATTGGTTGTTACCATACAATTTTGTTAAATTTCTCTATTATATTACAATCTAATTAATGAATATTATCTGACTAATTCCTAAGCGTTCTTACATAAGATTTAATCCTAATTAATATATGTATTACTATATAGTAATCATAAATTAATAGATTTTTGATTATTAAATTATCATTCTTCAAAATTACAATGCAATCTTTACCATTCTATTTCCATATCAAATTATTTTACATTAATTTAGCCATAATTTATCATTATTAAATATTTTCAGTTTATTTCTTTACAAGTGTTATTCTAGTACCAATATTATGAGTTAGAATTACATACTTTTTTTTTGTATTTAAAGATATTTCTAAAGATTAGAGGAATCATATTAGATTGTAATATATATCCAACTACCTTATTGATATTAAATTATATTTTTATATTCATATCTAATTATTGTTTATTTTATTTGTTAATCAATCCAATCCAGGAACAGGGAATTGAGAACTGAATGACACAACATCTTTCTTAAGTTTTTGAATATCAGGATGTTAGTCACCATTCTTAGCCAACCAATCTTTGAAATCTTGTACTTTTGGTCCAGCTTCTCCCTTCACCTTTTAAGCTATAGCCACACCTCTATCAATGAAATCAGCTATTTGTGCAAATTCATCTTAATTAACTCCTCTGGATGTCATCGGTACTGATCTATTCATAGATTTATTGACTCTTACCCCATTCTCAATCCATTTGGTACCAAGGCTGACTTATCTTTGGGAACAGTGTTCTTATTTACAGAAATGTTGACTGCTTATAAAATGGATTCCACTCTTGCACCATCAATTGATTTAGGTTTTAAATTAACCAATACCAAGTGATTGTCAGTTCCTCCTGAAACCAAAGAGAAGTCTTAGAATTAATTAAAAATCAATACTTCTCTTCAATAATTCATCTGCCAATTTCTTGCTGTTCAATAAGACATTCTTCTAATAGTTCTTGAATTCAGGAGTTTTGGCTTCTTCCAATGCTACAGCTATGCTTGTAATAGTATGGAAATGGGGTCCTCCTTACAATCCAGGGAAGACAGCTTGGTCAATTTTAGTTTTAAGATCATAATTGATGGGTTTTCCATTTTTGTCTATTTCCTTTTGACCAACTCTATAGAAAATAAGACTTCCTCTTGGTCCTCTCATTCTAAAGGATAAAATAGGGAGGGATACGATTTGTGAGTTGTAGTCATAACAACATCTGCATAGGGGAATGGACTTGGCAATTATTCAGCTGCCATCATGCCTGCTGTGTGTGAAATATCAGCTAATAAGTATGCTTTGACACTATCGCAGATTTTTCTGATGGCTTGAAAATCTATAATCCTTGCATAAGCAGATGCTCCTGCAACTATTAATTTTGGTCTGAAGGCCTTGGCCAAAACTTCCATTTATTCGTAATCGATAAGTTCTGTTTCCTAAATAGATTCTTGATTGCTTCTTACCTCATTTAATCTGTAGGGCATGACTTCAAAGTAACTGGAGACAGCAGAAACCTTTTTGGTCTCAGTTTGATATCCATGTGATAAGTGCCCTCCATGTGGAAGATCCAAACTCATAATTCTATCTTTAGGTGAGAGCAACCCTGTATAGATTGCAAAGTTGGCAGGAGCCCCTGAGAGCATTTGAACATTAACACCCCATTCATTGGAATTCAAATTGAATGCATTAAGGGCTCTTTATTAGCAAAGTAATTCCACTTTATCATACACTTATGTTCCTCCATAATATCTGGCTCCAGGGTAACCTATTTGTATAGATGAGCATTTTTTGTACCTTCTGCATATTTGGTTGACATGACAGAACCCAAAGCTTCGAGGACTGCCTTCGAGCTGTGGTTTTCGGATGGAATCAAATTGATACTTTCTCTTTGTCTTTTGATTTCCTCTTGGATGAGGCCATATATAGTAGGATCAGCCTGATTCAAGGTTAATCTCTATCTTGGGACTAATCTGGAGAAACGAAACAATGAGGTGTATAATTACATTAATAATAATTTAGTAAATGACGAATTAATATTAAATTTAAATTGTGATTGCAATACTCATTATATTGTTGTATTGTTATGAGTGATCAATATAAATTGAAATATCTATTCATATATTAAATAATCGTCAGATTCAGGAAATACAATAAAAATAAATGAAAAAATTGTCATTATCATTCTTGATCCTTTGTTACTATTTCATTTTGAGTTTGAACGTTCTCATCTAACTACTCAAAATCTATGTCCTGATTGTTGATTTCTGGTTCTGAATTGGCCTTCTCATAAGTTTAGTCAGATTGTTTGGCGATAAGCAGTTGACCAAATTAAGTCAAGGGGTTAGATGGTATTGAACTATATCTGATGAGTGTTGTGTTGTCGTCCTCTAATTTATCCAATTGTTCCTTAATTGTGAAGAGACCCTTCCGTGGTAGTCTTTTGATGGAGTTAAGTCTAGATTTATCAGTAGTATTAATTTCATTTTTGGAATTCTCGTTATTGTGCAATAGTTTTTGCTATAGTTGTTCGATTTGCTTCTCTTTCTGCTATTTCTATTTAAGTTTCTTGGCTATGAATGATGAACATTTACCATTTTTAGTAAGATCTTCTGCTCATCATATTTCTGTAGTTTTTTGGATTCTCTTCTACTATTTTGGATGAAATAATCCAAGATCTCTGAATTCATTAGTTCTGGGTTACTCTATTTAAAGGTAATTCAATACGCATAGAGTGAATTTAGGTAGGCCTATAAATTGCACTTTCTAGTTTCAATTTCTTGAGGATCGTCATTGGTGATGCCAAATATTTTTCTTTTGGGAAATTCAGGTAGTACTATTTTGGTTTATTCTTTGAGTGCCTGATGGATGTCTCTTAGATCGGAATATCTGGTTTTGAATCTCCATTTGGATTTGTTGAAGTTGTCAATGACTTACACGAAGTACAAGACGAACATATCCAATTGTTGATATGAATCGATAATGAAATTATACTATTATAGTGGTCTAGGAGTTAGTAATGAAATAGCACCTGTCTTCCAAATATTAAACGAGATCACTTTTGTCATCGTTGATGTCGGGTAGTAATTGTTTCAAGCAAGGGAGAGAATACAGTTTGTCAATCTTTAATAGTTGATTGAAATAATCTTGGAGATCAGATCTCTAATAATGAAATGACCATCAATTTTACACGTCTTAAGATGCCAGATTCCGAGTCATTGTGACTACCAAACAATTTCTTCCCAGGGAAGGAGGGTAAGTTGACGGATTGTCGTAATTGTTATAGTTACTTATCAATTTTGTTGTGTAGTTTTTCAGCATCCGAATATCTGAGATGCTGAACTTTTGCTGAACAGTATGAATGAGATACGAATATGACTACATAGACGATCTTTTTATTGATAACTTTGTGATGTGGAATTCTGCAACTAAATTCTTAATTTGCTAACATTTTTAATCTTAAATTAATAATTGTTAATGTGAATGACAATACCCAAAAACAAAATCTAATTGTTAACATAATTATATAATATATTTCTTTATTATGCAATTGTATTTCATTATTCAACATCAGATCCGTTATTTATTTTTTTTAATTTCCTTGAAGGTTGAGTAGTTTGCGTAGGTTCTATTTTTACCTTTTTCTTGATGATGGGCTATATCAATTCTTCTTTATGCGCAGGACAAATGACAAATTTCTTGGTGACCTTCCTTATTCCCTTGGGAGCACATTTCTCATGATAACTCTTTGGACACCTCAGACATTGTATCATCTTTTGATTATCATCATTAGATTCTATTAAATAAATGATTATATCCTACTGTCTTTGCATTTTTCACAAAAATGAAGAGCACATTTGAATTTCTAACGTTCTCCATCTAAAATCTTGAAATTCTTGCTAGTTTGTACACAAGCGAAATGATATAACTTGTGACAATTCAAACTGCACTTAACCAATTCCGATAGTTATTATTAAAGTTGTTACTACGCCCTTGCTCTTGTGATCTTTCCAGTGGCAAATATGTTTTACTAATATTATTTATGATTATTAATTACCTCTACTTGATTGTCATAATAGCCATCATCATCGATAAATTGTTTGTCCTACTAAGTTTTCTTTTTTGATTGATTCGGATAGAAAGTCCCTTGTTTTAGACAAACAAAACAAGTCCCTTTATACTTTTCACAGTCTTGGCACAAATATTTAATATTGATTTCCCCTTGTGTCTATCCAGTATATTATCCACCTTCCAAACATTCCTTATGAAATTGTCTTCTGCAGAATCCCCTACAAAACAAATCACATTTCTACTTCTCACAAATAGCACACAATCTTATTTGCAAACTATTAATAATGCCAATATTCTTACTCTTAACTGGATTTTGTTTACAATTTCTTATATTCTTCATATTCAGACCAATTCAATTCAAAATTCTTGGTGGTTTTAGGGGTTTCAATGACTTATTATGATGTGGGGGCAGTGTTGATCATCAAATCGCTTTCTGTGATTTTTTTAAATCTTCTGGAAGGTTTACTCAATTCAAGGATCCAACAATTGGCTAGATTTTTGAAATCCTTCTCGAAAAACTTGCTGAATTCAATTAGATTTAGAATATCCATTATTGTATTCTCCTCATCAGCATCATATCCTTCCCTGCTCAATTTAGATTAAATGATATTATTCACACACTCTGAACTCTCCAACATTATTTCTTTCTATTACTAAAATGTCTTGATATTCTGATCTTCCTATAGTTTCTTCAGGATCTTCTATGACTTAGATTCTTGATTCTTGAGTACTTTCTACCAAAAATTGGGATCATCAATGTCGATCTGTTGATTAGCCTAATCTGGAACGTAAGTTTGTTTGCTGATAGTGTATGCCCCGTTGATTAGAGAATATTTGGCCACTCTCGTGTTATTTAAGATATCATCAATGTTCTGATCGATTGACTCCTATCCAAAATGTTCAAGCAATCCCAAGGATCCTTACTTAAGCAATATCTCCAATTCCTTCTTACTCAATTTTCTATTGGCTTGATCTGCATTCGGATTGACCACACTATTGGTTGCATTCACAGCCGACTTGAATTCACCATTCATAAAAATAGCCTGATCCAAACCTAATTTAGCAAAGGCCCTTTCGAACATCTTGGCCTCATAAGTGTTCTTTGTAATGAATCTGTAGACTGTCACTTATTTATCTTGTCCTATTCTGTGAGCTCTGGCTGTTGCTTGAATATCATTCTGAGGATTCCAATCACTGTCAAATATCACAACAATTTCAGCAGCTGTTAAATTGATTCCTTAACCACCAGCCTTAGTTGAGAGTAGAAACACCTATCTTCCTTTCTTTTAATCATTAAATCTATCAATGGCATTTTATCTGTCAATTTATTTGATGTCTCCCGTTATCTTTTCATACTTGATTTAGTTGAATTGTAAATACTCTTCCAACAAGGCCAACATGTTTGTAAATTGTGAAAATATCAACATCTTCTTATCCTCCTTTAAGAACTTCTTGAGCATCTTGTCTAACAATACCATTTTGCCAGAATACTCAATTAAAATCTTTTAGTATTCCCCCTCATTTCCTTTACTCTTCTCTAAAATATCAGAGTGCATCTCCTTCAACAACAATGGATGATTGCACAACTTCCTTAAATGCATATCCAAGTTATTCAATGATGCTATCTGAGCTGTCTATTAGGAGAACCCTTAAATCAATGCCGATTTGTTTCTTTCATATAATGCTCTATATAATGTTTTCTGAACATTAGTCAACTCTACATCGATAATATTCTCCTACAATGGCGGAATCGATTGTTCGACATCTTCCTTCTACCTCCTCAAAATATATGGCTTTAATGTTTTATTCAATTTCTCAATTTGCTCAGCAGTGTTCAAATCTCCAAATTAGGACTTAAATTGGTTTAGGTTTGGGAACTAATAGGGTTCAATAAAGTTTAGCAAACTCCACAATTCTTCTGGGTTGTTTTGGACTGGAGTGCCTGTTAGAATCATAATTCTTGAACACACTAACCTTTTAAGACTAGCCAATATTTTGGCATTCTGATTCTTCAATCTATGTGCTTCATCCACAATAATAAATTGGAATGGTATTTGTTAAATATAAGTTGAATGATCTTAATTGAATACTTCAAATGACGTTATCAATATCTAAAATTTGTAGAGTTCTTAAGATGGCAAGGTATTACCTTTCAAAGAAATGTCTGTGTAGAACCATTCATAATCTCTTATGGCCTATCTTCCTGGTTATCCTTATTGATCGTAATAAAGAACTGCATTCAATGATGTCCAATCTTCGCAAGATCTCTTCCAATGTTATAGTGTTGATAGTGGGGCTATAATTAAAAATGGACCACGACAGGACTCCATTGAAACCAAATGATTTAAGAAGGCTATTGATTAAATAGTTTTTCCTAATCCCATCTCGTCAGCCAAAAGCACATTTCTATTATTGTAATATGCATCAATCATCCAATTCAAAGATTCCAATTGATAATCTCTCAATAACTTTCTATCCTTATATATAGTTTATGTTCTTGGAGTGTATTGATAAGGCTTCTTATTCTTGCCAATATCCAATTGGTAGAGTTGAGTCTTCAAGTCTAAGATCTCTTATTAGGATATGCGATTTTTCTTTTTTTAATCATAATCCAAGATTTGTTTGTGTCTTCTGCAATTCTAGATTTGTAATTGTCTACTGTCTTTATCCAAGGATCTTGTGAAAGAACGAAATTCAAACAACTTAGCCTATGAATTAGGAAATCCAGTGATAAATTCCCAAGTGGCCTAGAGATATGATAAGTTCTTCCATTTGACAAGATACAATTATTCATGGTTCTAAAATAGATCCACTTGTCTCTCAATAGTAAGTTTGGGTTAGAAATTGGGGTCATCTTCAAACCATTGATAATTTTATGTTCCTGGGTTCCACAATTCTATATCACCTAATAATTGAATCTTCTCTTGATTTATTTCTTCTTCTAACTTCTCCTTTCCCACTTCTGATATTATTTATTGTCTATACTCCTCGTCCTCTTCACATTTCTTCAATTTAATCAATTATTAATATTTCTAATTCGTGTATTCAAACCATTAGAAGTAGAGCACAAGTGCACATTCACCGAGTGCGTCTCCTAATTTTCGTATTTCTCCTTCGGGATTACTGTTATATTTCCTACAATTTTTAAAGACCAAACCCAACTCATACCAGAATTGTTATGAATTTCTGTAGTATTCCAAATACAATCTGTTGTATATAGTTCCCAAATCCATAGGTTAGGTGATGATTTTACGATAATCGGGACAGCCATCAGTATCAGGATTTACAGGTTACATGAAAAATATTCCAAATTTTACCCGCCCTTCAGAATAATTAAGAAGTTTGGATATGATTATTGAGAGGTACTCATTCCACTTGCCTTTGATTTCATTGGCCTTTTTGGGATGGATTATGGGGAAGAGTTCAGTTGAAGAAATCAATCGATCAATTTCTAAAAAGGAAGGATCAAAATAGTTCATTTCAAGCAATTCATCAGGATCGTACTCTTTGATCTTCTTCTCAAATTATCTGTTGAACCGATTTATTTTTTATTTTCCATTTTTATCCTTTGAAATAATCTATTAATAATTAGAATTAAATACTTATAATTCACTTTTCCATTCACACCATAAATAAGAATAAGTCTTATATTTTACATAAAATTGGACTTCCCCATCCTCCTGCTCTCTCCTCCACAAGATTTATTCGATATCGGGATCAAATACTGACTCTTCCTATTCTTGAGATGATTCTTTTAATAAAATTAAATGTGTACCTTATTATTGTTCTACCTCCTCTTCTGATGACTCCTCTTTGAAACCCGCATTGGGTTTACCTCTCCTGGGTCTTTCAACACAAAACTAGGCAGTTAATTAGCAAATATACAGTCATTGGTTAATGAATACGTATTTATGTATTCTTTCCACCTTTTTTCTTTTTCTTATCATGGTAATCTGAGCTAGCGCTTCTAAAAAATATATAATATTTAAAAATAATTATAATTCGTAAGTTCTTATATGAGTCGATATATATATATAATATTACTCTATGTCCATTTCACTATCTTCTTATTCACTCTCGTTATAGTCTTCGTCTGATGATTTTTCTTTGTTCACTAAAACTACTAAATTTATATTTTAACTTTTTGGGTGTAATGGCTGCTTTCTTCTTTTTTAAAAAAAATAACAAAAAAATACTCACACATATAAATCAAGATAATATCCTAATTCAAATACATTATTAGCATGATTTAATATATATATATACATCAATCCTCACTTTCCACTCCTTTTTCTTTCATTTTTTTATCATTCTTTTCCATCTCATGATATGCCATTTTTTCGTGTACTATTTTCATAATCCGCAGTATCTTTCTATTTTCCATACTTATATTTATTAATTTTATAATCCACTTACTCCATTCTTGTTTCCCCTCCTTCTCTACAAATCCTTTCTTCACCCATAAATCATTCCAACTTCAATTTCCCATTCCCACTCTTTCACTCTCATTTTCCAGATATTTTTTATCCCATCCATGTCCATTTTCACTCTTTTTTCCATCCCAAATCCATCTCTCACCCTCGCCCATTATTTTATTACATATCATTCATACTAGTTTCAAACCAATAAATCTCTTAAATCTCATATAACTTTAAAGATTCATTGATTTTCCCATTTTTTTTCTCAATTTCCCCAATTCTCCAAGTTTATGTCCTTACCAAACCATTTCATCACTTTCCCAAATATTCAAGTACTTTTCATCAAAAACGAGAATAATAGCATCAAACATGCTATTCCAAGAATTAAATTAAATCTTTGATGAAATCACCTCATAACTAATCATTATCTATAAGATATTAGCAGTTCAAACCACCTCTTGCTCTGCCTTTAGTAATAATTAAATTTAATTATATCTTATTTATTAAACACATTTAATCATTATTCCTAATATAATAAATATTAATTGTATTATCTATTATCTCACCACCCAAACTATTCCACTCCTTCTAAATCACCCTATATCTCCATCAGAACACATCCCCACCCGCCTAACCATGTGAATCACACTACCATCGAATGTGACCCAAAGAATTCTCCACACACTATAAATATCTTTGGTTTCCCACTCTAGACCACATCCCTCATCATTAGAAGCTCCTTACTAAAAAGATAATTATTTCGTTTGCCTTCTCTAATTTTTATAGTCGTTTACCTTTAAGATTTTTAATTGTTCGGCGAATTCAAAATGATTTATTTCAATCAATTTGTTAGAAATCTTAGTATCCAAGAGAAAATACGAATACTCTGTCAAAAGCTTACTCTTAAAAAATAATATAATCTTCAAAATTTGCCTTGCAGTTTTCTAATATCTAATTTTTAATAACAAAGATCGACTTAATATTCATTAAATATTTCTTTAAGAATTATCACCTGTTAAGTGGATCATCAAAGAACTTTAAGTACAACAATGAATTGTGCCTAAAATAAAAAAAGCAATACTGTAATAGATTGTTAGTATTTATCAATAATGAATAAAAAGTATTGTGAATAGTACAGCTACTCTTTGCTTAAGAACAATTTAGAAGGCTAAACGAAATGTTAAATGAAAATTAACAGCCAGATAGAAATTTTGAAAAAACTTGGATTGCAATAAATTTTATTGTTTATTCTAACATTAAGTAATAAATAATAGAGTGACTTCTATTGTTTAAATTCTTATTTTTGAAGTCAAATTACGTGGTAATAATATTCATGTTGACCATATAATGAATGATAGTAGTTTGTAATAAAAACGAGGAGGATTGTATTAATTCCAATTTTTAATTACCTCCTTATTTCTTCAAATTATTAGATCTCTGACAATAGTCTTTAAAGAATATCTTTTAAAGATCATAAACAAATAATTAGATTAGACTTATAAAGATAAATGTTAAGAGACTAAAAACATTATCCTCATGAATTTAACATATCGAAATATTACTATCAAAGCTCAAATTATGGATAAAATTCGCACTCACTCCTTTGCTTTATAATTAATAAAGAAAGATTTATTAATAACAACTCTTGCAATGTCGAATTATAAGAAAATTAGATTTAAAATTTAATAATTATTGAATTGGATTACTTATTTAAGACCCAAAGATCATAAAAGAATCATTATTGCATGAGTAATCGGGTGTCTTTAATTAATTTATTCTTCAATATATGAAACTAAAAAAAAAGTGTAAGATGCATAATACTCATTATCCACTTAACATAATGACATTGAATATAGATTAGGAAACAAATGATTTAGAATAGCTATACGTTTGCATAATATATTGATGTCAAATAATATTTTAGAATCATCAATTTTAAATAAATTTTTTATAGGTTTCTGCATTTCTCCTTAGAATATCTTCTACTGGTCCAAGCAATCTCAAAAACGAATTACTATCTAAAAAAACTACCACACATTAAGTCTATGTAATTTTATCATAAATACTTCAGCTATTATTGTAGCCTGTCTTGGTAATTTATGTATTAATGCTAATTCTCCGAAATAGTCACCTGTTTGATAGCGTAAGACTTCTACTTGTTACCCGTTGATATCTTTATAAGCAGCTAAAGTTCCTTCTGCAACCATATAAAATTTATCTCCTTCCTCCCCTTCTTGAATAATTACTTCTCCTTTCTAATAGGCTTACTCTTTCAAGCCATCACAAATCTATGTCTTTTCATAAGCTTCCATGGATTGTAGCAATTCAACTTTTGACAGAACCTCCTCATATTACAGTCTCTTTTTTATAGTAGCATCTTTGACAATGTTATTGAAGGTGCTTCTGTCTAATGCAAAGAGAACTGAATCCTCCTTTGCTTAAATAGAGGCTGCTCTTGGGGAATTATAGAGGAGAGACAATTCTCCGAACATATCACCAGGTTTATATTTCTTTAGGAATTTAGGTTCAGGATCTGTAGGTTTCATTTTTCTAACACAATCCAGTTCGCCTGAAAAGACAATGTAGAGTTCAGCTCCGTCATCCCCTTGAGTAATCACCCAGTCATCTTTGGTGTAATGTTTTTCTTCCATGGCATTTACAACTATTTCTTATTCATGTTGGCCGAGGGCTTAGAACATAAACACTTTCATCAATTTCTCTAAAATTTATTGCTTCTATTCTTCAGTTTTAGGAATGACTCTTGGTATGAAGTTTTCCTTCTTGTTATGAACTCCAAAGACTTCTGCACTAACAGAACTTCTAAAGGTTTTAGCATTTTTGGCTGGCAATGGCAATTCATCAACTTCCTCATTCTCTTCTTCCTCAGAGGAGAGATTGTATTCAATAGCAATCTTGGTCGAAAAGGCTTTGCTTGATTGAAACTTAACAGATTCAAGGTATTGGATCATCCAATCGATCTATGATAAATTCATCACTTACGTAGTTTTCAGGTTAAGATTTAAAGAGTTCGTATATCATTTTCTGTATTACATCATTTACTTTTTCTTTGTACCTTGTAATTCTCTCCTTATTATTCATTTATATATAAATTATGAGTTTGATTTATTATTTATTATTTAATCGTTTCTGTAACTGAATTCTTAATTTTATCAGAAAATTCCAATAAAATAGAAACATTGACCTTCCATTTTAAATAAGGATATATTTCAACACAAGTAACCTTTGAGTGTACAGGCCATAATACATAATATCGCTTTAATGGATAAATAAGGTTGAAAATATTCAAAATAATCCTTTTATATAATAATTATGAATAATTTAATAAAAATACAATGAGTAATATTTAAGGAAAGACAAGATTCATAATATTTAATTATTTTACGTGTTATAACAAGGTATTAAAGTAGTTTGTCAATCAATTATTATTAATAAATTCCATGAACTTGGTCCCTTAGTTAAATCTTGAGCTTCAACCATTTAACAATCAATAAGTGCCTCTTTTATTACATTCTGAAAAAGATAACATAGAAGAATAGAGGTCCTTCTTTACAGTCTTGTTTTTTTTGGATATTTATTCATTGATGAAGGTATTGGAATCTATGTAATTTAGCACTCTAAAAAATAATCTCTTGAGAGTGATTAAATCAAAGATTTAAGGTATCAGAAGAGATCTCTCAAATTACATGAATAGTTTTCTAATCATCTGTAAAAGGATGGCAAACTGATAAAATAGCTTTTAGTTTTCTTTCTGTGTAAATATTCTTAATCATATTAGATCCCCTTCTTAAAGTTATTGCAATTCTATTACAGCTAACACTAGGATAGCTTTGCATGCCTTGGTTAATAAAAACCGTAATTGATTACATACAGAGCAAGCATCGAAATGAAAATGAGGCAATCTATTTAATTTTGTCTGTTTTATTTCTCAGAATTATAAACATTTTCACTTAAGCACACTCACGAAGAATGATTGTATATAGCAATTATATTAATAAGCTTTGTATTGGGTATGATGCTATGTCAGTAGTCAGTATGGAAATAATGAGAAAATGTTTAAAAATTTCATTATTCAGTGCTACAGAATGGTCGAGTGGAGAAATAACAAACTTGATCTAAGTGGATGCTCAGAAACTCATCCTGATTACTAGTTACATTTCAAGTGTATTAATGATACCATTATAACTTGGAATCAGTTTGTATTTAATGTATAGTATGATTGGTCTGTCATTTTTGATCGGGTGTACAATCATATTGATAATGATACTTTTTAATATCTTTACAGGAAAGTAAATCATAAATTCATAAAGGACACTATTGAAGGATAAAGATGAAAGAACAAAAATAGCTAATGAGATATTTTCTTAAATTAAATTTATCAAAATTAATGCTTTAGAAGACCACTTTTTATCGAAAGTTTCAGAAGCAAGAGGAAAGGAAATTAATAGCATCAAAAATAGACTCTATTATTAGGCTGTCAATATATTTTCTGTATGGCTGACACCCTAATTAATTTTGAGTATGACATTTGGATTATATGTGTATTTGGGACATTAATTAAATCCCAGCACAACTTTTGCTATCATAAGCCTATTTTAGATCTTGCAATAGCCTTTGCTTCAATTACCAATAGCAATAAACTCCTTGATAGAGGCCAAACTTTCATTGAAAAGAATATCGAAATTTCTAAACACAAAGGATCTGATGACTAATTGTATACAAGCATAGGAATTATGACATCCTGCAGTAGCAATTGATATTTAAAATGGGATATTTTACTGGAAAAAATAAATCTGTGCGATTAGATAGTGATATTGAAAATCAAAGTTAAGGAATTGATATTGCTTAGGAGAAGTTTAAAGTAAAATAATAGGAATAGGAATCACCTATATTAAAAAACATCAATTTGAAGATAGAGCCTGGGAAATTTGTTTCTATAATAGGAGATGTAGGTTCTGGAAAGACTTCATTGTTGTAGGCACTTTTGGAGGAAATGGTTTATTGTGAGGACAAGAATTCCCCTAGAATAACATTAAATGGGAAACTAGCATATGTTAGTTAGAAACCTTGGATATAAAATGCAACGGTGATGGAGAATATTATATTTGGTAAATAATTTCATTAACAATAATATGACAATGCCATCTATTATTCTTGTTTAACTTAAGATTTGTAGATTTTGATTAATGGAGATTAAACAATGATTGGAGAAAAGGGAATCAATTTATCAGGTGGTCAAAAGGCAAGAATCAGTTTGGCTAGGGCTATTTATAGTGATTCTGACATTATACTTTTGGATGATCCATTAAGTGCTGTAGATGCTCATGTTGGAAATTTCATCATGAAAGAATGTTTATTAGGCAAATTAAAATAGACTACTAGGATTCTAATCACTCACGCATTAAATTATTGTAAATACACTGATTATATTTACTTATTTGAAAGGGGAGAAGTGATATAGCAAGGGGATTATAGAAGTATGCTCACAAGTTAGCAGTTCTAGGAGATTAAAAATAAGTTTAACAACAACAATGTTGATGAGTTAGAAGATTCTCTGTTGATTCTCAATCCTTCAGAAGATCTCAAGAGAATTCCTCATTAAGATAGCAGTACCAATCTTGATTCCTCTACAATTACTGCACTTTCAACTAAATCTTCTTAATAAGATGAAATGGATGATCTTATGGTATTAGAGGAGAGGTAGAAAGGAGAAATTAATTATGATGTTTTCTTGTAGTATTTTGTTCATAATGGAGGGTGTCAAAGCTTCTCATTAGTTATTGTAATTATGATAGTTTGGATATCTTGTTACTTGGGTTCTAGCATATGGATTTCAAATTGGGCTGATTTATCATCAAAAGATGAGGAATTTTCCAGAAACTCCTTGTACTTTTCAATCTACTTCAATTTAGGCTTTATGCAAGCTTTCTTTGCTTTTCTAAGAGCAATTACAATCATACATTAATCGATTAAGTCAGCAGATATAGTACATAATAAAATGATGAAGACATTGATTTATGCTCCTTAATGTTCATTTTTTGAGAGAGTACCCTAGGGTAGAATTATGAATAGACTAACAAAAGATATCAATACATTAGATACTGAGATCTATTGGAATATCAGTTGGTTTTACACTAAAGCGAGCCAATTGATTAGTAATACATTTCTAAATGTATATGCTAGTACCTTCTTCATAATATTTCCAATTTTTGGATTCTTTCTTATATGTTTCAAGTTGAACAGAGTTTTTATGAAGGTTTCAAGAGAACTTCAAAGGTTAGAATTAATCAGTAAAAGTCCAATTCTGAGTTGCTTCACTGAAACCTTATCAGGATTAACAACAATAAGAGCTTATTAATAAACTCATACTTTTCTCTTTAACTTTTCTAGGAAATTAGACCACAATAAAAAAATATATTACAAATAGGTGGAATGTAATGCATGGTTTCTATAAATTATGGGATTGTCCAGTCTAATTGTTAATATATCAGCGATTGTTTATTGCATTTATTACACCCAAAATCCAGCCTTTGCAGGACTGTTAATGACTTATGCCTCTAATATTGATATTAATATTCTATAAACAGTAGAATCTCTAAGTCTATTAGAAAATGGCATTATTTCCTTTGAACGATGTTTGGCATATACCAAGTAACACTAATGTATTAGATTTAAGTGTAAAACCAGAGAAAAGAAATGAAAATAATGTCAGAGTCTAGAATTGGCCAAGTATTGGTGAAATCTAATTTATTAATTTTTCTGTTTAATATAGGCAGAACCTTCCTCCTGCATTAACTAACTTAAATTTCAAAATTAATCCCTGTGAAAAAATTGGAGTTGTTGGTAGAACTGGAGCTGGCAAATCATCTATCACTTTGAGTTTGCTTAGGATCTTAGAATCATTAGAAGGCAAAATATTGATTGATAACGTTGACATATCAAATTTATCTCTTAAATAATTAAGAGAATCAATCACAATCATATTATAAGATGCTGTAATATTCAATGGAACCATAAAAGAAAATCTCGATCCTTTGGGTGCAAGATCAGATTAAGAGATTTTAGACAGCATAAATTAATGTTGTCTAAATAGATTAGTGAGTAATAGAGAAGGACTTATGACTTAAATTTCAGAAGGTGGAGATAATCTAAGTGCTGGGGAAAAACAATTGATTTGCATTGCTAGAGCTATTTTAAAGAAAACTAAAATAGTGATAATTGATGAAGGAACTGCGAATATAGATGTTGAAACTGAACATAAAATTTAATAAGTTATTCAATAAGCATTTCAAAATTGCACTGTACTAACAATTGCCCATCGTATAAATACAATCCTTCATTGCGATAAGTATTAAATATAATTATTATAAATTAGGATCTTAGTAATTGATAAAGGATAATTAAAAGAATTTGGATTCATACAAGAATTGCTATTGGATAAAAAGTCTACATTCTATTAAATTTATTAAGAAGCACTCTAAAATGAAGCTCACTGATCATTTATTCTAATTCTTGATCATATTAATGATTTAATTTTGTTTATATTCAAATAAATTTTATTTACAAAGGCATTCTTTCAGTATATTAACTATAAATTTATTGATTAATCTGAACAATATACTTACGTATTGCAACTCAATCAAATGGTTGAATCTGACGATCAATATATCACTTAATTAATTTTATTTATTATAATTTGTGGATTTGAGTATTCCTTTAAATAATTCTACAATTCAAATAAAGTTGTGTTTTCTATCTATGTATTATTATATTTAATCTTAACATTTTATCTTATTCTTCATCCTATTCTATTTAAATTACATCAAAGAAATACTTTATTCCTTTACCTTAATACATTATTGATTATTCCTTGAATAAAAATCATTCAATCAATAAGATATAATCATCAGATTAGTTGATTAATTCAATAATTAGATGAAAAACTTATACATTTATATTATATTATTATTATGATTTAATCACAATTCAATTTTATCATCCATGATAAGTAAGGTCTTGTGAAACTGATTTTGATGTTGATAATTAAGACTAACCTAATAAGAATCTCAAAAAATTTAGAGTTTAAAGATTTTAAGTTATTAACTTAGGTGATAACAAAAATTTTTAATTAACTTCAAATCATGAGTTATATAATTAATGATTTTTGATTTTGATTAAGAAGTTATCTCACAAAGAAAAAACAAGCTTAAGATCTTGCTAAATAGGAATAATAATAAGCAGAGATTTTTTGGGTATCATCAGCATTAAATAGTAAAACAAGTATTCGAGGAACCCAAAAGAGTTTTTTCGTATTCTCGATCAATAAGACATTTTTAAGAAATTATGTCTAAAACTGGATCCATAAGTTTGAATAAGAAAGCAATAACTCTATTTTTAAGAAGAGATGAATAAACAGAGAAAAAGTCATATGATGAGATTCTTAAAGCTACAAATTCAAAGCTAATTTAAACTGACAATATAATTCCAGATGAGTTTGGTTACAGGACAGAGAGAAATCAATTGCATAAATAGCAATCTCCTTATATCAAATAAAGAAAATTCAGTTAGCATCTCAATAAAAAAGATAAATTTCCTAAAACACCATACATTTAACATGCAATAGAGAGTTAGGTTGTCCCATCTTCAAGAACAAATAGAAGCCTAAAAAAACATACATTTTAGAATGAAATTCTGCAATAAAAGGTCAACTAAATTACATCAGCAAATCTGAAAGAACAGGAGCTACAATCAATTAAGAGCAGACAGAAATAAATTGATCTTTATTCAAATGATAATATATTCGCAACAATAACTCACAGATATTGATTAACTCATAAGTCTTCCATATATAAAATATTTATAGAAAGCTCAATCTTAGCATACTCTAGATCCACTTTTAGCATAATTTCACTTAAATATTGGGATCATTTTGCCTATTTAATTAAATCTATTCACTTACATATCAAAACCAAAGTATCATTTATTATTGTTCCATCTTTCACATATCTAATACTTCAATTCTCTTAGAGAGAGACATTAATTTATAATCCTAAAATCTAGAGTATCTAAAAATTGTAATCCATTCATAAAAGAGGTTCAATTAATATTCAATTTATAAATTTCAAAATAATTTTTGATCTAAATTCATCTACCTAAGCATTTATTTAATTCAAAAAACCAAAGTAATAATAATTGAATTTATAGTGATTAATTATCATAGAATTATTTTCATATACATTTCGATCATTTATTTATATATTTCAGATTTCCCGTTAATTACTTTTAAATCAATGAAAATTCAATTTTATCAATACATTCTTGATTGGTTTCATATTCTACTCTGTCTCCTTTGAATCCAGGGTTCTTAAAACCTGTAATTTTCAAGCCTTCTGGGATTTTGATTGATTTGATATCAAAATCTATTTATGACTATATAGCATCTATTAAATACATCTTTAAGAGATTCAAGATTGTCACAAACCTTCTGGGATTTACCTTTATAATTACACTCACTAAAGACTTCAATGCATTCTTTTAATGGCGAATATAACAATAAAAACTCTCTAAATCCCCAAGAAGCCTCATCTGCAGTTTTTTAAAGAGTGCTTTTGAAATCCACAATTAACTCCGATTAAGAATGAGGGATGATTTTATCTATATTCATAATTCTTTCTTTCCAATTTCCATTCTGATTACCACAAATATCACTTTAACCAGGATCATTCCATCCTAAGAATTGACTCCAGAATTCTTGGTTATCAACATACATAGTCAACTCTTCTCCATCCCATTGATCAATCTTATACACTGTAGCTCTAATTCTAATAAAGTCATGTTTGGGTAAGTTAAACACTTTTTAAACCGTAGTTTTCTAAAATGAAAATTATTAGATATACTTTTCCAAAAGCTAAGTAACCACCAACTAATCCTAAATCACCACATTTAGTGAATGGTGGATTGGGACCAGCAGGATCAACATCTTAAAATGTCCATCCATCTACTTTATTAAATTACTCAGGAGTAAAGAACTCTTTAGATAAGATATACCATTCATTTTTGTTAACACATTTTCCATCTTACAATATGTGTGTTGGCTAACATCTAGTACATTCATTTTCTGCAGTTCCAACACATTCATCACAGAATTTAGTACATTATGCAGCAAATAAAAAGAAGTCACGTACTCCCCATGATTGTTCATCAGGGTCATTCTTCAATGAAGTAGTAAATGAAATAGTTAAAGTTGGACTTGAATGTTTTTAAATAATCTCAATAGATACAATTTTCTCTCCATAACCAGGGTTTATTTATTAACTAGAAATACTCATAAATTTACGCTCCGCATAAGTCAATTCCATCTGTTTTTTAGAATGCCAATTTTTAGACTTACTTATCATCAATTTTCACGTAGAATTCTTCATTATCCCATAAATCAATCTAAATAAATTGTAATTTTACCTTCCAAAAAGTAAATTTAACCATCACTTTACTATGAGGCACCATGTTAGTAAATGTATTTGACAATAAAGCTTTAGCACCAATATTTTCGTATCCCCCAAAAACCACAATACCAGAACATTCATATCCCTTAGGTTTTCCATTCTCTAATTTCCAGCCTTCTAATTTGGTATCTACATGGAACCAACTCAAAGCCTCTTGATTCCAATGTTTGCATTCTTATACTTTATCATTATGACATATGCCACACTCTGATGGACATGGAATAAATGATATCTTCATTTATCTAAATCCCCAAGCCTAGACGTCTGCTTTCCCTTAAGAAGTAGTAGCCAAAACGGTTGTAACTGTAGGTGAATTATGAAGTATATCAAATTCAACATCGAAAACTTTGTCACTACTTTTTTATTCCTATCCTCCACATAAACGAATTCCACCTTCTGTAAATCCCCATTTCATTTCCCAGGGAACTCCATCAACATAAACTGAAAATACATCGTTTTCCCATTCTCCTATTCTAGTTGAATTAGATTGTAATTTCTATACTTCCACAGTTGCAGATTGAACTTTAATTTATAATGAGGTGGTATCTTTATTAATTTAGTTGCTGTGCTTTTCGTCCCAAAGGTCTTGAGTCCTCCAACTATATTCTTACCACTACATTTTGTGATTATGTCTGTAGTTGCTTCGAATTAATTTTAGATCACCCAGCCTTGATGTTAATTTTGTATATACCATCCAAGGAGTCAAACTCATCCGATTGGAATGCCTAATACGATGTAATCCATTATGTATTTCCTAGCACTAGGAGTGCAATAAATAATAATTTCATTAGAATAAAAAAACGAATATAATTTCATATTTATGAATTATTTAGTATTCTTGTTACACTTAATCGATTATTATTGAACACATTAGATTTATCAACATTTTAATATTATTGGGGACTATATAGATTTTTACTATAATTTTATTGATCCTCAATCTAACTTGCCGTTATGTATTTGCTATGATGCTAGTTGTGTTCTTGCGATGAATTCAAGGAGGACTACATAAATTGATACATCTCTTACTTGTTTCATCATGTCACTATATCCCTGTTGAGTGAATCTCTTCCTTTCCAAGAAATCATTCTAAAAGAATGTCTTTAATTCTTCATTCGGATTGAACATAGAGAAGGTGCTACTCACAGAACTTCTGTTGAAATCTTCAGATCGTTTCAAGTCACTTTCTTGCTGCTTTCCCACACTTGATGGTCGATAGTGATAATTTACTTTTGGTGAGTATTGATCCAAGATCTACTGTTTGTATTTGCTATAAATCAAGATATTATCTTAAATTTAGTGATTCCCCAGAAAGCTGCTTCCTCTATTTGAGTTGGTCATTGAAATGGAGCCTTGTAATTAATTATATTGAGCCTGTCCCATTAACTTTGGTTCATAATCTAATTATGGTGACATTTGTTATTACTATTGTTTATAAAAACTACTATTAGAGATAGCTCTTTTATGAATAGATTCATTCAATTCTTGAGTAGATAACTTATTGTTTTCAGATAGATATTCTTAATGCATCATTTTTAATTTTTCTGATGAATTTATAAAAGAGTTGGTAACGGAGTTTCTTTCACTCGCTATATCTTATAGATGTTGTTTATGCAATTTCTTATCCTAATCAAGCAATGCTTTGATTTTGGATACTGCCTGAGTGTTTGACTGGGTTTTGGTTTATCTATGAGATGCTCTCCCTTTTGAGGAAGCAGAGTGACTACTTTGTTATTTCATATAAGATTGTGAGTTCTCTTCCTGCACAGTTTCTAGATTCTTCTTGAATTATTACTTTTATGAGTATTTAAATTTTGGAGATCTATTTGGGGATCTTTGTTGACCATGAGAGGATTTAGAAGTTTGCAATAATTATTTTTAACTTGATTGAGGTTGTGCAAATGTTTAATTGGTGTTATGCGTATTCTGTGTAATTTGATCACTTTGTTTAGTATTTGATTATGAGGATACTTAAGATTATTATAAGAATTATTATTATTATTATAAGGATTGTTGGCTATGTTATGAATATTATATGTATTGTGGAATATAATTATCTCTGACTGGATATCTGTCTGTGTCTTCGAATATGGGGGGCTCTTCTGTATCGGTGTGCTGGTAATCAGCAAAGTGACTCTTCTTCTAAGGATTCTCCGAAGTAACTTTCATTGGTTTTGGAGGTTTATCTTTTATTAGATTGTCTCTCATAACAGATTTGATCTCTGTGTCATCTAAATGATGTTTAGAGATCGTTATGTGTATCTAATTAATGCTTTGAGGTGTTGTTTCCGTAACCTTTGGAGTTATCTCCTTCGACTTTTTTTGTACCAATTATTACTACTGTTTGAATCCAAGTGAAGCCGATCTCTTTCGGTCATCATATATAGGAGACACATTTTGTATTAGTCGATCGTGACTTCTTTGAGTCTGACGTTGTCTTAGCTTTTAGATCATAATCATTACATTATTGAATTATTATAATGGATCTATTGTGTTAATTTACTTATTTCATCTTTCAATTGATCCAATTCATGTCTAATATCACAAGGTTCCTGCACCTATTATAATCTGCCAAACTATTGCAATTTGTCTAAATTTAAATTTTATTTTACTTGCGTAGTCTATTATCTCATGGATATTTGGTTTCCCATTCGTGACATATCCCTTTTTGATAAGCTTATCGAATCCGATAATGAATACACATTTGATCATCATATCTTAATGTTAAAAGGGGAACAAATTGATTAGCGATTGCACTAGTTTCCCATTCATGGATAGGTTTGAATTTTTGGTATTATATAATTTTTATTGTTAAATTAATATGAATATCAATTGAATGCTTAAATGAATTTTTACTATATATATATTAAAATAAATGTAAATTAATATAATTTAAACTTGTTCTATTTTAAATCCTTCCAACAACAAATAGGATCAATTCATGTGCTCAACAATGAGGGATCAAGTTTGTTGCTTTTAGAATCCATCGATTGTGATAGATACAGCGAAATTTTAATAAATGTTTTTTTCTATGGAATCCAAGTTACTTATATTTATTAATTATTAATGAATTAAATATTTAAACATCTAAATATTACTGATAAAGAAAATCGTAGGTATGAGTTTGGAACCCATTGAATGCAAACCAGTCAAGGTAATCAACATGAAAAACAGAAATAATTCCTGCTATAATACAACTTACATAGGGATTCGTTACCAGTTGATTTTTGGTTAGTTTTTAATTGAGAACTAGTATTTCAGTGTTCTTTATTACATTCTATTAATGACTAATACACATATATATATCAACACAATTATTATTTTTAAATATTGAATTATATGGATTAAATGTTTGTTTGTGATAAAAACGAAACTCAATTGATTAATATTACAGGTGTGTATTATATCAAGGGTTTGATTAAGGAACAACATGATAATTTATATGAATATGGATATTTATTTTCATTTGTTATGATTTTATGAAAATGTCAACAACTCTAAGGCTATCGATTTCACTCTTTCTGTGTTTTTCAGCGACCAAGGAAGTCGTTTGATGTCGATAGATGTCTATTATAAACGATTTCATAATTACGGTTCTATTCTCCCTTAAACTCAACCAAATTTTGTCCTGTAGTTTGTTAATCTTCTTCTTTCTGTCTGCTTGTATAGTATCATCTAAATGATCTATAATTATGTGGATAATATACCTAAAAACTCTTTGTAGAAACTTTGAAAAATTTGAGAAGAAAATACTTCTTTTAAAAAATCATTATTCATGGTTTTGTTTTTACTGTTCTTTCCAAAAGGTAACACTAATGGAATATGTGTTTCCTGCTCCATGATTTTTAAAAATTCCTACCTAGCAGTTTTTAAATTAGTTTCTATTAGATTGTTGATAATAGTACTTGAAATGCTGTTTCTTTCTGATATTTTCTAAAATATAAACCTGAATGCTTTTCTTAGACAAAACTTGATTAATTCTTCCCTACTTTTGAGATGCTATTTTTATTTTGTAACTAAGATTTCTAAAGTCTGTGCTAATTGAACTTAGTTGATTTCTCTTAGATTTTGTGAAATCTAATGAATTTGATCATCATCTTCCATTATCAAAAGTATGTATTCACGAAGCGTTTATTTGCTCAAAACAAGTTTGTGAATGGGATCCTGAATTTTATTACTATTTTTGGAATTTGCCATAGCCATAGTCGTTTTTTATGAGGATGTTGACTAATCTGAATAAGTGACTACGATATGTAAGAGCAATACCATAATCATTATGTCCATTGAGTGGCAAGGATAATTAAAAATACGGATAACTCTATTAGTTATGAAATGGGGCGAAATTGCATGCTACTTAAAATTATGAATAAAAAGTTTATAGAGGATTTTAATAGGGAAAATCCTGGGTAAATGGTTAAGGCTGATGTAGTAAATGGGAAAAGATTAGTTGGTTGGTAAAAGGTTGGTTCATGTGATGTAAAATATTAATATAAATCGAATTCAAGTTAAAAGTATCTTTAATAAACATAAAATTCACATTAATATTATATTGTTAAATTTAATGGAAGTTATCAATAATACGGATATTCTAATGAGATTTAACGAAAAACAAGGAAGTTAATTTATATGATCAACAAAATATGATTTTGTTGTTAAAATGATTCGGTTGTATCAAATTATTGAATAATTGTTATTTTATAGCAAATCTGCAAAAAAATAAATACAAACTATTTATATGAACACAATTTTTATAATATTTATTATATACTATCTATCATCTTAAACCAGCTGTGTCAATATGTTAATGAATTGTCATGAGTGCATTGTAATAGGCAGCCATTCTCAAGGAAATATTCAATTTGCTAGCGGTTTCTTTGGTTTTTTGGACAGCAACTGCCATTGATTCTTCTAAACCTGTGAATACTAAGTCTTTCTAAAGAAGGAATAGAATATAATTATTACAGCTGAAGGACCTTCAAGAAGTTTTGCAGCCTATTGGTTTTTGGTAACATCGACTCTCAAACCAGTAGAAATTTGAATGGCCTCCAACAACTTGTATTTGGATGTTTCTTCCCATCTTCTGGTCATTCTTCCTGGTCTACATAGATATAAATGATGATAGAAACCTGATGTGATCAAGATTTTAAAGCCATTCGAAATAACTGACTGTGACACCACCAGCATTGAGGAGGATATCAGGGAGGAACTTGACGCCCTTCTTGATTAAGATTTCTTCAGCAGCAAGAGTGGTGGGTCCATTGGCAGCTTCAGCAATGACTTTGCAATTGAATTTGGGAGCGTTAGTCTAAGTATGATTAAATAGAGTTACTCTATTCACAGTTTATTCAAAGGCAGCAGGAATGAAAATATCGCATTCCTTATAAATGACAGACTCATCTTCGTGGTATTCTGAGGCTTTGGGGAATCCCTTGACTCCCTTTCTTGATTCCTTGAAAGCTTGTAATTCATCTGGGTCGATTCCGTTCTCCTCATAGATGGAGCCATCCCATTCAGCCACACCAACCAATTTGGCACCATAAGCACACATGTATTTGGCTGCATAGTAACCGACCTATGATAAATAAAATATCTTACAGCTCCGTAACCTTGGATGATGATGCTCTTTCCTCTGAGACCAGCTGGAATACCTGCTTGAGTGCAAAATTCGTAATCTTCAAGGATTTCTCTGCATCCATAGAAGACTCCCAAACCTGTGGATTCTGTTCTGCCTGAAATACCTCCTTGGGAAATGGCCTTTCCTGTAACACATCCTTGAGCATTGATATCAAGATGACCTGCGAATTTAGTGTATTCATCCTTAATTAATTAGGAAGAGAGTATACTTTCATCCAACTCATTTCTCTTTCTCCGGTACCTAGATCTGGTCCTGGAACATCGATGGCTGCTCCAATGAAATTTCTCTTAGCCAATTCAATGGTGAATCTTCTCATCAATGACTCAATTTCTCTCTTTGAGTACTTTTTGGGATTCATCTTGAGACCTCCCTTTGCACCTCCCTAAAATGATATAGGTATGTAAATTACGTATGGTAATTCCAAAACAGCGTTCTTGAATGTCATCAACAAGGACAATGCCTCCACCTCTTCAGTGTGAATGTGTTCACTCAATCTTGTACCACCTTTGGTTGGCAATTTGTGAGTCTTGTGTTGTGCTCTGAATGCTGGAATCTAAATATGACTATTAGCTTCATATAATTACGCATTCGACTGTGCCATCATCTCTGACAAGGGGCAAGTGAAATTTGATCACACAATCAGTCTTCTTGTAATAGCTATTTTATTAATGGTGAGTACTTAAGCATATCCACAGGGATGTTTGTCAATGCAGCTGCCTTGTCGAAGTATTAATAGACCTATTCCAAGAAAGACACATCGCTTTCCTCATTACTCTAACCAAATCTGGCAAGACTTCTGAATTGGGGTTATAGAGCACGTCTGGCGAAGGTTTAAATCATTTTATTTTTAATTATGATGCTTTATCAAGATGAATCCTCTTTGAATAATACGTACTATACGTCATTCAAATTATAGATTTAGGAATTATGATTTAATTTATTTTATTTATTTTATTTCGTGATGTATTATGCCTTCATTTCTGAATGTCACTAATACGAATTATTATTAATTTTATTATTATTCCTATTTAACTACCCACTTCATACAATGTCATTCTTCAATCAATTCAAATTAAATTTATTACTATATATTAAATTAAAATAATATATATATATATTCTTATCCGAATTGCCCAAAATGTCTCATACTACCAAGGAATACCTCCCAGTTGTCTTCACTGATCTCCAAATCTCTACCAAAATCCAACTCGACGACTTCTACATCGAAGAGAGGTACTCTCATACTCAAATCAAGACTCCCGATCCTCAAATAGTCCCATCATTCAACCTCTCAACCCAAAATATCCAAAGTCACCTCTCCATCCAAAACCCAACAAGAAATACTCAACTACCAAAAGAACATCAAAAAGATCGTTTTCCCCAACATCCTTCAGAGAACTAAAGAAGACATCAAAAAGTATCGAAAACATCAACTCTCCCTGATAAGCGACGAAATCTCAAACTCCTAGCCAATTATTGAATTAGATCACAAGAAAGTAAGTAAAACCAATAGCAAATCTCCCCTTAAATTCCATTCTTAATAACCAAGTTATATAAGCAATTAGCCAATTAGAACAGATCTCTCCTCATTAATATTCGAGAATAATTTCGAACCCTATTCAAATGATTCCATTCTAAAGTTTCATAAACTTAGGTACCTTATAATTGGTAACTCTAGTCCAACATTCAATGAAAACTCTTGGTAAAAAGTCGATAAAGTCAACAGAATCAATTTAGCTCATGAAGTCTAAAAGGAAATACATCATTTAGAGAGATTCAATACATATTGGAAACCAGATATGATTAACTAGTATCTGTAATTGAAAATCGTGTAATAGGGAGTCAACTTTAAAAGAGGGAACAAAAGAATATTTATTTTGATGTACCTTCCTCATCAAACCCTTGTTTTAAAAAGCTCATAAGTAGAAGTCAAAAATAGGTATACCACTTATAGACTATCAAATAGTTCGGTATCATTATAACTCAATGCCTTGGTGTATTTCGCACCAATTTATGAGAAGATCAGTAATATGAGCGAATTAGCAGATAACTACAACACTTGGGCCAAGCACTTCTTAGATTTACTCCATTACAAACAGCACATCAATACAGTAAAGTTCTTTTTTTTAGATGGTAAAGAACTCTAAACCTTAAATCAAATACCTTCTTATGAGAAATTCATCTATTGCAATCTCCACGTAAATAGATTTTATACATCATAGGGAGAGTTCGATCTTTGGAGCAGAGTTGGATAAACTTTAAATCTTGGAGGTTCATTCTAATTAGACAAATATGTGAAATTAGCAACCAAGATGGTGGACCTAAGATCTAAGGATGATATCGTCAAGTTCTTTGGCAAAAGAGATAATTTCCTTCCTTTTTATTCCATGGCTTATAATCAAAGTGAGGAAGCTGTAAAATCGCCTCTTTAACAATCCATTGAAGTTATACAGCAAGATGGAGATGACGAATAATTAAATGATGAAGTTATTGATCAGTCCATTTTTCAAATGAATAAGAATTAACAGAAAACTTATCTCAAAACAATACAGTATTTTATTCAATAGAACAAAACTAAGTACTCAGTGCATCTGGCAAATTAAGAAGCTGGAATGAGGCAAAGAAAAGAGAATATCAAAGGTATTAGAAGAAAATCAATTGAAAATAAATTAAAAGGAGTACTCTATTATTTACTACATTTAATAGTAAAAGTAAATGTTGGACCCTAATGAAGAAGCTCACATTGAAAGGAAATTGTTGCACCAGGGCACTCAATCAATCGAAGAAATTAAGGAGGACGCCGTGGATAAAGTTGAAGTGTTTAAGAATGCGATATATAAAAAGTTACCCAAGAAGGTTGAATTAACCAATGACCCATTTTCGAGCTTCTCTTCTAAGGATAATAAGAAATTTAAAGAAATTATGAAGTTGATTAATATTGAATAAATAGTATTAGAAAAAAAAGTCAGCAGACAAGATGTTATGCATTACCTATCTTTATTCAAGGCCCTTATGGATTCAGATAATCAGAACTATTTCACTGTGGCTCAACTAGATTACCCTTCCTTATACATTTCAAGAGAACAATTAAAAAAAAGTCTGCCCTACATAGTCTTATACAAAAACCAATTGAACACTGCAAAGTTGAATGAAATTTACGAGAGACAATACAACTACGTGGAGTTCTTAGAATTCTTAGATATTTTCACTACTGAGTACATAGTCTCAGATAAAGAGTTGGAGAGATTGAAGAACTAGAAATAAGATTCATATTGACTTCTAATTATATATATATATTTCAATATTTTCGAAATTCGATAAAGTAAAATATTGTATTTCATTATTCTTTCTCTTGGGATGTTTATAGTATCTATTGATATCTGTTGCTCATTTCATGAACGATTAGTGAATCATCAACTCCGCATTTGAGTATCCAGGGATGCGATTCAATTTCTGAGATCTATAATAAAACATATTGCATTATTCGTTACTGATAATCTCTAATTGGGATTGAAAGCCAATAACTTCGTTATGAGATCCTTCAACTCTGGACTAAAGTCGACCTATTGAACTTCCCAAAACTTGTTGTACTGTTTCCTTAAACAAATACATGAAGAGATAATACCTGTAAATTAATTGGTATACTTAATCCGTTTTGATGTTGGCAGTCTAAAATGGACAGAAGCCAGAAGTGATCTAAAACAATATCACTCCCAATTGAAATAGGTCAGCTTCGATTCCATGGTAAGGTTGTTGGAGGAATATTTCAGGAGCTGCTGTTGATGGTGAACCGACATAGCTGAACATAGATAGAAAGCGAATACGTGTTAATCTTGGTTCTTTTTCCTTGAGCATCCAAAAATTTTATTGCGTAGCCGAAATCGCAGATTAGAATATTGAAATTATCATCCAACAGTATGTTTTCTAATTTTAGATCTCTGTGAGCCACTCCTTTTTTATGGATTTCAGAGATTACTATGATTTTATAAAACTATACTTTAGATTATCTACTTAAAATAATGTCTTGAAAATTCTTCAGTGAATTTCTAGAGCTTTAAATATTGTAATAGATTCCCCTGTTTGGCGTAATCCATCATGATGCAACCATCGCATTCACATTCCCTTACTCTTATTACTCCTGGAATGTTGCTTAATAACTGCATTATTTTTATTTCATTTTCATACAAAGATGACTATTACTATTTGAAAACCTTCATAGCCATCAGTTATCCACATCGATTCACCAGTTAGACACTAAAAAGCTTTAAGAATTAAATACTCCGCAGAATACCCTTGTCCAATTTTAGTCACTACAAACATTTAAGAAATATTAATATACTAATAAATATTTAATTTTTTATTGCATTCACTATCCTGGTGTTAAATAATAATTTATAATAATATCTATAAATTTATTCTTAAGCATTTCTTCAAAATTCGCATATATTATTCTATTGATTTGTATCATTTAGAATATTATAACAATGAATGAATAAATTCAATTTCAATTAAAACTATTAAAACTATTCTATTCAGATTATCCATCACTATTTACACGAATTAGTTCAGGCATCTTCAAAGAATCAATGTATTAATGTTTCGATGATTAGGAGGACTTACTAAATTTGAATTTTCATTTCTAACAAACATTTAACAAATTTTATTATAAATATGAACATATAAAAATTAGTTAATATAAAGTATATATATAAATACTTCATAATTAATCTATTTAAGTTTTAAGAATTCATACTCAAATATGTGAATAACCAAAAGGATCAATAAATTTATAAATTAAATAAACAAAATTAAAATGAGTGTAAAAGAATAAAGTTTAGAATATTTTAAGAATTAAGACAGAATAATGAATAATATTGAGAGTCATTATTTTTGATAGAAATAAGAGTACCCAATAAAAATTGATATTCATACTAAGATTCTCATGAGTAACAAAAAGTAAATCAAAATTTCTTGAGCAAAAATAGGAAAAGATTAATTAGATATATCTAAATAGTGACTATATGTCGCTCCTTTGTTTGTTAGATGAAGTAGACTATAATTTATAATACTGTAATTAGAAGTTAATAAAATCAATAGTGATGTCTAATTCGATCTATTGGTTGTGTTAATTCCTTATCATCATGATTGATTTGCACCTTAAAATTATCCAATTAGTGTTCGATGCAACATTATAAAACTTTTATTAAAAAGATTTTCATTAATACTTTGACATTTGGAAGATTTCGAAGTTATATAAATTGGATTTAATAATGTTTTAGAAATGAAAAGATTTAAATTTGTAACAATTAAGAAACAATTAATAAGGATACATAAGAATGAAGTTAAAATAATCTGATGATATTCAATTTATATATTTATATTTGCATATAAAAAATGGATAGACATGGAATAGACATCATTTATAAGACTGATTCTTCAAGATTGATGACAATGAGAAATAACACTGAAACCTTAAGCAATATATTATTGTTAATATTAGTCATCAACAATGCGGGATTTGAGAGTCGCCCAGGATTAGGGTTATAATTAATTGAATAATAAATCCCAGAGAGTTGTGCTGATGAAGACAATGAGTTGTATGCTTCAGAAAATTCATCGGTTTCAAATCAAAGCGGACATCCAAGTCGTAGGGAATCAAAACTCGAATCCATTAGCAAAGTGATGAAGGAAACCCAAAAGATTCAATCGGATGATCTTCATTAACCCATCGGAGGTTGGGATAACAAAATATGGTAAAAAGGAGCATTAAGAATTATGACTTACGTTATTAGATTTGTGATGGCATTATTAATCAACTCTGAGAAGTTCAAATTTACCTTCATGAAAAAAAGGTAATTCTATGCTATAAATGATTAATCAGCCGTATTTGATTATTATGAAGAGCGATTTTTAATAAGAGGCAAAAAGAAACTCAGCTATTCAGTATTTATATAAAATTTATAAAGTAAATGCTTAAATTAAGGATTCAAAATAATTGCTTATATTAGTCTTGCCATATATTTTTATAATATTTTGTTTACAAGATCATCTTTATTATAGTACCAACTAGTACACCTAAATTAATATGGGATGTGTTCCTATTGATCATTTTATCAATTCAAATGGTCTTTGTGCCATTAAAGATTTGTTTTTAAATAGACGTTTCATAAGAGCTGTTGTAGTTTTTTTTATTCACACTGCCCCTCTATGTCTACTTGATAGAAATTTTATTGAATTTTTTGACAGGATTTTATGAACATGGAGTATTGGTAATAGATTAGAAACAAATTGCTTTGCATTATTTAAAGTCTACATTTTGCTATGACTTTTTGAGTGTTATGCCTTAGTTTATAAGTGTAATAAGCAATGAATCTCAAATTTTTGAGATCCTATTATTAATACGCTTAAAAAGATTGATATTGCTGGCAGATACACTAGAAGAGACCCTAAATTTAAGATAAAATTATTAAACATTTATAGATGTGGTGCGTTTGTTGATTCAGTTTCTGTTTTTGTCTCACCTATTTGGTTGTGTTTGGCATTACATAGGAGTCTTAGAAGATGAATTCGGGTATTATTGTTTTAGATATATTGATTTAAGATATGATCAGAATTGGATCAAGTAGAAAAACATTGATGGAGAGTCCTGGTTCGTTAGATATGTTTTCTCGATTTATTGGAGTTCGATTACTACTTTGACCATCGGATACGGAGATGTCATACCAGTCAGCTCTGTTGAAAGAATGTTTGTCGTAATAGTAGCTGTAGTAAGCAGTGTGGTGTTTGCATATACGATTTCTAGTATTGGGAATATTTTTAGTCAGTTAAATGAAAACAAGAAAAATTAAAGACACAAGATGTTTCTAATTAAGAAATTTATTGATGAAAGAAATGTAAATAAAGTATTGGCTAACAAGGTCAAAAAGTTTTTTGAATATTTTATTTAGATTGATCACACTTCAGATAATGAATGTGTTAAATTGATTGAGAAATTGGATCCTACATTGAAAACAGAATTGAAGATAGACATATATAGAAAATTTATATAAAATTCTAAATTAATATCAACTACTTTCTCTGATTTAATGTTGAAGGAAATATGTCAATTGGTCAAAGAAAAATAATATATGCCAGATGAATTTATCGTAATTTCAGACTAAGAAATTAATGAGTTGTATTTTGTGTTGGAAGGAGAAATTTCCCTCATCGTGGAATTAAACAAATGTATTATTTGCATTATTCATTATTTTAAGAAAAGAATAAATTCTCATAATTGTCTCTAATAAAAAAAAATGAGGTTTTGGGAGAAAAGTATTTTCTTACTAATGCTAAATTACCATTTTCAGCCAAAGCCTAGAGTTTTGTTAGAGTTGCTGTCTTGGATAAATAACAGTTTCACCTTTTACTTCAAAAGTATCCAGAAGAATTCGAAAAATATAAACAGGCACTCAACAAAGTTCAATTGCAAGAAAGAATTAAATTGTCAGGTTGTGAACTCTGCTATCAAAACCATAAGGTATTAGAGTGTCCTTTTGTCTTTTATTAACCAAACATTCGGTTTGTAGTTAAACGATAATATGCTTAGGAATAAGCAAGGCAGTTGCATGAGCGTAGATAAGCCAAATCTCATGTAATAAATAAGTTGTTTATTTAGGTAGAATTCTAAAAGTGATCGATTAGGCATATAATATCGTTTAGTGACATATGCTTTAGAGAATAATTTAATTTAAGAAGAATCTATAAATGATTCAATAATTAAGAAAATGGACTTGTAATGCTTGGAACATCAAAAATACTTATTCAGATCATGTACTGATTCCTCTATTAATACTCTTATTAAAAATAACCTAAACCCTACCTTCTAGAGTGGAGGCAAGGAAAGCCCACATGAAAGTCAAGATCAAATAATGAGATAAAATTCAAATAACACTCATAATCCTAGGCCCAGCTTCACAGGAATAGGGAGTACAAAATAGATGTCTACTTTGAAATTTATTAAGATGGGTAACAAAAAGTTAGACAAGTAAGAATCTTGTTAAAAAATTGAATTGAAAGTGCCTGACAAGGTAGTTTTGTAAGATATTTGTGAACATTCATCAGATTCTGATTAGCAATCACCTGATAAGACAAAATTAACCAAATAAAATAGTTTCACTTTTTGTGCTTCAGCTGACTTTAAGACTCAACTAAAGATAGAGTATTATTAAAAACTAATCATCAATGAATTGGATGGACTGGATAAATATTAAGAATATTAATTTTATTATCCTTAATACAATGTTGAAAGAGTGATCGAGACAATTAATGAGAAGTATAAGTTAAAAAGACTCAAACAATCTAAATCGTTGATCAAAAGACAAAGTAGATATCTATCATCTTATCCAACTATATCAATAAGAAGGAAAAGAAGCGGAATCGTCGGGGAAGAATTAATACATGAGAATTGATAATAAATATATTAATACTTATCTCACTCATTCAGCTTATCAAAATTAATATTATCAAAGGCATTTATACTTTATTTGGTTAATAAATATGTCAAAGTTTCGTCAAATCTTACTAGGTCTATAATAATTTAATAATATATTGGTACCAAAATATTACATAAACTATTTGAATTGTTCAACATCTTAAAATGCTAACAGTTTGGCTAAATATTCTAACTCTATATTTGATATATATCTAAAAATTAATGAGTTAATCATACGTTCTTACTATTTATTTCAATGCTTTGACTCTGATTCTAACTAAAAAATGGTTGATTATACTTCCCATAGTTTCACCAGCTTCCTTATAATCCTTGAATAGTTTAACATAATTTCCACATTTGTAAGATTCTCTTATCCTAAAGGTCATGAATAATTTACATACCCAAGAGCAAACTTGATTCTCTGATCATCAGAATTCTAATGTAATATTTTGACTAATTAATCCTATTTATTTAACATTGTCAGATACACAATCCTATAACTATCGAATTCAACTTTATTTCCAATGAAACTGGCATCCTTCCCTTCACTTATGCTTATCATGTCATACAAATCACACAACATAGTCCAACAACTTTCATATCTTGGGAAATCTCCACATTCTAAACAAATTCTGGCATTTTCTTCATACACTTATACTGTAAATCTGTTCTCTATATGTTACACCAACAAATCCTATCTGATTGATCTAAATTGCTCGATTGTAAAATTATAATCTGCCTAATAGTTTTTCCACTTTTCCAGAATATGATGCAATGCTTTTTTTAAAATGTGCTCTGGTCTTATTGTATTAGGATCAGGCAAACCAGTCAGTCTATAATATGGTTTTTCTAAGTCTTCACAAGTTCCCTTAAAAATAAATTTAATTCCAAAATACTGTAATTTTCATATTTGTTGAAATAAATTGGTCTTCTTCCTCTATTTTTTTTTTAATCTATTTTTATTGTTATTTAATCTATATTGTAGCATTGGGCTGTAATTTTCCAATTTATAGCATAGCCAAATCTATGCTATAGTCAATTTTCTTATTTTTCATATGATTTTGATTTATAGCATCAACTTATTACTATTTCAGTTAATCGTTTAAAGACATCAAATTTTAAATGCTAGTAGATGCTGTAATTTCTATTATTAAGAACCATTACTTTACGCTGGTCCAATAGGTTGGGCTTAACTTGGAGCCCCAAATTTACTTGTTTAGCCTAATGAATTCAATGCCACAGCTGTGCTTTGTTTTAATTGGAGATTTTAAGAGAATAGCGACTGAGTTCGTATTTAATTCTCTCTGGAAAGTGTTGGCAATGGAAATTTAGACCAATCCCTTATACTGTATTCGTTTTTGCGTTAGGCTTCTGCAATTATAGCCTTCAAGTATTGTTCCATGAGATTTCTCTCGGTATCAGATTGGCATTTATTAAATGCCCTTTCCACATACTACTTCACTGTAACAGAGGATTGTTCATTAAATACTTCTCTGGAATTACAAAATCTCGCACCTATGTGATTGATTAATTTTAAGTCATACTAATTAAATTAGGCATTTCAACATTTAACTTCCGGTATAAGTATGAGTAAATCTTTATTTCATTCTCCCATCTTGAAGGTTGATCCAACTCGGAAACATCCACAGGTGGTAAAAACTGATTCTACTCTTTCTCGATTCTAGAGGTCATGTCATCCTTTTGTTATTAATCTTAAGTCTATTAAATATTTGATTGCTGCTGTGACTAGAGTTGACTCACTTGTTAAAGTGGTTAGGATACTTTTTATTGGGAATTCAAAGCTGGATTAGATTGTTAAATATGCTATTACTAGGGTCTTTAAATTTTAGTTTGATTACCCAACAGATTATTTTGTTCTAAGTTAAATATTCAAATACATTGGGTCTGCAACATTTGATAATTATAGAGATAATATTGATTATATTAATATTGATTGGGCATCATTTGCTAGTACCCATATGGCATATATTAGTTATATCCATAATAGTTTTAATACACAGATTACGGTGGGTTATAAGAAATCTACTCTGCTCTCATCGCATCTTCTATTGTCTATCTTTTATTGTTATTCATTTTTAAATAAATTAATTATGAGTTTCATATATTGCAATTTATCAATAGTATATTGCTGATTCTTAGCAAATAGAGCATTCAAACTGATTTAAAATAAGATTTTTTATATATAGAAATTGAATATCATCTAACAACTATTAAAAAGATCATTGTTTTTTGAGTTATTGACTTATCACAAAGTACATAGACCCAATAAATCCAAATAAAATGAACAGAAGACCAAACTCGTAAATGCTCTGGTAAACATCTTTGGTTATATTAACGGGTTTCCTTATGGAATTACGTTTTTAACTATTCACTCTGGCCAACTCTACCATTTATTCCAATTGTTAAGAAGTTCTTCTACCTTCTAATTACGAATTATGAACTCTCTCTGTATAATTTTTAATTTAGACCTCCTATACTGCATATTTAAGGCTCTTTTTTAATATATTGGGGGATCTAAACTTAAAAAAAAAGATTACGATTCACAATGGTGAGCTAGACGTATTTCATTCCACTAATTTGGCTGGTAATCAAAGTCTGTAGTCTAATTAAATCTCCATTTAATATTAGTGTAGATCTTGAGTATGTTTAGTGGAGTTTTAAGTGCTTATTTCTCTAAAATAAGGGCTAATCTAAGAAGTTTGTATTTGGCTGAAATTTCATCAGTAGAATCCTTTGATTTTTACATCAAATAAATATAAATTATATATATATAATTAATAGCTGAAATTTACAATATGAATAATAAGGAATAATATTAGGGGGAACATTAATCATAATTCTTAATTTTATTTTTTAAAATGTTTGATCCATAAATACATGGATTAATTTAGATTTGATATTAATAATTAAAATATATTTATACTATTTTATTTATACTTAAATATCACAAATCTGTTAATCTTGATAGTTTCTAGACCCTATTTAGTAAGTAGTCTCCCTATTTAATTAAATTATTATAGAGTTGATTTCTATCATCAGCCCTTGAAGATTCGATGATTCCAGCAACCTTATCGATTTTACAATTGATTCTTCTTGATGAAATTAATTCACTCAATTCTCTAATGAATATACTACTTTTTTACCTATCAATGAATTATACACTGACTCCAAATGCTTTAGCCATATTATTCAATGTCACTGTTTTATAGCTTTCCAAAAATTATGAATAGAAAACTACCCTATATTCTCTAATCAAGTATTTCCTGTGAATACTCAAGTATTGATCATGAGAGAGATTTTCATTAACGATAGCTAAAGAATGAATAAGAATACATACCAAACTTCTAGAAGAGTGTCTTATAATCACATTATAAAAATGATTCCAAGAAGTTTTTCAAAACTTGATTCTCTCTTAATACTCCGACAACCTCTGGGTTTTGATGCACCTTCTTTTTTAAGGATTATCTATCCAAACATATGATGCTGGTCAAAACTGTGTAACTAACAACCTCATTGTAGGATATGATTTCAGATGAATTGAATGTAGCAACAGAGTCTAAGAATAATTTGCATGCTTTAGTGATATCTCTGATCATTAAACAATAAATCCCTTCATAAACTTTGAGTCTATTCTTTCTTTCCCAATCACCTCCCTAATCCAATAATATTTATTATTAATTCAAATGATCCTTGAATTTTTCGAGGTTTCTTTATTTTAAATATATTTGTAAAATTAAGAAATGTACATCCATTTTTTTACCAACACCAACCGATTTTGGTAGTGTTTCAATGTAAGTTTTGATTGCCTCAAATAATAACACAATTGTACATCTTCATATTTATTGTATTTCTATTGCAATGATGCTTTTTCGAGCATTGCATCTCTGACCTCAACATCACCCAAATTTTCTAAAGAATCTTTTATTTTATTTTCAGCTGCCTCCAATTACTCTTCAAAAGTTTTCTCTTACTCCATTTATTTTAAATTTAATTAATACTAATCTCAATAAATGGTTTAATATCTTCAATTATATTTTGTATTAGAAAATACGAAGAAAAGCCTCAAAAAAAGCATATATAAATTAGTATTAATCACGCACTTCTATAAAATAATAAAATCCTATTTTAAGTATAATTCAAAAAGTTAAATAGTATTTTTGACACCATTTATATGCTAAATAATAATAATTATTTGATATAAATACAAATAATGAATAAAATAAATTTATAAAAGAAACAAAAATAAAAATAAAAGTTTATTCCTTTGGGATTTGTTATCAAATATGATCCTCCAGTTATTGGTATATATAAGTATTAATTAATATAAGGATTATTATACAAGAGAAGTGTGCAAGAAAATAAAAAAAAAGTTTATAACATTCATTTATAAAATCTCATAAGATTAGATGACGAAGTTGAAATAACTAAGAAGTTGTTTGATGAACACCCTGAATTTTTGGATCCTGATATCATTGAGCCTGAATAAGTTCTAGGCTTAGTGTAACGATTGATCGAATATAGACAGATAATGGAATAAGACGATGATAATGAATATTAAGATGAGGATACTGATAGTCACATAATTGATGAAATGTTTGATTGATAATTTAATCTTTATCTATTATTTTGATCAATATTCAATTTTGATCTGCACTAATACAGAACAATTGGCTAAAGGTTTAAAGTGAGAATTTAATAATGGGACAATTCGGTAACCTGTTCTCAAATTAAGAGGTGACAAACAATATTAGCCCAACAACGAATCTCCCAAGATAGAATAACTATAAGCCTAGAAATAGATGACATCCTATTAAGCATGTCGGAGTTAGATAGAACATTAATAATTAAAAATTGGATGGTATCCATTATCCTTAACAACCTCTGTTCTCCACTTTTCAGATTTGCTGACATCATCGTGATTACCAGCAACTCTTATTTTAATGTATGGATCAACAATCTCTTCTTGTCTACGCTTCTCGTCTTCCCAAACAAGATTGGTTGCACTGATGATTCGTACATGGATATTCATTTTCACATCCTAATTGGCTTTCAAGACATAAGAACTATTAAGAAACATTCCGTAATTCTACAACATAAATAAATCTTTTGTTTGAATATTCAAAGCAACCATTTAAGCCCCAGCTGACCAAGAAGGGAATGGATCATAATTGCTTGAATCAAATCTCAACCCTAACGGATAAATCCTAACAAAGTAATTTTCAACATATTCAAAAAATTTGCCATGACTCTTTTTTATTATATCCTATATTTTATCTTCTGAAACACTAGATACAATCCAAACCAATTCTGGCTATTTGTCTAATTTCAGTGATACTGCATATAATGATGTAATTTCTAATAATTCTCTACATATTTTTGTTGAATGATCATCAAGAGTTTGACTGAATTGTTTGATGTTTGCTTAATGTTTATGATCATCATACTCTTAAGTTTTGAATTACATATCATCATGTGATTGTGCAAAGAATAATGTGGAAGAATGTAATTGTAGTTTCTCTTATAAAAACTGATCGTCTGCTTTATATTTAACTAAAACCTTCCTTTGCAATTAGTGTAAAGTAGAGATTCTCGCTTATTTATAATCTTTAATGACAAACAACATATCTCCAAGAATGCTTTATAATATTTCTGCTATTCTCTTCTATTATTTTAAGCAACAATGCATTTCAAGTGACAAAATGGCAGGATTATCATCTTTATAGAAAGCAAAGTCTCTAACCGTAATAATTACATCTTTGAATTTGATATCGTTAACCAATGTATGACCATGAGTAACCTTTGGTTCTCCATTCTCACCATCCCAGCAGTCCAATTCAACGCATTTAAAACCCATCTTGAAGGCGTCTTAATATGCAAAACAACTTGATTCACCAGTCAATTAATTTCTCTCCAAATAAGTATTATGTGATGAATTTATTAAGTATTTAGTAATAGGCTGCGATTAATCTACCTGTTTTGGTTGGAATATTGAGTTATCCTCACTGAATATGAGATTCTAAAAATCATAAAAATTGTATTATTTTCTTTTTGGTTGATAATCAGCTTATCCTTGTTCAATTTTGTAAAACTATTACAAGTCCTTATCTGTCATCAGCATAGCTTAGAGTGGATCTTCAAACAATCCTTCCTGTTTGCTGCTATATTTTTAATACAGTTCTTTCAATTCATGTCTGCGTGTTATATCCATCAATAATCTATATAAGGTTGCTTCATCTAATTGGTTATTCTTTTGATTTTTCTCAAAGATCTGGATTAGCTTTCTCTCTTGAATCTCAATTTGCAATTCACCTATCATGAACAGAAACTCCTTAAAATTGAGTTTATTATCCATATCTAGATCAGATTTTGTGATCAACTTGAGAGCACTGCTCCAAATTTAATTATAACTATCAAGTTGTTTTTGGATTCTGTTTGCTTCCTTAATCAGATAATCTAATCCCTCCTTGAAGGTGATCAATTAGAATACACTTTCAAAATACACCTTTAGATAGGCTCCTTTTTAGTTGATAATTTTTAATTGAGGTTCCTCCTTTTATTAGATGTCAGAGATCTAAGTGAGATCAAAATAAGTGCTGAATGTGCCTTAGGGATCAAGCTAAGATACAGATATCATTGATGATTACCATTTAGATCAAGCGAATTTCATTTGGACTTAGCAATAAAATCATTTAAGTACGTTTCATCTTGTGCAATTTCACCTGTAATAGCATTCCGTACACTAATGAATTAACACCATAATGATTGATTTTATTCATAAATTTTAGTTATATTTTTATTATGAAAAGTCCTATTACCAAAATCTCAGCTGTAGGAACTGGTGCAACTGGCTTTGCCCTATATTCGCTCTTGAATTAGTGGTATCAATTAAAAAAGAAACACAACCAATATTAACTTATGAATGAATTTACACCCACCTCCATATTGAATTACTTTAATTCAACCCAAAAAACAACAATCGAAGCATTTATTGCCGGAGAATTAGTTTCTGAAAGTCCCATCATTTCACAAGTCCCACTTATAATGAGCGAAAAGAAATTCTATTATATATATGAGAATGGCGTGTATGTAATTGTCTTTTATATTTTAATAGAAAAAAAATAATTAAAACCTTTCAACATAGTGCGTCTCAATTAAGTGTTGCAGACTTTTATAATAAAATCGAAATATGGAGGAACTCAACCCTTAACTACTAATATTCTATGAGTCATATATGGGATCTATTTCTTCCTCAATAATTAAGCATCCTTCAAAGGATAACAAATTTCATTTTAAAAACAATAAATTTTCTCAAAATAAGAAAGTTCTTTTTCAAAGGTTTTCATACTGGATTGCTTGAAAGGGAATATGGCATCATAGCAAATGAATTTTATGTCTTATATGGAGAAATCATTCTTGATAAAAAGTTGAATAAGATGTTCCTTTAAAATCCAAAATATATCCTCAAAAGTAAGGTGCAATTACTATTGTTAATACAAAAGTAGATTAAATAAAAAAGATCGATGGCAGTAATTGTCTTCATTCTATTTGCGATTTGGTCGTATATTTTTGGTTGCAATATAATGAATTATATTGTAAATTTTTTGAAAGAGAGAGAAAAGGCAAAATTGGATAAGTTAAGAGGGTAGAAATACTTAGAAATTAACAATTATGAATGTCAGATTTGTTTTGAAAGACCTAGAAATATTATCATTAAGCCTTGCAAACATCTAAGCATTTGCTATGATTGTTCATAAAAACTCAAAAAGCCATAATGTCCTATATGCAAATAGTAGATAGAGGATAAAATTGAAATCTTTTTTACTTGAAAATGATATTATATAATTATGATTATGATTGTGTCAACATTCATCTACATCAGAATAAAAAGATTCATCAGCTTATGCGAGATTTTCTAAAATCTCAATTATTCTAGTTTGCTTTAATTTCTCGCATTCCTACTCATTTTTAGCTAATAAAGACCCTGTGAATCCTACTGCATTCATTGCCACTCCATTAAATGCTGCTTGCTTTCTAACTACAATCATCAAAAACTCTTAAGTCATTATTAAATTGTGTTTTAACTCCCTAATATCCTCTACTTGACATTTATTTAATAGCTTTTCGTAAGTCTCATACAGTATATTCTATTACTAGCGCTCATCGCAATTTGGGTTTTATAATAAATCTTGGTTGAAAAAGCATATAAAATGCTTTGTTTTCTTTAAACACCTGAGCTTTGTAAATTTGTTAGCCTGTCTCACACTCTTCTCGAACCACCATTCCTTTATATGATTTAAAATATTTGCACTTTAATATGCTGATTTAGGCACAATTTAAAAATGCTTATGATCCAATGAAGCTCCTGCCTCTGGATGGGAATTAAAAAATGCAAATCCTTCCACTGCACATAGCAAATCATAAGCCAAACTTAAGTATTCCTTGCTGAATTTTTCAGTTTAATGAATAAATTGTTATGGCACCAATAATGCATGATAAGGATTAACAGGGTATTTATTCAATAAAATATTATAGTTTTGTAATCGCATTACTAACTGTCCTGGTTGGAAAGGCTCTATCAATGGATTAATCTAACTTTATTAAATATCACTTACATTTTATTAATGGCCAACTGGCTTCTTGGCTAGAGATTTTACTAATTTTATGTGAAACTCTATTCCTTGTTCATTTTTTGAAAAAGTTTGTAAAATATCAAAAGGTTCTACAAATCCTTGATTTTAACTTCCATCGTAACATTGTATAATCTGTTTTTTCATACTCTCACGAAGTTCTGTTTTTGTAAACTAATGATATCAAATACTCACTCTACCCCTCTGAGCATTCTGTAAACTCCATAACTAAATCCTATAGCGACCACTCCAATAAATCCTTTTGAGAACATTAATGATTTCATTAGTATATTAATTTAATTAACTAATATCACTATATAATAAAGAGAAATTAAGAAACCGAATTATAGAAAATGATCAATTTGAATTATTAACGGATAAGATAAAATTGAATATACTCTGTTATACTAATATTTGAATTCATTTTAGTTTATTATTTGAAATTAAGATCATATATGTTCAATTCAATTTCAGTATTTATCAAAGTATATTAAATTTTAATAATTCGTTTAATCGAATACAAAATGGTTAGATTTCTTAAATTTTAGGTCTCACTCTCTTCTCATTCTTTAATAAACTGTTTTTGTTCTCTAATTTACTAAAGAATGACACTTCATCATATTTAGTTTTTTATTTTGAAATCATTAAATACAAAATTTTACCCTATTTATTTTTTGATGTTTCGATACTATTTAGTAATAGTTCGAAAAGTCTAAATAGTCGACCTAAGAATAAGAAATTATTTCAGTAATCATAATCATTTAAGGATAGCATCAAAACTTTAGAGTTAGCTGTAATATATAAAGATACTTATCTCAACTGTTTTAATATAGGCTCTTAATATTTAGGGCTTTTAGGCATTTCTGCTTATTCAATAGCTTCCAAAGTAATTAATAGTATTAGATTTTCAAGTTTAACGAAACAGAGGCAGTAGGTCAAATTAAATTGTAAAATAATTTGGGCTCAGACTTATACCATGAGAGGAATACGATGAGTTCGAAATTTAGATATTGTAATCCTTAAAATTTCAGTTGTATTATATAATAATCTGATTATTTGGTAGCAATTGGTGTTTCCATAGATGAGAGCATTTTAAGTCTCATTATGTTTATTTTGATGGGTAAATTAGTTGTTGTATCATTGAATTAGATTTCGAGATATGTAAACATCGTAGATTGTTCTAGCATTTGCTATTTTCAATTTTAATAGGATTAGAGCAACATTTTTACGGATAGGGTACAATCTGTCACTTAGTTGATAACAATGAGATATCAATGGCATAAAATCAATTTAATTTAGATAAATTAGAGAAGGATGATACAGAAGGGATCCAGTAAAATTCGGGAAATATAAAAAAAAATATATAAAAGAAGAGACTTAATAAGGTTAAATTAATTAGCATGAATTGTTTGTCTTGATTAGTTTCAATAAACTTGATCTAATGTGGAGATCATATTAAATTTTATAATTATATTTCTTTTGCTATTACACCAAAAGATCAAAGATTCCAAAACCAATCTAAATTAGACTGCATTCTTGTTCTTAACCTTATTATGATACATAATCACAAATAATGATGTTACTTTAAAAATTTATTAAGTAATTTTAATTCAAAAAGAAATATTTTTCAACTTAAAAATAATACAATAATTGTTAAATATATATTGCTTTCCCTTAAATTTCCATTTCCATTAGAAAATACTTGTTATAAATCAAAAGTGCTTCTAATTGATTTTACTCATATAATTATATTGAAACTTTTAGATAAGTAAATATTTAACCAGATGAACTAAGAATAGTTATTTGCAATTTGAATTTTCTGTCCTACTCTTTTTTGGACTTTAGCTGAACAGATGTCCTGTCTTCATAAAGTGTTTTATACATTTAGCTTTTAAGCTACATTGAAAATGGAATCTACCAGTTCATGTGATATTTTTCATTTAAGAATCATTAAATTTAGAAAACTAATTACTATTTAAATAATTATTTATATTTGGATGTCTTCTGCTTTTCATATTCATGTAGGAGGGGCTGGAGTAAAGATTGGTGATATGTTATGGAAACTATATGAAAAAGAATAGAATGAAACAACTCAGAAGAATTATATTTATGATGAAGTTGATGGGAATTATTATCCATAAGCACTTTTCGTTGATACAGATGACAGAATGATACTAGAAGTCTAAAGCAGTAATTCAATAAAATTTAAGAAGCATTCATTTATACATGGAAACAAGGATTCATCAACTTATGCTCTAAGTAGGTATTATTATATCAAAAAGACTTTGGAAAAAGCATAAGATTCTATTCGAAAATAAATAGAAACGATGGATCGATTAGATGACTTTGTGATAACAAGTTCCATCAGTGGAGGTACTGGGTCGGGATTTACTTGTGAGTTAACCTATGATTTATCAAATGATTACCATAAGGTAAATAAAAATGGATTTATAATTTTCCCATCTTCAAAGGTGGCGAATAATGTTCTTGGAATATATAATACTGTGCTCGCAATGCCAAATATGATTGGCTATTTTGACAGCATCACAATGTTTGATAATTAGTCAATGTATAATTTTATTGATCATCAATTGGATGTAGATTTTGTTGATTATTCATTTTTAAATAATTTGGTTGCTTAAATAATTAGTTCGTATACTGGAATTAGAAGATTTAACTAGGAAGATAACTCTGCATTTTTTTCAAATTTGTGTCCTTCTCCTAAGTTACATTTTTATATTCCATCTTATGGTAAGCTGACTTTGATAAATGATTACGTTAGAAAAGAATTAGAACAAAGAGAATTCATTCAATTTCTAAAAAAAATAGACCAAAAACTCTATCAATGTTCTAATAATCCTCATTATATTTGTAGTACCCTATTGTTAAGAAAAAGATAATTTAATCCTTTTTCTGGTAGATTAGATTAAACTATTAACAATTTAAATAATTAATTTGGCTAAACATCTTAAATTTATTAATGTAAATCATCTAATTACTAAGTATTACCTGAACTTGCAGAAATGAAACAAACAGGGACTTTGTTTTCTAATGATGCCTCAATTGCTAGTAGTTTAAAAGCATTAGAAAAGAGATTTTCCTATGCTTATGACTAACATGCATTTATTGGAGGGTTTGAAGGTTGGAAAAGCAGAGACATTTATATTGCAAGAGATGACTTAAAGTAGTTATAACATGAATACGAAGAATTCTTTACAGTGGATAACTAAGAAATATGATTCAAAGAATGATGGTATTATTATTGTTATAGTATCATGTATTAATTAATATAAACTAAAAAAATCAATTTTAATTAAATTATGTTTTATAATTCCATTAAGCTTGAACAACATATCATATAATTGTAAAATTCCAAACTGATTGATTATCAATCTCTTTTCAGTTTCTATTCACTAAACTATCTTACAACATAAGAAAGAGCTCAGGTGTTCTTTATTGCTTTTGCGGTACTTGATAGTTTAAAAATTAAATCCCTTAAAATTAGATGAATAATTGGATAAAATTTGATATAGAAAAATTTTAGGCCAAAAAATCAATAAGTCAATTTAGATCAGATATTTAATCTAAGTATATTTATTTTATTACAAAAAAATTTCTCTGATATTCAAATCGATGTGTTTATCTAAATAGATGTTATTTTTTGAAAAAATTAAAAAAACAGCAAAATAGATGTATTTTTGAAATCAATCTCCTTCTGTCTCTTGCTTTCAATTTTTTATATTTAAAAAGTATAATATTTATACTATTCCACAAGATTTTTACAGATGTTTTTTAAATTCCATATAAATAATCTTAAAAAACAAATGTAAATCCTATTAAGAATTGATAATTTACTGAATCTATAAATTCAATCCTTTCAAGTATTTTTATTGTGATAATATTTTTACTAATTAATATTCTAATTGAAAATTCATAGAATCGGATTAAAATAAAAATTTTAATCATGTTCACTAAAGAATTAATTAAAATAATTTTATGTTAAACATTTATTTTTTATTTTGGAGAGATGGTGTTATATTCCTTTATTATCTGAGGCTTCATTTGTCTTAAATAATAATATACTTAACCTCATATATTGTTTATAAAATACCATTATTTCAATTCTACTCGTCACTTTATATCTCTAAATTTAGTTTGATTTTTTTAAATTGATTTGCTTGTAAAATATGGATCCAAAAGGATAAATTTAAAAGTAGCAATAACTTATTCCAATCCATTCCTCCTTCGAAGATCATAAATTTATCTATTCATTGAAAGATTCGTACAGTAATTAAGACTCAGTCCTCTTTCAGCTTATCAGAACATGTTAAAAAATGTAAGAAAATGTTGAATCATTCATCAAATGATTAAGAAATAACCAAAAGAAAAGGAGGTACATTAATATTTAAGTGTTAAAATCAGGTAAGCATTGCTTCAAGTATGCTAAAATAAGCAACGATCAGAGAGAAGGTTTGATAAAATAAATCATATCAACTGGATGTACTATAAAAAGTGCAGCATAAAAACTAGGAATCAACTTCTCAACTGCAAAGGCAATCATGTAAATTTTCAAGAAGGAAGGAAGATCTTGTAAAAAGGTCATTCGAAAGAACAAAAAAAGACAAACTTAAATGTACAAAAGACACTCCGCAGTAACCAAAGGCTAAAGTATTAAGCTATATTATCCTAAGATAGGCATCCGAGAAGTAAAAGAGCAGTTCCGGTAAACAGATGAAATTAAAAAAGAAATGATACAATAACCTATTTCAGTCCTTGAAGCCAAAAACAATTAATAACTTCTCATCATTCAATAACTGAGTAGCCAGGTATTGTAAAAGAGTTATGATAGAATTTGCTGTATTAAGGCTAGGTTGTGAATTTAGTATAGGAGAATGCAGTTTTGAACTAAAATTATCAAAATTTATGTTAATAGTATGAGCACTTGCAAAACATGGTGCAAAAATAATATATTTAGACGTAATAAATATTGATGAAAACTTAAAGTCCGATAGCTCCATTCAATTTTTGATTGTTTTTTATTATTGTTCTCCACTCTAGGGTGNATTTAAAAAGTATAATATTTATACTATTCCACAAGATTTTTACAGATGTTTTTTAAATTCCATATAAATAATCTTAAAAAACAAATGTAAATCCTATTAAGAATTGATAATTTACTGAATCTATAAATTCAATCCTTTCAAGTATTTTTATTGTGATAATATTTTTACTAATTAATATTCTAATTGAAAATTCATAGAATCGGATTAAAATAAAAATTTTAATCATGTTCACTAAAGAATTAATTAAAATAATTTTATGTTAAACATTTATTTTTTATTTTGGAGAGATGGTGTTATATTCCTTTATTATCTGAGGCTTCATTTGTCTTAAATAATAATATACTTAACCTCATATATTGTTTATAAAATACCATTATTTCAATTCTACTCGTCACTTTATATCTCTAAATTTAGTTTGATTTTTTTAAATTGATTTGCTTGTAAAATATGGATCCAAAAGGATAAATTTAAAAGTAGCAATAACTTATTCCAATCCATTCCTCCTTCGAAGATCATAAATTTATCTATTCATTGAAAGATTCGTACAGTAATTAAGACTCAGTCCTCTTTCAGCTTATCAGAACATGTTAAAAAATGTAAGAAAATGTTGAATCATTCATCAAATGATTAAGAAATAACCAAAAGAAAAGGAGGTACATTAATATTTAAGTGTTAAAATCAGGTAAGCATTGCTTCAAGTATGCTAAAATAAGCAACGATCAGAGAGAAGGTTTGATAAAATAAATCATATCAACTGGATGTACTATAAAAAGTGCAGCATAAAAACTAGGAATCAACTTCTCAACTGCAAAGGCAATCATGTAAATTTTCAAGAAGGAAGGAAGATCTTGTAAAAAGGTCATTCGAAAGAACAAAAAAAGACAAACTTAAATGTACAAAAGACACTCCGCAGTAACCAAAGGCTAAAGTATTAAGCTATATTATCCTAAGATAGGCATCCGAGAAGTAAAAGAGCAGTTCCGGTAAACAGATGAAATTAAAAAAGAAATGATACAATAACCTATTTCAGTCCTTGAAGCCAAAAACAATTAATAACTTCTCATCATTCAATAACTGAGTAGCCAGGTATTGTAAAAGAGTTATGATAGAATTTGCTGTATTAAGGCTAGGTTGTGAATTTAGTATAGGAGAATGCAGTTTTGAACTAAAATTATCAAAATTTATGTTAATAGTATGAGCACTTGCAAAACATGGTGCAAAAATAATATATTTAGACGTAATAAATATTGATGAAAACTTAAAGTCCGATAGCTCCATTCAATTTTTGATTGTTTTTTATTATTGTTCTCCACTCTAGGGTGTACCTTTGGAGAGTAATAATATAAGTTGATTAATGTATTTGCATAAATTAAAGAATTCTATTAAATTGATATTTTAAGTTCTGAAGTGCAAAAACACTGTTATTTATATATTACAAGTTTGAAGTAATAATATGCTTTAATAAATCATTAGGGAAGGTTTTTGCAATTAATTTTTATAATAAAATAATTCAGTTAATTTATGTAGACATTTTTCCATTAAACTATTGGGAGACTTTAATCAAAACAATTTTATTTGATTAAAAATTTATTAAATTTTCTATAGCATTCATATTGTTAATGGATTTAATTTACTAATCAGTTATTATCACTTTGTTCATCTTTCTTGTTTGCCTTCAACAAGAACAGTCAAATTACGATGAGGTCGTCTGGTACCATCTTTTGGAGAATTTTTGTTTGAATTGAGTCCAGAGACATCATTATTTTTTTTCGGCTCTTATCCAAATCTCATTGCGTTAATAAGCATTGTGACTCTTCTGGGCATAGGTAAGAAGGAATGGGAATTTTTAAAGCTTAATTTTTCAATTTCTTTTTTTCTTTCGTTAGTTTTTTCAATAGTATTACTTTTTTCAGGTAACTGACGAAAAGAGACTGCAATTTTTGAATTTCTGGGTTTATCTTCATTGATCTTATCAGATTAAATTAATTGATGCGAAACATTAGAGTCCAATTCAATAACAAAGACATCACTTTTGACAAAGCCATTATAATTGTACCCGCCGAAAATAAAAATTTTAGTATCCAGACAAGAAGAGGAGTGTCCACATCTTCCAGGCATTTAGGCTCCTTTTAGTTCAAGTTGAATCCAAGAGTAGTTCCGTACATCAAACAAATATAAATCATTTAGGAATCCCTCAACAGTATTGTCGTCATTCTTTCCACCATAAACAACAATGGCACCCAAAGCCTCATTGTAATTCATAGAATGTTGACATCTAGCCACTTAACATTAATAAAAAATGCTTACTAGGACTGCTTCCTTTGTAATCCACCAACTCAATTCGAATAGGTTTTTAATATACATCAATACGAATAAAGGTATCTAAATAATTTCCAAATTTGTCTTGACCTCCGAATACATAAACTCCTTGATTGGAAAACTTCAGATCAGGATCTTGACGATAAATGTCACAAAATTTGTTTTGAGTAACTAAGCTAGACTTATGAAAAGCAATTCCATTCGCATATAAGTCATGAGGGTCTACATTCAGAGGGATCCACTTAGATGTCTGGATGTCATAACAAAGTAGATCTTTCATATAATTGCCTCTATTATCGATTCCTCCAAAGACAAGTAGGCATCTCCCAATAATTTCGCTGATGTGACATTTTCTGGGAGATACTGTTCCTGGTTATTTGATTAATTTAATATCAAAAGAGGCTTTATTATTTGACATTATTAATACTTAAGGAGATAGTCTTGACATCACTTGTGCATTCGCTAACTATTTTGTTATTTGATTGTTCTATGTGAATTTCTCCGCCAAAAAGAATCATAAAATTCTTGTAGATTCCAGCAGTGTGATGAACTCTATACCCGTGGATTGATTTTTCATCTAATTTTTGAGGACTCCACTTGTAAAACTCTATGTAATCATTATTCCATAATACATTTATCAATAATAGCCACACACAAATCTTCTTATTAGACAGCACTAGACCCTCCATACAAATAAAGTTTTCTATCGAAAGTGACCATCGTGCTTCCATCTCTTGAACAAGGACCCCAGAAGTTATAATCATGATTATAAGCATAAGCAAATTGTTTTTTAATTTAACTCAATGCAACCTAGGATTCAAGTATTCTTTTTTATAATTGCTAAGCATCAGTGTTTCTTTCTTACAGTTACTAAACACCTCCTAATCTTACCTATTTTCTTAGCAACTCTAACTTTTATTAATCCTAATAAGCTAAAGAAGGGTAGACTTTGATTCCATTAGTTTATGAATGAATTTTTTTTAAAGCTTATTTGACTTGGTTCAATTGATTCTCCTCTTATTATTTGTATTGCTTTCTCATTTTGTGAAATGTCTCTCTATTGTGAATTAGTTACAATTTTCTAGATGTACTGAATTTTTCTTGATCGACGGTTTCTAATTCCTACTCATCCAAAGATGGCTCTCCAAAGAGATATTTACTATAATTATTCCAAACCATTTTCGATTGTTAGAATGATCTTTTTAATTCTGAAACTGCCCCTTAATTCAGTTCTCGAAAGGAAATAAAACTTTGGACTTCACTATCTGGTTAAATTTGAAGCAATTCGCAATTCTCATTTATCGCCATTGGGTAAAACTGATTCAAAGACAAAGGACTTAATTTATTGTGAGTCTTTTTATATTTTTCGAATAGAGTTGTTATGTCCATCCTCGTGTTTGAATGAAAAGAAAGAGAATCAACTTTTGGACTGTAGATATCCATTATATAAATATTATTATTATGTAGAAATCCTGGGAAACCTTATGTAAGAATCTCAGAAGTCCTTTCCTTTAACATTTCTTGGATCTGTAAGCTCTCATTGATGAACTTGCTCAATAAATAGATCAACCTTAGGTATCTCATGAAATCGCAATTCAAATTTAAGAAATGATATCCCAAATCGTTTAGATGTACATTCAAATACTAAGTTTAGTATAGATATCGAGCACTAAAACTTACTCGATGGGTTTGAACAGAGTGTCTTGTTATTTGCATAAATAGATTCAGATGATCGAGTCAAGTAGTTTGAAACATTAAACCTCATATAAGAGTTGTTTAATAAACTGGCTTTATCCTATTTCTATAGCGATGATCTCCTGGAGGAAAGGAAGGTTTAGATGCCCATAAATGATGGCACATCCACTTGTTCTGATTTCTCAGATGATAATTTTGAAGTTGAAGACTTTGAAGCTCAAGTAGCTCAAGAGCTCTTTCAATAAATTAAGGGCAAATTATAGGATCCAGATATCGAATAGAAATGTTACCAATTCTAATTTACAATCTTTTAGGAGGAGTTGAACATTATGGACTTTTTTAACGATTCACTTGAATTGTAAATTAAGGAGTATGATGTCATTGTATTTTTGAATTATTCAGGACTCCTCCAGAAGTTGATGAATTATAAGTAAGACAATCAATTGGAATTCTTTGTTGGTCAATTGTATATAATACTCAACAAGATTAAAAATGATGAAGTAGATTCATTGATAGAAACTAACTGTTTTGAACTTAAGTATAGTAGACTCTCACAAAGGAAGTTCTTGAGATGTAAAATCCTCTCTAATTTATACACTAAATTAGTATATGAGAAATTGGATAGATGGAGAAAGACTCAACTTATTCAAGAAATACAAGGCGAGAATTTAAAAGCATTGAGACGCTTCATTGTTTAGCATAAGGCTCCCTTAAGTAGATGGGAAGTCAGTATTCTATCTATTCAAGATGTTCAAATCAATAATGAAAATATTCTTGACAAATTTCAAAAATTAGTCATTGCTCTCTCACTCCCTTATGACTTACTCTTAGAGAATTTCACCATTTTGGATAAATTGTATGTCAATTTACAATAGTTCTAAAAATGGTTTAAATTGAGTTCAATTCCATTCACAGTCTCTGAAATCTCTTCACTATTTAAAGAAGTCGGTTAAACTTATGGTTATTATACTAATTCAGGCATCAAAGTTACTCAAAGGGTTGATTTCTATTAGTTTTTAGAAGCTGTTTATGCTCTTAATCAAAACGAAAAGACTATCAAGGAAAAACCTGACATCAAATGTGTCAAATATAATGATGAAATTACTATATAACAGTATAATCGTCACTTATAACTTAAAGTTAATGATTTGTAATTATAACTTAATCAAAAAAACGCTACCGTCGATTAACTAAAAAAGGCCCAACAAGAAACATAGTAAACATCCAGAATGAAGACCAAATCTAATAATGAGATAAAGGATAAGGACTCTGAAATCAAAATAGAACTATTACATTAAGCAGAAATCAACTCCATTAATAATGAAACTTAATAGCAACTTAAAGTAGTAGAACTTAAATGGAAAAATAAAACAAAAGACTTGTTGTTTGAGTTAGAAAATAAGGATAAATAAATTGATCAATATCGACAGCAAATCGAAGCTTTAATGAAAGAACTTGAATGGGTAAAAACAGAAAGAAAGACCAAATGAAATCTTATATCACTTTAATATTTATAATATTACAATAATCATATGTCGATTTCAATCAGAGATAAATTGAAGTCTGAGAAAAGCTATTAATGTTAAATTATTCATAAAAAAGTAAATTTGTAACAATATTTGTGTAAAAAGGGAATTGATTAGTATTAGTTTCAGGATTAAAAATTATTTAATTTTTATTTAATTTTAACTAATATTTGCTCTTCAATCTTGCCTCATGTAATTGATGATATCAACTCATCTCCTTATTTTTTGATAATCTTGAACTTTACTTATGGATTAACTAGTAATTCATACCAATTTATTATATTTCTGGAAAATAGACCTTTATTGTCCACTATTCAGCCTATGCTTAAATTTAAGTTGAGATTCTCTCAAAATCATTCTATGAAGAAACAAACCTCTATAGAAGAGAACTACTTTCACTAAGTCCATAGATATTAAGAATATGCTCAAATATAATTCATGAATAAGGGCTAAATTTTAAGTTAGATATATACTACTTCCAAACATAAGCATACTTTCATTGTAATTAAATAATATAAAACTAATTTCATTATATACAATCATTTTTCATTCTTAGTCGTAAATAATAACTAAATTGTTTTGCATTTTAACTTTAATACTTTTATTACTCATAGCAATATTGCACTTATTTTTTTAAATTTTCTATATACTCTTCAAGGAAATCAAATTTATCAAGCTGTTCCAATATCTCAAAAGGCAAATCCCACTTTACATTGACTTGACCATAATCATTTATCCATTAAATAAGATTCTCGATTCTTGTTTTAGTATTTTGAATAGCGATTGCCCACTTTTTTTGATTCTCTCCGAAATCCTTCCTTCTATTTTAATAAGCGTCTTTGAGTTCCTTGATTTCCTTTTTAATCGATTTTATGTTGTCTAACATAATTTAGAAATGATCAAAATGCCCATTATTATTATTATTTTATTACATATATTAATATTATTATTATTTAATTCACTCTGTTTCATCTTCTATTTTATCCAATTCTCCTTTTAATTTTTGTAATTTCTCTCTATGATTTTACAACTTGTTAATAGATGTCTCTGAATACTTCTTAGCCTCTTACTCTTTCTATTCAATTTGATGTCCAATCTTTGCTAAACTTTATTTAGTTTGATTCCATTTCTTATAGTTTTCAGAATGCTGATTCTTTCTTTCCTCATAGATTTAATGGAAGATATCATGAATTTCTTTTTGAACAGTTCTCAATTGGGTTTCAAATCCCTTCTTATCCTATTATGAAATATTCAATTAATTTACTTCAATGTATAATAATTAATCTTCCTTTTCTTTGATTCTATCGAACAATCTAGCTTCATTTAAAGAAACTTCGAAATCTGGTAGAGGATCTGGTTTATAATGTTCAAGTTGTTATTACACCTATTTTAAATGATAAATTTCATCCTCATTATCTTTTAATTTTTTGGCAATCTCATCCTCCAAAGTTGCAATTGTATTTTCTTCATTAATAATAGCCTGTATAATAGTATTCATATTACATTTAACTTCTTTTATTGCTACTCTTTCATTTTTTTCAGCTTTATTTCTTATCTTTTCTTTTCCTTCTCCAACTCCTATTATTTTTGTTCATCTTTTGTTGCTTTCATTTGAATTAATTGGGGCCCATTCTAAATAATGAAATTATATATTATTACAATTGCAATTAAATCACTGGTGTTTGACACTTAAATTATATCACCTTCCTCATCCTAATAAGATAATTCAATATCTTTAATCGTTTAATATTTTTGTTCTATATCTTTTATAAGTTCCTCAAAAGAAGAAATGCCATTGTAATTAGTAGTTTCTCCATTGTATTAGATTTAAAAATCCATTTATTTAAAATATTAGTATGTATTTTTAATTTCTTTGATAAATTTAAAAATAAACACATTATAGAATTATGTAAATACCATTATATATAATTCTTTTAGATCTAGAAATGCGATAATAGCTTGTTTTTTCTGTTCTCTTTCAAACAGGAAATGAAGTAAATGGAAAATTTAGATAGCTAACTGATTTATATTATATAAATATAACTAGAATATTGTTAATATTTTATATATAATAATTTCAGTTGATTAAGTAATTTTAATTAATTTTTAAGGTAAACACACCTTTGAACTCATTAATATTAGGGTAAAATTTAATTAAAGAAATAAAAGATTTTAACAAAATTATTCATTATTCCAAACAAACACAAGTACATTTATTAAAATAACAAAATCAATTTTCCACTTAAACAGCTATTATTTATGAAATAGCTATGATATTCTAGTTAAAATAAATTAAATAGTGTTGTATGAATTTATTAATAATTTTATAGTATTACTTTGGTTTAAAATACAATAGCAAATAGATTGTCATAAAAATTCAAGATTTAGTTTAGTATGCTTTAAATTAGATGTTGGTTTTTTTTTGGTGAATTTCTGACAATAACAATTAACTAATTCTTTGTATTTAACTTCCTTATTTTAGCTGTGTTTTGCTACTTTTATTTATAATTTATTCGTGTATTGCTACTTATCTTTATACGAGAACTAATCTTCAAATGCAAAAACAATATCTTTATCTGTTTCAAGTTTATATTTAACTTAAATTGGCTCATTTTTTTATTGTTATTTCATTAGATTACAAAATTGCAGAGATTTTGCTCTTTGAGTCCTTGTAGTTTTATTGAGAATCATTTATAGATATAATTTAGGATCCATGTTCAAGTTGACATCTTGATCATTATTAAAGATGCTGGGTAGGAAGATTTTGTTTTTTGTATTTTCTAAACTCAGATTTCTTTACTTTATTGACATTTATTTATATTAATTATTATATATCACAAATTACAACTAAATAATGATTGTATATTGTTTAGAAAACGATACAAGTATTCTACGATTCCAATTTCATTTATCTTGAAGAAGATTAAATTCGTATTCTAATTACATTAACTAATAAGGGAATCAGCCTTATTAAATTGTTCAGCACAATAATCTCTTTGATCGAACTATTCTAATGAAAAATGAATGCATACAAATACCTAATTAATCATAAATGAAAGCCATATCATAATAATTTGATTGTATCATAGTGATCCAACCAACTTAGATGGCAAAATTAATAGATGTGGCATAATACTTAATGTTTTTATAAGTACGAGCCATAAGATTCCAAAACTTAGCTTGAGTAACGCAATTGGATTATGATAATTCATACAAATTGATATTATTTAATTTATCTTAGGCTTCTTGAATCTAATTCTATTGGATATTTCTTTCAATTATATTCAGTTTGTATTCCAGATATTATTGATTCAAATGAAATTGCTTGCATAATTTAATAATCTCCAGATCATTCTCTCCATCCTTTAATAGTTACTTGACTCTAAGCTTAGGATCTTATCAAATGAATATCTTACTCTTAATTGGTACAATTTGTAAGGATTCAGAAATGTATGGGTCAGGATTCATTTACAATAATTGTATCATAATCTACTTAATGTATTTAATTGAGATTGGTTCATTGATAATTTCAAAGTATTCCAAACATATATTCAAAATGACTAAGATTGATTGTTCACTCAAATTGTAGGTGGTTTCAAAACATTATTAGAATTGCGACAATGTATACAATGGTTGATGCAAGGCAATTTGACTCAAGGCTTCTAATTGAAGAGAAAGAGTCTAATCATTTTGATCAAATTGCTGTAATTAATCCAAAGCATTTTGAATCATGGTTGAATTGCCGTAATTGTTTGCACATACCAATTAGTATGCAGTGATGGACTATTCAATATCTGGGCTGTGAGATTGTAAGATCTATTTCAAACTCTAATGTATTATGTCTTTCCAATTAATGTGTTTCTTCTTCAACAATGAATAATTAATTTATTTGTATCTTATTTGTGACCCATATATCAAAGCACTCTACAATCTATGTTATGGACTTAACTATTGAGCATGATTCACGGCATATTCTAATAGTAGAGTAGCCTATAAAATGAGCAATCAATTTACTTATTTTTGGTAATTGTTGCGATATGCTATTTCAAAGAGATTGAGCAAGCAAAGATTAATGCTTTGTTCATCAGATACAGTCTATGACAATCTCAATCCTTCAGATAAACTATTCAAAGCTTCATCATAGAAATTCATCTTCATGTTGAGGTAGATGGAGTTCATAATACAATGATTCACCTTCTTCGGCACAAGAGTGTTCAAAGTCATATCGTAATATTTACGAGAGAACTTTATAGCTCTAAAAGGGTATCGCAATATGGCATATAAGAGAGCTTTAAGAAAGCTGACTTTACAATTCTCATTCAAATTTGGTTGCTCAATTATTTGTTTCAACTCTTCTAAATTTACATAGCTTGAACTTGCTAACAAGTAAATTGGATAAAATACTTTGTAATTTAGTAAGTAAGAACTCAATGTATGAATCGGTTAAGAAGGGATTGTTTTGCAGATGATTATCTTGACCTTCTCTGAAGTCACTCCAAGATTTTAACATTTGATTGAAGTCCATTTGATTGAATAGCAATAGCATATTCCTAAAAAACAAATCGACAACACTGCCTCCTGGAGTTTTCTATTGTTATTTTTCACGAAGTGCTGCTATTACAATTAAATCAATACTTTCTCCAATTATCTTATGGAATTTATTCATGGAGGTAATCTGTAACAATTCAGGTTCGATGTGACTGAGGATGGTATTTTACAATGTCGGATTATTAACAATCTCCATAACATCATGAATCTTATGTAATTTAAATTATGAGTTACTTTTAAGTACTCAGTCAAGAGATCATAAACTTATTGACTAGGTTTCCTTAATAGGAGGATCAATAAAATGAGATTGTTGTTCATTAATTTTTCAAATTTAAAATATTTTATCTAATTAATATTATGCACTCTCTCTAGAGTTTCTAGTATATCTGTATAACCATATTTTAAAGATAGCCCTAAATGAAAGACCAAAATAGGATTCCAACATCCCTGATTGTTATGTTGAAATACACTATGTTTTTATCTCTTTTTATTGGGTTCTATTTATAAATAAATTGAATATCAAATGGGAGGAAATGAATCTAAGGCTTAAAAAAATAATGACACCTAAAAAATTAGTCAAATATACACTAAAGAAGTAGAAAAGCCAGAGAAATAACCTCCTTAAGTAAAACCCATAGAGAAGGTGAATAACCCCTTTCCAGAAATACCAAATTATATGGATATGTTAAATTAGGTGTTACCTGTGAACAAATATCCAAAAGTACCTAACTATTTGACACATGAATTAATAACTGATCTGAAGATGCTAAAACACCTTTTGACAACAGCATCGACTTGCTAATAGAAATCAAGTAAAATCAATATCGATCAACCTCTATATTCATCGAAATTGATAGAAGTCAATGACCATCAGAACAAATTAAAATCATTCCAATCGTCATTGCTCACTGAGATCCAAACTGGACAGTTATCCCAAATAATTGAGAATGATCAGGAGGAGTTGACCAAGATTAAGTTAAGTCAAGTGATAGAGAGTTTGAAATTGATTGCCAAATATGCGTTCTATTGTTAGGGGTTATTGTAGAAGATTCCTGAAACATCGAAAGAGTTTTTGGTTTCACTCAACAATCTTATTTTGAGTGCCAATATGAATTCTATCTTGTTATAATATATTGGATATTACGATGAGGGCAATAAAGCGATTAGACAAAACGCTTAGACTTTGTTCAAGTAGTTTTCGGAGTCTCAAGAATTCAACTAGGTAATTATGAAATATTTGGATATTGTGAAAGAACAACTAAACAATGTTGTACCTATTTTATAGAATCTGAATGATTGTTCGAATATATTCTAGTTTGAGGAGGAAAATGATGAGACTTTCATTTAAATTTATTAGAAAATCCAATCGGAACCTAAAAAACAAGAGTTCCAAATAAAACAATTATTTGAACAAAAGTATTTATTAATTCTAAGATAAGACAATTCTAGTCGAAGGGATTGGAGAAGGCTGAGTAGATTTTGGAGGACTAAAAGTATGAGAACTTTGTGTAGACAAAATTGGATGACAGTGAGGGATCGAAATAGTTCACTTTGTTATTGAGACAATTCATAGATATTCTGGAAGAGAAGACTGAGAATTGGGAGGATGTGCTGAGAGGTACTCTTACTGCAACTGCTGAGAAGGATAAAATCAGGATGCTTCTGTGTGAGTTTAGCAAGTTATAAATCCAAGCGTCTTTGCATTTAGTGCATTTTTGTATCAATGAACTATAATACAAAATGGATTACGACTAGTCAGTTGCTCAACTATAGAAGGTGGTTCAGAGAATAGATAAAATATGATATAAATTAAATATATATAATGAATGCTCCATTCCCAGAAAAGATGATAGAGAAATTTGTACAGTTTATTATCTTAACTCTTCATAGAATAAGCAAATGGAAGTATTTGTTAAACATGAAGAGTTGCTTTTGAAGTAGAGACAAGCTTACGAGTAAAAACTTAATAATGTGTTTGATCGAAATTTGCAACTGGAAGAGAAGGATAGAAGTGTGCATGAACAAGTACTCATTGATTCAAATAGATCTTATCATCGAGATACCAAAATGAATAGTTCAAAATCTAACAGGAGAGGTTGAAGCAATTGCAGGAATTATAGAAATAAAAGAAAGATAAAAAATAAGCAGCAAGTGAGTTATGGTAATAAGAACAGAAATAACACGAGAAGGATATACAATAGAAGTTGTTTGAAATTCAATAAAAGATCAAGTATGAGGAATTCAAAAGGAAGACCGATGAGTTGATGAGTCAATTGGACAATAATTTAAGGAATATCAACTTGCGTTATCTTGAGAAACAAGAAAAGAAGGAAAAATACTTAAATGACTTCATAAACTAGAAACAATAGACTCTGAATACTTCGATGCAGGTTACTGAATCTCATCACCAAAATGTTTATTCTAATTATTAATAATAAATGAAGAGAATTTAGGAAGTAAAAACATTGTTAAAGTTAGATCTGCTAATTGAAATTGAAAAAATATTAAAGTAAAATTAAACAGATTAATCAATAAAAGCTATCCTAAGTTGACTAACTCACTTAGAAGGCACAACAAACTTCTGAACATTAGGAGAGTATCAAATATCGATCATATCAAATCTACCAAACCAAATTGTAGAAATTACAAAACAAGATGAATTACTTTTAAGACAAGATCAACCAAATTGAAAAGAAGAGATTACAACAGCTATAAACGAATTATCTATAAGAGCAGGACTTGAATCAAAAGCGAAATGATGTCAGAGCCAAATCTGAAAATATTTATAGGAATAAATCTATTAACATTTTGAACAAATAATTGGAGAAGGAGAAATCCTTTCAATTGGTCCAACAATAGAATCAAATGGAATTACAGCAGAAATTGCAGAGATTAAATGAGAAATGGTAAACCCAACAGACCTAAGTTCAAAAAGCTGATTAGTTGAAACAATCCTATTTTTCATCTTTAGAACAGAAGATTACCTAGAGAGATTAGAGATTGTAAGATTAGATGTACTAAAATCATCATAAACTATAGATAAAACAAATTGGATATTCAAAAGAGAAGATTGAAGGCTATCGAAGATATGGAGAAACAAAAACGAGATCTATTACTTAAATTGGAACAAGACAAAGTTCCATTCACAAATACCTCGGAAATGAAGTATTTGTATAGCACTCCCAAATAATAGTAATCTAAATTGTTTATTACATGATTATAACATATATATAAATATATGAGAAAAATTATATACAAATTTTCAAGACCAACTTATCTTGATTTCTAAGCAACCACTCCCACAGACTACAGAGTTTTAGATGCTATGTTACCCTATCTAACTAATCAATATGGTAATCCTCATAGCAAAACACACTCATTTGGATGGGAAACCGAAAAAGCAGTTGAAAAAGCAAGATCCTAAGTTAATTATTATACTAATTATCTAGATAGCTAATTTAATTAACACACAACCTTAAAGCATCATTTTTACATCTGGGGCAACCGAAAGCAACAATGCTGCATTAAAGGGTTTATACGGCTTTTATGGAAAATAGAAGAATCATATCATCACAACTCAAACTGAACACAAATGCGTGTTAGACACTTGCAGATATCTTGAAGACAAAGGAGTCGAGGTAACATATTTGCCAGTCGATTCCAATGGTTTGATTTCGTTGCAACAATTATAGGAATCTATCAAATCCAATACATTGTGTGTAAGTGTTATGCTAGTGAATAATGAAATAGGAGTCATTTAAAACTTAAAAGAGATTAGCAGAATATGTCATCAACGAGGAGTCTATGTTCATTCTGATATGGCTTAAGCTATTGCCAAAATCCCAGTTGATGTTTAAGATCTGGACATAGATTTAGGTAGTATTTCAGGTCATAAACTGTATGGCCCCAAAGGAATTGGAGCATTATATGTGAGAAGAAAACCAAGAGTTAGATTATAACAAATCATCCATGGAGGTGGTTAAGAAAGAGGTCTAAGAAGTGGTACTCTTGCACCTCATTTATGTGTGGGATTTGGAAGAGCTGCAGAAATTGCATTAACTGAATTACCATATGATATCTAACATGTTGATAAGTTATACAATAGACTATTGACTGGGATTAGAGAAAAGATTCCTTAAATTCAAATTAATGGCTCATTAGAACATCGCTATAAAGGAAATTTGAATGTGTCATTCGCTTTTGTGGAAGGAGAATCTTTGATTATGGCTATCAAATAGGTTGCAGTCTCCTCTGGATCAGCTTGCACATCTGCCTCACTTGAGCCTTCATATGTCTTAAGAGCATTAGGAGTCAAAGAAGATATGGCCCATACTAGTTTGAGAATTGGCATAGGGTATGTTCGAATATTATAGATTTAGTCGATTCACTACTGAAAAAGAAGTTGATTTCTTACTTGATTAGTTGAGTGGTGCTGTTAGAAAGTTGAGAGAAATGTCTCCTTTATGGGAAATGCATTAGGAGGGAATAGATATTAATAAAATTGAATGGACTCAACCACATTGAATTTATATATGATTTAATATCTGTTTAAATAAACTATCATGGTGTATTAATATTCCCATTATAGACACTAAATATACAAGAGAGAAAAACAATAAAATTAGTGATTCAAATAAAATTTTGGAATTTTAAAATATTTATATAAATGAGTAAACATAGACACTCAAAGGATAAATTATATGTGACTTACAGTGAGCATATGCTTGAGAGAGGAGGTAAGAAGGAGAATAAGGGGACTCCTCTAACTCGATTGCCCTTTGATCATTGTTCACTATCTCTTGAACCATTTAAAAATCCAGTTTGCACATCTGAAGGTCATGTGTTTGATATTGTCAATATCGTGCCATTCATTAGAAAATACAAAAGAAATCCAATAAATGGATAGCCTCTTAGGACGAATGATTTGATTCAATTAAAATTTCATAAAAATGACAAAGGACAATATCACGATCCCATAAGTTTCAAGGTATTCACTGATCATACCAAATTGGTGGCCATAAAAGTGAGTGGCAATGTATTTACTTCTGACACCATTGAAGAGTTGAATCGTAAACCTAAATTTTGGAAGGATCTTATAAGTGGTGAGCCTTTTACCTACAAAGATATAATAGTTTTGCAGGATCCTAAAAATATTGAATCAAGAACAATTAAAAATTTTGATTTTCTGAAAAACAACTTGAAATTAGATCAATCAGCAGAAGATGATGTATATGTAAATTTAAATGATAGTGGAAAAAGAATCATGGAAATGGCATAAGAATAGAATGTTAATAGACAGAAAGAGTAAAAAGATAGAGAAAAACAAACATTTGAAGAAATTGAATAGATAAAAAAGAAGGTTAAAGAACAAATGGAATCAAATTAATTAAGTGTTAAAGAATTTTTAGAACTTTCATCTAAATCTGGTGATTTTGTATCTGAAAGATATGCAACTGAACATGATTCTGTTAGTGTTACTAGTACATAAATGACATTGAAGACTAAACCATTAGGATAAGTTTAATATAGAAATATGAATGAGGATGAAATCAGAAAATTACTATATGAAAGAATACGCAAATCTGGATAGAAAGGTTATGTATAATTAATCACTAACTATGGAAACATCAACTTTGAATTGCATTGCGATCTAGTTCCAATGACATGTGAGAATTTTCTAGAATTATGTGAAAAAGGTTATTACAACCAAACCAAATTTCATAAACTAATTGAAAATGAATTGTTGGAAGGAGGAGATCCCACAGCAACAGGGTATGGTGGTGAATCCATCTTTGGAAAACCTTTTAGAATTGAAATCAATAACTTATTGTCTCACAGTAAAGCTGGAATAGTATCTATGGGTAATCTGGGTGCCAATCATTAAACATCACATTTGTACTTATATATATATTGATAGATAGTTTCATCACCTTAGCTGAATGTAAGAAGTACGATGGTAAATATGCTGTCTTTGGGGAAGTAGTTGGTGGATTCTAATCCCTATATTAAATCAATAAGTTACCCACTAATATGTGGCAGAGACCAGAAGTGACCATTAAATTAAAAGAGTTAAAAGTAATTAAGAATCCTTTCAGAGACATGATTAAAATAATGTTATAAGAAAAAGAAGTAGAAAAGGAATAGAAATTATAAGATAAAGAGAAAGAAAGATGGTTGGATGACGAAGGGTTCTCGCTACCTACAAGAGTTTCGACTGTATCCTAAATAAAAGGTTTGGGATTGGCTTCTAATCTAATTCAGTAATTTAGTACACAGGAATAGTAAAAAAAACAATTAAAATAATTTTCTTTTGATAGTTGGCTATGATAATTAAAGTATGTACATCTTTGCATAATAAGACACACGAATTTTATTTAATAGTTTTATTAACAGTTATTATTTAATGACATCTAAATTTTATTTTTGGTTTCCTTTGTTTTTAACTATTTAGTTCCAGTGTAGACTGCAATTAAATAAGAAAAGTATGAAGATAAATCTTAATATTTCTCTAAGCATATTATTTTGGATATTATTTGTATTAAAAATTTATTATTATTGATATAAATGTCATTCAAGTTCATCTAACATTGTAATTTTTTACTATAATTATTTTATTTTTTTCCATGAATTTAGACGATGTTTATAATTGGTAAAGTTTATCTGCTATTTCTAATTAGGATTCTGAATCATAAAAATAACTATCCTGGAAAACACCAAGAATCTCAACCAAGAACTATTTAATCATACAAACCTTTAGAAGCAAAAGCATAAGTAATATCTATACTTTATTCTACTAGTTTCATATTGTTATTAGAGCTACTGCTGAATATATCAAAGAGAAAATGCTCAACGGAAATGTAATATTATCTAATAATTTGTGAGGGTGTCAATTTAAAAGAGTTTGGAGCATTTACAATGGAAATAACATCAGATTACGTTAAACCACTATAGCATTCTGGTTTCAAAATGACTGAAGATTTAGACATCCAAAGAGCTGACCGTAAACATGTACACACAATTAGGTATTTGAACTTCATTATTCAGACCATGCTTTATTCCAGATAATTAATTCAAATACTTCCTATAGAGATATCCTGGAAAGGAAGAAGTTTCTAAACCTTTGAGTCAACACTCAATATATTAAAAGGGATTTGGAATGAATTTTTGTAATGCAGGACCCATAGCTGCGTCATGGTAACATTATTGGCAATTCATTATATTAGTTATTTAGGCAAGGATGTTGTGCAATCTATACATTACTCTTTAATAAAGGCTATTCAAGATTTAACTAGACTTGGACATGATTTACATATTGATTTTGGATTTATTAAGATAAGTGTCGTAAACAAAGATCTAAAATATAAATATGAATAATCATTTATTAATAGGTTGAATTAGACTGATTACGAATTGAAAGTAATTTACTAACTCATTGTTTGTAGATGCGTAAGTCAGATTTGGCTACATCTCAACATTGGAGGACAACCTCAGAAGAGAAGTGGTCTAAAAGTACCCTAAATAATTTACTCACCAGACCTAATCCCACTCAAGTCTAAGAAAATTATGAAAAGTCAATGGCTCTCAAGATTATGTCTTTAGATCTCAATACTGCCGAATAAACACATTATAGTAAAAATTAGAAAGTTAAGTTGCCAGCATTAAATAAATGAATTAAATTAAGAAAATAAATAAAATCAAAATATTTCATATTTAAATATTGTTCTCTATGCAAGCCATATATAAATGATGTGAAAACTATTATAATTCTTATTTTTATTTTGATACTAATTAATATATAACTAAAGTACTTTAATCCAAATTCTTCATGTACTTATTTAATTCTTTTTCATAGATCTAATTCCTTTATTCCTATCTAAATAGATTCCTTTTTAATTCATCCTTTGTTGGACTCTAATAGAGTCTCTATCTTTTCTTGATGAGAGATTCTTATTTATTCGATTTTTCGGAATTCATTTTCCAAACACTAAGTAAAGTTAATGTAAAATATTACTTTTCTTTTTTTTCATCATTTTGTATTTCACTCAACTTTTCCTATAAATCAAAGATTGATTTGTGAAGTACAAAATTGGCTCTCTCCAATTCAGTATATTCTTGTTCTTTTTTATCCAAAAAGTTACGTAATATCATGTTCTATTTAGTTTATTCAATCAATTGAGTTTAGAGTGTAGCTTTTGAAATAGAATTAAATAGTTACTTAAAAGAGTTAGAGTTTCCAAATATTGATTTGTTTTTTAGAGACTTTTTTATAGCCAAGTTTTTGTTTCCTTTTGATTGTCATTCTATAAATCCAAATCTTTATTTGATTAAAATTTTAATTTCTTTGCTGGTGTAAATTCTTTATTTTTTTTAATCCCTGAAACCATTTCCTTAACATCTTGTATCTCATATGAGAATTTATTTTTCATCTCACTAATCTATTATTTCAATGAAATATTTTCCTATTCTAATACTTTAATTTATTGATCAGCTTCACAACTATCAGTTTAAGTTATGCATTCAACCATTAATTTTGGATTCAAGACTCCTTTTGTTTCTACAATATTTCTAAAGTAATTCAAATAATTTGAATTTTCATTTGATGTAGCAATTAATTCCTAATTGCATCTCTACAATTAGTTAATTTAATCTTAAAGTCGCTACTTATCTATATTGAGTTCTGTAATTGTTTTCAATTGATCTTCAATTAAGATATTTTTTTCTATGACTAATTCCTTTATTTATTTTATTGTATTTTGTTCATCCAAACTTTAATTCTTATAAAAGTCTAATTATTATTGTGCTTCTTATAATTATACTTAGTAGGTCTCGACTTGTTCGATCATTTCATTGTAGGCCTCATTTTAAAAATTATTAGATTCTTAAATCTCATTTATGTTGACAGTATTTTTCAGAGCACCAGCTGACATACCAAATCTCATGGTATTAACAGATTCTAAATAATTTTCATTATGTTAACTGATAGTTAACAGCATCACAGTTAATGAATTACCATTCAAACTAGGTTTAAGTATCTTAGTTAATTTTGAGTCTCTAAAATTAACATATTAATCCTTTTTATTTTCCTTGAGTTTCGAAACAACATTTTAAAGTGCTAATAGACTTTTATTAATTAGAAATCCTTCTTTTCTTCTCAAACCTTCAGCCTGAGTCTTCGATAATCCTTCAGAACCAGCCAAATCGACCAGATGGAGATGTGAATTACGAATGATAAAGGGAGGACACTTCTATCTTGTCTCTATGGCAATCTACAATATGACATGAGATCTAGAAGAATTGTCATTCATCTTAGTTTCTCCAAAATGTCTTTATTCTTCGCCCAATTTACTAAATTAATAAGCTATAATTATTACAAAATTTCTTCGAATTAATTTAAAGAATTGATGGTTTCCCATTTGTATTCATTTGATGTGTTGGGTTTCATTTCTTACAGATCCCTGATCAATAGATCGTATATATTTTCATTGTAAATCTCAATATACGATATCTTTAAGGTGCAAAATGTGTCTGTAATCTATGATCAAGATGAATTTAAACTTTATTGATGGATTGGAGTAGATAATCAATTGATAACTAAATAAGTCCTGGTTCCTTGTTGCTACCTTTCATTGTATAAGTTTTTCCTGAACTTGTCTACCCATATGCACAGATGGAGCCATTATACCCTTAAAGACATTTCTGTACAATAGGTTAGACCATTTTAGTGAAGATATCCTTAGAGGATGCGGATTCATCAAAAACCTATTTTTATTTGGATAGTTTTACATTATCAAATGAAAAGCGCTCATTGGATTTTTTAACAATGACTGATTTCTCGTTGACGATATTACATATTTTATCATTGGAATCTGTGGGTCTTAATCTCAAACCAACTAATACATTCTCGACATGTGGTTCATGGTATTTAGACTTTGTTTATTATTCTACACCTTTTATGTTGCTCATTTTAAATTTAAATTATATAAACACACAAGAATTTCAAAATAATTACTTTACCATCAATTAAAAAATAAAAAATAACACATCAGAAATACAATCAGATTCTTAAGATCTAATCTAAGAACATGAAGAAATTTGATTTCTCTGCTTATATCTTGATGTTTGTTGTTAAATTGATTAAAAAGTTCAATATTCATCAAATAACATTTTTTATTCAACTAAAACTATTTATTATTGATTTATCAAGATAAATTGCAATATATACATTTTAATATAGGAGTACTAATCTTAAATGAGGTTCATAAATTAATAAATGGAGTTCAAACAGAAATTAAAGAAATATTTTAATAAACACTTTGAGATTGATAAATGATGAAAAAAGTACACCAAATTAAGCTGCAATCAAATAACTATCATCATAAGTCCTATATAAACTATTTAAACAGTTTGGAGATTATGTTTTTGACTGATTTTATTGTTTAAAGTATTAAATGCTACCAATAGACTTTGATAATAAAAAGGATTAAGAACATAATAAGTTTAATCATTTTTTAATTAGTTAAAAAAAGAATTATGATTATTTGTTTATAATAATTTCTTTATATAAAGATTAGTTATTTATTTCAATGATTTTGTGAATCATTACTGAGATAACTTACATTTAAGTTGTCCTTTAATTAGTCATTAAGTCTACAATTCTCTTCCATTAATGCTGAATTACTCTTTGTCAATCGATCAAGTTATTCTTCTAATTATTTAACTAATTTTATATATTGAAAATACATTATTTTTAGAATTCCAATATTTCTGTTCTTTTTTATTCTAATTCATTTTAAAATTGAACAATAACCTCATCCTTATTTTAAGTAACCAAACCTCCTTGACCTTTCAATTAATCTTATAACATCTGAATCTATTCTTCTAACTTCTTTGTTTTTCTATTATTCTAGTTCACTTAGCTGTCCTTAAGTGATAATTATTAGGACTTTTTTTAGACCTCTTCTTCAAGAATATTTATCATACTTAAATATTCAGATATCTATTATTAATATTATTAGTTTTATCTTTTGAGTATAAGAGTTTCATCTTATAATTATTATGTAAGCTAATTAAGTTCTCCCTCTTTTTATGCCTCAGAAGAATCAGAATTTTGAATTTTCACCTTTTATAAATTTTTAATTAATTCTTCTTGCTCTTAAATCTAGTCACTCAATTATTAATTTTATTATTGCAATCCTTCCAATTATTACTACAATTCCACCACTTTAGTTATTTATATTCTGATTTCATTGTTTAATCTCTAATTTGATTATTCTACACCTTATTTTCTCAACAATTCTTCTTCCAATCTATCAATTTATAATTAATATTCATTTCTCAAATTTTAAGAAGGTACAATTTGATGCTTTTTATCTTCTTAACTTAGTTTTTCAAGTTTGGTTTTTAATTCTTATATTTAAACAGAATTAGAAGTAGAAATATTTTAAATTTACTTTTCATAATCATCCTTTTATTATTGAATAAATTGCTTTAATTAGTCAATTTCTAATTTTAAACTCTTATTTTCTTGAATGCTTTCTTACAGGGTTTATTCAAATTATTAATATTAAGATTATCTTTTCCTATCACTTTCGTAAATATCTTAAGATTAATATTGATGTTGCAAAATTAAATCATTATCTGCATTAAATTTTGAGTTAAAGCTTTTATTTATTAGATAAGTTTCTGAACTTCTATCTAAAGAAAACGACTTGTCCTATAGATCTCTCAAATCGTCATTTAACTTATTAATTTAATGTAATAGTCCATTATTTTATTAAGTCAGTATTTTGATTTTTTCTATTTATTGCTCTATAATTTGATTTTTTTAATTAATAATTTATTCCTATTAGGTTATTTTTTCATTTAAACTCTAATCAAAAGGTTTGAATTATGAATTAGTCTTTGACTTAAGTGGGGACTTTTCTCTAGTCATACTGAGAATTTATTATTCCATTTATACAAATTGCTCTTATAAACTCTTATGTAGTTAATTCTTCTCTAGAGCTTCTTAATCAATTTATTAATTTAATTTAGGAATGATTTCATTTACATATTTATTATTTTCTGTTTTTAATTAAGATACTTAACTATTTAAAGTATTGATTTATTGATCCTTTTTCAAAATTTACTCTTCCAAATTCTTAACTTTATTAATCTATTATTATAACTCATTCTCCTTATTTTAAACTTAAACTGTCAACTCATTAACCTTCTTTTTCTGAGTTGCACTTTTTTATTATTCAGTATCTAGTTCTTTACTCAAATATTAACTTTCTTATTAGAGTTACCTGATTTTTTGATCTTATTCTTTTAGTGATATTTATAATTCTTATTTGTATTATTCTGTGGAGTGCAATTTGATTTCAAATTCATCCTTTTTGTTCTATGATATCTCTAAATTATTTTTTAAATTATCTATAAGCTTCTGTTATTAATCACATGAAATAATCAGTTTAGTTTTGTCTTATTCCATTGATTACAATTTTCTTAATAATTCATTTAGTTCTTATTCTCTTCCCATCTATTATTGGCTAGATAACTCTTGTATTTTAATAATCAATTGTTAGTTCTCTCTTTACAGTTTTTCACATTCCAACTATAATTACATTTTCAATTTTGTAACTGTTTGATTACTTTCAATGTATTCATTCAAATCCTATTACAATTCATCTATTTGCTATTGTTAATTTTGGATGATAATTGACTGATCAGAGTTTTCTTAGATTAATTATTAATTAGTCCTTTTTATTTAAACTAATTCATTTTCTTAAGTAGATAATTTTTCAGATTACTTTTATGATAGCTCCTTTCTCATTTTTTCTATTTACTATTAACTTTATGTAAATTCTCTCTTATAAAACTCAGAATCCTCCATTGCGATTTATAATTTATTTTTGATCAATTAAATTTCTCTCTAATAATGTACAATTTCATCTTCTAGTTTAATCAGTTTAGAGTTATCTATTTATTTAGTTGATTATGATTCAAGGGTTTAAATTTAATTTCTTAGTATTTATATTTCATTTTATAATTCCTGGTTTTCATTCTCCCTATAATCAATGTGTGATTTAGAAAATGAATGAGAAAGACTAGCCATCCTTAACTCCTACAATTCAAAATTCAGATTATTTAATTGTAATGCTAGTCCTTTATTTTACTGTATTAATTGTTCCACTTAATTAGATTTCATAAATAAGTCATCCTCTTGTTATTTGGCTATCTAATCCTTTCTTCTTAATTCATCTTATATTTTATTAATATTTTAATCCTTCTCTCTTAGTTACTCAGCTAGCTTATTAACCTATGCTTCAAGTCTAGATTTGATTGTATTGTGCACTTCGTTCATATTTTTATTGTCTAATCCTAATTTACTGATCACTTATTATAATTCTTCCATAGAATTTTGACTATTGCTTTAGATGACCTTTAGTTAATGAGTTTTATCTGCTAACTGATTTCTCAATTATACAATTTCGCTTTCTTAACTTTAATATTATTTCTTTTCAGCTTAGTTGAATACTACTGATTCAGAATACTATTTAGAATAGGTGATCTCTCTTGAGAGTTTATTGTTTTCGAGTGAAAGATCTGATAATTAAGTCTATTATCTTCTAATTTCAGTATCATACTGCAATTGTAATTTTTAAATCTATATATTTAACTATTTATTTTCATTTTCCAACCTCAAAACATCCTATTACTTCGAAGTATAATCATCTACTTTGTTATCATTAATATTAACTCTGTATCTGCTTTCACTTAAAGATACATTTTATAATTGTTAATTTAACTTATCAATTTGATTTTGTAATGTTATTATTTATCTTGAATGCTATTCTTTATTGGATATCAATTATTAATTCAATACATCCTTCTCATTTTAAAGAGCTTTAATTTGCTCTTAAAATTTGATTTGATCATCAGCCTTCTAGTATTCTTGTCGTATTTCCAATTTCAATTGTTAGTTTTCAGTAAATAACAATTCTTTCTAATTTTCTAATAGTTTGTACTCCTTTGCATCATAGATTTTTGAACCTAACACACTTTCACTGATCGATAGGTTACTTTGATTCAAATCTTTAAATGCATTTTATTGTGATTGTAACCTTACTATTTCTTCAGTTAAATTTTTATTTTATGATTGTAATTGTTGAATTTAGACACTGAATTATCTCTCAGCACTTTATGGAAACAATTTAAGTGTTCTATTTTCTTCTTGCAATTACAATTACTTTTATTTTAAATCAAATATAGAGTTTTCTAGTTATTTAATTTTTCCATTTAGGTATTCTTTGTCTTACAATAGAGTAGCATAATCATCTCTTAATTGAATGTTCTCTCTCATCAAATTATCTTTGGCTTTTTAGTAATCATCAATTTAATTTTAAAGGAGCTTAACTTCATTGCTTACTGAATTATTATATTCTATTTCTCTTATTTAATTTTTGTATTTTGCTATTTCTTACTCCAATGATTTGATCTTATCTTATTGTTATGTATCTCGTTACAATTGAATATCTAGTTTAGATTGTATTTCTTCATTCTTCCTCTTAAGAACTACCAATTACTATTCTAATTCTTTATATTAATCGCTGTTGAATATTTTAGAATTGAACATATTATCAGAGAAAGACTTAGATAAATTAATATCAGCTAAATTCTTAATTTATTCAGTCAAATGCATATTCTCTTCAACCAATCGCTTATTTTATTTTATCAATTATTCAAATTATTTTTTAACTTGATTAGCATCTTATAAATCAGTCGTTAATTTTTCTATTTTCTTTTTCATCTTCTAAATCTCTAAATTATGAATTTATTGCATTCTTTCAATCTGTTACTCCAATTAATGATTAACAACATTTTCTTATATTTATGAATCTTTCATTGAACTTTGTAACACAGATGAATAATCAAATTTCTCTCTTAATTATCTGATCTCTTCAAATAACTTCAAGTTTTCCTCCAAATAACGTTTATTAGCTTCAGTTAACTTCTATATTTGCAAATCTCTATCTGGTTACTATTTCTATGGTTTTGGTTGTTTCTTCTTCGACAATTCCTCTTCTAAAATAGATATTTTTTTTTATAAATATTGATTCTCTTACTCTAATTATTCAATTTTAGTTTTCATAACAGGATCCTCAATCATAGACATAGACATACTGATTCTACTCATATTTTTCATCATTTCCAACTCCAATTATAATTCTTTAATCTTATTTGTTGATGTTGCTATTTCTTACATCAATTTCTAATTCACTTACAATAACTTCTCCTTTTCCGCATCATTGTTCTAACTTGTTCTTGAAGATGAACCAAACTTTTAATATTTATTCAATTCCTCTTACAATCTTACTTTTTCGTTGTTGCACTCTAATAACATATCTTAATATTATTTCACTTTCATTTCATCCAAGAATTAGGATTGAGATAGGGATTTATCATTCTTTTCATTCAAAGCCAACGTCAATCTGCCATTCTAATTCATCAGATCAGTTTCTCTCTATTTCAAAGAGTAGACTTCGTTCTTCAATGATTGAATCAAACGATCCATACTGTCCAATTGGTCCCTTGATGCGGTATTCGATTTACCATTAATTTCTATCATAGAATTCTATTTATACCTAATTCTTTATTTTCCTTAAATAGCTTATCAATTTACTACTAAAGTTTTAGTTTCTCATTTTAAAGTTGTGCAACTTCCTATTTGAGTTGTGTTATTTAAATTTAATTGTTGGTTCTGAAGTCCTAACTTGTGGCCATCATAACATTATTTTGAATGGGTTCAAATTTCTTAATTGGCATTACTGATTTCTCATTTATTAACTACAATAATTGAGCATTCAATAATGATTAAAAATTAACTTACTTCTAATTCAATTTCCCAATGTTATAAGCTATAAATTTCAAATGCACTCTCCTCAAAGATTACATTGATATAAAGAATGCACAAAACGCATCTAGTATTTACATGCATAATACCTTTGTCATCTTTGCATTTGAATTTCATAATCTGATTGTTGAATTAAACTTGGAGTTGATTCTAATTCGACAGAATGCATTAATCTGAATATTAGATTTTTTATTAGGTTGTACTATTCTCTAAATACTCCAATGAAAATATCCAATTCTAATCATTGCAATTGATCTATTATCTAATATAATCATCTCTAAAAATTACTTCATATTGTTGTGATATAATTGGGAGAGTTTGTTTTCTAATGAGACAGAAATTTGAATTTTTTAGAATTCTATAGTAGCCTAACCCTCATAGCCTGATTCGAATGGCTGTACGATTGCCTCAATCTTATAACCAATATCGAATATGCTGCAAGGATAAATATTGCCCTATGTCTCAATCTTAATGCGTTCATTGTCTGATTTTTTGAACCATTAAAACTTGCATCCTAATGGAATTTAGTTAATTTTTGATGAGAACGCATTGATCGTGATATTAGTGGTTTCATTTAATTATGCTGCCTAGATTTCCAAGTGATAGTTAAAGTTCCCCTTAATTTAATAATTCATATTAAATAAATGTTATTTTAAGACGATTCAGATTTTTTCATTAAACCAAATGCCTTCCTTAAACTGCTGAAGTAAGGAAAACCGAAAACTACAGAGATGAGTAGAAGAAAACCGTAAAATGTGGTAGCGAATAAAAAATAATTGAACATATTGCACTTCTCCAAACCTATTTTCTTATTGCAGATTCCGGAAGAGTCTAAAAGTAATCGAAATATCAGTAACAACACTTGTCGTAGTTGGAATACTCAATCTCATACACCTGATAGAAGAAAGATATTATTGACTTCACCAAAAGAGTCTCGTCTCGGTTATAAGATATAAAATAATCAAGATTCGGAAGTACCTTATGAAATCCACACTCAAATGCCTACTTCCCAGATCAACCCTAAATATGTGATTCAATAAAAATAAGGTTGTGGATTGAGTAGACTTCCGAATTTTAAATTATAAATAATCAATCAATTCCCAAATCTAAGATAATAAATGCTGATGAAATAATAATGATTATATATAGATAATTAGCATCAATTTTTTGACTCCTCTTTTTATGCTTCAGCAGCTTCTAAAGGATTGTCATATGCCCATTCATCAAAGTCCTCGATTTCCTGATCTGTAAATTTAGTACTCTAAAATCCCAATTAATATCATACCTTTATTTTATTCAACTCGCCTTCACTAAGAACTCCTGTTTTTTTAGCATCTCTTAATTTCTATAAGATCATCTTATTTTTCTTAACAGTCTTGTATTCATTCTCAGCCAATTATGCAAGTTCCTGATTTTTGGCTTTATAAAATCTGTACATGACTTTGATCTAATAATACAATGAGACTAGTAATTTTACATTTTCACACTTCTTTAAAAGAGGATCCTCATTGATTTCTGGTTCGAAGTAGAAGTAAATGGGTAATTAAAGTTCTTCCTTTGGATTAAGTAGTTGCTAATTGAAGCAAAAACACTGGATTTTGGCAAAATAAAGACCTGCATCTTCAGGGAATATTTAGTAAGTAGCAAAACCTTAAATAATTATTATATAAAAAACCTACTACTGCATTGTCATTTCTATTGTAAGCTCTATAAAAGACTAAGGCAGTTTCTCCAGCATGAACAGTGACATTCTATTGGACAGGGAGAAATTCCCAATTGGCTTCAGGATCAGTTTCTGCTCCAAATTCAATATGATATTTTCTGAACACATCCACTAGTAATGAAAAGGATGCAAATACATTTTTTGCCTTTCATTGAATAGTCCTTCTTATCAAGGTCTCCTTCCAAACCGAAATGCTCACACCACAATCTGTAAAATGGGACAGCACCAAATGCACATCCAAAAGCTGCACCATATAAACCAATATTATAGAGTAATTCTTATCGTCTTTTCTTTTTAAATGATGATAGATTATGTTAAATGTTAGATCTACTGGAATGTTTGAATGAATAAAACAATTTGGATAGTTTGAACATAATAAATATAAAAATTTGGAATAAAATTGTTAAGCGGTCAATCAATCTCAAAGTATAAATCTTCTTCATGTAATTATTAATCAACTAAGTATTTTTGAGATTGGCTGAGAATATTAACATATTGATTCTAAATACTTATACCATTCAAAAGAAAACAAGGCAGGAGAATTAATAATAAAATTAATCCAAATTTTCATATTTCTTATTAACTTCTTTAACTAAATCATCAATCTAAAGCAACCTACTGGCAATGTCAATCTGTTCATCTTTATATTTCATAACAAAATAACTATTTAATTTAAATAATATTTCAATATCAACATCAAATTCAAGCATCAATATTCTAAGAGTGCTAAAAAGAATAATATCCTGAAATATGTTCTAATTCAGAATTTATACTTTAAATTTAATTTTACAGAGACTAAATCGCTTATTGTTATTAAAGCTAATTATTGTTATTCATATTTTGTTGCATTTACAAAATCTATGTTTCTAATTTATTGATCCTTAAGGTTTTTTCTTCCATTTAAGTTTTATTTTATATCAATTAATTGTTTAATTGTTACACTTGAAGCTAGAAGCCATTATTTTATTCTAATACAGCATCAAATAATTCATATAGTTTTTGTATTTTTAAATCTTATTTCTCTTAATTCTCCTCTAATCTTCTGAGATGCCCAGACATTTTTTCATTTAAGATTTTCAATACTCTTATTTCTTCCGTTTGATTTACTTAATAAATATTTGTTTATTGAAGTTAATTGTTTCTAGCATAATTTGATTTCATTTCTTCCAACATTTTTTAATATTAGCCCATTTCTTCATTCATTTGAGGTATCTAAACCATAATTTCAGGATCTAGGTTCACCTAACACATTTGATGCAATTTGTATTGTAATTATTGAACATTTGTGATTAGATAATCTAATTGGCTAACTTAATAACCATGTCTTTTAATATTCTCAACTTATTGTTTGAAATTCTAGAAATCAAATATTATTTTGTTAATCTCATATGCTTATTGATTTTACATCAAATAAATTTTGTATATGATTAATTCATTTTTATTAACATTATAATAGCTCACTCAATAAAAATTCTCTCTTTAATAGATAATTATATCTGAATTGATGTTTGAATATGTTTCCCAAAAAACATTTAGTAATCAAGAAAAATTAAATACTGATTCTGCTTTATTGAATATCAATTTATTAAATTATCTTATATTTTTCAATCCTTAATTTTCATTACCCAACGATTCATTAATACAGAGGAATGGCTAGTCATGGAATATCATTATGTATCTTAATAATAATTGAATTTTATAAAGCACTCATAGAACTATAATCAATTCAAATTAATTTTGATTTAAATAAATTTGACTATCTAAATATCCAATCTCACTTAGTGAATGTATTATCTAATTTATTATCATAGTTTTGCTCAATCTTTCTTAAACAAATTTCTTTAGTAATGAATTTAAGTTAAATGCAGTACATTTACATAATGAATTGAATTCAAGAGAAACAATATATTTATTAGTTAATTCTATGTTTTAGAACATAAATAAATTATGATATCAATATTATCTTAATTCATTTAAGTATTTTTTTAACAATATCTATGTATAAGAATTTTCCTTCGTTTTTTGGATCTATGAATTTCATATACTCATCTGCCTCATCTTCAGTAAATCTATAGCCCATAGTCATCAACAATTCTTTGAAGTACTCACTCTAAATATACCCAGTGTTTTCCAAATCCACAGATTTAAAAGCTAGAACAATAATACTAAGAAAGATACCTTCAATTAGTTATTCTTCTCTATCTTATTCCCTTTTCTTTTTGCTAACTAGAATGAATAGAGCATCTGATCTGATTCCTTATCCCTCTGAATCTTCAAGTTCTTTGTATAACTCACTCAATTCCTATTCTTCATAAATGTATCCAATAGATGTCAACAATTCTTGCAATTCAGTAAAGCTAATTCTTTCGTCGCCGTCTCTATCAAATAATTAAAAGTTTTCTCGATATTTCTTATCTTCTGCATCTGAGAATAATCTATCTTCATTTTCGTAACTGATACTTTTTAAAGTTGTCATCAGAGTACAAATGACTTTTAAGTTCTTCAATGACTATTCTTGGTTCAATCTTGGGCAATCCGTCATTCAGAGCTACCTTTTCCTTTTGTCTCACTTGAGATAAATTAGTTTATGTTTAATTCATATTAATTAAATATAATATTCATAATCATCCATTTAGAACATAATCAAGGTTTTTGTATATCTTAATATACAACAAATTAGGACCTAAAATAGAAATGCTAATAATACAGGTATCTAAAGAGAATTAGGTGGTGATTTCTGCCTTGGGTCCCACTATTTATAAACCTTTATATATCATTTAAATAATAAATGTATTTTAACGTAAGAACTCTAATGAGATGAACCCTTCAATATAAAAGTTTAGAGCAATACACGAATCGGTTTCGAGATTGCTCAATTCTACCTTGATATGTCTATGACACTTTTAGACGAGAAATAAATATAAAAGATTGGAGAATATAAATTAGATGATATGTTATATTGATGTAACAACAAAATGATCTGACTGGTTAGATTCGAATTAAATAGATTTGCTCTCTACATCAGCCACAGTATTCATAATCATCAAAGATTAATAAATTAGATTCTTTAACGAAAAGGTTTGTAAATCTAAATTGCTCATTTTGAAATAGTAAATCTAGAATGCATCCAAGATCATTTTGATCTTCGTGTTAGAAATAATTTACCCATTTATTAAAGATTCACTGACTTTTAAATACCTATCATCAGAGTTCTATTGTAATTAACATAATTAGTATAACTATTTGTTAGTTCTTAAATTAATCTTATCTAATTTGCTGGATAATAGTTTAATTTCCTAATCCTTTAATTTCAATTTATCATCATCATGTAAAACATTCTATCTTTATTCCATCAACATCAAAATTTCCCTATTCTCATTCTAATACGCATACAATTTAATATTGTATAATTATTTCGAACTATTTTATTGGATGATAGATTCAAGCTTTTGTAAAGGAGTCTTCTCGATAATCATCTTTTCATATAAAAATTGTCCTAATAATTTGGATTCCAAGGCCAAACTACGTTGATTTTGATTGATTTTTGAAGTGGCTGTTGAATCATAAATGGAGTATTGAGATAAAAAATCCTTAAAATCTTGGTTGTTCGAGATTCCTAATTTTTGATCAGCGTATAGGTTTGCGTACTTTAATTCAAATTAAAATGATTTTTTATCAAATTTAAACTAGATATAAATATTTTGGATTATTTCATCTAAAATGTTTCCTAAATAATTAATGTCTATAAAATACTTATTTCTTTTTCATTCTAATATTAAATGAACAATGTTCGCTTTATGTATGATTTCCTGTAGAGCAGCATAAATAAATATAGTGATAAAACTATGTAAAGAATAGCCATTCCATCGAAGGTAAAATAAAATAGAATATATATTAAACGGGCTGTGGTTATTGCCATTAGAGAGAAGGCGTTCCACATAAAATCGTAGTGCTCCAATAATGTAATATTGATGATTATTATCCCACATCCTGATACATATGAATTATCATATGCAGGTGTATTTATATCCACTAAAATCTGTATGGCAGTCATAATCAGATTGTTTATCACAAATACACTACATATACTCTTTCCTTTTCGATATTTAACTATAAATGGAATTTGTAAAATAAAAAATATTGTTATGATTGATTCCAATATCCCATTTGCTATCTATCCTCCTTTAAGTTGTATTATAGAGACACTTAAGTTGATGATTATTAAGATTGGTTGATAATGTTTAAAATGAAATAAGCATGATTCTCTTGTAAATTCTTCATATTTACTCTCCAGTTATGGTGGAAACCTTAATGTAAATTTATTCATTTAAAAATTAAATTATCAATAGATCAATTCTTTTATACATTTATTCCATTCTTACATATCCACAAATAGTTGACTTTTTTCATTGGAAAATCTGGATGTACTCATTTTCTTTGTAATGATAGATCAATTACCATAAAAATTAAATCCTACTATTTTTAGATCAATTTTTTTATTGGCTACATAATAGTTTAACATACACTTATTTTATCCTAGATTAATTTTTAATTGATTAAAAGTTATTTAATGGTTCCAGCATTTTCAAAAGGCCAGCTAAATTTAACAGATCCACCAATAATATAATCTGCACTTAGTCATTATATCCATCCATCAAAATAATACTAAAATACAGGCATCCTTTTTGATATGTATAAAATAATTGAAATTAAGTAATGATGGAGAAGAGCCAAGAGTAAAAAGATCAACAACTTATGGATCTGGACCAGGCTAAAATGCGATAAGTGTCTATTAAACTAGGATTTACATTATGATTGGAACATCTTTATGATAACAACAACAACTAGCTCTGTGCCTTTGAATTGAGTACTATGTTCAACTTGAAAAATAATTTCACCATCAAATAAATTGAAATTTAAAGATACAATCATTTTGGCTGACAGTCGTAATTCTTTTGTTTCAGTCTAAATAGAGGAGCAAAAGAAATTGAGAAATATATTTTACTAAATTCTTGATAATATTACTGAAAAGTAGTCATTTTATTCTTAACAACAGAAAAATAATAATTTGAGCTATCTGTAAAATTCTGCTCCAACCTTAGAATAGTAGAAACATTACGGAAGGATCTAATGACAACTAGTCTATGTCGTTTTTGAAAAGAGGATTGAAATTATTTTTAATATTCATATAGCAGATATACTCTGAAGGAAATAATCAAACAATACTTTCAGTTGCATTACTGGAAATACACAATTAATAGACGGAACTATTTAAATGAGACTATTGGAGAGCTTTTTTTATTAAATTTGAATATCTGATTCAAGAAATTACTTAAGTAATGAAGAAATAAAGCAAGAATTAAAGGTATCTATTTTTATTTATACTTTGAAATTTTGCATTCTTAATTTCAGTTAGAGAACTTTCAAATAAAGGGATACTCAATAAGAATTAATGAATAATCTAATTCTGGATTACTCTAATAACATTTATATATATTTGTGTTAATATATTAGTTTAATAAATTTTTATTGTTAATTTAATATGGCAACTAACAATCTTCCAACATTTTACCCAGGATAATCATCAATGACAAATGTTTAACCATCGATATTCTAATAACAAGGAGGTGTAGAATATTATTTATCAGAGTAGGTCCTATCTATTAAGGCAATCAAGGTATTCCATAAGGATTAGGGTCACCTTCAGTGATGTAGTAGAATCAATAGATAGCATATGGAAATCGTATGAAATGCTTAAAATATTAGAATACGGATTAAATGGGACTAATTATGGGGTTCCATCCTACTAATCTCCTCAAAGAATCGTGTCCTAAAGAGTTATGTAATAATCTCCGTAAGTTATTACATCTCCTATAATTCAACAATAGGGTCCTCCTATTTAATAATAAGTGCAATCGAGTGTGCAATAACCATCAGTCAGTAACTAAATAACAATAACATTAATATAGTTCATAATGTTGAGCATGTCCCAGTCATTCATGAACTTCATCACGTGAATCGTCCAATAAATGTCATTTCAGTGGATGAGATTGAAGGGCCTTGGAGAAGCAAAGTATTGTTGTTGGAGAAACAATTAATTGAATTATAGTTGATGTTAAAGAAGGGTCCAGTTAAGTAGGTGCAAGCAAAGCAGATAGTAGTGGAAGATGAAGGAAAAGTATGTTGAATAAATACTATCAATTAATTAGATAAGGTAATTGCAAAGTGAAGTGGAAAGACTCCAAGCCATTCTAAGGGAGAACCAGAAAGAGATAGATGAATTGTAATAACAAATAAACGATGCAACATTCAACTTAGAAAATGCTGAGGAGTAGGCATCTTCTCAAGTGGAAGCTCAATAAGAGGAATTGGCTAAATGGAAGAAGAAGTTCTCAGAATTGAATAAGAAATTCCATGATATTGAAGAAGATATCACTATGACTGAGGCGTAAATTGAAAGTATTCAGAAAAGAAAATTGGTAACTCAAACTACATCTACTGTTAAGACTACTGCCAAAACTTCAGGAGTATTTCTTTATAATTTATAATTAGGGTACATATGGGGATGGAGATGTCAGAAAGAGCGGTTTTAGCAATAGGAATTATTGATTTATTCAAAAATTATAAACATTTATGCTAAATACAAATTCAAATTAATTTGTTCATTCCAAATTAATATACGCATGTGCCATATCTCCTAAAAGTACTATAGATAATTAGAGAATTATTTTGGGGACTATTGGCTCAGGAGGATAATAAATTATATGTAACCAATCAATTCATCTATTTTATAGAATTGCAATCTGCTCAAGAAGGCTATAAAATTAAAACCTATCATTTGCATAATGCATTCAGTGCTAAATTATTATTTCTCAATCAAAATGAAGGAAGCGAAAGATTTGTATCTGCCGGTGAAAAACTTTAAATATTTAAATCAGAAGACTAAAAAATCAGTCATATTTGTGACTTAATGCCTTTAAGCAAGGAGTATGTCGGTCCTACATTCGCCTTAGATTTTCATTACGAATAGCAAAATAGATTAAGTATAGATTTTATCATATCTCACTTTTAGTCTCTGGTTCTCTGGACCCTACAATAAGAATTTGGGATCTTGAAAAGAGAAAGTGCCAATATCAGTTTATTGCTTATGACATATCCAAAGAGCCGGATTAATACACTCTAGATTTGAATATAGGTCGTGATACAAACATCTTAGCATTCCTGAATAATTATAACCAAATTGGAATCTACGATATCAGAACTAAAATGGGTCTGCACAAAATCAAAGGCAAATTGTAGTATAATCAAGTGATCTGGAATAAAAAATAAGATAATAATTTGATTGCCATAGATTATGAGGCAGGTCTTATTGATTTTTATGATACAAGAGATTTTAAAAATAAATATAAAAGAATCAGAACTGATCATAGATAAATTGTCAAAGCTGAATGGTTTTAGGATAGAAAGTATTTAAGCATTTTAATAATTAGTTCTTTGATTACTGCAGGATTGGATAGATAAATTATTCTTTACGAGGGTGACAAATATCTGGAACCTTGCTTTGGATTAACTAAAAATTATGATATAGACAATTTCTGTTGTCAAAACAATCTATTTGGAGTTGTCTCTGAATATTCTTTCGAAGTTTTTAGTTTTGAAACCTAATGAATTTTTTATTAAAAATTATTTATGATAAAAAAATTCATTTTTAATTGCCATCTCAATCGATTCTAATTCAGCAATACCTTAAACAATATAAGCAAAACCTTATACTTAATAAATTAAAGATTAGGTGAATTAAATACTGAATATGAAATGTATTAAGATCAAACAATTAAGTAATTTCACTTCATTAATATCTAAGAGGAGACATGACAGAAATCAAAAGAAGAAGAATGAATGAACTATAACCTAAAATACACATCTATAAGTAAATATAAGCAAGTGTGTCTGTTATTGAAGATGCCAAATAATTGATTAGTATGGGTGGTTCCTCAGATGAAATATCAATGTTGAATGAAGAAATCTAAGTACATTTAATATAATAAATTTAGTCTTAAATCGAATATTTAAAGAAATATTAAGATGATGCTCTATCATAATTAATTGAAGAAGATGAGTATGATCACATAAGATAACTCAATGTTGAAGTGAGAGCAGGTGTGGGAGGCAGTGAAGGTTCATTATTTGCTGAAGATATAATTGGAATGATCTAAAATTATGCTAGTCTCTAAAATTGGGATTGCAGAGTAATTGATAATTTAATATTTTAAGGTAATATCAATACAAAAAGACACTCAAATTGGTAAAGGTTGTAAAACAGGTATTCTATAAATCAGTGGCGAGAATGTATATTAACAATTAAAGTGTGAATCTGGAGTACACAAAGTTATTAGAGTTCCAGAAACAGAAGCTAAGGGAAGATTACATTCAAGCACAGCCTCCATGATTGTACTTCCTAAAGTAACTGATAGCTTTCATTTAAGTGACAAAGATTTGAGATATGAATATATGAGAGCAAGTGGACCAGGTGGTCAACATGTTAATAAAACTGAAAGTGCTTGTAGAATTACTCATGTTCCAACTGGAATTCAAGTTGTAAATATGGAAGACAGAAGTTAAGAGAGAAATAAACAAAGAGCATATCAGATTTTAAGGGATAAATTATTTGCCATTCATGTTTAAGAGAAATAGGAAAGAATGGCTCAAACTAGGAAAAGTTAAGTTGCTGGATCTGATAGAAGTGATAAAATTAGAACCTACAATTTTCCTTAGGAAAGAATTACTGATCATAGAACTAATTTAACTATGTATGGTATTGAAAAAATGTTATCTGGGGAATTGTTAGGCGAATTCATCTAAAAGTATTAGGAGAAAATTCATAATGCCAAATTGCAAGATTTATTAGATGAATTATAAAATGAAAATAAGAAATGATAATTTTATGTGTATATTTATAATAATATTATTTATGTACTATCATTATTTCAATAATTAATAAAACCATAACCAGTATATCTGATGCCACTAATTTATGGGTAATAATAAAAATATTTTAGTATTATGTGAGGGATACTAAAATTGAGGAGATCCCAGCAATATAAGACTTTTGTATAGGTTTATAATAATATAAATTTGTGAAATAATTACAATAGTTTTATAATTAAATGAAAATAAATAGTGAAACCTATATATAAATGCTCGGAGAGATAATTTATGTAAAGTATTCTTTCTCCTTATAAGTTTAATTTTTTTCTCGTCATTTTCATCCTCAAACATTATTTTGAAGGGAAATATCATTTTTTACTTTAGCTAAATTATCTTAATTAATATTATTATTTCATTCTCTAAATTATCTCTTTATTTAGAAATTATCCTATTCTCATCTCATATAAGGTTAATATTGTTATTAAAGATTCATACTTTGAGTGTAAATGACTTGATCAATAACTTTTTATTTTTGAAGGAATAAGGGGATGAAAAATTAAACAAAGTTTTCATGAATTTTGATTAACTTCGGCTAATGTGAATCTTAAATAATGACTATCTATGGGGCATCTCTTTGATTATAGGAGAAACTTCCAAAGTGTTAAATATCTATGCTTATTAAGTTTAATCTTGATCATAGGAGGTAATTGATCAACAAGAAGATAGAATTTAATATGAATTAGTTGCTTTTACCGAAATCTTCAAATTTTATTTGAATTTCTTTGAATACAACATTTTTCATAACTTAATTTATCAGTGTCTAAATCTTTAATTGATAAAGAGAAAAGATCTTAGCATTTGATTAAGTGTTGTAGAATTAGATTGTAAGAGGATCACTAATTTTTTAATTTATAACTATTTAAACTCTATTGATGTGTAATCATAATCAATGAACATAATGACTAGAATCAATTTATTCGACTTTAACATATTTATGAAGTTCACTTTTGGCAGCACTTTTATCGTAATCTTCTTCATAATATATCTTATCAATTTTTGTTGACAAAATGATCTTTGTACATTGCAAACATGGAAATAGGGTAGTATACATAACCATATTTTTCGACTTTTTAGTACCAATTTCCAATATGGCACTCTCCTCAGCATGAAAACAAAAACATTTTTCTAGATCTACTCCTTGTTTTGTATTTTGATTGCATCTGTCGCATCCCTTTTCCCAACAATTCTATTTTCCATATGGAGTGCCATTATAACCAGTTGCAACAATTCTGTTGTCTTTCACAATAACAACACCGACAGCCCTTTTCATGCAATTTGATCTCTATTTAACAACATTTGCTAGATGCATGAAGTATTAATTCCAATTAGGTCTGATGGGTCTGAAAATATCTTAATACTTCTTATAAAAACTAATTAGTAGATCTTTTTGGTCTCCCACATTGCCTATTTAGACTTTTGCTTTATGCATGAATTCCGAGATGTTGTCAGATATAACATCGTCAATAATGCAGAATAAATCAAGTGGGATATTTAATTAATATTTCTTCATAAAATTTTCATACCTTTTAATGATAGGTGCTTCTACTGCGATCAGATGAAAGTAGTTTCTTTGATACAACAATTCTAATTCATATTTATCAGTTATTGGATAAAGTATTTGATGTCTAGGATTATAAGTCAAAGAACATTCCAACTTTTGTTTTGTTGAGTGAGGATGGAAATGCTGATCTCTGGTGTCCTTTAATAATTTTTCTAATTCCTCCAATTATTTAGTATTATAAGAACTAAGATCTAAGTCCATTTATTTCTCTTCCATCTTTTTTAGAGAATCACCTAAGAATTCTCTCATATTCATGGTTTCAGTGATTGAAATCACTTGACATTCCGTACCTTAGTATTTACTGATGATTTATGCTACTTCTTCTTTACCAGATCTATATCAAATTGATAGTTACCCTAGTCTTCCACATAACCCAATTATTAACCCTTAATTATAATTACTATGCATAAATAAAAATTTGTATATTATTTAACTTAATATATAGAGACTTCTCCACATCAATATTTTTCAATGTCATTTTTTTTATCCATTTGAATTTAATAGATTTAAGCATTACTTGAAATTATATTGCTTTTTTTCAATTAAATTAATCAAATTTTATTACTTAGAAAAATCTAAGCTAACCTTGATGAATGAACTAACTTGTATTCATATCTAAAAAGTGTTGAAATAACTGTGACAACTAAATGGAGAAGTCTATTAAATGAAAAAAGACCTTAAAAATAGGTTAGTCTTTTAAGGTAAAATAGAAATTTTTACATAAATTTTCACAAAAAGTATCATTCGTGTAGATAACTCAATAACTATAATAAATTAATTCTGGATTTCAAGGTATCTCATTTATATCTCTTAAATAATTTCTAATCATTTATAACTAATTTTAATGAACAACATATCCTCTGGAATAGAAGTATAGGATGCCCAAATCATCAATATTTCTTTAAGGAAAATTACACTCAGTATAGCGATAACAATAGAATTGCACTTATTGGGTAAAATAGACTATTAATTATGTAGACATTTATAATAATCGCTTCCGAATTTAAGCTAAAAAGAAATAGTCCTCATGGCTTAAAAGAGCAAAGGAGAAGGAAGTAAAATAATGAGATTAGAGAATGTTATTAATCATCTAGGGATTGAGTTTAAAAGGTAAGATGAATCAATTATTGTAAATGTAAGTCTCTATGAAAAACACCACAGTAAAATTGAGGATTAGTTTTTCAATCCCAATTTAAGAAACCCTGTATTATTACTAATAATTTATAGATAAATATGAATTTAGTGTGATTTACATGATTATTTATTATAAGGATCTTTATAAATACATTAAATAATTTAATACTCATCTCCTTGTTTTATAGATCAAACAATTATCTGGTTCTGCACCATAGAGAAACCTGATACCAAACTTAAGTTGAACATCTGGGTTAAGACTAACTTAGAACTATCTAATGATATGACATAAAATGATTTTTAATTCCATTTAAGCCATATGTTGACCTATGCAATTTCTTCCTCCTGCTCCAAATGGAATGTGAACAAAACCATTATCTGATTGGATTGCTCCTTGACCAGTCAACCATCTCTTGTAATCGAATACTTCAGGATTACTAAAATGCTCATTTCGAATAACAGGAATATCATGTCTTTGGACTACCATCCATCCTATGATGTATTAATTACATCATACCTTTCTTAAGTTTGATGTCAAGAAATTACATATCCTATTAAACCAACCTTACAAAAGGGGAAAAGGCTGGATTCCTTAATCTGAAGACTTCCTAAAAAATTATAATATATTTTACATTTATAAATGCATTCATTTTCACAAGTTTTGGAAGATGAGTATCCTAAACATCTTTATCTTACATTAAAGCTTGAATCTCCTCTAATAATTCATTTTGAGCATCTGGATATTTTGCCAAATAAACCAGACAAGTTACAGTCATTGTTGCAGTTGTATCAGTTCCAGCAAAAAACAATGTCAAAAACTATTAAAGTACTGGTTCGAAATCTATGTTCTTTTTATTTCCTTCATTTTATTATTTCAATAATTCACATAAATAAATATCTAAAAAACATTAATCTTTATATTTCTCCTTTCTTTCGTCAGTTTCTCCTTTTAACTATTGTATCCTTGTTTCAATTAGTTACTTAACAGTGTTTCTAAGCGTATCCACCCTATTATTTATATCTTTTTCCTTTTTAGTTGCCAATATTCTCCATCCTTTGTTACCTAGTATCATTAATTTAATTTAAGTGTAAGCATTTTTAAATCGTTACAACATCATATCCGCAACTAGTTTTACTATTTCTACTTGTCCTGGTCTCCCATTTAGAGTTAATCCTTTGGCAATCTCACCAAAAAAACTCTGAATAACTACTTCTCCTGTTATCCATGAAATGAAATCAAAAGAATTGGTTTTTGGATCCAAAATACATCTTTCTTTTACAGTTTAATTAATCATAGGAATTCTTGACTTTAATTTCTCAAAAGTAAAGGCTGATCCTAATAGGTTTCTCTAATATCTCCATTCTTCACCTTCGGTCATTAACAATCCTTTATCAATCAAGTTGCTAGATATAATTCATATTATACTCATATCTAAGTAGATTAAACTTTGGGAAATTTTAATATTCCAAATACATTTTCTTAATATATTCACTATCTACGAAATTTATGAATGGTTTATCCAAAAAATTTGTCAATAAGATCTTTACTTGGGGATTTTCTCTCATCCTCTTTCTTAAATCATCAAAAAAATCACCATTTTATTTTAATGATCTAAAATTGTATTTCAACAAGCCCCAAATTGGTGCATACCATAAATAAGCCTCCTTTCCAAACTAAAGCTTCAATATCAATAATGGTATCAATGGTTTCAAAACTATTCTATAAAGAACGTAAAAAACAAATATGATTATAATATAAAAAATCATTAATTATAAAATATACTAAAAATAAAATAAAAATCAGATAAATTTCTAAGAATTTAAAATACTGATGATTTATGATTCAATTATTGTTATCAGTTTGAATAAATCCGTTATCAACTAATTAACACTTTTTTTCATAATAATTTTTTTTTAAATTCAAACATTTCCTAAATGTTTATGAAATTGATCATAAATTCTCTTTCTCAAAACCAAAAAAAAATTTGTGTTGCCTTAATTGAAACTATATATTATTTATCCATTCTAAAATAATTTACAAAATCATCAAGTTGTGTACTCAGAAATGGAAAAGTATAATATAATTCTATAACCAGACTTTTATACTATTTTAAAATTGTTATTTTTTTGAGTTTGTAAACGATAATTTTAGTGCGCATTATTGTTAATAGAATAAGAAAATAAAAATTTGGCTTTTTAACCCGACCAGGGTTGATTAATTTTCAATATAATTTTTATCTGACTATAATATAAAATTCAGAATAGGCTGAGAGCCTGATTCCATCAGTACCGATCTATACCGAAAGCCTGATTCCATAAACACGTACCTACGCTTTTATCCTGATTCCACCATTACCACCAATCTATTATTACCCTGAAACAATACAAGAAGCCAACTCACCATCTGTTCGTTACCAATAATATAGAGAAAATAGATTTGATCAATTCACACTATGCAGTAATTACAAACTATGCAATCGAGGAATGTTTCTTGAAGATTTATGCAATCAATTTTTGAAAGAAATCGACGAATTATAGAAAAAATTGAATTATCGGCTAATTACTTATTCACAAAAATTTGTTGGATCAGCACTAAGTTCTATGGATTAGCTAGATGAAATAATGAGGGTAAAGTTGAAATGGATAACAAAAAAATAAACAAAATTTGAATAGAGGGATTTTAATGAATTAGACATTCTGCAGAATGTTTTTATAAAATTAAACACTTAGCAGAATGTTTTTAAAGAATTAAAAAATCTTCTACATTATAGCGATAAAAATGTAATGCGGAAACCAATACGATGATTGGAATCCATCTTATCCTAACCGATAGGATGGATTCCAATAAATGATAATTACATTTATGAAATGAAAACCTTATATTTATATAAACATATATCTATAAGCCTTTCTAAAATATTAAAGTTGAATTGAATTATAATGAAAACTTTAATTCTATTAACTTGTGTTCCCAAAGAAATTCATTACAACACAATGATAATTGTTTTGATTTTAACTATAAGATGAATTTAAGGTTATCATACACATAGTCAGAATTTGATGGAGTAAATAAGTAATATTGTAATAATGTTAAATTAATTGTTATAAATTATTAATTATTCTCTTTGATTCTAATTAATTATATTTGATTAACGTCATTACTATATATTATGTGGGTATGATGAGCGATTTTAATTATTTTAATTAATTGAGACAACTTATTATCAAAATGATCTTTTTTTTCATTTAGAGAACGATTATGATTGTATATGTCGTTTAAGTTAGACATTGAATTTTAAACTGAAATTTGGTTATAAAGTGTTTGTAATTAATATTTAATTATATAATTTATTTAAATAAATTTAAATTTGATTGTTATTATAGCATTTATTAATAATATAAAATGAAGATATATTATTGTAATTAATTATTTATGATTATTATAAAATTTAGTATATCTTATTTAGCAATTTATTCGACTCAAGTATGAAGCAATAAATTATCATATCTTATTATATTTTTTACTTTTAAACAACAATGGACAAATTGTATATTGGTATACGAGCTGAAGACAAATCTTATATGGAGAGAAGAACACCAATCCCCCCTCATGATTGCAAGTATATTATGGAAAAAGTAATATAAATCAAATATTTGTAGCATAATCAAATTTAAATCGTTGTATAGCCTTCAACGAAGAGAATATTCACGGACGATCAATACTTAGAAGTGGGATGCTTGGTTTAGGACGATTTATCGATCTGCAGAGCGATAATATGTATTAAGGAAATCCCGCTTGAAAAATACATTGAAGGAATGACATATTTAAATTGGTCTCATACTTTAGAGGGTGAACCATATAATATGCCGGCTTTGGATGTGATGCTTAAGAAAAATATTAGACATTTGGAGTACGAACGAATTTATGACGATAACGTAAATATGTATTATACTAGATTAGGGTGTTAACATAACCTCGTTCCCTTATGCTGGTATCGCAGGAATCATCACGTTCTTGAATGAATATGGCAAGTATTTACTCAAAAGAGACATGAATACCCCATTTTTGCAGATCGGTCCAACTTTCTAATATTATAATAAAAAAGATGCTTATGAAGCCTTATAAAAGGCAGGCTAAGCTATTTAAGAAAGAGGACTTCCTCCTAAGCTAGGGTTGCCACTAATAATTGGAGTAATGGGTTCAACTGGTTCATGTGGTAAAGGTTCTTTGGAGGCCTTGTCACAACTTCAGATTACACTGGTAAACCCAGAAGATTTGAAAGAACTAGTTAGGAACTCAAATGATAAAAAACATAGGAACACAGTTTATGTTTGTCCTTTTAAAACTACTCATTTGGTCAGGCATAAACATGATGTTCACAAAGAATTCACATCTCAAGATTATTATGAAAATCCATTAGATTATGAACCTATATTCCATCAGAAGTATCTACCCTATTTAACGATTCTCGTTAACGATATTTATTGGGAATACAAGTTTCCTCGATATGTTACTGATTCCTAAATTAAAGTAAAAAATATATTCTATATTTTAGGAATTATTTGAATCTGGAAATAGTAGATTGCAGGCTGTATGTGATGTGACATGTGATCTAGAGGGTTCCATCTAATTCTTAAAGAAATTCACTAACCCTGATCATCCTGTTTACTTTTATAATCCAATTTCTCAATAAGTTCATGATGAATTCGATTTCAAATCTCAAAATGACATCATGTATATGTCAATTGATTTCTTGCCATCCTAAATGCCATATGAAGCCAGCATGGATTTCGGAAAAGCTCTAAGGGATATTGTTCCACACTTGGCCTACTCAGACCCCACCAAACCTTTAGAAGAGAGTGGGCTACCTGAATTTTTGTAAAATGCAACCGTCACTCTACACGGTTAACTTACTTAGAAGTTTGAATACATCAATGAATTAAGAAAACTTAATGAAACAGAAACTGACCATTAAAATTTCAGAATGATAACATCATACTATTCAAACAAAATTAATACAATTAAAGATAACACCTCAATAGACAATAAGTCACTGTCTTAATAATAACTGTAACTAAAGATCTTATTATATTAGTTCTACTGAATCTGACGCATAGGATGATAGATTCTAATCAGAAGATTTATCTAGAAAGTTGCATACTTCTTCTAGTATAGTTGAGACTAAGATCGATGAAGATAGATCAACTAGTAATCAAAGAACTTTCGATGAACAAATCTAAATTTCATGATTATTATTAATTTAGCTTTAATATTATTTTTTAGTAAATATTTCTACTTACATTTCTAATGAAGGCAAATAGGAATAATTATTTATTGCAAAATAAACTTTGTACTTTGATTTAGCAAAATCAGATTATTTTAATATGAATTTCAAATTTTATGATTTCCTTATTATAATTTAAAGAATGAGTAATTATTTATTGTATTCTTAAAATACTCATTTTTAGATGAATTAATTTTTATATCTCTAATTCTTTATTTGTTTATTATTTTATGATTGTATGGAAGTCATTTTTTATGATTTAGTGGACCTTGGTTATATAATTGTCTAAGAATGCATCAAACACAAATAAGAAACTTAATGTATCAATTCTATCTTGCTTATTGAGAATACCTTTTTAAATCCACTTTGGTATAGAAATAATAATAGTATTAGTATATTGATATCAATTACTTTCTTCTCTCAATTTATAATATAAAAGTGTAAAGCCATTAAATTAATGTAAAGTTTTTCAAATTATTTCCTACTTATTAATGAGTGAATAAAATTATTATTAAGTAGAATTGAAGTATTAACTTCATGGCTAGAGAGTGACAATCTTATATATAATTAATAAAAATTTTTTCAACAATGAAATTTCATCAAATTTCATAACAATTGTGTGTTTTACACAAACTCATCCTCTAAAATATTTCAGGTAATCATGAATTGGAATTTTGACTTATTTTAAATGTATAATCATGTTTTATTGATATTTTATCCATTTAAGTTTGCATATTAAGGATAATTGTGAAGTTAGATATTGCAATTATTTTCATTGTTTGAATTGAGATATTGTTCATAATTCAAAATTAACAATGTATAAAACATAATACAAAAAGGTACTTGTGTATTCTATCTTGCAGTTAGATCTTGCAAACCAAGGCTACTCATCTACTTAGGAAAAACAGATATCACACATTTTATATTATTTTTGTTCAATATAACTTCAATATTTCGATAAAAAAATAACATCCTTTATTGGTTTTGAATAATTCTGTAATTTGAATTATCATTATATTACTATAGTCATATGATTAAAAATGAAATTGATAATTAAATCAATCATTAATGATTATCTCAAATTAAACTATACGATAATCTACCATTAAATTAAGTTTATTGATTTGATATTAAATAAGAGAGTTTGGAAATACTATCAAAAAATTAACAAACTATGGCATTACAATAATTTTTGTAAATAATGAACATCATAAATTTAAGAAAATAATTAGAAATAAAGGATTTTTCTAATATACTAATGTTTTAATCAAATTTAAGAGAAATCTTCTATTATTTACAAGATAATAGTCTTTTTTTTAAATTCGATTCGTACCGATCTTTATCTGATAATATTCTTAAAATAAACTTTGTGTTAATTTAATGCAAAAACAGATGAAAAATTCAAGAAAACTCATTGATAAATATATTAAAAAGGTATATATTTATAAATGATGAGATTTTTATATTTAAATATTGATAAACATGCAATAACACTCTTTCATATTCTTCAAATCTGTCTGATCTTATCAAGTGATTGAATGCAAAGAGTGCTAAAATCGTTTTTTATTGTATCTCTTGTCAGATTTCAAATTATTTAAGACGACATTTAGATTTCTTTAACTATAAATAAATTTCCTTTTTCATTATTAATTTCAAAAGGTGTTGAATGAGAAAAGTTGTTAAGGGGAAGACATCGAGTAATTAGATTATTAGCAAATTGGTTTTTAATAGCTTTATAAGGATGACATAAATAGTATTAAGAAATAAAATCGAACCTTCTTTGTTTCATTTAGTTTTTATTAAAACACTTCTTTTAATCAAAGCAATTTAAGAAATATAATTAATCTCATCAATTCAATAGGAGGATAAAAGAAAAGAATATGTACAAATTTCATTATTCTCCGTTTTATCAAAATTTTCATTAAATTCAATTTAGTACAATAAAGATGAGCTAATATTCTATCTATTATTGTTGTATGGAGTAATTTATTTTTTAGTTGTAATTGTTGCATACTTTGATTACTAAGGGAAAATAGTATTTGTAAATGTCTTTTTTAAATATTGTTAAATTGTATTCCATAATATCATATTCTTGCCATCATTGAATATATTTATCAATTTTGCACTTTCATAAAGCAATCTAGCATTATCACTAATCGGAATACTACTGACGATTTTACTAGAATTATAATTTTGTTTTTTCAATCCTAAGATTGCTCTTTTTGAAATCGAAGGATGTTTCTCAATTAGACCAATTAATGGATTTTATTTACTAATGCAATTTATAATTTGTTTTGTTGTGTAAGGCAAATAATCGAACACTGTGCCCGCTATTTTATTATTATTAGCTAAATTAGCAGTAATATAACAATAAATCCATAATAACGATTACAATAGTTGGTATAATTTGTCTATTTCAAATTTTGTTATTTCTTATATTTTAGTGTTTTTGACAAATTAGTTTTGGAAAGATTTGGTTCTTATTCATATTTTATTGATCACTCTTTTGAAATGTCTCAGATAATCAAAATGTGAAACAGAAGCATTTTAAAACAAAAATCTCACTTATTTTCAATATACAATATTAAAAAATCCTCAAATGAGATCTAGTTTGAAAGACTTTTCACTATTTTTTAAGATCCTATCTGAAAACAAAATATCTAACTATTAAGAGTAAATAATAAAAGAAGGATAATTTGAAGAAAGATTTGCTATTATAAATCATGTCTATCAATTAAATTAAATCTAATTGTATTTAAATTTGATCAAAATTCATTCAGAGGAACTAAATTGGTTTTAAAAAACAAAACTTGAAGCAAGTCTTCTAAATACTATATAATCCTCTTAAAAAGCAATGACATCTTCTTTAAATGTTCGATAATTCATTCAAGCACTTGATGTGGAATAATAAAACTTATGGCTTTTAATTAATCTAATTGATTTAAAATGCCAGTTTTATAATTTTTTAATCAAAGAGTAACCTCTTTATTAATATTTATAAAATTTCAAAAAGCAATTTGATAAATTAATATATGCCCTTGAAAAATTTAAGGGTATTTTTGAAGACTAATATGATCTTGAATCTGGAAAAATGAAATCTTCCAACACTTTAGATTATATTTCCATATATATCATATCTTCTTTTGAATATATTTTTTATGGTAATTATTTCAAAGTAATTTAACAATTGGTAATTTTAGGCAAAAGAACTTGAAAAAAAGTAGAATGAAGTATCTGCATTAGATAAAATTATGAACTTAAAATTCTAAAGAAGTATTAAATTACTATATAAATTAGATGAGGCTTTCCTTGTGTCTACAAGTGTAATTAGAAACTCATATACAATTTTAAATTCTAAGAATAAGAGACTTATGCTAGTGTTAGAATAAGAAACTGAACCAAAGTTGATTAGTGATTTTCTACCTCCATTTTCAAATTCGATTTACAATAATCTTGTAAGTAATTACCTTTAGAGTGGGTTTAATATAAAATAGCCTTGTTCTTTATCTTTTTTGAGATACGACTATTTAGTTGAGTGTGATTTTTACATAAATGCTTAAATGAGCAAAGATGACATAGTATTGTAAAATTACTTTGTTTTGAAAAATTAACCTAATCATCTACTTGTATTTGATAATGAAGGTAAAATCTTAGGGATAACCTGTGATATTTATGCTTATTTAATTTAAAAATCAGACAATGCGTATACCAAGAATTTATCAGTTTAACAATTTTTACGTTGTGGAATGATTCAATATTATTTGCCAGAAATCTATAAGTTTATTTAAGATTTAGCAGGCTAGCCTTCATCTGTAAATAGCTAACAGATTCTAAATATCGCATCAAGATGGGATTTTCCAATTAACCATAAAAAATGCTTAGATTCTACTTAAAATCTATTACACTAATCAGATGAATAGAGTCGCAAATCAGTAAAAAAAAAGCCTTTATATCACTAAACTTGGAAGAAATAATAAAGTTAGGTGTTGTTAGATGAAAATATTACTATTTAAAATGTATTGGTAAAACTAATGTAAAAGCAACTAATCTAATAAATACAAAATCTTGTTGTACCCTCTTCTAGGATGAAAAGCATTGAGTTTGAGGGTTCTTTGGAATTTGTGAAATTTAAATAAGTAGAGGGTGATTCATGCTATTTTGTATTGAGATTTAAACAAATAGAAGATTATTCATAAGATAAAGCTTAGAAAATTGTTTAAGAATATTAATTTTATTCATCGTTGACTATTGATGAACAACAATATGAAGATTTACAAATAGATTACGAATTTATTAGAAAAATAATAAATTAGAAAACTTTCAATAATTCACTGAAATACAATATTATAATACTACTTTTCATGATAATTATTACAATTATTGCTTTAATTATCAATTATACATTAAATTATGAATAAATGATCTATTACTAGCATTTAGTTAATTTTCTTACTACCCCTTAGGCAATGACTTATAATATAGGAGCGGCTTTTATATTGATGTGGAATCAATATTGTATTTAAAATAAATTGTATTTAACAAGTCCTTATTTAGAGTAGAGAAGAGAAACTTAACTAGTTGGTTTATTCGAATTTTGGAATTAAGTCCAAGAAGAATATACTATGAAACTGAATATAAAGAGTGTAGAATTAGGGATGAATAATATTAGTTTAATCTCTTTTGAAAACAACATAAAATCTACTGCTGAGATAGATTTCTATTCATTTTATGCAATAATGCGAGAATCTATGGTAAGACAGTTCAAAAATACTGATTTTAATGATAGTACTACTTTTGATCCTGGAATATTGTAAACAAATGGAACAATTAGACAAAATATGCTTCAAATATTTAAATTTCATCACAAAGTATAAGATGAAGTAATAGAATCAACAGAAATATCCTTTTTATAATTTGAAGACCAGACCTTTAAGCTTTGTATTTATTCTTCAGCTGTAATATTACTCTTTCTAGTAATTTTTATAATAATTAATTGTTCTCTCTTATAAAAGTAAGCTAAACTCATTAGACTGCTTTAATACTTGAACATAAACATAATTTTTGATTAAGTTGAGGTTTTGAATTTCTAAAAAGAATAATTATAAAAATTATTAATAGTGTAGAATATTCAAAAATCTAATCCTCTCACTTCATAATAAAACGAAAAGGCCCCTTTAATTTAGACCAAGCTTAATCCTTTGAGTAAATTAGATAATTATGATGAGAAGTATCATTTGTTGATAATATTATCTTTGGTCATTGGAGTTTAACTCATATTTTTCATTTTTGGATCTTAAATAATAGCTCAATTATATAATAGAGATCACTAAGATAGTTTAATCTTAACAATGAAATATCTAAAATTAAAAACTCGATTAGATTCAACTATAATTGTTGGGGAAATAATAAAAACTGAGCATCTTTTGAAAAATAATAGTAATATTAATTTCATTAATGAGACTGAACACATCTTGTTCTTTTTTGACAATGTCGATTAGTTAAACAATTTATCAAATAATATCAACAATGAACTTCTAACAGTATCATCCTACAACTCGTCCTTTTAAGAGAAACTCATAGACATATTTAATAAAGATTTGTGTCTTCATTACTCCTTTTTATTAAGTTTTTGTATAATTGACAACATCAGAATTGATTATTACGAGAACGAAAACTATTTAACATTAATAAATAAGGGAATATTTGGAATATTATAAGATTTAGATAAATTAGCCAAGTAGGATTACAATTATGAGTATATCAATTAAAAATATGAATACAACCAAAGCCATTCAGATTACTTTCTTAGCTAGCCAATTCATAATCACTTATTTTAATAATACTTTATAGAAATCTAAACTTGTATTTATCTGTGCTTTCTTGATATTTTTGCTGAAACCAAAGTTTTAAGTGACAGATTATCAAGTTCGATTCTCCTCTACTTAGTCACATCTTCTGTCGTGTAATTATTTAATAATATATAGTTTCTTGTTATTAACATGGTCGATTGCTGGATTTTGGATTTATAAATAATATAAAAGATGTAATCAATTAAAATTAATAGCTACTTTATTTCCTCCTGCTTTAATAAAGTAGAATAGTTTCAATAAATTGTTGCATTTTTAATTACTGTAAAATAAGTGATTGTTAATTTGACATAAATATTTACAAATCAATTAAAGTTGATACCACAATCTTAATCTTTTTTAAATTGCTCCATTTTTGATGGTTGTAACCTTAGAGAAAGGTGTATAATGTTTCCAAATTATTTGAACAAAATAATTTAATTTTTATTCCAATTTTTATTCCAATATTTATAAAATTAGAAAAACTAATTTATACAAATATTATAACATCAGAATCTTGTATATAAAACAATAGCTTAAAATGAAACTCTTATTAAGATGATAATTTTAATAGTATATTAGTACTATCTTAAAGCAATTCAAAATGAAGAATAAAGCATGAAAAAATCTTAGAAATTAAATTTTTGGTCATATAGAATTAATGGGTATTTCAATAAACAATTAATGAACATAAACAAATTTACCAGACTTTTTATAGAGTTACAGATCTTTAGAATCTAATCATATAAAAATGGAGAATAATCTTTCCTTTGTATCAATAATTTATGAGTTCAAGTTACATGATAAGAGCTTGATTCAAGCTTCCTAATAATTTTATTATTCTTTCTTTGTTACAATTTAATATATTAATAGAGAGAGAGAAAGAGCAAATATATGCAGTAAGATAAAATAA